TCTGCAGTGAAGTCCCAGGGCGGGGGGGTGTTTGCGTGTGTGCATGTGTGTATGAGGGGGGGGGGGGGGTGATTCTCAGAAAACTGGTTGCCATGGAAACCAAAACAAGGATTCTTGCCTGCATCACTACTCACAGCGAGCGAGCGAGCGCGCTCTCTTCCTCTCTCTCTCACTTCTCATGCAGCATCTCTTTCAGACAGACTTTGGTGCACACACACACACACACACACACACACACACACACACACACACACACACACACACACACACACACACACACACACACACACACACACACAGACGGGGGATTCCCTGACTCTGCAAATAAACCTGCAGAGAGTGTTTCCAGATCTCAGATCATTTTACTAATCGAGGGGAGAATAAATGTTTGTGTGTGTGTGTGTGTGTGTGTGTGTGTGTGTGTGTGTGTGTGTGTGTGTGTGTGTGTGTGTGTGTGTGTGTGTGTGTGTGTGTGTGTGTGTGTGTGTGTGTGTGTGTGTGTACAGAGGGTTAATCCAGTCATCCACCCTGCAGGTCCTTGATGGAGCCTAAATGCAGCAGAGCTTAACCCTGATCTCTGACCGACTGCATCATCCTCTCCACACACACACACACACACACACACACACACACAGATGTACCACTCTCATCACCTTTCAGTGATGTGTGCCTCCCTGTCGATAGCGAGGAGGAGGAGGAGGAGGAGGAGGGGAGGAGGACGGTTGTGCATCAGAAACGTCCGTCAGACGAGCGACAGAAAGACGAGAGGCAGACGGACGAGGAGACGAGGAGACGAGGAGACGAGGAGAGGACAGGAAAGGTCTGCTCTTCTCTCTCCATCTCTACACCACTCAGCTCTTCTCCTCCTCCTCCTCCTCCTCCTCTCTCCCTCCTCCCATCTAACACGGGGTTCCCCTAACTTTGAGGCTTTTCCCTCCTCCCCCTCCTCCTCCTTCTTGTTGCGCACTCTGCGTTCGCTCCGGCGCTCCGGCGCTCAGTTCTCCTCCGACTTCATGGACTGGTAGCAGGAGTCTGGAGATCCGGGACCAGCGGAGATGAGGGGGTTGGAGGAGGCGTACGCCCGTCAGCGAGGAGGAGCTTTAATGGTGTTTTCATGTCTGAGGAGAGAGAGCGAGCACAGATGGAGCGGAGGAGGAGCGCTCTGAGCGCCGCAGAGCTCCACCAGGACACCTGCTGCTGCTGAAGGACCAGGAGAGACCAGGAGAGTCTGAACCTCTGCAGACATGTGACACTTCTGTGGGTCTTCTGAAGGAGCTCCATCACTGAGGGGTCCAAGACAGTCTGGGAGAGACCCCCACCTTCTTCTTCTTCTTCTTCATGAGTGACTTTAGGATGGCTCCTCCTCTTCTTCTTCTTCTTCTTCTTCTGCTCCCAGACCTTCTCGAGGCGCAGCTGACCCCCAACTCCACGTCTGGAGTCACGGAGGAGACCAACAACAGGACCACCGAGTCTCCAACAGACACCACAGGATCCTTGGACCCGCCTGGAAGCCCCTCCAGCTCCCTCAGCCCCCCACAGATGTCCTCAGAACCCCCCACAGATCTGGAGGAGGACTGGTCTCCAGCAGAGACCTTCCTGTACACAGGAGACCTCCTCACCCTGGTCGGGGGGCGATGTTCACGGCCGTACAGCCCCCCAGGACAGACGGGGTCTCTGCCCGCCAGCTTCAGCGCCCCCCTCAGACCGGCTCTGGACGCGCTCGCCAACACGGCCAACTTCCTGAACCTGATCTTCCAGGCCAGCGACCTTCGGGAGAGCACGGTCCAGGAGGACCTGGAGTGGTACCACGCTCTGGTCCGCGCCCTCCTGGAGGCCGACCTTCTGATCCAGCGGGCCCTGCTCACCTTTGACGCCGACCCGACAGCCCCGGTTCCGCAGCTGGTCCTCCGGGCCTCCAGAGACCCTGTAGCCAAGATCCAGACCAGCATCCTCCAGGATTTATCCAAGTCCTGGGAGCTCCTGCACCCCCCTGCCCCCGCCCCCGACGACAGCTGGTTCAGGAGCTTCAAGTTCCCCGAGTCCAGACAGACACCGCCGGTTCTGTCAAAGCGGGTCCTCCTCAATGACCTCGACACCCTGGAGACCCCCAAGTGGAGGCGGGGCGACAGTTATGTGACCAACCGCAGTGGGGTCCGGTGGTCCGGCGCCCCCTTCCTGGACTGTAGGGACGGGCGCTTTGTGCCGGGATGGATGCTGACCCTGTCCACGTCCTTCTACGGCCTCAAACCGGACCTGACCCCGGAGTTCAGGTGAGAAAACCAGACCAGAACCAGACAGGTCCATGAGTCTGACAAAGAGAGTCAGAGAGTCTGGACTGAGCTGTCCTCATGAATCCTCTTAAATCAGTCGTAGTGTTTCTAACGACCTTCAGGTGACCCTCAGGTGACCCTCAGGTGACCCTCAGGTGACCCTCATGGTCTCATAGCTGCTAAAGGTCAAACCTCATTAACACTGAAGTCCTCCTCAGACCTCCTACCTGGACAGACGGGGACAGATGAACCCTGGTCCTCTAGAGGACTTCATTCTGTTTTTTTTCTAAACTGAAGCAGAAACACCTGAAATGATGCTGACTCAGCAGAATCTCAGTCTGACTGTGAGTAAATCTCCATAACCGAAACCGTCAGTGAGGTCAGTGAGGTCAGAGAGGTCAGTGAGGTCAGAGAGGTCAGAGAGGTCAGAGAGGTCAGTGAGGTCAGTGAGGTCAGAGAGGTCAGAGGTCAGAGGACAGGAGGAACGTTTGAAAACAGTCAGCAGCAGTTTTCACCTGTTTCTGTTTGAAGTGGACAGGGTTCGATCAGAGCTGACAGTGTGTGTGTGTGTGTGTGTGTGTGTGTGTGTGTGTGTGTGTGTGTGTGTGTGTTTTCCTCTGTCAGGGGTGTGATCCGTGTGGACGTCAAAATTCAGGACATCGACTTGAACCAGTGTGCCACTGGAGACGGATGGTTTGCAGACACTCACCAGTGTAACCGAACCAACATGGAGGTAAATGAGGTTTTGATGGTCCAGATGAGACCTGAGAACAGGACTCTGCTGGACCTGCGGGTCACTTCTCAGAACAGAGTCTAGAAAAATGTCAATGATGATGAAACACGACAGATTTAACCGCTTAGACGGCGACAAAAACGAGTGTACGCGCTCTGAGCACGCTCCGGTATTTGAACACCGGCGTCCGCTCTTTCTGACTGTAAACAAAGCCGTTCTCCACCTCCTCTAACCTGATTGGTTGTGAGGCAGACGCTGCTCCCCCGTGTCGTTCAGGAGCCCAAACAAAGTTAGCGTGCTACAATATCGGACAGTAGAAACCAACCAGAAAGTTCGGAAAATTGTCTGAATCCTCCTTTGGCCACGACTGCCGACACAAGCAAGAAAACACTCAAACATAAACAGTCTGCAAGAAAACAGTCAACAAGAAAACAGTCAGCAAGAAAACAGTCAACACCAAAACAGTCAACAAAAAACAGTCAACAAGAAAACAGTCAACAAAAAACAGTCAACAAGAAAACAGTCAGCAAGAAAACAGTCAGCAAGAAAACAGTCAACAAGAAAACAGTCAAACATAAACAGTCAGAAAGAAAACAGTCAACACCAAACAGGTCAACAGGTCAACAAGAAAACAGTCGACCATAATCAGTCAACAAGAAAACAGTCAACCATAAACAGTCAACACCAAAACAGTCAACAAGAAAACAGTCAACAAGAAAACAGTCAACAAGATAACAGTCAAAACCAAACCGGTCAAAAAGGAAACAGTCAACAAGAAAACAGTCAACCATAATCAGTCAACAAGAAAACAGTCAACCATAAACAGTCAACACCAAAACAGTCAACAAGAAAACAGTCAACAAGAAAACAGTCAACAAGATAACAGTCAACAAGAAAACAGTCAACAAGATAACAGTCAACAAGAAAACAGTCAACAAGAAAACAGTCAACAAGAAAACGTCAACTATAATCAGTCAACAAGAAAACAGTCAACCACAAACAGTCAACACCAAAACAGTCAACAAGAAAACAGTCAGCAAGAAAACAGTCAGCAAGAAAACAGTCAACACCAAACCGGTCAAAAAGAAAACAATCAACAAGAAAACAGTCAACCACAAACAGTCAACACCAAAACAGTCAACAAGAAAACAGTCAACCATAAACAGTCAGCAAGATAACAGTCAACAAGAAAACAGTCAGCAAGAAAACAGTCAACAAGATAACAGTCAACAAGAAAACAGTCAACAAGAAAACAGTCAGCAAGATAACAGTCAACAAGAAAACAGTCAACAAGAAAACAGTCAACAAGAAAACAGTCAACAAGATAACAGTCAACAAGATAACAGTCAACAAGAAAACAGTCAGCAAGATAACAGTCAACAAGAAAACAGTCAACAAGAAAACAGTCAACAAGAAAACAGTCAACAAGATAACAGTCAACAAGAAAACGTCAACTATAATCAGTCAACAAGAAAACAGTCAACAAGATAACAGTCAAAACCAAACCGGTCAAAAAGGAAACAGTCAACAAGAAAACAGTCAACCATAATCAGTCAACAAGAAAACAGTCAACCATAAACAGTCAACACCAAAACAGTCAACAAGAAAACAGTCAACAAGAAAACAGTCAACAAGAAAACAGTCAACAAGATAACAGTCAACAAGAAAACAGTCAACAAGAAAACAGTCAACAAGATAACAGTCAACAAGAAAACGTCAACTATAATCAGTCAACAAGAAAACAGTCAACCACAAACAGTCAACACCAAAACAGTCAACAAGAAAACAGTCAGCAAGAAAACAGTCAGCAAGAAAACAGTCAACACCAAACCGGTCAAAAAGAAAACAATCAACAAGAAAACAGTCAACCACAAACAGTCAACACCAAAACAGTCAACAAGAAAACAGTCAACCATAAACAGTCAGCAAGATAACAGTCAACAAGAAAACAGTCAGCAAGAAAACAGTCAACAAGATAACAGTCAACAAGAAAACAGTCAACAAGAAAACAGTCAGCAAGATAACAGTCAACAAGAAAACAGTCAACAAGAAAACAGTCAACAAGAAAACAGTCAACAAGATAACAGTCAACAAGAAAACAGTCAACAAGAAAACAGTCAGCAAGATAACAGTCAACAAGAAAACAGTCAACAAGAAAACAGTCAGCAAGAAAACAGTCAGCAAGAAAACAGTCAACACCAAACCGGTCAAAAAGAAAACAATCAACAAGATAACAGTCAACAAGAAAACAGTCAACACCAAACCGGTCAAAAAGAAAACAATCAACAAGAAAACAGTCAACCATAAACAGTCAACACCAAAACAGTCAACAAGAAAACAGTCAACAAGATAACAGTCAACAAGAAAACAGTCAACAAGAAAACAGTCAGCAAGAAAACAGTCAACAAGAAAACAGTCAACCATAAACAGTCAACACCAAAACAGTCAACAAGAAACAGTCAGCAAGAAAACAGTCAGCAAGAAAACAGTCCACACCAAAACAGGCAACAAGAAAACAGTCAACAAGAAAACGCTGCTCCCCCGTGTCGTTCAGGAGCCCAAACAAAGTTAGCGTGCTACAATATCGGAAAGTAGAAACCAACCAGAAAGTTCGGAAAATTGTCTGAATCCTCCTTTGGCCACGACTGCCGACACAAGCAAGAAAACAAAGTAAATACCGGAGACCTTGGAGGAATAACGGGCGCTTAAAACGGAGGTAGACCGGACAAGAGCTAAAAAGCCGGGTCAACATAAACCATGGGGGACGCTTGGGGATCTTGGTGACCCTGTAACCTTTCTGCTGGACAGGTAAACCGCTTTAACAAAGTAAGACAAGTGTCTGTAACAGAAGTGTTTCTTGTCAAACGGACCTGCTGTAGCGTGTTGTAGCGCCATCGCTAAACTGTCCTCCCTCGGGTCCTGGACTATGTCACTTTATCCTGCAAACATCAAGCAGGAAGTTAAACGGCATGGATGCGTTAAAAGCTGGATAGTAAACAAAACCTCGTCAAACCACGAAAGGACGTGAAAAGGCGAAACTTTCCAATCATACAAACAAACAATTTCACCGAACTCCAAAGATGTCGACCAGGAGGTGATCGCCACGATTCGAGCTAAAGGGGGCGTGTCTCCAGCTGCTGTGGTCTGAAGCTCGTTAAATAATTAACCAGACTGCAGCATCAGCAGGTTGAGCTTTCACTCTGTCATTGTTTCGACTCTGACCCAGTTCAAGGACAGAATCCAGTTCGACCAGCTCCAGAACCAGTCAGCTGGACTCTTTAACGTGAGGAGGATTCAGGTTTGACTGAAACCACGAGTTTCATTTATTTTGAAAAACTATGACATATACTGTAACTCGCCAGAAGGGGGAGCTCTAAACGTTTTGGCTTCACTTTTGGGAAACTGCTTTTAAAGGGAAATCTTCTCAAACTTCTCCTCTTTACTGACACTGACTGTAAATAAACAGGAAGTAAACGCGGCGCTCACCAGCTCCTTCAAAATAAAAGCAGCAGTTCAGTTTTTTTCTCGAACATGTCAGCTGACTTCTCCGTGAGTTTAGATGTGAGGAGAGTTAAGTGGTGGCTCTGTGTAATCCATATCACACTAATGTTCAGCCTGTGTGTGTGTGTGTGTGTGTGTGTGTGTGTGTGTGTCTTTGCAGCAGGATAATAATGTCCTCGTCGAGGCATTATGTGTCCATTTAGCTTTTAACTTAGATTAACACACAGACCGACAAAGTGTTTGTGTGTGTGTGTGTGTGTTTGTGTATGTGTGTGTTTGTGTGTGTGAGTGTGTGTGAGTGTGTGTGATGGGCTGAACTGAAGCTCGTATCAGAGACAGAGGTTAATATTTGAACCTCATCCTGTAAAAAAAACCTTTGCACACATCACTCCTGGAGGCCCCGCCCACCATCTCTCTGTCACTTTGTAGTTTGTGAACGTTTTAAACTGAGGGGCGGGGCTACAGACACTAACTGTGTCAGATAGTGTGATATGAACTCCTCTGTGTGCTCGACCACAAGAGTCCAGATGACTGAGAAACCGTCTGCAGACCCAGAATTCAGCACTTTAACATTTGTGAGAAACCTGGATGAAGAAGCTGCAGATGTTCTGACGGCGCTGAAGTCCAAAACCAGAAGAGCGTCAGTGTTGACAGTGAAATGTGAGCAGAGCCTCTCAGACTAATGCTGCTCTTTAAACCATCTGTCCTCCAGCTCTAATCCTCCGTCTCTGTCCACCATCACTTTCATTTATCGACTTTTTTATTCCTCTTTTATTTCCTGATGAGCCGTCATCTTCAGACTCTGCTTTAGCGCTTTAACTCGGGTCATTTTGGACTCTTCCTGGGTTCTTTCTCCTCCTCTGCTGTAGAATAAGGTCTGTTTGTACAGTTTGGTCCGACTCTGTCAGGTTTAGTGAAATCTACTCATGAAATGATCTAGAAGACTTGTTTTCTCTGTGTTTCAGTGTGTACCGATTCCAGGCCGAGGTTTCCGTCTGGGTCAGTACTGCTGCAGATGTAGAGAGGGTTACTACAACCCTGAGACCCTCATCCAAGACCTGGGTAAGTCTGTTTTCAACCTCGAACGGGCAAAACCCACAGGATCCAGAACGGCTCCGCTCCGGCACGGCCGGCGTCCGGCTCCACTGCGGATCTGCTCCGGTGGTCGGATCAGAAACACAAGGCTTCTATTTTTGCTGGACGCCGCAGCACGGCGCATCGATTCAGTGCAGCGCAGCAGAGGAAGTTTTATGCAGTTACAAAGTAAAACATCTGATAAATTTTCAAAATAAAACAAAGTCAACACGTTGAACTGCTCTTGACTTGATAACAGGAGAGGTCAGGGTTGTGGGATGTGGGTGTTTATTTACGCCGATTGGCGGATCTCATTCTATGACTCCCGGGGAAACACGTGAGATCTCGTGAGATCTCGTCTAGTCTCACGAGAAATATCGGTAATCTTGGGAGCGCTTCTCCTTCAATGGCGGCGGATTGGATCCGGTGGAGCTCTGTATGCTTGCAGATCTGATCCGCCTGCCGGTCTGGAGCGGAGCCGTTCTGGATCCTGTGGGTTTAGCCAGTGAGGTCTAATTTGTAATGAGGGGTCTGAAGTCTGTTTCAGTCACGAGGTGGTCTTCTTTAACTCTTTTTTAACTCTTCTTTAACTCTTACTGAACTCTTCTTTAACTCTTCTTTAACTCTTACTGAACTCTTCTTTAACTCTTCTTTAACTCTTACTGAACTCTTCTTTAACTCTTACTGAACTCTTCTTTAACTCTTCTTTAACTCTTACTGAACTCTTCTTTAACTCTTCTTTAACTCTTCTTTAACTCTTACTGAACTCTTCTTTAACTCTTCTTTCACTCTTCTGTAGCAATCAAGACAACCCTGGATGTGAAACCCACACATTCCTTACAGGAAAGTTTCCTTATCTGGTCCCAGGAAACAGGATATAAATCTTTCCAGACGTGTTTGCACTTTCAGGTTAAATAAGTGACCCAACCGGAGGTTGACTAAACCTCTGACTCTTCAGGATTGGTCAGTTCGGCGAACAGAGACAGAGTTTTTATTACCTTTCAAACTGACTCCATTACTGACCATCTAAATAAACATTAACGTCTCAACCCAGATCTCCCATTTGAGATTTAGCGTCTTAAAGTGTGTGAACATACGGACTCCAGGATAAGGGGGGACACTGACCTCCAGACCTCGGTCGTAAAACCCTGCTCGACCATACACTGATAAAGACTGCATTCCTTTGGTGAAAGAATACAAATGACTGATCATGACATCTTACGCATTCAGCAATGTACTAATCTGTCTAATCATGAAATTTGTGTTAAAATGAGATGTTTCCCGTTTTTCTATGTGCTTCAGAAGCCAAGTTATCTTATCTGACAGAATAAATCCTTATTCTTTAGTTCTTTAGACCAACAGCTTTTCAGACTGTTTCATGAACTTTTAAGAGTTAAATTTATTGACTATGAATCCTAAGTTTACTCTAAGTAACAGAAATAGTTTAGAAATGTTTGGTTTATATTTTAGTTATTTATTTAGTATCTTAACCATTAGGTGGTTATAATGTCACTGAATAATCTGAATGTGAGTATTTAGAATCCATTATTAATCATGATGACGTTCATTCACATGTGTTTACTCTTTTGTTGTTCACAGTTTCCATGTGTTACTATCTGTTTCATTTCAGAGTAATTTAGCATGTTCAATGTGATACTTAAAACATAATGAGAATGTTTGATGTGATCCTACACTTCATTCATATGTGTTTAGTATCAAATTATTTATCATGAAACCAAGCATTCAATGATATTAATCATAGTGAGTGAGTATCAGATCTGACTCTTTTACCAGCCAAAAGAATAAGTTAGATCAAATAATCAGAGACCCGATGACCCCTCCTCTTTCTCCTCAGACACTCCCAGTGTGAGAAGATAAAACCAGTGGAGTGGGGTTGCTCGCTCTCTTATCTCTCTTATGCTTCTGCTCTTCTGCTGACTCTCTTGTCCCCGGCTCTTATGCCCCTTCTCTTCTGTCCACACCCTTCTGTGGTGCGTTTCTTTGTTTTCTCTTAGAACTTTTTCTTAGTCTTCTAAGTTTTACGCCACGTGTTGATTCACGTTGATTTTTCTTTAACATCGTCTTAGTTCAAGTTTTGAAACTTCAACTTTTTGTGCACATAGCAATTCAAGATTAAGCCTTTGATTGATTTTCTTTAATTTCGCGAAGCCATTTTTGAAAGTTTTCTCTGCTCTTCGAGCCTCGTCTTTCTGAGTTTTCTGCGTGATTTCAAAGTCACCTCCGAACGCAATCCAACAGGCCCAGGTCATCCTCTGTGCCAGAGTTTTTGAGTGAGACTAAAGAAGTACCCAAACGAGCATCCACAGGATCCACAGGCGCTGGTTTTTGCTTCGGGCCTGAGTGCTGCAACTCCTGGCTCATCCTTCGGCTGACTTCAGTCGTCTTCTGAGCTGAACCGCTCGAACCGCCAGTAGCCCCGGACCTTCGGAACCTGCTCCATCTTCTCCAAGGACCAGTCTCACTTAAGTATGCAAACCTCCAGAGCTCTAAAGAGGGCTGGTGCTGTTTCCTGCGTTCATAGCTCAGATATCCTCTTATTCTGGCAATCTTAGATTCCTCCAAATCCACATCCGAGTTTATCTCGACACTAAAGTTAGTGTAGGTTAATATGTTAGCGCATATTCACTCACTATCATTAACTTTAGTGCTCCTAGCCTGACTCAGAATCTTTATTTATTCACTTATTATTATTTTATCCTCATTATCTTATCATCATTTATTGCATGTGTGTTGTACCATCATTTATCCTGTAATAAACAGATCATTATTTTTCTAAGTTCTTGACTGTTAGTGTTCTTCCAGAAGTGGAGTCCCTGAAATTAGAATTTCGACTTAAGATATGAGACTGATTAATTAAGACTGATTAATTAAGACTGATTAATTAAAACTGACTTGATGTTTGATTTCTGAATTAAACTTTTGTTTTCTTTATTTTCCCACCATTAAGGGTGGGTGGTGCCCCTTTCAACGAGTGCATAAATGTCATAATTTGAGATTATTAATCTTCAGACATTTATTATAAATTCCAATCGCTGCAGTATTATTTTGGTGCGGCCTTGTGAGGCTCATTTCAAATCGCTACATATATTTTGGTGCCCCGTGTGAGGCGTTTCAAACAAAACTTCTGGATACTAACAGACAACCTAAAACTTAGCCTTCCAAATTGATGAGAGAAACTTATTTCCAGGCTATCCTAGACTTAATCACAATAAATGCTATGCTTGCTGAAGTTGCTTGACTAAGTTCTGATGTTTTCCTGATCTATGCATAAAACCTTTATGCTCTGTGTTTCACACACTTTTGTACTACATGCCTGTAGTCTGTGTTTGAGCTGGACAGCGTGAAATGTTTTTCTGAGTAGCAGTGAGACTGCCTCTTCCGCTCTGTCTAGACTGTCCAATATTTAAGTGCACGATTGTTGCGTCGCCGTACGCTTGTATTTAAGGCCTTTGGCTGAACCCAGTGTTCGCGATGCTCCGAGCTGTGGTTTCAAGCCCCTGAAGTCTCTGTAGTCTGCTACGAGGTTCTAGTAACTATATGGGATTCAGATTTCCTCCTTTCCCCTGACAGATTAGCTACCTGTCACAGGAAACCACTGTAACAGTGGGAGGTTGTTGTTTGATTGAATTCAGACAAAATTTGTGTTCACAAATCGCCGCATTTGTGATTTTTAAGTTTGCAGTTGAATCTGCTGTTGAGGGATTTGTTACTTTGATTCTTGTCTCTATAGTCTGCTATGAAGTTCTAGTAACTATATGGGATTTAGATTTCCTCCTTTCCCCTGACAGATAAGCTACCTGTCACAGGAAACCACTGTAACAGTGGGAGGTTGTTGTTTGAATGAATTCAGATAAAATCCGTGATCACGAATCGCCGCATTTGTGATTTTAAAGTCTGCAGTTGAATCTGCTGTTTAAGGATTTGTCACTTCGATTCTTGTTCCTGTAAATGATTCTATTGAACCAATCTGCCTGAGCAGATGGTGTAAAGTTCTATGTTTGAGGGTGCAGACGCAGCCTGCTGTGAAAGGTTAACCCTTTGTTGTCAGTGGAGAGACTGACCATGTGGCCTTAAGCAGATAAGGCCCTTCAAGGAGGCAGAGCCTAAAGGCCCCTTCCTGCACACTTCCCAACTCCTCACAGCCACAAGAGGCTAGTTGGATGACTGTTTCCTCTTTTCTTCTTCTTTTCCACTAGTGTTGAGCTTGTGCAGTTCTCCCAACTCCATACTGCCCCACATGGTTGCTTTTGGTATTGAGCTAACACTGCTATTATCTGCCTGCAGTATCAGCCAGCTGTACTGCCTCTCTGTAGTCAGTGCGTAACACTCTACAGACATAATTCAAGTGATTGACTTGGTTGATGAAGTTTGATGTGCTTATTCTAAATCATTGATCATTGATTTTTGATTTTTATCTTTGTTATAAGAGCCTCCATAATGTATTGATAAAGTAACTCCTTGAATCAATCACCTGATCTTGTTGTTACTTATCACACCATTGAGCAGTTTTACTGTTCCCTATAATACATGAATGTATTAACCCTCCTCATAAGATTGATTAATTAATTAATGAACAAATAAATTAATATTTGAAATTTCTTTTAACACTCCAGATGGATTTGGTAGTTGAATCTTTGGATTTATTGCAATTTGTGAATTAACTTTAGAGTTAATTCCTTAAATTGACAATTTCATTGATTTTTCAAATTCATCCAACTGCATCAGGCAGTTTATTTAAGCTTTGCTGATCTCTGCAACACGGAGACAAATTGAACCCTTTATTCAATGGTTCTGTATCTGATGTTAAATTTAATTTAACATTATTTCACCTTTTGTTTTCAATTTTCATTGAAATGAATTTAACTTTATGTTATTTTTCTCTCCATTAGAGATCTACTCAGATAGGCTCTTCCTCTTTATCAAGCACAGATAAATTAAGTCGATTAACCCACTTAATTTGATATTTTGCTTCTTCCTTTCATTTTAAGCCAACTCAAACTCATCAACCAACCACCTGCACCTCTTTACCAAAACCAAACATGCCTAACACAAAAGAGTCCAGCCAGGGAGACCCCCTGAGGGACATACACACAGTGTTGGCAAACTTGACTAGTCAGCTGATACTTCAGTACATGACTAAGATTCAAAAGGCCAAACCCTCCAATCCGGAGGATGCAATGGCTGACTTACTGGAAACAGCTTTAACCACGACACTTCGTGACAAAGAGCTCACTAGATGCATGTCTGTCGTGATGTCTTCTCAGCTTGAGTATAAAGACTACTTGCTGGAATGCGCTTTAGCAAAGATAAAGGCGCAAAAAGACGAAAACAGCGCTCTGAAAAAGACGCTAGAGGAGACTAAGAAGTCTCTAAGTGTTTTAGGAAAAACATAGTGCCAGATGTGAAGCGTCAAAGCTTCCCTCACTGATAAGTCATGAAGAAAATCTTGATCTTAAAGACAAGATTGAAAGACTTAATGAAACCCTTTACAAAAAGGAGAAAGAACTTGATGACACGAATAAGCAGCTTGCTAAGACCACAGAGGATCTGATACAGTCAGAATCCCTACTAGAGCAAGCAACAGAAGATGTAAAAACTTTGAAAGCACTGGTCAAAGTGCGTGCTGAAGCTCTTGAAGCTAAGGAGAAGCAAACTTCTACCTTACAGCACCAGCTCCAGATAGCTCAAAGACAGTTAATTCTTTGTCAAGAACGGCAAGAAAAGACAGACAAAGAACTTGAAGATGCCCAAAGAGAGTTACAATGCTCCCTCCAGTCAGGTCGAGCCCAAAGAGAACGCATGGAGCAAACGTTTCTTGAAGAAATGATAGGTGATCAGCCTCCTGAGAGAGCGCCATCACTTCCTTCCAAACCAACTCTTAAGTATCTCTCTCAGCATCATGACAGGACCCTGCTTGACCCTGAGAGGTCATCCTTAAACCAAGAGTCCTACTCTCCTCCTCATGATGGTTTTTTACCATTTCCCTCAGACAGGGATCTTGACAAAATTGCTCGCATCATAGCACGCTTTGAACCTGAGCACCAAGGTGCTACTGACACCTGCACCTACTTGAAAGACATTGACTTTTACCTGCGGAAATTTCCAGGTGCAACCGTTGATGACAAAATCTACCTTATTAAGGCGACGTCAAGTCGAGAGGTTAGCAGTTTCCTAGAACGACAGCCTTATCATGTCAGAAATAATTATGACTTGCTCTGCCAAGCATTAATTGAAGAGTTTTCTGACTATTTGACCCAGACAGGCCTCTCTGCTGCTCTGTCTATTAAACAAGGGAGATCAGAACCTCCCCAACATTATTACAACCGCTTACGCGAAGCTTACTTTGGTTTCCGAAATGAACCAGAAATGGAGGAGGACTTGAACTTCAAAACGCTGTTCGTCCAGAACCTCCACCCTACCACCAGTCATCACCTTGGCGTCTTAGCTTGTCCAAACACTTCGACTAGCCGACAGCTTCGTGAACTTGCTGTAAAAGGTTTTGCCAAACAACGACAAACTTTGGCTAAGAAAGCAGAGCCCGTTACTCTCTTGGCTATGGAGACAAAATCACTGCCCATGGAGCTGAACGAAGCTTCAGACTGTGTATTTTCAGGCTCCGATAAGCCTCCAAATGAGTGGTTAACCAGGCCTCCAAAACCTTTTCGACCTCAACAAACTCACAAAGGTCAAAGTTACACACCAAGGCCCAGGTCTGACTCAGACCAATGCCGGGTAAACTTTGAGACCAACTGTTGTTATTCAGACTCCCGTCACGGTGGGTTTTATCCCAGACAAAGGAAAAACCATCGACACCGCCAAAGGGGGGTGAATGACTGGCAGAATCAGAGTAAATCACACTCTCAGAAACGACGATCTTATTATCCACCTCAATCGGTTTCATCCACTTTGAAGGTGAATAAACATGACTACTCAGCTAACCACTGAGATTAACACTGTGGAGTCATGAAGGTGTGAGTCCTGCGAAAGCAGAAGTCACCTAGCCAAAGCTAAATGACTCCAATAAGATATCCAAATGCTGTGGTGATACATTGATGACTGCAATACCAGTTGCTGCTTTCTTTGTTAGCATTCGTCTCTCCTCTGTCAATATGGTCAGCTTGTCAGCTGTCAAATATCCCATGAACAGATTAAAAGCTGAAATTTCTGTCATTAAGACTCAGATTGACAAATTTCAGACTCAACAGCAGATAATTAGTCAAACCAATAAGAGCATCCTCCCCAAGTTTAACAGACAAAGTTTAAGAGAAACTCTGTGCAGTAAACTTTTGATGTTTGTGATTCAGGTTGACTATGCTCATACACAGATGGTTAATATGTCTATAGCAGACATTTCTTTTCCACCTAAGTCTTAACCATTTTTGAAACTGAAATGGAACTTTCAGACTTCTCCAGCAAGCATGAAAAACAGCTATAGCTTTAGATCCAGTTAGCATTCACGCTAAATCGTGTTTTTCTAAATCTCATTAATATTGAAAATTAGGAGATTTTCTTTCACATTAGTCTACCAATAGTTTACTGAGAAAACTCTAACAACTAGACGATTTTATTTGATAGCTTAATGCATGCTTAATTTTATCTCAAAGCAGTACTAGTGATTCACATACTGATGATGAGACGCATCAGTCCTATTTGCATACACCTGCTGCTGCTTCATGGTTGTCTACTCGTCGTCCCGATGCTCCATGGACAGGACCACCGTGACGAAGGGGGGACTGTAGCAATCAAGACAACCCTGGATGTGAAACCCACACATTCCTTACAGGAAAGTTTCCTTATCTGGTCCCAGGAAACAGGATATAAATCTTTCCAGACGTGTTTGCACTTTCAGGTTAAATAAGTGACCCAACCGGAGGTTGACTAAACCTCTGACTCTTCAGGATTGGTCAGTTCGGCGAACAGAGACAGAGTTTTTATTACCTTTCAAACTGACTCCATTACTGACCATCTAAATAAACATTAACGTCTCAACCCAGATCTCCCATTTGAGATTTAGCGTCTTAAAGTGTGTGAACATACGGACTCCAGGATAAGGGGGACACTGACCTCCAGACCTCGGTCGTAAAACCCTGCTCGACCATACACTGATAAAGACTGCATTCCTTTGGTGAAAGAATACAAATGACTGATCATGACATCTTACGCATTCAGCAATGTACTAATCTGTCTAATCATGAAATTTGTGTTAAAATGAGATGTTTCCCGTTTTTCTGTGCTTCAGAAGCCAAGTTATCTTATCTGACAGAATAAATCCTTATTCTTTAGTTCTTTAGACCAACAGCTTTTCAGACTGTTTCATGAACTTTTAAGAGTTAAATTTATTGACTATGAATCCTAAGTTTACTCTAAGTAACAGAAATAGTTTAGAAATGTTTGGTTTATATTTTAGTTATTTATTTAGTATCTTAACCATTAGGTGGTTATAATGTCACTGAATAATCTGAATGTGAGTATTTAGAATCCATTATTAATCATGATGACGTTCATTCACATGTGTTTACTCTTTTGTTGTTCACAGTTTCCATGTGTTACTATCTGTTTCATTTCAGAGTAATTTAGCATGTTCAATGTGATACTTAAAACATAATGAGAATGTTTGATGTGATCCTACACTTCATTCATATGTGTTTAGTATCAAATTATTTATCATGAAACCAAGCATTCAATGATATTAATCATAGTGAGTGAGTATCAGATCTGACTCTTTTACCAGCCAAAAGAATAAGTTAGATCAAATAATCAGAGACCCGATGACCCCTCCTCTTTCTCCTCAGACACTCCCAGTGTGAGAAGATAAAACCAGTGGAGTGGGGTTGCTCGCTCTCTTATCTCTCTTATGCTTCTGCTCTTCTGCTGACTCTCTTGTCCCCGGCTCTTATGCCCCTTCTCTTCTGTCCACACCCTTCTGTGGTGCGTTTCTTTGTTTTCTCTTAGAACTTTTTCTTAGTCTTCTAAGTTTTACGCCACGTGTTGATTCACGTTGATTTTTCTTTAACATCGTCTTAGTTCAAGTTTTGAAACTTCAACTTTTTGTGCACATAGCAATTCAAGATTAAGCCTTTGATTGATTTTCTTTAATTTCGCGAAGCCATTTTTGAAAGTTTTCTCTGCTCTTCGAGCCTCGTCTTTCTGAGTTTTCTGCGTGATTTCAAAGTCACCTCCGAACGCAATCCAACAGGCCCAGGTCATCCTCTGTGCCAGAGTTTTTGAGTGAGACTAAAGAAGTACCCAAACGAGCATCCACAGGATCCACAGGCGCTGGTTTTTGCTTCGGGCCTGAGTGCTGCAACTCCTGGCTCATCCTTCGGCTGACTTCAGTCGTCTTCTGAGCTGAACCGCTCGAACCGCCAGTAGCCCCGGACCTTCGGAACCTGCTCCATCTTCTCCAAGGACCAGTCTCACTTAAGTATGCAAACCTCCAGAGCTCTAAAGAGGGCTGGTGCTGTTTCCTGCGTTCATAGCTCAGATATCCTCTTATTCTGGCAATCTTAGATTCCTCCAAATCCACATCCGAGTTTATCTCGACACTAAAGTTAGTGTAGGTTAATATGTTAGCGCATATTCACTCACTATCATTAACTTTAGTGCTCCTAGCCTGACTCAGAATCTTTATTTATTCACTTATTATTATTTTATCCTCATTATCTTATCATCATTTATTGCATGTGTGTTGTACCATCATTTATCCTGTAATAAACAGATCATTATTTTTCTAAGTTCTTGACTGTTAGTGTTCTTCCAGAAGTGGAGTCCCTGAAATTAGAATTTCGACTTAAGATATGAGACTGATTAATTAAGACTGATTAATTAAGACTGATTAATTAAAACTGACTTGATGTTTGATTTCTGAATTAAACTTTTGTTTTCTTTATTTTCCCACCATTAAGGGTGGGTGGTGCCCCTTTCAACGAGTGCATAAATGTCATAATTTGAGATTATTAATCTTCAGACATTTATTATAAATTCCAATCGCTGCAGTATTATTTTGGTGCGGCCTTGTGAGGCTCATTTCAAATCGCTACACTTCTTTAACTCTTCTTTAACTCTTACTGAACTCTGACCTCCTTCTGTTTCCTCCGTTGACCAGTCGGCTCCAGTTTCACTCAGTCAGAGCGAACGTTTAAAGCTCCGTTCGGCCTGCTGATTGGTTGAAATTACTTGGACCATAAACGAGCTGGGGGTGTCTGCAGAGACAGAGACAGACTCCGGAGCTCTGAGCTGAACTAAAGTCCAGGAGAAGGTTTCAGGAGCTCTTGGTGTGAAACTTACAGACAGTTGTGTAAAGAAACATCTGGAGTTCACTGCTGTTGTATTTTCACATGTTCACACTTCCTCACGTTGTTTTGTGTGGGTGTCCCTGCAGATGGCGGCCCCGTGAACAGGAGCGAGGACGGCCGTGCGTGTTACCCCAACCTGCCTGTCTGCCTGCCGTGCTGGCCGGGCTGCAGGAGCTGTCAGGACGGCTCCCCCTGCTGGGTTCAGGAGGCCTGGCTCCTCAGGGCCGCCGTGCTGGCCGTCCAGGGGGTCTTCATGCTCCTCATCTTTGTCAGCATGCTGGTGGCCTACAGACATCGGAGGAACAGGGTGAGTCAGGCTCTTCTGGCTTATCGGGGCTTCTGTACAGATGGGCTGTGATGGAGCGATGATGATTATGAGAGCTGTTCCAGGCAGTGAGCCATGGCACTCTGCTAAATTATATTAATCACAGATTTCAGCAGGTGGAGCGGGATTTTAGATTCATGCCACAAAAACCTCAAACTGAAGGTGAATTTTTCCACAAACGGCTCAAGTCTGGAGAAGTCAGCGTTCATCGTCAGGACGTCTTCACCTGGTTTACTGGATACAGTGATGAACTGGGATCACAGTCACAGGAACTTTGTTCATGAGGAGCACAAAGAACTTTAGGGGATCAATGAAAACTGATCAATAATGTTTGTCTTATTGATCAACCTTAGTACTATTATTTGAAATCAATTTTAGGTCTTTTGGTCACATGACAGTGAAGCTATTGAAGGAAAACAGCCTTTTCTGAGAACATCAACCGGTAATTTATTGACGGTCCCTTATTCAACACCGACGTTGACAGTGAGGGTGTCGAGTAGATTTAACCGCGCTGCTGTTGTTATTCCCGGTTATGGAGAGTGAGAAGACACCGGTAGATCCTCAGAGAATGTCCGTCAGATATCCAACCTGAAACTAACTTCACCGCCGTATTTACAGGAAAATATATCCAACCTGAAACTAACTTCACCGCAGTATTTACAGGAAAATATATCCAACCTGAAACTAACTTCACCGCTGTATTTACAGGAAAATATATCCAACCTAAAACTAACTTCACCGCCGTATTTACAGGAAAATATATCCAACCTGAAACTAACTTCACCGCCGTATTTACAGGAAAATATATCCAACCTAAAACTAACTTCACCGCAGTATTTACAGGAAAATATATCCAACCTAAAACTAACTTCACCGCCGTATTTACAGGAAAATATATCCAACCTGAAACTAACTTCACCGCAGTATTTACAGGAAAATATATCCAACCTGAAACTAACTTCACCGCTGTATTTACAGGAAAATATATCCAACCTAAAACTAACTTCACCGCCGTATTTACAGGAAAATATATCCAACCTGAAACTAACTTCACCGCTGTATTTACAGGGAAAAAAAACATTTGTTGTTTTTTTTATTCGCACGTGACCCTAAATAACTATTTTTAGTCGCAGATGTGAGTGAGACTGTCTCACTGTGGAGTCCTGTGAAGTGATGCAGCATCTATGATTTCTAGTTCTTCGTTGAAAGGAGACGTTTCTCCTTAGGTAAACCATCTCTAGTAGGTCCAGTTGTCCTTCCATGCGGTGATTCCCACTCCAGAGTCCTGTCTGTTTTTAAAGCCCTGAAGATCAGGACCATCCAGTCCTGGTTTTGGTCCTGGTCCCCCTTTAGTACAGAGATTTCTCCAGATCCTCTCTGAATGATCTGATCTTCTGTAGACGATGAAATCAGGAACTTTATTCTGAAGCTCTTGAACTGTTCGCTCTCGCGGTCTCTCACAGAGTCCTGAACCTCTGAGAGACTCCGCCTCTCTGAATGTTGGTCTTAGACCCGGTCTGGTGGACCTCTTTGGGTTCATGTTCTTCAGAGTTTAGTCGTTCCTGTCTCTTTAAAACCGTCTTTGTCGTCACAGTTTTCATTTAAAGGGCCACAGTCTGTTTTTATCAACACGTCACCAAAGGGATGTTTCTCAACGCTCATGTGGGGAACTGTTGGTTTTTGTCAGTTTTGGCGCCCCCTGTGGACAAACAGTACCCCTATCTTTCTTTCGTCCTTTTGTCTTTTCTGACCAAAACCTCATCCTGCTGGTTCCATTAGAAAAACGACTAAAACCGTTTCAGCCTGATGGTTGTATTTGCTCTGAAGGTCCTAAACAGGCAGCAGGATCAGCCTGTTTCTACACTGGCTGAAAACTCCTTACTGAACCTTTAAGCATCTCAGAACCTTAGCATGTCGCTGTGTCACTTTGAGGTCTGGTACCAAACTAGGAGAAGTCACAGAGGAGGTTTATTTTCTGACATATCCTCCTCCTCCTCCTCCTCCTCCTCATGGTGTCCCTCTCTGCCTCCTCAGAGGATCCGAGCGTCCGGCCTCCTGCTGCTGGAGACCATCCTGTTCGGCTCTCTGCTCCTCTACTTCCCGGTGAGTCCCTCAGATTAAACCCTTTACAGATCACTGCGCAGCACAGCGTCCCGGATTAGACCATCATCGACCATTTGTGGGAGGGTGAACGGGTTTAGTGTGTGTGTAAGTGAACACAGGGTGGGGGCGGGGTCAGCAGTTTTCATAACGATTATTGATCGATCTCTAGATTCATTTTCTCCATTAAAGAGCTGTTAATGTAAGTGAGCCGTGACTTTTGATCCATCGGTGAGAGAACGCCGCTCTAAGCCCGCCCCTCTGCTGTTACCCAGAGGATCCTGGACTGCAGGTCGCTCCTTATTGATTGAGCTTAAATCTGATGTGTCAACATGTTCATGGGCTGTTGCCTTGGCAACTTAGAGGAAATACACTGTATGGAGGATAATAAACGTTACACTAAATTTAAATTGTACAGCTATTTTTAAGCAACATATAACAATAATATTAATAATAATAATAATAAAAGTAATAATAATAATAATAATAATAAAAGTAATAATAATAATAATAATAATAATAATAATAATAATAATAATAATAATAATAATAATAATAATAATAATAATAATAATAATAAAAGTAATAATAATAATAATAAAAATAATAATAATAATAATAATAATAATAATAATAATAATAATAATAAAAGTAATAATAATAATAATAATAATAATAATAATAATAATAATAATAATAGTAATAATAATAATAATAATAATAAAAGTAATAATAATGGTAATAATAATAATAATAATAATAATAATAATAATAATAATAATAAAAAAGTAATAATAATAATAATCATAATCATAATAATTTTCCTGTTCAGTTCGACAATTTTAAAGGAAAGTTAATTGGTCATTAGTGAGTCTACATCAGTGAGCTATGAAGCGTTTACTGGACCGGGGTTTGAGTCAGGACAGTCCTGGAGACCGATCCTGCTGTTTGAGGTTTTCTTTTTGGTCGATGTTCAAAGGTAAACGGCGGCCCACTTACCTGACTGTGGTTTTAAAGGTCCTTGTTGAAAGGTCAGAGGTCACTCTCTCATCTCAGTGTGTTGGAGTGTTTGTTTAATCTACAAACAGAGCACATGATGGAGGTGGATTCAGTGTGACCACTGTGGTACGGTCACAAAATCATGAGGAAGAACAAAAGTCAAAACAAACACTTTAAAGACAGCGGTGCATCTAAACCCATAGACTGTGTATATGATGGACTACGTGGCTCCGCCCCCGTTATTGCGTTGAAGATAAATTGCTCTCTGTATTCGAACCTTTCCACTGATGCTGCTTTTACTCGCCCTCTGACTCTGAACGCTACATTTAATAACATATCCCATCAGCATTAATAGACATGAGTTCCTGTTTCTACAGCATGACCTTTGACCTAGATGATACTGTACATCCTCACAGTCTGTTACGGCGAACAACAGGTTGTGTTTTAGTGTCTGCTCGGTGTGTTACAGCAGAGCGGATGAATGTAATCCAGGAATTAAAGCTCGTCCCGCAGTGACAGTCGCTCTCCGTCACTCTGGATAAGAGCATCAGCTAAAGCCTAAAATGTGAATGTAAATTTACGCCGTTGTGTTGAAACCACTCATGGAGGATAAAGACCGAGCGAGAGCGTAAAGAACCAGAGAGCAGGTGCTGCAGACGTTCAGAGGAGGCAGAGATGATCTGCAGCACAAACATAATCACAGATAAAACTAACGAGGCGTACCTGTATTTACTCACCTGTTCCTCACTGACTGTCCTGCACTTTATTTACCTGAAACACACAAAACAAGACGAACAACTTTCAGTTCTACTTTGGATTTATTCTTTTTCAAATATCAACGTTCAGTTCTGTGTCTGCTGTCTGTTAATGACACTGAAAACACCCTCAAACAGACGTATTGATCAGCTGTTATTGTACAAACATCATCATCAAAATGATAATCAATATCAGGCTCCACCCCCCCAAACTCTCTCCAACTCCGTTAAATAAAGAAGAAAAATGAAAAGCGTTCGACTCACAGGTGACGTCCCTCTGCCTCTGCAGGTGTTCATCATGTACTTCAAGCCGAGTACCTTCAGGTGTATTCTGCTCCGGTGGGTCCGGATGCTCGGCTTCTCCATCGTCTACGGCACAGTCACCCTGAAAATGTACAGGTGGGTGTTGCTTTAGTTGCCTCCTAACGTTTGCTCTCTCACCTCGACACAAACGTGTGTGTGTCTTAAACTGACAGGACCTGAGGGCAGAAGCTGGGCCTCTGTTTTAGAGATCTCCACATGAACCAAAGTCTGAAGATGAGGAGTACGTTGAAGATGATTTCAGGGTTGTCTAAGCTCAGTCTTTCTCTCATCCTCTCCAGATTAAACTGAGTTTAGACAGGCGGAATAAACTGTGGAAAAAGGGAAACTTTGTGTTCCCTTCAGATGATGATGATAAAAACTCTCTTCATGGTCCACAAACCTCCACAGTTGGTTTTAAGCGGATCCGTTCTTGGCTCTTTTTCAGGGTTTTGAAGGTGTTCCTCTCACGTACTGCCCAGAGAGTTCCTTACATGTCCAGCCTCCACCTGCTAAGGATTCTGGGAGTGATGCTGATGACCGTCAGCTGGTTCCTGTGTGCGTGGACAGTGGGTGTCCTCCAGAACCGGGACAGGAACATCCCAGTGTTCATCACAACCAGCACATCAGATGGTCAGGGGTTCAACCTGTGTTTCCTGGACCGCTGGGACTACATGATGGCCGTGGGTGAGTGGAGGCAGCAGTCAATGTCGTCTCACGATGGTACTGAGACTAAATGTGACAAAAGAAAGGTACAATAGAGCAAGGAGCCGAGAGGAGGGACCAACATGAGGGTCTCATAAATGTCACTGTGAGGTCTTCAATGTGCTGAAATCTAAAATGAATTTAACTCCACACCAACATTTCCTCCCTCAGCGGAGCTTCTGTTCCTGTGCTGGGGCAGCTCTCTATGGACCGCCGTCAGGCCCGTTCCCTCTGCCTTCCACGAGCCTCGCTACATGGGCATCGCCATCCACAACGAGCTGCTTCTGTCCACCATGTTTCATCTGTTCAGGTACACAGCAGCAGGTCTAATGAGGGACTGCAGCAGTTCATGCCTCTACTCCGCAGCAGAAAGACCCACTTGTCCGTGTTTTCTGTCCCTATAAGGTTCACCTTCCCTTCTCTCCATCCTGACTGGATGTTGCTGCTCTCCTTCACGCACACCCATGTGACCATCACTGTGACACTTGCCCTGCTCTTCATTCCCAAGGTACTCAGCATCTACAGGTCATGACACAAGTATCTAATAAAGAGTTTGATGCACGATCCGTCCGTTTGATAGTGAATGTAGGATATGTATCATCTAAGCACTCAACATACAAATGGTAGTTCCTTGTTTTCTGCAGTTTCTGTTCGCGTCGAGATCTGGGAAAGAGGAGATCGCGGCAGAGGTGTATGAAGATGAAGTGGACTTGAGACGATCTGGCTCTTACCTAAACAGCAGTTTTCACTCTGCTTGGAGTGAGCCCAGTGTGGATCCAGATGACTTTCGGGTAAACGCTCTTGCCCCCTCAGAACGATGCTATCACTTTGCACTGGGTCATAATTGTGAAAAGGCAGACAAGAACCCAAAGGTCACATTTAAACTAGAAATATAAATGTCTTTTAATTCAACTGATAAACGCATGAACTCAGATAGATCTTAAATGCTTTATAATTTGAATTATAAACTGACATGAAATACAGTTAAAAGGAAAGTGATCATGTTCTTTATATCTCTTCTCCATCCTTTATCCTTATCTTCTCCTCAACTGTGGTCTTGACTGAACATGTTTTACCTTTCCTCTGACTTTTGTCCTTCTCCATATCCTTCTTTTCTTGTCGACCATTTCCTCCACCCTTCATCGATCCCTTCTATATATGCACTAGGATGAGCTGAAGAAACTTTATGCCCAGTTAGAAGTCCACAAGACCAAGAAGATGGCAGCAAACAACCCTCACCTGTCAAAGAAGCGAAGTTCTCGATGTGCGTTGGGGAGATCGATTATTAGACGTATAGTCGAGATCCCAGAAACCGTGAGCCGACAGTGTAGTCGTGAAGAAAGAGATGGATCCTTCCACAGCAGAAGGTTAAACGAGTCCGACTCTTTCAGGACTGCCCCGGATACTGCCAGTATCAGTTACAGAAGTTCAATCAAATCCCCATCTCCACCCTTACGTAAGTCCCAAAGTGATTATCACTATGTCCGAGAAAGAAACGCTTCCCTGAGAGACTCCCTGTTAAATGCCAATTCAGGAAAGAGATTCTCACAGCGCTCTGAGACGGACTCTTTAGATATTCCACCTGGGGTCTGTAAGTCAGCCAGTGCCCAAAATCTGACCATTGATACCAATCTGCTGCATCCTGATCACACCAGGCTTCACAAGTCCTGGAGTCTCACCTCCACTGCCCCCCACTCCATAGAGAGCATGTCCTTGGTGAACAGATCCAACACAGTGCTGGCTCCATCCAGGCAGAGCATACCCATCAGTGACCAGACAAGGAGCGCACTCCAGTCAGAGTCTTTTGACAAAGCTGAGGTCTGTCCATGGGAGGTGGAACAAGAACAGACAAGTGACAAAAACCAGAAGCATGTCACCTATGCCAACTCTCAGGACAGTTCGGAAAAAGGACCAGCATCTCCAGAAGTACTAATCTGTCCCTGGGACCATTTACCTCCTCCGGAACAGAGCCCTCCAGAGGAGAAAGCATTACAAAGTGAAACCATTCCCGCCAAACAACAACTAACCGTGTCTGCAAGTGAACCAGGCTCACCGAGGCCAAAGGTGACAAAAGAACAACGTGTGTTCTCCTTTCGTACCCCCACCAGTAAGTGGCTCTCTGTGAAATCTATCATGGGATCTATGGATGCGGGGAACAAGTCTGGAAAGGATGGAGGTTCAAACAAAGAGGATTCTGTGTCACAGAAAAGCCAGGAAAGTGCTTCAACTACGCCAAGATCTAGTGCATCCAGTAGACGTCCAAGCACAGAGAAGAAGACGCTGCAGAAAAGAAGTCTGACAACAGCAGATGGAAAACCATGTCTCGTGAAACAAAACGCCATCAGACTCTCATCTGGGGATTCCTCCGACAGAAGCCCGAGAAGGCTTGTGATTGTCAAATCTGCGGTCTACCCATGGGATCTGGATGATATGCAGAAAGATGGCAATTATGAAAATGTGTTTTTATCACGGCAGAACAGTAAGCGAAGTGTGAGTTCTTGGGAAACCAGCAGCAGCTGCAGAACTCCTTCAACTCACAGAAGAGGTAGTAATCGAATCACACCGGTTCGCAATGTTTCCCACGTAGATGTGTGTCCATGGGAGGCAGCTGGTACTTTCCAGGAAGGAGAGGGACAAAGGAAGCAGCAGAGTATCAAAGCAGATGTCTGTCCTTGGGAATCACAGGTATCTGAACAATCTAATGTATGTCCATGGGAATCTCAAGAACACGAGATTGTAAGGAGACAAGGAAGTGGACGTGGGGACGTGTGTCCCTGGGAATCGCAGGATATTCCTGTAATTTACCAAACTAATGTGCCCAAAGATTCTGTCAAAGGTTCAGATATCTGTCCCTGGGACACAGCAGAGACTCCCCAACCTTCAAAATTGGAGGATAATGAATATGCTAACATCTGTCCGTGGGATGTTCAGGACAAGGCTGAGGCTGTGTATGAAAATCTCAATCCTTTGGTGAACACGGGATCATTGACAGTACCTCTGCAACAAGGAGCTATGACACCTGCCATCCATCCCGGTGCATCGAAAGAAGTTTTGAGTAACGAGCAACAATACCACGCAAAATCAACTGCACAGCATTTGGGCAGACAAGCAACCAAGACAGCAGAAAGTTGTCCTTGGGAATTCCCAGCCCCCCCTGAAATTACAGAGACCATTTGTCCATGGGAAGAGGGAAGCACAGGGCCAACAAATACAGACTCAAATTTGTCAACAACCGTCCAAGTAGATGTTTGTCCATGGGAGTCTGGACAAAGAGATGAACCATTAGACTCAAAAACAGGTGTCTCAGCTTTGGAAGCTACTCCCATACAGACTGAAGGGGAATGCAGCTCAAGACTGAACATTTGTCCCTGGGAAACTGACGCCCCTGAAAAAACAGTAGAAACAAAAATTATGATGCAAGGACAAAAAAGACCGGAAGATGTGAGTCCAGAATCAGGAATACAACCAACCCAAAAAACAACTGAGTATCGAGTAAGGCAAGACACTGTCTGTGCAGATGTCTGTCCTTGGGATACCGAGGAAACAGGGGCTGTCAAAAGCCAAGTACTGTCCTCATCAGAGAAACTGCAGAGACAGAAAAACTCCAAAGAAGATGTTTGTCCTTGGGAAACAGAGGCACCGAAAGACTTAAAAAGGCAAGACAGCTCTCGGGTAGAAGTCTGCCCTTGGGAGACAGAAGACACTAAAGTTGGTAAAAAGCAAGAAAGTCTCAAAGAGGAAGTTTGTCCATGGGACAGTGATGCACCAAAAGTGTTGAAAAAGCAAGAAAGTTCCCGGACAGATGTTTGTCCGTGGGAGACAGATGACCCAAACATTCTCAAAAAGCAGGATAGTTCTCGAGAAGAGGTTTGTCCATGGGAGACAGATGATTCAAAAGTTCTCAAAAAGCAAGACAGTGCTCGCGCCAGTGTTTGTCCATGGGAGACAGAGCAGCCTGAAGTTCTCAAGAGGCAAGACAGCTCTCGGACAGATGTGTGTCCATGGGAGACTGAAGAGCCAAAAGATCTAAAAAAGCAAGACAGCACAAGAGCAGATGTTTGTCCATGGGATACTGAGGAACCAGAACCTGTGAAAAAGTCAGACAGCTCAGGAGCAGAGGGATGTCCCTGGGAATCTGAAGATCAAGACATTCCAACCAAAAGCAATGATGATAATCCCACCGGTGACAAGGACCACCCTCCAGAAAACCAGGCCACGCTCTGTGTTGAAGAGAGTCCAGTAGAGACCAGCAAAGAGCAGACAGATGGATCTAAAGAAGGCTTAGCCCTGGGCAGACGTGATGCCCTGTGTCCCTGGGAGGTGGCAAGAAGCCCCTCTGGTTCATTCACAGACAATACTTCAGATGTTTTCACATGGGAGCCTGAAAATATTCCAGAGGAAGATGAAGAGGACGATGCAGAATGTGCTGCTGAGGCTCTTGTGTTCCCGCCTGACCTGTGATCTAAATCTAGCCTTGAGCTCTCCTACAAAATCAAGTGGGAATTTGATGTTCTTAAACTACCTTGAGCTGCCCCATTACTGGACAAGGGGCATTTCACTTTAAATTTCTATGTGTAGGAAGGTAGGAGTGCAGAGTCAGCTCCCATGATGCTGAAAGACACCAAAAGCCGTTTCAGAGCGGGGGGGTTTGATGACATGGATACGACACATTTAGCAGAACTGGTAAAAGACCGTCTTTCTTTTTGCATTGAGAGGGACACAGTTGTCATGTTATCAACTACAAACCGATCTGTCGGCTGATGAAGGACATCTAAGACATTTAGGCGGAGCTCCTTTTCTTCCTGCAGCCATTACCTTATAAATGTTTTTCTGTCTTTTTATATTTTAAGGTGATAATTCACTAATTTGCCCTTTGGATAGAGTATGTCTGACCCGTGGCTGAGGTAAAGGTGTTGTAACACCTGGACTTTATATGTTTCAGTGCTAAATCAGCATTTATCAGATATCAAACTGTGATCTTATGCTGGTTTGATATTTTAAAACACAAAAGCGTTACGCAGAGCTGCCAGGACAACACTAGATGTCAGATTTCATTACTTTGAAGTATCAATGATTGATTAATCTATGCATACCTGTTTACTGAAGTGACTTCCTGACTGAGAGCCAGCGATCAATATCCATATTTGATCTAATAACATTCCAAAACATCCAGTAAGAACGCCAAACGCTTCAAAAATCACTTGAACTCAGATTTTGAGATCGACAGTGGAGTCACATCTGTGAGAGCCGTCTATCTCCAAGAGTTCAGAGTGTTGTAGATTCTCTGTGTGTGCCGAGGTCAGGCATCGTAACAAGCATTAAAAACATTTTAAATATTTATTCATTCTAAAAAACAAACTCACCTTTCCTGACTCAGAAATTTACTACTTTTAAATGTGTCAAATGATGTGATTTGTGGTGGTGAGGCTCACGTTTGAGTTAAAAAGTTGTTTAATTAGTTAGTTATAAAAGTTTAGGATGAACGTTTTTGAGGGCTCATTTGTGCAGACAGTAATAAAGATGGAACAGAGTCAAATCTCCTAAAATAACAGACAGGATGGTATCGGTCTGTATGACTCACATTGCGGCCATTTTCCTCTGATGTCAGACTCGGTGGGAGGCTGATGCAGTAATGAGGTCCTGCTGTTTCCATTCTGTTGGTGGGACTGAAAAAAGAAAATCTGATATTTTTTACTGTTTCAATAATTCTGGATTAACAAGTAAAGACCAGTCATAGTGGGAAATTATCCTCGCCGCCGCCGCCGTCATCGTTTTCTTTGTGGGGGCAGCAGCTTCAGGAGGGAAGCCCAGACGGCCCTCATCCCGGCCACTCCCACCAGCTCCTCCTCCGGGGGGATTCCCAGGCGCTCCCAGACCAGGCGAGAGATATAATCCCTCCACCTGGTCCTGGTCCCTGAGGAGGAAACCCATTTCAGCCGCTTGTATCTGCGATCTTGTTCTTTCGGTCATTACCCAAAGTTCATGACCATAGGTGAGGATCGGCACGTAGATCGACCGGTAAATCCAGAGTCTCTCCTTACGGCTCAGCTCTTTCTTCACCACCACTGATCGGTTAAGCGTCCGCATCACTGCTGACGGAGAAAGGTAGATCACCTTCTCCAGGTCGGAGGGGAGGTCCTGACTCAAGTGAAGGAGTTCAAGTATCTCAGGATCTTATCAATGAGTGAGGGTAGGATGGAGCGGGAGATCGACAGGCGGATCAGGAAATTATCCAGACAGAAAAAAAAGTCTCAACAATTTAAGAAGATCAGGTGAGCTGGTCTTTACAACTCACACACTGTTTATTAGGCGACAGAACAAATTTACTTTTATAGAAATGTTGATTTCACAAAGTTCGGAAAATTGTCTGAATCCTCCTTTGGCCACGACTGCCGACACAAGCAAGAAAACAAAGTAAATACCGGAGACTCTGGAGGAATAACGGGCGCTTAAAACGGAGGTAGACCGGACAAGAGCTAAAAAGCCGGGTCAACATAAACCATGGGGGACGCTTGGGGATCTTGGTGACCCTGTAACCTTTCTGCTGGACAGGTAAACCGCTTTAACAAAGTAAGACAAGTGTCTGTAACAGAAGTGTTTCTTGTCAAACGGACCTGCTGTAGCGTGTTGTAGCGCCATCGCTAAACTGTCCTCCCTCGGGTCCTGGACTATGTCACTTTATCCTCGTTGTAGAAGTCCTGCAAACATTGTGTTTGCTGGTAGTCTGTTGGCATCTACAGTAGCACCAATGCTTTTGACTTTCACCATGACTGGGCCCCATTTGTAATGATCTGAAGTATTGATCTGCATTATATCTGAATTTAACTGGAACGATACGAGCGAGCAGGAGCGTCTGTTTGTGGGCGGGGCTTGAGGGGAGAGGAGGAGCTGAGGGGAGAACTGGTTGTGAGGGGTAGAGTTTACATTCAAGATTTCTCCTAAAAACTGGAACCTCCTCAGATCCAGACTACAACACCTTTAAAGGGTTTAAATATATACAGCGACTAAAATACCCCGAGTTTCACATCAGAGTTCGCTGCAGTTGTGAGTCACGCATTTGTCTGTAATATCAAATATTTGAGGAACAACATCTCAAATTACAAAGACGTCTCATTAGTTATTTTTCAGCCCCGAATATCTGAAGTCCGTCAGAGACAGGAAGGGCGGCTCTGATAAAGAAGAGCGTTCTGTGTTTGTCCAATAGGAATGCAGTGTTAATGGTTCCTGTATCGGTGTAAGGTCACGTCTCTGCGCCTGAACGTTGTGATCTCAGAAGTCCAGCTTGTTTCTTTGTGGTGAAAAACTGCCCCAGCTTCTCTGTCAGCTGGATGATCTGGTTTTGTGGTACCGTTTGCATGTTTGTGTTCTTTTGTTTGATCGAGTGTCCTGTAACATGTCTTGTTATGAATATTGTTGTCACACATTTCTTTGGTTTACATCAGAAATCAGCTGTTTTCAAGTTTTTATGTCTTCTGTACGAGATTATTCAGATTATGAAAAGTATTAGTGAGGAGAAGCAGATGGGACACGTTATTTTTGTATCTCCTGAGGTCAACGTGCAGCTGCTCCATCAGAGAAATAAACCAGACACTTTCTCCTGATCTGTACATTTATTTTTCACATTTGCACTTTAAGTTATTCTCATGAAACTGTGAGGAAAAGGGACATCTGAGGCCATGAAAAGAGCGTTTAGGATCATCCGTTACCTGCAGCGGTGACAGTGACAGGTTTGTTCTTCCTCAAACTCACCTGCTGCTCCAGCGTCTCCACAGACAGCAGCATTTTACAGCAGAGAAGAACCTCCAGAGGAGACGAACTGACCTGCCACAGCCAACATTTAAACTCTGTTTGGCTCAAAGTCTGATTATGGATTGATGCAAACAGCAGCGCCTCCTGGTGGTCTATTTATTCCACTGAACAGCCTCCGGTTTAGGAACTTGATAGCCGACGGCGTCAAACTCTTCCCACGGCTTCAGATCTGGACCAGGAATCATGACAGTCTGAAGAAGAGAGAGAAGATTTAGAGAAACAGATTCTAATGAACACGAAAAGAAACTCTGACGTTTTATCTAAAGAGAGAGAGAAACCATCAGAAACAAGAGAGGGGAGGAGTGACGGTAAAAACAGAACTGAAAACACTAGATCACAGCTGAACCGGTTTCATATAGATGCTCACAGTTTCCTTTAACATCAGACAAACAGAGCAGAACCAGAAACATCACAACTCCTGAACTCTGATGTTCGAGGTCCAAAAGCTTCTTCTCACAGACGAGGAGAACACGAGCGCTTTTACAGGCACCTCCAGAAAGACAGAGAGAGAGAGAGAGAGAGAGAGAGAGAGAGAGAGAGAGACAGAGACAGAGACAGAGACAGAGACAGAGACAGAGACAGAGAGAGAGAGAGAGAGAGAGAGAGAGAGAGAGAGAGATAGATAGATAGAGAGAGATAGAGAGATAGATAGAGATATAGATAGATAGATATATAGATAGATAGAGATATAGATAGATAGATATATAGATAGATAGAGAGATAGATAGTGACATAGTGTCTCTTCAGTGACAGGTACAGTCATCAGAGCTGAAGGACGTCCCCGCTCCAGCTGTCTGTGCAGGTAACATCTACACCTGTGTCACATGACTGCTGAAGTTCATGTCTTCAGGTTCGATCAGGTTAAAGGTCAGTAGATCACAGCTGCTTATACAAACATCTGTCATCATCATCACCACAGACTGTCAGACACGACCCTGCTCTCTGCTGACAGGCTGCTGCCTCCTCCATGTGAACCGATGGAACATGGGTCAAACCACAGCAGTGATTCTCAAACAGGGTCTGTGTTTTTACGGTTAGTTCTGGTCCTGTTGATGATCAGGAGAGAAGAAGAGGAGGTGAGAGGACGTGAAACAGTCACCAACTCAAGAGACCGGCTGCTTCAAACTGAGACAAGGATCTGAGGTCTGTACCCTTCTGAAGGATCAGGTGAGGTCTACAGCTCCCCTCTGGAGCGACAGGAGGAAGAGTTTTTCCCTCTTTGTGCTCAGCAGCATTTAAAGCTTCATCTGAACAGTGAGGAGGTTACAGGACTCGGGTTCAAATACTGAGGAGGAGTCCAGAACACGCTCCTCGGCCCTCTTTCTTTAAACAAAGTCGTCTTCTTAATACCAGCTGTGTTAAATGAAAGCTGTGAGTCCAGTCCAGGGTCACCTTGATGATGGGGTCTTTGGCCGGAGCCCAGGACGGCACTATCTTCCCGTGTAACCTCCACCGGCCGTAGGGGTTGACAAGATGGCGCTCTAAGACCAGGTACTCCAGGACATCCTTGGGCTGATCCTCGCTGCCCAGCATCAGCCTCCCGAAGCGATCGTAGACGGCCAGAGTCTGAAACAGAGCGAGCGTTCGTTCAGTCACCCTGATGTTTACAGGACCATCGTCCCAGCAGGTTCTTCAGGTCCAGTCCGGTCTGATACAGACCGATTCAAAACCCAGATCAGTTTTACAGACAAACTCAAGAGACCAGAAGAAACTTGAGTGGAAAACTAACGATGAGAGGAAAGTCAGGAATAATAATAATAACAATAATAATGATTATTATTATAATTAATAATAATATTTATAATAATAATAATAATAAAAATAAATAATATTAATAAATAATATTAACAACAATAATAATAATAATAATAATAATAATAATAATAATAATGAATAATAATAATTATTATTATTATTGTTGTTGTTAATATTATTTATTTTATTATTATTATTATAAATATTATTATTCATAATAATAATATTTATAATAATAATAATAAAATAAATACTATTAACAACTACAACAACAATAAAAATAATAATAATGATAACAACAACAACAACAACAATAACAATAACAGTAGTAATAACAACTATACATTTTATAAGTATTGCTCTGTACATCAAGCGACCTCAAAGAGCCTCATCTTAAAAGCAGAGAAATTTCACAGTAAAGAAAAATAAAAACAGGTTATTAGTTAAACAAAAGCAAAAGCAGGTGTTTTTTTTTCTTTTTAAAAAGAATCTGAGGAGGATCAAAAGGAAAGTTTTGAGGGTTTTTTATAACTCAGTTCACACTCAGGTACCTGTTTGGAGTGCATGCGGACCGTCACCTGACCGTACAGGTTGCCTTTGCTGACCATGTCAGGGCAGCGGGCGTGGACCACTTTGGGCGGCTCCAGAGACTCGACAAACCTCCAACGGATGGTCTTATAGCGGTTCCCTCGAGTCATTTCCTGAAAACAGCACAGAGAGGGATGAGAAGGTTAAGATAGGGTGGATCTGTGAAACTGAAGCCATGTTCAAAAGTGCAGAGGGGGAACTCACGGGATAACAGCGCTCCGTCACCAAAGAGTGAAGCTGCTCTTTGTTGAAGCTGAAAAACAAAACACAGATTTTTATTCTTCTCTTAAACGAAACCATGAAGACGTTCATCTCAGCTGGAAAATAAAACCCTCAACAAACTCTAAAGAACTCTGTGACATGATTGGATCAAAGGAGCTTTATCAATAAAGTTTGGATTGATTAACATTTGAGCGGCTGTCCTAAATCAGTGAAGGACGTCCGCTCCAGCTGTTGGACCAAGTCTGAATCTTCATCGGTAAGAAGATGGACCCCCTCCGCTGCTGTAGACCACCCCACCTGCCTCATATGGGAGTAAAAACTCTGAAATGGAGCTTGGAGAGAGTCCTCTGAGCGCTTTAAAAGTAATCAATAAATCTTAAAATCAATTCTCAAACTGACAGTGAAGGGAGGTCAAAACTGGAGTGATGTGACGCCGTCGACTAAAAAGTTCAAAGTTAAAAGCTGCTGCGGTCTGGACTGGTCTGAGGAGGGAGAGTGATTTCTGATTCAGACCAGAGAGGAGAGAGTTACAGACGTCCAGCCCTGACTCAATGAAAACAGGGATTATTTATGAGATCTGGTTGGTGAAGATCTGTTTGATCTTCAGGTGAAAAAGCGGGAGAGCAGGTTAGTAAAGGCGGCGCTGTCCGGTCATTCTCTTACTGTGTCAGGGCGTTGTGCGCCTCGATAAAAATCTCCTGAGCTTTCTCTGCAAAACCTTTCGTGGTGAACTCCGGGTCGTGCTCCTTGATTTTCCGAATCCTGAGAGAAACAGCAGAAGAAGAGACACAGTCAGTTTTTTTTTAACGGACAGGAACGTGATGAATTGGACTCAGAAAAAGAAAAGAAAGGAGCTTACGCGAGCTGTGACGCAGCCGTCTGTCGGATCTGCTCAGTTCGTTGTTTCAGGCCTTCTTTAGACAGACTGGAGAGCCGAGCGTCGCCCTCTGGAGGGATGTACGGGTCAAAGACTCCCGCTGATAAACACACAGGAATATAAAGGTGAGAGGACTCTTATACACTTCCTTTAAACTTGGATTACTCAGAACATGACGGCAGGTGTGGTCGTCTGAAACTGGAGTTTTGGACGTGCTGGAGTCGAGACTATTCTGCTCCTCTGTTATTATCACTGTTTTAGAATTTCCCTCTGGGATTACCTACCAACCTACCAACCTACCAACCAACAACCAACAACCAACCACCCAACCAACCAACCACCCAACCAACCTACCAACCCACCTGTAGCTACCTCCAGTTTAATCCATTTAAAGGAAATCCACAGAAAACTGTTCGTCTCTTTTTTTTGGCCACAAAGTCCAAAGTGTAAAAAAACGAAGAGGCTCTAAAACAGTTTTAATGTTAAAGGAGGAGAAATCTGAGTTTTTGTAAAAGAGGACAGTTCAGAGATCGAAGGTTTGAGGGGAAAATCAGCCGAACTGAGACACGTTAGAGGGACGTCCACACCTGAGGAGGAGATGTTGATGGGCCTCTCCATGTACTCCTGTCTGAAGACGATCCCCGCCGCCCTCGCCATCGCCTCCGGGTCCTCCTGGTTGTCCTGGTTGTCTACTTTGGTTCCCACTGCTGGAGGTATAAAGAACCGCTTCTTGGTCCGGACCGGAAGGTAAAGGGGGCCAGGGTGACGCACATCCAGGACCGCCTCCAAGTTCTTTAGAAGGAGGAAGAGGAGGAGAAGAGGAGGTGTTGGAGAAGAGAAGGAAAGGAGGAGAAGGATGGAGGAAAGGAGTAAAGGATGGAGGAGAGTTTTTCAGTTCTCTACCATCAAACAGGACGGAGGGTCGGTCTGCTCTACAGAAATAAAGAGACAGTTTCTGCTGAAGACCACCATGAAGACCAGACCATGAAGGTCCATGAAGATCAGACCATGAAGGAGGTCTGAAGATGATCTTCACCTTCATCAAAGTGTCTGCAGGTTTAAAGGACTAAAGTTCAGAAGATCAGGAGGGTCAAACTTCACTAATTAAAGTTTATTTATATACATCAGTCTACAGAAGATTTAATGTTGTTAAAAAACTAAATTTGCCTCAAACAGACAAACGGAACCAGGTCCAGAAATCTTCTCAGTCCGGGTCTTTGTGGACCGGGTCTGAATGTTAGTGATTAAAATGATCTTTATGGTCAAACATAAAAACCACAGATCGACCCTGAATGTCCGTAAACCTTTTATTCTTAATTACCTTTAAACTGCTGCATGTTGGTCTGAAAAGAGCCGCCACCGTCCTCCTCACGGGCAGCGCCATTTTGTTCCCCTATGACGGAATAAAGAGGACAACTTCCTCCTTCTTCTTCTTCGTTTTATTGGCGGCAAACCAACTTAACGTTGCACTACCGCCACCTACTGGACTGGAGTGTGGGACAGAAAATTAAACACACACGAAAAAACCCTAAATCCAGGAGGAAATGGCTTGAACAAGGGGAAAAATGCACCAAATATTTCTTTAATCTAGAAAAAAGGAATTCCGAAATGTCTTCTCTCTGCAAACTTAAATTCATGACGCTGTGTGTGAAAATATGTTGCACGCTTTTATGAAAAGCTGTATATGACTGACCTGTTAAATGAAGATAAAATATCACTATTTCTTCAGACCATACAACCAAATATTAGAAGAATAGATGATGACCTCCATGTAACGTGTGATCAAAAAATAACAATAACAGAGGTACAAAAATGCATCGACTCCCTCAAGGACAACAAAGCCCCAGGTAATGACGGGATAACTGGGGAATTTTATAAATACTTTAAATAAGCAATCGCTCCATTTTTAACTGAGCTATTCGAAGAGGCTTTAGACAAGGAAGAACTCCCCCACACTTTAAGACAGGGACTGATAAAACTAATTCCAAAACCAAAAAAAGATGAATTAAACATTGAAAACTGGAGACCGATCAGTTTATTGAATAATGATGCAAAGCTGTTTGCTCTCATCTTTGCTAAAAGATTGAAAATAGGATTAGATGATATTATAGATGAGGAGCAATCTGGGTTTATGCCAGGGAGGAATATTGTCAATAATATTCGTCTGATTCTGGATATGATAGACTATAATGAATTTATACCTGATGATAGTTTTATTCTGTTTGTGGACTTCTATAAAGCATTTGATACAGTCAATCACCAGTTTATGTTTAAAGTTATTCGATGTTTTGGTTTTGGAAATAGGTTTTTGAGGGCAGTTCAAACACTTAATTAAGATAACAAATGGCACAACACCCAGATTTAATATTGGTCGTGGAATCAGACAAGGTTGTCCCCTAAGCCCTTTTTTGTTTTTGCTGGTTACACAGGTTATGGAAACACATATTAAAAAAAGCAACTTTCAGGGTGTGACAGCCGTAGGTAGAGAATTCAAACTAGCTCAGTTAGCGGATGATACAGCTATTTTTTTGTCCAACCAAAATGAACTTGTCGAAGCTGTGCAGTGTATCAGAGAGTTTTCAGAGGTTTCTGGGCTGACAATGAACCTTAATAAATCTATGCTTTTTCTCCTCAAACACTGTGATCTGGCAGAATTAAATGGTATTCCCATTAAACAAACTGTGACATATTTGGGTGTTGTACTTGACAAAAATGAGAAGAGGCGCTCTGAGTTAAACTTTGAACCAATAACTCAACAGATACAAAGAAAATTCAATATGTGGTTAGTGAGGGATCTATCTTTACACGGACGGATTCTGTTATCCAAAGCGGAAGGAATATCAAGATCTGTATATCGATCACTAGCACTAGAAATGCCTGCTGTAGTCTCCAAGAAATTAGATCAAATCTTATTCAAGTTTATCTGGAAGAACAGACGCCATTATTTAAAAAAAGATATTCTATGTAATACCAAGAGGGATGGTGGTTTGGATGTGCTAACCTTCGAAATATTGAATCACTCTTTCAAGATCAACTGGCTGAGTAAGTTATGTAGAGAGAAGAACAACCTCTGGAACTCCTTTGCTACACATGTATTCAACTCACTTGGTGGTATACGCTTTATGTTGAAATGTAATTACAAAATTGAGAAGCTTCCTGTTAAACTCTCTAACCTTCACAAACAAGCCTTGCTGTCCTGGAAACTGATCTACAAACATAATTTCTCACCAACCAGCTATTATATTTGGAACAATGAAGACATCGTTTACAAAAACCGATCACTGTTTTACAAGGACTGGATGGAGCACAACATTTTACTAGTCGACCAACTTCTTAACGACCATGGCTTTTTACTTTCTTATGAAGAATTTATGTTAAAATTTCAACTCCCAGTCACCCTAAAACAATATGCAGTGGTTTTTGATGCATTACCTCAGGGGGTGCTACAACTTCTTAAAGGGTCTGAAAGAACGGCTGCAAGAGCCTGCTCGAGTAGACTGTTGAGAAGCTGCCTACAACCAAAGACACTGCCTAGAGGTCAAACTAACTGGTCTGTACAATTGGGAGAAATTAACTGGAGTAATGCATGGCTGGTTGGTGAAAAATTCTGTCTCAATAACAAGGTCAAAGAAGTCTCTTTTAAAATATTACATCAGATTTACCCTGCAAAGAAAACTCTTGGAAGATTCAAACTGGACATTGAATATTTATGTGATTTCTGTGGACTTGAAGATGAAACCATCTCTCATTTATTTTATCATTGTACCTACAGTAAAACCTTTTGGATTGATGTCCAACAATTTGTGCACGAGAAAACAGGAAGAACGATCAGTTTCCAGGACAAACATATTTTTATTTATTATGATGACCAGGACAAAGATCTGTGCTTTTTCTGTCAGCTGATCTTGAGCTTGGGGAAATTCCATATCCACAAAAACAAATTGGCCAAATCTAAGCCAAACATTGCACCCTTCAAAAATGAACTGCTCCGTTATGCTGCCACGATCAAGGATATTAAGAACAAGAAAGCTACCAAAACTTACTCTATAATGAAGAAATACTGTACCATTGAACTGTAAGTCCTCTGGCTGTTGTATGTCTGTGTTTTGTTTTCTGTTTTTGTCGTTGTTGTTGTGATGTGTTTCTCGTTGATTGTACTGTCTGTCTTGTTCAATAAAAATAAATAAATAAATAAATAAATCACTAACCACAAGATTGATACAAAGGATATAACTATGTAGTGCTGTGAAGATCCAGCAGGAGGCAACAATGCAACTATTGGATGCAAACAAAGAAGAAGAAGAAGAAGACGTCACGGTTGCTAGGATACAGTTCATTCAAAGCGCCAAGCCGTTACTAGGAAACAACAAACTTGAAATCCTCCTGTGGATTTGAGTCAATGTTTCAGCTTTTTCCACCAGACAAGATCTCAACCTACAGTCCGCCTTTTTACCGGCCTTTCTCCGGGTCACAGTCCGCCTTTTTACCGGCCTTTCTCCGGGTCACAGTCCGCCTTTTTACCGGCCTTTCTCCGGATGGAGATCGTCCACGTCTACACGAAGCTCCGGAGTGAGTTCGGCCGACAGTGTCTCTTCTCGGACCGGCCCGCTGAGCTCCTGGTGGATGTTTCTCCAGACCCGAACCTGGCCCTGCAGTTCATCCAGAAAACCCGCCGAGACCAGGCCATGCAGGCCAGCAGGGACATGTCCGAGCACCAGGTGAACACGGAGCGCTTTGAGTCGGAGAGCCGTGGAATAAACCACCTGGAAGGGGGGTGGCCTAAAGACATCAACCCTCAGGAGATGGAGCAGACCATCCGCTTCAGGAAGAAGGTGGAGAAGGATGAGGTCTACATCAACAGTGTCCTACAGCTGGGCAGCATCATGGAGCACTGCATCCGACAGAACAACGCCGTGGACATCTACCGGGAGTACTTTGAGGACGAGGACGAGGTGGAGGAGAACCAGGAGCCGCCGTCTGCCAAGACCATCAATGTCTTCAGCGATCCAAACGAGCTGAGGAGAACCATCACAGACCTGTCCTGGCATCCTGATGGCGCGAGGAAACTGGCGGCCGCTTACTCCTGCCTGGAGTTCCAGAAGAGCTGCAGAGGCTTGAGTCTGGACTCCTACATCTGGGACATCGAGAACCCCAACAAACCTGAGCTGACCCTGAAGCCGGCCTCCCCTCTGGTTTGCCTGGACTACAACCCCAAAGACCCCCACACCCTGGTGGGGGGCAGCTACAACGGACAGATCGTGTACTGGGACACCCGCAGAGGAGGGACACCAGTGGAAGTGTCCTCTGTGGAGCAGAGCCACCGAGATCTGGTCTACAAGATCCTCTGGCTTCAGTCCAAGACTGGGACAGATGCCTTCTCCGCGTCCACTGATGGACAGGTGCTGTGGTGGGACGTCCGCAGGCTGAGCGAACCTACAGACCAGCTGGTCCTGGACCCATGCCGGGAGGGGAACCTAGATCGAGCTTTTGGAGCGGTCTCCTTAGAGTTTGAGCCCACCATGCCCACTAAGTTCATGGTGGGAACAGAACAGGGTCTCGTTGTCTCCTGTAACAGGAAGGCGAAGACTCCGGCTGAGAAGATGGTCTGTACCTACGAGGGACACCACGGACCAGTCTACGCCCTGCAGAGGAACCCCTTCTTCCCCAAGAACTTCCTAACCGTTGGGGACTGGACCGCTCGCATCTGGTCTGAGGACATCAAGGAGTCTTCCATCATGTGGACCAGGTATCAAAAATCCTACCTGTCCAACGCCTGCTGGAGTCCCGTCCGTCCACCAGTCTTCTTTACAGTTAAGATGGATGGAACTTTGGACATTTGGGACATCCTGTTCAAACAGAACGACCCCACACTGAGCCTGAAGGTGTGTGATGACCCCCTGTACAGCCTCTGTCTCCAGGATAACGGGCGTCTGTTGGCGTGCGGCTCTCAGGGGGGCGGGGCAACGCTGTTGGAGGTGTGTTCAGGACTGTCCACTCTGCAGAAGAATGACAAGAGTCTTCTGGCTGCGATGTTTGAGCGAGAGACCAAGAGAGAGAAGATCCTGGAGGCCCGGCAGAGGGAGATCCGTCTGAAGGAGAGGAGTCGCTCCGAGCAGAGCCGAGAGGAGGAGGGGGGGCCGGAGGTGGGAGACGACAGTCCGCATCAGCTGATCACCTGGACAGAGAAGGACTTCTTCAGCCTGGTGGAGGCGGAGCAGAGAAGGAGGAGCGAGAGGGAGGGGCGGGGTCAGCAGGAGACAGCCGTCTGTGAAGAACGGGAGGAGAAGAACGAAACAACATCAGCAAAATAAAAAGAGCTCTGTGGTCACAGCAGGTCTGTTAGAGTTCAGGGGAGAGGAGAGGAGAGAGGGGGAGAGAGGGAGAGGAGAGGAGGAGAGAGGACAGGGGAGAGGAGGAGAGTGGAGAAAAAAGGAGTAAAGGAGAGGAGAGAGAAGGAGAGGGGAGAGGAAAGGAAAGGAGGAGGGGGGAGGAGAGGAGAAGAGATGAGAGAGAGGAGAGGAGAAGAGAGAGAAGTTGGGAGAGGAGAGGAAAAGAGAGGGGAGGAGAGAGGAGGAAAAAAGAAAGGGGGGAGAGGGGAGAAGAAAGGAGAGGAAAGGAAGGGGGAGGAGAGGAAAGGAGATGAGAGAGAGGGAGAGAGGAGAGGAGAGGAGAGAGAGGAAAGGAGATGAGGGAGAGGAGAGGTGGAGAGGGGAGGGGTGTCAAAGGTTTCTGTTTCTGAAATAAATTTCTGTTTATTCTTATTTTTTTATTCTTTGACAAACACTCACCACCAGAGGGCAGAGAGAGTCCAAACAAAGGGGGGTAAAAGTGAGCAGCTGTGTTCTGGGCTCCTAGTTCTGAGCTGCTGTGGATCTGGTTCTGGTCCCACATGAACCTGTTGTCTTTAAAGGTCCAGTTTGCAGAAAAATGAGGATTTAGAGATGTTGAAAATGGAAATGCTCCTTTAAACTGATCAGTCAGAGTAAACAGTCTTCATCATTTTACTTTCACTACAGTGTGTACGTATAAATGTGTCACTTTGGTCTGACAGGGATAAATAAAGTTTTTCTTATCTCACATTTATCAACAAAAAAAAAAACCCTAAATAAGGAAATGAGATCCTCTCCATCAACCCTGGATCTTTTGAATATATCATTAAAAGCCTCAATATAACTGACCCTGAAAGAAGACAACTTCCGGATTGGTCTTTCAAAATAAAATCCTCATTCCACCCAAATGTCTCAGAATGTCTCCAGAAAATAAGCCGATAAAAAGACGATCATCTATTCTGTCTGTCTTTCTCTAAACCGCGAACTCTGTATTCTTGTGTACTTCCGGTCTGAATGTTGGACTTCACCAGAGGATCCGAGGCTGTGAGTCGGATCATAAGATACTAAAAACTCTGAAATGTAGCTTGGAGCAAGTCCTTCAAGAACCTTAAAAGTAATCAATACAATCTTAAAACCAGACTAAAACCAGATGAAAGCCGAGATAGAAAGCTAAACTGATCTCAGGATGTCTGAATTAACTAAGACTTGGTTTTACTTTGTGAGGTAGAAATGTAATCACATTAAAGATCAGATTAAATTGATGAAGGAGGACATAAACTGGACTTTTGAAAATGATCAACTGACAAAAACTTGGTGCTGTGTGTCCAGCATGAAGGACTTTGTTGTTCATGGAGATGATGGGTCACCTGGAGGATCTCCTCCTCACCTGAAGTTCTGACTAACACACTTTATTTCTAATTTCTGGAACTTAATTTGTCTCGTTCAGTTGATTTGTGTATTTGTGAGTCTGTGACTGGGTCAAACTGGGTCAAAGACACAAACAGCAGCTGCTGCAGACAAAGAAGGATGAGTTTAAACTGAAGTTTGATGAAGTCATGACACTAGATGGCGTCAGTGGTTCAGTTTGAAGGAGGCAGATTCAGAAATCTCATTCAAATGACAGTAAATTCAGTCATGAGGCTCGTCCCATAAAGTTTTAATACGAGGACCTGCAGGTTTGGAAATAACATATTCAACTGCAGAAACACAAACATTACTGAGACTAAGACCTCAGATAAAGAAGTCGTTCTTTTGGTAAATGCTGACATGTTGGTTAAATACAGTTTCCAGTAACTGTCCTGAGTCAGCATAAAGACAAATATTCCTGTTTACTGAGAAGAACTGAAACCAACCAGGACTCTCATCTGGGTTCATCTCAGTGCAGGTTTTAGTCTTTGTGATTCTGAGACAGTTATCGTGTTCACCGACGTCTGTCAGTCTCAGATTAACGGAAAAGATCTTGAGATTTATTCAGTTTAATGACGTCTTGGTTTGACGAAGAGTCGAGTCTCTGACTGTTTTGAGAAGTTTCTGCCTCGGCTTTAAAGCTCAGGTTTCCACTTTATCAGGAGTGACAGTGAACTTGTAGATGGTTTTCTGTAGAGTCGTACCCTTCACCTCTCAAACAGCAGACGAATCTAAAACTCTCATTCACTTTAACAGTCAGAGTCAGACACAGGATCTTTGATTTATTTATCCCTATCATCTGACCGTCATTTATCACATTTATGCTGTAACTTTACTGTAATAAACAGACCATTTACATATTATAATGATTTAAAACTGATTTAATGTTGAATATCTGAACTGTTGTTACAGGTTCATGTACAGAGCTTATATTTCCAACTGGGTTTTAAGTGATGCCCTGTAAGGAGGAACAGTTTGACTGTTTTTCTGGTTAATATTAATCTCAAACATTAAATATTATATTATATTATATTAAATTATAATTATATTAAATCACTTTGCAGACTAACGACTCTGGGCTTCATGATCAGATTTTTCAGGCTGCTAAAGTCACTGACATGAACGTCCTGGCGGCCAGTTTAAGGTCACTGAGGCATCAGGCATCAACTTAAACCCAGGGTAGAGAGGCTCAGTGAAGGTGGTGGAGAAGGTGTGGAGGTGGGTCAGTGTTCTGGAGGAGACTCTGTAGAAGGACAGAGAGCCGGCAGGATGGTCCAGATACACGGCGAGTCTATCAGAGGAGGAGGAGGAGGAGGAGGAGGAGGAGGAGAGGAGCGCTCGGGTGTTATCATAACAGGCGGCATAACCGTAGTCGACAGAGCAGATCAGACGCCAGGACTGTTGGTTCCCTCCAAACTGGCAGTCAGGTGTCTTCCCTTTCCGTCGGAGTCCTCTGTAACTCACTGACACGTCCACGTCTCCTCTCCACTCCACCTCCCAGTAACAGCGACCAGTCAGACCATCTCTGCACAGCAGCTGATACCAGTAGTCAAACCTGTGTGGATGATCAGGACACTGCTGCTCCTCTCTCACGTGAGTCACGCTCTGGTTGTTGTCGGACAGTTGGAGCTTTCTGTGAGCTGTGGTTGAGTCCAGAGTGAGTTCACAAGCATCTGATGGAGAGAGCAGACACACACCTCACTACCCTGACGTGGTCTTGTTTGGTGTTTATCAGGGATGGGTATTGATAACCGGTTCCTGTTAAGAATCGATTAGACGGTTCGATCCATCGACATGATTAGCCTTAACGATTCCTGTGTCGATTCTTTTCGGGCCACATATCGATCACGCTCGTCAGTCGGCAACAGAATCACAGATATAAAAGACTAGATAAGTCAGAGTGTTGTAGCGCTAAGCGATGTGTCTATGTGGCGGCCATCTTGGTGGGGGCATCATTTCCATTAAAGACAACCGATTTTCATGCAGTTTATTTTATTTTTAACGCCCAAACCTGCGCTGATATATTTATTTACGTCCAGAGATCAAGGATCCAGTGAGCATGTGTGAGTGAGCAACTCAATAAACTGACACAGACTTTCTGTACACAGAAGACCCACAGGAGGACCTGATAGGGGATTTGATGAAGAATCAGATCGATAAGAATGTTCTTTAAGGCACTGGTATCAATAAAGTCTTATCAATACCCATCTCTGGTGTTTGTACAGAAGTGAACATACTTACACTTCCTCAGACCAGGTTTCAGCCATCGTTCTCCATGAGGGTCCACCCTGGGAAAGGAAACAGTCACCATGAACCCTCAGAGGAACCCTCTCAGGAACCTTCTCTAAGTGTCTGCACCGTTTCTACTTTAGTCTGAAATATTAAGTTCGTAAAAAAATGAAGGAATTTTATTTTCAATCATGAAAATTTCATTATTTTTATTTGTTTTATATTTGATGATTTTGTACTTCAGTGAGCATGTGTCTGATCACGTGGAGGTCTGTGGTAAAATTCACCCGTGAAACAGAAAACCTGGATCTTTATTTTTACTCATAGATCAGAACGATTTATCGTACAGCCTCACAGGAAACACCGAGCTAGCCTGTTTTTTTAACTGCTCATACCTGAAGATGTCGAGTCCATACAGAGGATTCTCCACAGCTGCAGACAGCATTTCCACTCCTGAGAGTCCTGGGTGATTATAGCGCAGGTCCAACTCTTTCAGATGTGAAGGGTTGGCCTCCAGCGCTGAAGCCAGAGAAGTACAGCCTCGGTCTGTGATCAGACAGCCGGACAGTCTGGACACAAATTCATATCAGTTCAGAGAGCTCAAGGATACAGTGGATTCATCAACATTCGCTCAAGAAGATCCTTCTTCTGAAAATCTGCTTCAGAGCGTTCAGAATAATGAGCCAAAGGACCGTCGAAGTGGTGAACAAGAATATGGTGAACACAGCACACCACACACTCATTTTTACCAACACCCGGAGTCGACAATGGCATCACCAGTGATGCGGACGTTTAACCGATCAGTGGTGGTGAAGAAAGAGCTGAGCCGTAAGGAGAGACTCTGGATTTACCGGTCGATCTACGTGCCGATCCTCACCTATGGTCATGAACTTTGGGTAATGACCGAAAGAACAAGATCGCAGATACAAGCGGCTGAAATGGTTTTCCTCCTCAGGGTGTCCGGGCTCAGCCTTAGAGATAGGGGAAGGAGCTCGGACACTCGGGAGGCGCTCAGAGGAGAACCGCTGCTCCTCCACGTCCAGAGGAGTCAGCTGAGGTGGCTCGGGCATCTGGTTAGGACGCCTTCTGGACGCCTCCTGTTAGAGGAGTTCCAGACATGTCCCACCGGGAGGAGACCTTGTGGTCGGTCCAGGACCAGGTGGAGGGATTATATCTCTCTCCTGGCCCGGGAGCGCCTGGGAATCCCCCCAGAGGAGGAGCTGGTGGAGGTGTCCGGGGTGAGGGCCGTCTGGGCTTCCCTCCTGAAGCTGCTGCCCCCACGACCCGGACCAGGATGAAGCGGAAGAAAATGACAATGACCTGGTGTCCCGACTCTCATGAGGGGAAATCTAAGGAAGTCTCCTTTGGTGAAGCGAGATTTTAAAGTAGGAAACATGACTCTACAGGAAACAGTGGTTATTAGCTTGCTTAGCTTCCTGGTTCTTCCACTAAAGTAGCTTCAACACCCTCCTGTCATTTCAGTGACGGTGTTTTACTGAAAGACACTTGACACTTGTGTTGTCACCATGTATTATCATGTGGGGTTTAAATGTTGTCACATGGTTGCAGTTGTTGTGCTCCCTCTTTGCTCAGGTTGCTTCCTGATCAGCTGTCACGTTATTTCCAGAAACATTGGACAGTGTGAACGCTCAGCCGTCCTCATGTTCCCCTCACCTAAGAATTTCTAATTGAAGAAAAAACGAGCACTCCCAGCAGAGCTGAGGTCGTTCTTAAGACCCTCCCGTAATCAGGCCTTTGCTGACTTTGAAATAGGCACCATGATAGTGTGTTCCCCACTTTAGTGACTGCATGAAGCTGTACTATAGCGCTTTAAGAACGCGGTCTCCTATAGGACGGTCCATCAACAACAATTGATGGACATTTTGCTCCAAGAGTCCTGCAGATGATAACTGTCACTGAGAGACATTGACATTAATACAGGTCACATATTGATTATCAGTTAAATAGAACCTGGATCCTGACCTGAGGGTTTTCAGTCTACATTGTCTGTGTAGATCTGGTTCAGAAGAGTTGGGTTTCCTGCTTTGTCAGCCCCCTCGACACACCCAAACTTCTTCTTCACATACGTTTTGAGTTGGCGTTGACACAGTGAAGTCGTGGTTCCTGAGTGAAAACAGAGAAGATAATTGACCGCCTGTTTCTTTCATTTGAAGTTAAGTTGTATCAAAGACTCTTACTGCTCTGTAGAAAGTCAGCCAGCTCCTTCTGCTTCATTCCCTCTAGGAAGTTCAGCGTGATCTTCAGCAACGACTCCCTATTACTTCTTCTCTTCTCCTTCCCCTCACTTTCCACCAACTCCTCATCGTCACGCTCCATATCGAGTCTTCCGGGGAAATCTTGTTCCAAAACTCTCTGGAACTTTTTCAGCTCCTCCCCCACAAAAGCGTGAAGTTTCTCCCCAAGATTCTGAAGAGGGATACTAAATTAATTACTAATTAACTTAAAGGGATATTCCGGCGTAGTGCGTAATGGACTGGCCTGAGGTCTCTCTACAAACAAGCGTCTGCTGGAAGAGAGTAGGTGAGTTGTGTTTAGTCTCTTTGCTAAAGAAATGAGTCAAAGTTAAAAAGATGTTTGGTGTCTAGTACTATGTCTGTGACCCTATATGTCCTGTTGATGAAGTTAGGTGCTGTTCTGAGCATTATTTGTGGCTATAGAGTGGCGTTTTGGTTGGGGGCGTGGCTCTCTGTATTTCTATCCTGCGGTCGTTACTAAAGTTGGTATAACTAGAGAAGGAAGCGGTCGACAACATTCATCTCTGGAGGGGGGGTCTAACTCGGTGTAACGGTGGGTTTGGCCATAAATTAATTTTATGCCGGAATATCCCTTTAGTAAGTTTGATTCATGTTTATTTGAAGCTGAGGAAAAGGTTGTTTTGGAAATGTACACACCTTAAAGATGAAGTCCAGATCAGCTGGATGCAGTTGGACCGGCAGACCAACTGTAACATCTGACCTTTGTGCGATGGTTTGGAGTTAAGCAAAAAGGAAAGAGAGGAGGGAAGGAAGGAAGGAAGGAAGGGAGGAAGGAAGGAAAAGGCCCAAATGCAGAACGAAAAGTGGATTTATTTAAAAAGAAATCAATAAGAAGCAACAAAACAAAACTCACTTTTAATGTCCAACTGAAAATTTCTCAAGGGCAAAAAATCACTGGAGACACAGGCATACACTGAACTCAACGTAGACAAATACAACACATGAAGCAACAAGGAAACAGGGGAAGACAGGGACTACACACACACACACACACACACACACACACACACACACACACACACACACACACACACACACACACACACACACACACACAGGGAAACGAGCAACGAGAGGCAGGTGAGACAACAACTACGGAGGGAAAACTGAGGAAGTAAAACAAGAGTAGAAACACAAGGAATAAACTCCTACAAAATAAAACAGGAAACACTGATATAAGGAATAAAACACTGAGAACAAGAGGGAACCGGGGTCAGACACAAACTGAAAACTCACAAGACAGGACTACAGGGGAACAGGAACACGAGGGAAAACACACAGAAAATACACTCAAAAGACCAAAACCAGGAGAAAACTAAATACCAGAACATTTCATGACACTTTGCTGCTGAACTCTAATATGAAAACATGAAGAGTGACGATTGGAAAGCACACAGTCTACGAGAGTTTTGGCTGAAAACGAGGTGATGATTTTAGATAATGGATGTAAGGATCCCACTCTAGAACTGCAGACACTTGAAAGCACAACAGTGTCACAACGTCATAACAATGTTTGGGAGTGCGGCGGTACAACAAACACATTTATTAAAATTGTCACCTTTGTTCAGTGGAGTGGTGTTCCCCCTCAAAGTTGTAAGGTTCAAACATGGACTTGTTAGTCCTCATGGAGACACAGCTGGGGACAGGATGACGAGATCCCTGCTGGTGAAATCTGAAATAAAAGACAAACCGAAAACCAAACCTTAAAAATCTGATTCAGAGAGAAAAAAAAAACAGAACAAAGAGAAAAGTTGTTGAATGTCAAACTTTTTCAGCTCCTTTGGGCACTTCTTACCGTTCGTCTGAAGAAGAATCGTCTCTCAAATCTGGAACCGAGGCCACGGACACACAGCTGGGTTCAGGTCCAGGAGAGACCGGTTCCTGCTGCTGCTCTGGGCTTTAACACAGAACTCAGTTTAGTATCCTGATATGAAGAGGAGTCATCGATAACCAGAGATCCTGACTCACCTCTCAGGCCCACGTTCCCGGTGTAGAGCGGTTTTAGAGGGGGACACACCCTCCTCAGTCTCCTCATACTGATCCATATCAGAGTCCAAAACCTTCAGAAACCCATCCATCAAGCAAAAACCACATGCTGTCAAACAAACGAGACGGATGATGGTCAGTCAGTGATGAGCTGGGATTAAAGATGTCAGACAGGAGGACAGAAGAAAACATCGATGCTGCTGTCTGTGTGCTCCTCACCAGACTGATCATGAAGAGGGACAACGAAGACAGCACTGAGTAGATCTGTAGAAGAAACTGTGGGGCTCAGACTGTCTCTTTATCTCATGTGGAGACCAAACTGGTCAGTCTGAGGCGCCCCAGAAACTGCGGCAAAGTAAAGATAGTCCTTGAACTTCTCACAGATGGCTCATAACCTATCACCCTCATCTTTTTATCCGGGTTCTGATACAGAACTGCTCCAAGGGGCTGGTGACATCTGGATACGCCAGCACTGATGGCTCAGTGAGTCGGTCTGTTAGACACTCAAGGACCTGTTGGTGTTCCTCATTCCACTCTACGGGGTGTAGTGATTTGAAATGAGCCTCACACAGGGGCACCAAAATATATGTAGCGATTTGAAATGAGCCTCACAAGGCCGTACCAAAATAGTACTGTAGCGATTGGAATTTATAATAAATGTCTGAAGATTAATAATCTCAAATTATGACATTTATGCACTCGTTGAAAGGGGCACCACCCACCCTTGATGGTGGGAAAATAAAGAAAACAAAAGTTTAATTCAGAAATCAAACATCAAGTCAGTTTTAATTAATCAGTCTTAATTAATCAGTCTCATATCTTAAGTCGAAATTCTAATTTCAGGGACTCCACTTCTGGAAGAACACTAACAGTCAAGAACTTAGAAAAATAATGATCTGTTTATTACAGGATAAATGATGGTACAACACACATGCAATAAATGATGATAAGATAATGAAGATAAAATAATAATAGGTGAATAAATAAAGATTCTGAGTCAGGCTAGGAGCACTAAAGTTAATGATAGTGAGTGAATATGCGCTAACATATTAACCTACACTAACTTTGGTGTCGAGATAAACTCGGATGTGGATTTGGAGGAATCTAAGATCACCAGAAATAGGTGGATATCTGAGTTATGAACGCATGAGACAGCACCAGCCCTCTTTAGAGCTCTGGAGGTTTGCATACTTAAGTGAGACTGGTCCTTGGAGAAGATGGAGCAGGTTCCGAAGGTCCGGGCTACTGGCGGTTCGAGCGGTTCAGCTCAGAAGACGACTGAAGTCAGCCGAAGGATGAGCCAGGAGTTGCAGCACTCGGGCCCGAAAGCCAGCGCCTGTGGATCCTGTGGATGCTCGTTTGGGTACTTCTTTGGTCTCACTCAAAAACTCTAGCACAGAGGATGACCTGGGCCTGCTGGGTTGCGTTCAGAGGTGACTTTGAAATCACGCAGAAAACTCAGAAAAACGAGGCTCGAGCAGAGAAAACTTTCAAAAATGGCTTCGCGAAATTAAAGAAAAATCAATCAAAGGCTTAATCTTGAATTGCTATGTGCACAAAAAGTTGAAGTTTCAAAACTTGAACTAAGACGATGTTAAAGAAAAATCAACGTGAATCAACACGTGGCGTAAAACTTAGAAGACTAAGAAAAAGTTCTAAGAGAAAACAAAGAAACGCACCACAGAAGGGTGTGGGCAGAAGAGAAGGGGCATAAGAGCCGGGGACAAGAGAGTCAGCAGAAGAGCAGAAGCATAAGAGGGAAAAAGAGATAAGAGAGAGTGAGCAACCCGACTTCACTGGTTTTATCTTCTCACACTGGGAGTGTCTGAGGAGAAAGAGGAGGGGTCATCGGGTCTCTGATTATTTGATCTAACTTATTCTTTTGGCTGGTAAAAGAGTCAGATCTGATACTCACTCACTATGATTAATATCATTGAATGCTTGGTTTCATGATAAATAATTTGATACTAAACACATATGAATGAAGTGTAGGATCACATCAAACATTCTCATTATGTTTTAAGTATCACATTGAACATGCTAAATTACTCTGAAATGAAACAGATAGTAACACATGGAAACTGTGAACAACAAAAGAGTAAACACATGTGAATGAACGTCATCATGATTAATAATGGATTCTAAATACTCACATTCAGATTATTCAGTGACATTATAACCACCTAATGGTTAAGATACTAAATAAATAACTAAAATATAAACCAAACATTTCTAAACTATTTCTGTTACTTAGAGTAAACTTAGGATTCATAGTCAATAAATTTAACTCTTAAAAGTTCATGAAACAGTCTGAAAAGCTGTTGGTCTAAAGAACAAAAGAATAAAGGATTTATTCTGTCAGATAAGATAACTTGGCTTCTGGAGCACATAGAAAAACGGGAAACATCTCATTTTAACACAAATTTCATGATTAGACAGATTAGTACATTGCTGAATGCATAAGATGTCATGATCAGTCATTTGTATTCTTTCACCAAAGGAATGCAGTCTTTATCAGTGTATGGTCGAGCAGGGTTTTACGACCGAGGTCTGGAGGTCAGTGTCCCCCCTTATCCTGGGGTCCGTATGTTCACACACTTTAAGACGCTAAATCTCAAATGGGAGATCTGGGTTGAGACGTTAATGTTTATTTAGATGGTCAGCGATGGAGTCAGTTTGAAAGGTAATAAAAACTCTGTCTCTGTTCGCCGAACTGACCAATCCTGAAGAGTCAGAGGTTTAGTCAACCTCCGGTTGGGTCACTTATTTAACCTGAAAGTGCAAACACGTCTGGAAAGATTTATATCCTGTTTCCTGGGACCAGATAAGGAAACTTTCCTGTAAGGAATGTGTGAGTTTCACATCCAGGGTTGTCTTGATTGCTACAGGGGGTTCGAGAGGGCATTTGAGAACATTCTGACTTTCCTCTTGACAACACCGGTTGTTGTGTGCTGAGTTTTGACTGGAGTAGGTCGTACAATCGTTTCGCTGTACGTGAAAGGTCTTGTACGTAGCTGCGATAGTAACTCAAGAACCCAAGCAACTGCCTGACCTCCCCAACAGTCTGTGGTATGAGGTCCTTTAGCACCCGAACTGCTTAAAGGTCCTTGGGGTCAATCCTTATGCCTTCAGCTGACACCAGGTGACCTACGCATCGGTTCGCACTTTTCTGGATTCAACTTTACTCCATGGCGCTGCAGGGCCTGGAGGACCTCGCGTAGCACTTGAACATGTTTGTCAAAGAAGTTTTGGAGAAGAAAACCACATCATGGAGAAAAGGGGATGCAAAACTCATCCCTCAGCATGAAACAGGGTCGACCGGTTCTTCAGTTTAACTTGTTGACTGAAACGTGCGCCTTCTGGACCGACTTAAGGAGGACAATCAGTCCGTCCCAAAGTCTCATAAACTTTATAAATCCAGACAAAGTTCTGAAATAGCAGCTATAAAAACATCACCAACCCAGTAAAGGAATAAAATGTCGACCATGTTGAGTCTTTTACTGCCGAGGAGGGTCTTCAAACATTGTCAGGTAGTTTTTGTGTTAGTTGCAGAATGAAAGGGTGAAGGTTTGTCTCAAAATTAAAGCATTCATATAAATCTTTCGGGACAGGGTTTGGTTCCAGCGAGGTCAGCAGCGTTGGTAACAGTTTATAAGTCTTCGTGTTGTTCCGTCTCAGTCCCTCACAGCAGCTTTCTCAGTTGTTTTTTTTACAGCCATCATAAGACCTGATCCTTCCGGGGGGCGGTCTCTGTCACACAGACTAGACTTGACCAGAACCCATTTAACAGAAGTACTGCCCCTCCTTTATGGTCAAAGTATGACTGTAAATACATATTTTAGGCTTAAAATCATTGAAACACCTCGTGGAGAGACACGAACACACTCACCATGAAAATATATTTGTTATAAAATGATCATTAACTTGAAATAGTCCAGTTTGTTCGTGTTTGTTGATGTTTATGACACATAAAATGATCTTCAGTACTAAACTTAAACTCCTGTTTTGTTCTGAAACTCTTTTTAAAACATCCTTCAATGTTACAGGGTCAAAAAGGTCATGGAAAGTGTTGAAATGATGTTTTTAATTACAATAGGAAACGTCAGACAATTTAAAAATACAGAGAAATAAACTCTTATATATCCACTTACTTACTTTGTTCGATGTCTGTCCGCCTGTCTCCCACGCTCTGGTTTCCTGGTCAAGTCTTTACGGACATGCAGGATAAGAGTCATCAGTTTCATGAACTCCACCCAGCAGCATTGAAACTGTAAAAACACACGTCTCAGCTTACAGAGCAGGACAAAGTTCAGCGTTAACTGCTTCATCAGGAGTTTAGGAAGGAAGTACATTTAAACCTTTTTTTATTCATGTCCACCAGTCGCAGAAACTGGAGGATAAAAATGAAATGTTCCTCAATCAGAGCTGGAATATGATCCACAGCAGATGGAATCCACCTGATTGGATACAGAGTTTAGATACAGCACGAACCTGAACTGATAAACTTGAAGAAGACACGGTCATGTGATCAATCAAAACCCTCCGTTCAGTTTCAAATCGACGTTAAAGTTGTAAGCAGCTCTAGGCACCATGATGGGGCTGAGATCCATGTCACTGAGTTTGTGTTTTCATGGAAAAAGCAGAAACCAGAGGAGTGCATCCAGTGTTTATACGAGCAGACGCATCGTTTATTATGAGTTCAACATAATAACATCATATTAACATCATAATAACATCATAATAAGATCATATTAACATCATAATAACATCATAATAAGATCATAATAAGATCATAATAAGATCATATTAACATCATAATAACATCAAATTAACATATTGACATCATAATAACATCATATTAACATCATAATAACGTCATAATAACATCATAATAACATCAAATTAACATATTGACATCATAATAACATCATATTAACGTCATATTAACATCATATTAACGTCATATTAACATCATAATAACGTCATAATAACATCATAATAACATCAAATTAACATATTGACATCATAATAACATCATATTAACGTCATATTAACATCATATTAACGTCAAATTAACATCATAATAACGTCATAATAACATCATAATAACATCAAATTAACATATTGACATCATAATAACATCATATTAACGTCATATTAACATCATAATAACGTCATAATAACATCATAATAACATCAAATTAACATCATATTAACATCATAATAACATCATAATAACATCATATTAACATCATAATAACATCATAATAACATCATAATAACATCATAACGTCATAATAACATCATAATAACATCGTATTAACATAATAACGTCATAATAACATCATAATAACATTATAATAACATCAAATTAACATCATATTAACAAGGCTTCAGTCGCTCTATCTCTCTTTCGCTCTCTCTCTTTCTCTCTCTCTCACTCTGCTCCTTCGTCTCCTCCTTCTCTCTATGTAGTCTTCAGTTTGTCCAGCAGGGGGCAGCAGAGCTCAGTTTACAGCAGATCCAGGTTCATGGTCCTCATCATGAGTCCTCAGCTCTTCTGTAGACCTGAGTGAGCCCAGTAGACCAGGTTCTGGAGTCTGCTGTCCCAGTCTGACCTGATTGAGGATTTCAGCTGCTCAACAGTTCAGGGTCTCCTTGGTCCAGTTTCTCAGCTGGATCTGAACTGGGGGCTGATGATCGTGGTCAGGTTCAAGTTCGACTTGATGATTGGGATTTCAATCCAGGGTTAGGTGCTCGGACCATAAAAACAGAGGGGACTGGGCGGGAGTCAGTCAGGGGACAGAGGAGCAAGACTCGGATATGAACGAGTCAGAGCCTCAAAGTATTTACAGGTAAACAGAAAATGAAGTTTCTAAGTTCTGCTCTCATGTGTTTCTGTACGAGTCTGTCTCTCCTTCTACAGAGTGAGCAGAGACACTGAGGAATCAGCCCACAACTTAAACCCAGGGTAGAGAGGCTTGGTGAAGGTGGCGGTGAAGGTGTGGAGGTGGGTCAGTGTTCTGGAGGAGACTCTGTAGAAGGACAGAGAGCCGGCGGGATGGTCCAGATACACGGCGACTCTGTGAGAGAGAGCGCAGATGGAGTCGAGGCGGGTCTGTTCGTTGTCGTGCCAGACAGAGAAACCGTCCTCTTCAGAGCACCTCAGAGTCCAGGACTGAGGATTTCCTCCAAACCTGCAGTCAGCGCTGTCTCCTCCTTTCCTCTTGATTTCTCTGTAGGCCACTGATATATACGTCCGTCCACTCCACTCCACCTCCCAGTAAGAGCGACCAGTCAGAGCAGTTTTGCACAGGAGCTGCTGACAGTAGTCAAATCTCTGCGGGTGATCAGGATAGGACTGCTTCTCCGTCGCTATGGTCACCTTCCTGTTATTGTCGGAGAGTAAGAGGTTTCTGTTCACGGTGTTTGAGTCCAGCTCCAGGTCACAGGAATCTGGTGGAGAATAAAGATGGAGGAAGCGTTACGGTTGTTATCCTCCGTTTTCCAACTTTTTCTTATCATGTTAGATTTGAATCCAGTTTAATTAGCACACTGGACCAATGTGATTAATATCCACGTTTACATGAGCACAATGTCTTCATCCGATAAAAAATTTAAGGGATCGGATAATCCGAATCCTCGGTTTATATGGGCGCCAAATCAAATAATCCGATCAGGATGTGTGTATAAGTTTTATTCAGATTAGAAGTATTTGGACATGTTCACTAAAACAGCAGCTATCAGACTGTTGAACAAAACCTGAGTCGAGGACCTGTTCACCTCAGCACCTCTATAAACATACTGCACTGCTAGAACTGCTGCATTCATTTCACTTTTTATACAGATTTTAACTGGTTTTAACTGGTTTTAACTGGTTTTACTCTACTTGGCAGGTCTGCACATGTGCAGTCGTTGTTGTTGTTAGTGTATTGTGTATAAGTCTCTCTCTCTCTCTCTCTCTCTCTAGGCGTCCAGAAGGCGTCCTAACCAGATGCCCGAGTCACCTCAGCTGACTCCTCTGGACGTGGAGGAGCAGCGGTTCTCCTCTGAGCTCCTCCCGAGTGTCCGAGCTCCTTACCCTATCTCTAAGGCTGAGCCCGGACACCCTGAGGAGGAAACCCATTTCAGCCGCTTGTATCTGTTGTGATATCGTGTCATGCAGTATTTCATAATTATTATTGATTGTTAAACGACACTGCACCACTGCACATACAGCGTTCATTGAGTAGAAAGGTCGTTGTCTTTCTTCTGCGCGCTGCCGTCTGTTGAGAGTGTTGCTCTGTGTTTCATGTGTTGAAGAAATCGAGCATGCCCATAAGCAATGTTAGTTTTTTCCCAGTATGGTGCAGCCCTGGTAAATACTGCCACACTCTGCCTTTATCTAAATATTGTTGTGGGATTGAAGTCATTATCATCTGTAATGAAGACCGTCATGTCGACATAGACCTCAAAAAACGTTCTTGACTTTGATCGACTTGGTTGTTCATCAGCTGACCGACTCTTTGGACGGAGACGTCAGATACACATCTGTTTTGGTCTTCTTGGAGGCTTCATGCAGGTTCACCAACTTTGAATTCTAAAGATCTGAACATGTTCGAGCTCTTTTTCCTACTTACACTTCTTCAGACCCGGCTTTAGCCACTGCTCTTCATTGTGATCCACCCTGGAGGAAGAAACAGAGAAACAGGCTCACAAGAAGTTCTCAGAGACTTCCTGATCATGACCTTCACAGAAGATGGAGCACTGACTGACATCGCACTGAATCAAGCTTCAGTCGGACCAGCGTGTTTACGAGGGTTTCAAAAGTCGAGTCTCAGTCTATTAAAGGTACTGTGTGTCCCTGACCATCGGGGACGGAGGATGAGGTCACCAAAGGGACTCTGTCCGGGTTCAGCCCAAATCAGCCCCTGCCGAGGTTTTCTAAGAACTTCAGGAAGGATCAGACTGCTGGCCTTTGTATTTATAGAAGCAGTTGGAGGTAGGACATCCAGGCAAACTTGCTAAAGCTGCCTTCACTGCTGCTGGACCCCGCAGGTAAGTGAAGAAAACAGGTGGATGGAGTTCTTATCAACCTGTTCAATATCCTCATGTTACAGTATCAGAACAACTATGAAAGATGAAGTACAGTACAGGCCAAAAGTTTGGACACACTTTCTCATTCAATGTCTTTTCTTATTTTTTTATATGACTATTCACATTGTAGATTATCACTGAAGGCATTAAAACTTTGAATGAACACATGTAGAATTTTGTACTTATAAAGAAAGTGTGAAATAACCGAAAACATGTTTTATATTCTAGTTTCTTTAAAATAGCCACCCTTTGCTCTTGATGACAGTAGTTCCTTGTCAGGGTTACTTCAGGCACTCCTGTGAAGTAAAAACCATTTCAGGTGACTACCTCATGAAGCTCATTGAGAGAACAGCTTAAGTTTGCAGCGCTATCAAAAAAGTAAAGGGTGGCTACTTTGAGAAATCTAAAATATAAAACATGTTTTCAGTTATTTCACACTTTTTTCTTAAGCACATGATTCCACATGTGTTCATTCATAGTTTTGAGAATCTACAATTTAAATAGTAATGAAAACAAAGAAAATGCATTGAATGAGAAGGTGTGTCCAAACTTTTGGCCTGTACTGTATCTTCAACTATGAAGATTAGTGAAGTTCAAGAATGGCAGAGACATTATAATACTCAGTAGAGGAGAGCGGGGTAAGTTGAGCCCCCCCCCGTTGCTTGGAAATTGTCAACTTACCCCAAACATACCCGGGGTAAGTTGACCACAGGAGACCCCTTTTTTTGTCCTGCTATATTCTGAAGATGACAGTTCTGTTTACACTCATTCTGATGGTTTACAGGGATGAACAACATCCTGAAATATCTGCAGAGACACGAGTTAGAGACTAAACTAGGACTGACCTGATGGACTGATCTGATGGATCATCTGACCCCGCTCTCCCCTACATGTTCAGATGTACTTTCTTAATGAAGCTTGTTGTTCATTCACATCCCTAAGTTATCATGATTTAGACCTGAGCGTGTCAGTATGATCTGTGAAGAACAATCCTGAGGTGGTGTCTGTCTGACAGAAACAGCTTTTGTTGTTGTGTGTAAATACTTGAGGGTGTCCAGTCTCCATCTCGGATCACTGAGTCCAGCAGAAAGCCTCTTCAAGCCTGTTTCTCCGGGGTAGTTGTAGGTCAGGTCCAGCTCTCTCAGATGAGAAGGGTTGGAGTCCAGAGCTGAGGCCAGAGAAGAGCAGCCTTCCTCTGTAATCAGACAGCCGGACAGCCTGGAGACACAGATAAACACACACTTGGATATTTCATCAGGAAACATACAATCATCACAGAGTCACCGCCAGGATCTGGACCTGCCCAGTTAGGACTAGTGCTGGGCGATAGGACGATAGATATCGTGGGCACGATAGAAAATGTCTATCGTGCCATTTTTATTTTTATCGTTTCGGGCGATAGGCTGTATTTTATCCATAGGGCTTGTGCCATCAGATGATTCATAGTAACAACAACAATAACTGCACATTCAGTAAGTGTATTTGGTGTCGAACGGGAAAGAAAACAATATTTTCTTACAAAGAAAAGGATGCGTTGACATGTAGGCTCGCATTTCTCTTTCGATTTTGCGACATGACGCCGCTTTACGTGCCCTGTTCGTGTCCAGCGTCTCCCGCCATTGCGGGTTACCTGGGTTACACACGTGAGGGGATCATTGTAAGCAGTGCTTAATTTGTGCCGGAGCAAGTCGGAGCGCGATCCGGGACCTCTTTTGATCGTATCCGGGACCTATTTCAGCCGCTCCGGCACCTGTTTCATCTGATCCGGGACCTTCCCTGTAGAGGATGACATTTTTCGGGAATTCCCGTGGGTCACGTGATTCCCGCGGGAATCCTACGGGATGGGAGTCATTTTTTAATTAATCCCTTGATCGGGACGGGACGGGAAAAAAAGCAACGGGAGAGTGGGCAGGAGCGGGAACAACATGAAAAGATGATCATTTTCAGCCGTGTTTAACAACCAGATGAACAGGTGCGTCCATTTTTGTAGTCATCTCTCAGTGAGAGCCAACACTCTTGACCGCGCTAGCAACACAAAAGAACTACAACAGTGGTTTGACTTCCTGTCAGCTGGGAGCGCGGCTGCGCATTTCTACCCTTCAAGCCAGCAGCGAGGAAACGTAATTTTGTGACATTCTGTAGTTTTTCAATCGTTTCTGGAGTCGTGGCGAATCAAATCACCTTACCTGTCTGCCCCTGATAGGCGAATAAAGCGCTCGGATTCATGCTCGGGTCTTGCTACGTGCTTCAAGAGTAAAGTAAACAATGATGGAGGCAGAGAGCAGCTTTGGAGGAGAAACATCCAGCAAAAGAGCCCTAAAGACCTACCTTTTTAATAAAGCCTTTGGTTAGCTTTCCTCTATGCTTTTACTACCTTGCCTCTTACATTGCAACTCTATATTCTTTATTTTTTTTATTCTTTTATTCTTTTTTATGCCAATCTGTGACTGTCATTCTATTGCTTTTTTTTATTGTTGCTGCTCTTTTTTTACTGTGTACTGTAGCACTTTGAGATTTTTTGTAAATGTAAAGTGCATTACATATTAAATTTATTATTATTATTATTATTATTATTATTATTATTATTATTATGGAGTGCTTCGGCTCACACTATCAGCGTTTTCTGTGAGTGTTGCATAACTTTGGGTGAGCACAGACATGAACGCACTTCAGCCACGTATTTATTTATTCATTTTTCTACTTTAAGTGCTGGTCTTGTACTGGCACTGTACTAGTGCAGCTGTATACACTTTAATTTTTTCATAGAACTGAAAGCATACCATAGCTATATCGTGATATATATCGTTATCGTGATATAAAATGATCCATATCGTGATATACATTTTTTTCCATATCGCCCAGCACTAGTTAGGACCCAAAACCAGTATGAACAGACAACAGGTGGACAGGAGAGGCAGTTGGACCCTGACCATCTCCCTGTCCTCGTCCTTCCTGGAGGACCTCATGAGGAGGTCTCTCAGGTGGTGCAGCTCCTCCAGGATAGCACATCCAAACACACCATGTTAAGAAATATATTTTTATGCCTTTTAAAGTATTTCTCATTTTTTTATCCCTGCGGTGTCGAAACTGGTATCGAGTATCCAGTATTTTTCTGAGTATCAATACTGAGTTTAAAATCTTAGTATCGTGACAACCCTGCAGCCCTAAAACAGAGAAGGTCTTACGCCACGAAGGCTGAATCCTCACCTCAGAGTCTTCAGTCTGCAGCGGGGTCCTTTCAGTCCAGCAGAGAGTAACCGGACTCCTGAGTCCTGGAGGTCATTGTTGCTCAGGTCCAGCTCTTCCAGATTAGAGGAGCGGGACCTGAGGACTGAGGACAGAGCTTCACAGCTTCTCTCTGACAGATTACATCCGCCCAGCCTGGAGAAGAAAGAAAAACTAATATTATCCACTTCAGTGTCCAAATTTACACATTTCTGCCGACTATAATTGGTCTGTTAGTCAAGCCATGAAGTACCAAGAGTCTTGAGAGGCAGGAACTATTTCTGATCGGTGTGTTTAAACAAGAATGTAGCTGCACTGGACAAAAAACAACATTTACTGACATTTATGTGGTCAGAAATAATCTGTACACACTCACAGAGCTTTGTTGGAGGCTTTGACCACCGGCAGAAGCCTCAGAAGAACCTCCTCAGAGGCTGAGTATTGCTTTAGGTCAAACACGTCCAGATCTTCATCTGAAGACAGTAAGATGAAGGCCAGGGCTGACCACTGAGCAGGAGACAGTTCAGCTGAATACAGATGTCCAGACCTCAGGAACTGTTGGATGTGATCCACCAGATAACTGTCATGAAGTTCATTCAAACAGTGGAAGAGGTTGAGGATTCTCTCTGGAGACAGATCCTCCCTGATCTTCATCCTGATGTACTGGACTGTATCCTGATAGATCTCTGAGGTACTTGCTGAGTCTGACACCAGACCCTGAAGAAGAGGTTGATTTGTCTGAGCTGAAAAACCCACGAGGAAGCGAAGGAACAAGTCCAGGTGTCCATTTGGACTCTGCGAGGCCTTTGCCACAGCACTCTGGTACAAAGGATCTGGTTTAGGTTTGTCTCTGAAAGGAAACCACCACCACCTCCACCACCATGATGTTGATTGTTCTTCTTCCATCAGGTTGACTCCAGAGTTGGTGAAGGTCAGGTGGACGTGAAGAGCAGCCAGGAACTCCTGAACACTCAGATGGATGAAGCAGAACACCTTGTCCTGGTACAGTCCTCTCTCCTCTCTGAAGATCTGTGTGAACACTCCTGAGTACACTGAGGCTGCTCTGATATCCAGTCCACACTGAGTCAGGTCTGAGTCATAGAAGATCAGGTTTCCTTCCTGCAGCTGCTCAAACGCCAGTTTTCCCAGAGACCCAATCATCTTCCTGCTCTCTGGACTCCAGTGTGGATCAGTCTCAGCTCCTCCATCATACTTGATGTTCTTCAGTTTGAACTGGACCATCAGGAAGTGGATGTACATCTGAGTCAGGGTCTTGGGCAGTTCTCCCCCTTCTGTGGTCTTCATCAGGTCCTCCAGAACTGTAGCAGTGATCCAGCAGAAGACCGGGATGTGGCACATGATGTGGAGACTTCTGGATGTCTTGATGTGGGAGATGATTCTGCTGGCCTGCTCCTCATCTCTGAACCTCTTCCTGAAGTACTCCTCCTTCTGAGGGTCAGTGAACCCTCTGATCTCTGTCACCATGTCAACACACTCAGGAGGGATCTGATTGGCTGCTGCAGGTCTTGTGGTTATCCAGAGGCAAGCAGAGGGAAGCAGGTTCCCCCTGATGAGGTTTGTCAGCAGCACATCCACTGAGCTGGACTCTGTAACATCAGTCAAGACCTGATTGTTGTGGAAGTCCAGAGGAAGTCGACACTCATCCAGACCGTCAAAGATGAACACGACCCTGAAGTGTTGAAAGCTGCAGATTCCTGCTTCTTTGGTTTGAGAGAAGAAGTGATGAACAAGTCCCACCAAGCTGAACTTCTTCTCTTTCAGCACATTCAGCTCTCTGAAGGTGAATGGAAATGTGAAGTGGACGTCCTGGTTGTCTTTGTCTTCAGCCCAGTCCAGAGTCCACTTCTGTGTTAAGACGGTTTTCCCGATGCCAGCCACTCCCTTTGTCATCACTGTTCTGATTGGTTCCTGTCTTCCAGGTGAGCCTTTGAAGATATCTTGATGTCTGATGGTTGTTTCTGGTCGGTCTGGTTTCCTGGATGCCGTTTCAATCTGTCGGACCTCGTGTTCATCATTGACCCCCCCAGTCTCTCCCTCTGTGATGTAGAGGTCTGTGTAGATCTGATCCAGGCGGGTTGGGCATCCGGCTCTAGCAATCCCCTCAAACACAAACTGGAACTTCTCCCTCAGGCTGGATTTGAGTTGGCGTTGACATCCTGCAGCAGGCGTTCCTGAGGATTTCAATGGAGAACATGTAGGAAGTGGCTTTGGACAAAAGCAACAACTCAATCAAACAGGAGTATTCAAACCAATCTTACGGCTCTGAAGTGCGTCAGCCAGATCTCCATGCTTCATTTTCCTGAGCATGTGCACCACGATCTTCAGAAATGCCTCTCTGCTCCTCCTTTGCTCCTCATCCTCACCCTCTTTCTCCAAATCCAAGCACTGTGAATAATTTGGTCTCAGCGCCATCTGAAACTGTTCCAGCTCTTCCGTCACAAAGTCATCAACGTTCCCCCGAAGATGCTGAAAACAGAAAACAGCATTAATATCAGTTTGTTGAACTCACACCAACGTTGTTGTGGAGATCTTCTCACCTTAAATATGGGATCCAAGTCTGTTAGATGCTGACCACCAGGAACCTCTGACTCTTGCTCTGGAGCTCTGTGGAGAGGGGCAGAGAGCTCACTTTCCCCTCACTGATACAGTTCACCAATGCTTTACACACTGAGATCATTCAACAAAAAGAAGGGAGATGGAGGCATTCAGAGCGAGCTTTACCATCAGGGCTGCCTACAATGTCCTACCTTCTCCTGCAAACCTAAGCCAGTGGTATGGCGAAGACCCCACATGCCCTCTATGTCCAAGTCCAGTAACACTGAAGCACAGTTTAATGGGATGCAAGACCAGCCTAACCCAAGGCTGCTACACCTGGCGGCACAACCGGGTGTTAAAGTGTCTTGCAGCAGTGCTGGAAAGTCGCAGAACAAGTGTCAACTCCCTTCCTACCCCATCATCCTGTTGGAAGCCATCACCATTTGTTTGGGAGGGCAAGGCTCAAGCTAGCCTCACCACCGCAAGACCAGACAATGGGCAGCTGGGTGGAGCACGGGACTGGAAGATCCTGGCAGACCTGGACACGAAACTCTGCTTCCCAGCTGAGATCACATCCACCAACCTGCGACCAGACCTTGTTTTGTGGTCAGCCTCACTCAAACTCGTCTACACCATCGAGCTCACTAACCCTGGGAGGGTGCAGTGGAGGAGGCCTATGAGCGGAAGAAGCTGTGGTACGCCAAACTCGCAGCAGATGCTCAACAACAAGGCTGGAAAGCTAAGGTCTCCTCAGTGGAAGTACGCTGCAGAGGGTTTGTAGCCACCTCAACAACTGGGCTACTCAGAGAGATGGGCGTGCGAGGGAGGGAAGGCACACCGGCAGGCAGTCAAGGACCTCTCCAGGGCCACTGAAAAGGGGAGCCAGTGGGTGTGGTTAAAGAGACAGGACTCCACGTGGGTCTGCGGGTGAGTTGATGGCATCTAGGGAGTCAGCCTGGGACGGTGGTTCAACGAACCACCGAAGAAGACGGGCGCCCACCTGATGACCTGAAGGATGCCATCACTCATCTGAACACCCTACAGCGGTGCTTCAAGTGTCATCATCAATCCCATTCAAAGGTATCCCATCCCATTCAGGCGCAAGCGTGGCTCAAGGAGAAGGACGTCCCTGCCAAGCAGAGTCCACGGCACTTTGGACAACAACATCATATCCTGTTTCTATGAATCTGAATTATTGTCATCATTACTAAATATACCTGCACATTGTCTGTTCTTTTAACTCTAATGTGAGAAAGCTAGGACACCGTAAAATGTTGGAACATAAATTTCTTGAGTGCAAAGTCAACATGTGAAATATTGAAACTGAAAATGACGATTGTTCCTGAAAGTAATCCTGATACTTGGGTTTGTGTATTGGCCGATCCTGTCCCTGTATGGTGAACCTGTTCCTACCTTTTAGAATTAAAGTCTCAGTTTCTGGTCCTAGAAACAGTTTTTTGTCTCGAACAGCCAAGAACCGTCTGAAAAAATGTAGAAGTCTTACCTATTATCAGCAGAGAGACGTTCATTCTTGAAGTCGTAAGGTTCGAACATGGACCGATCACTCTTCATGGACACACGGCTGGAAACAGGAGAGTTAGTTTATCACTCTTTTAATCCCGTGTTCTTCAGTTAAGGGATGGATTACTGTACTGAAGCGTTCACATACGAGCAGTGAAATGTTCATCCTGATCTTTAGTACAGAAGACTGCTGCCTTTCAAAAGAACAACAACTCTGTCTCAGGGTCACCGGCTTTTATACCTTTAAATCCTGAAGTATCCTGGTTGAAGACAATGTTCAGTGTACTTCCCTCTATCATCTTCTCTCTATCCTCTTTTATATTTTTTTATATTTCAAGGATCATTTTTCTCTTGTGACTGCTCTGTGTTCATGATGCTTAGATTCCTGTTGACCTCATGTTTGGTTTCTTACTTCAGTTCTCAGTGTTTCCTGTTTTATTTTGAAGAATTTAATCCTTACTAATTCGTCTCGTTGTACTTCTTTGTTTTTTCCCTCCTGTTTTTGATCAGTCATTCGTTATACAGTTGAAACCAGAAGTTTACAGACACTATATAAAAAGGAACATAACCTTTTTTTTCCTCACCATCTAACATTAAATCAGATTAAACTTTTCCTGTTTTTGGTCAATTAGGATTTCCAAAATTATTTTTATTTGTTAAATACCAAAATAATGAGAGAGAGAATTTTTTAGACATTTTAAAAATTATTTTCTTGTAGATTAACGGTGAGGAGTCGAACCTTTCTTTGGCAGAGAGACGTTCATTCTTGAAGTCATAAGGTTCGAACATGGACCGATCACTCTTCATGGACACACGGCCAGGACCAGGACCAGGACCAGGACCAGGAGACTCTGGTCTCTGTGGTAGCTGGAGGCTTTAAGATCCGGCACACAGAGATGTCAGTGTGAGTTTGAAGGTGGAGAGTCTGAAGAAAAGTCATTATCAGATTGAAATTCTCATGTCACCTCTGAGCATCATGGTCCTCACACAAAGTGGTTTTAGACGGAGGATCTCGTCCCTCGCTCTCCTCACAATGATCCATGATGAACCCAAAACCTGCAAACAAACCAACAACAGAGAGCTCGGACCGACAGTTAGGAACAAATTCACACAAACTATCAACAGAGACCTTTAGTGAGACTGAAACCACAGATTCAGTCTGCTCTCAGAGGTGCTGATGTTGAGATGGTTACAGATATCAGGGTGTGGTCCTCCTCGGTCATAAACTGGGTTTCGAACCTCACGCTGACGTCACCTCCAAAAAGGTTCAGCAAAGGTTCTTCATGAGGAAGATAAGAACCTTTCATGTTTCTTTGGAGATGATGAGTCTCTCTTTAAAGTTTTATTGAATCCATTTGATCTTTTTGTGTAGCGGCACGCTTTAAGAACCTGAACTGGTCCAACAAGAACCGCCGACAGGGGTCACATTCATCTCTAACAGACAGGTCATGAAGAAGGTTAATGCTGTTCTGGACTGTCCTAACCTCCCTCTGCACTATGAACTCGAGCTCCTACAAAGGGGACTCCTACGGAGGACGAGGATTTCAGATCTCATTCATCTCCAGTAGGCCTTAGAAACTTTAGAAAAATCAACCGTGATCCGAAAAAATAAATGCTGCAATATCGCAGGACGGGAAAACATCGCTGATGTGAACGCTTGTGTTGACAGGATACGGGTTTGAAAAAATTATTCACGTCATGAGAAAAGATGGATCTCAGGTGACGGTAAAAAAAAATCATCATCAGTGTTTAATCTCGGTTCGTATCAAGCTCCAATAAATATCGTTTTTTCTTTAAGGTTCAATTTTTTTAATCCGGAGCGGATACACCCCCACCCCGACGAAAAACAAACTGAAGGTCAATCAGTGCCGATAAAAACGGATAAAAACTGATACTCAAATGACTAAATCACCGAAAACAAATGATCAGACCAGAAAAAAACTATCTAATAATATAATAATAAATAACTGGAGCTAAAACGAATCGAGACTCAAAAACACTCAGTTTTATCTCTGTGACTGAAAGTGAAAGTAAATCTCTCTCTGTCCACAAAAACAGACTTTAACCACCTTTAACCACCCTCAGTGTGACTTTATTTTTAGTCTATTATAACACATTAACAAACAGGAACCCACACCTTTAACACGGACTTACCTTTAATCAGGAACAGGGGAGACAGGTAACGGTTCGTCCAATCGAGTCAGCTCCGATCAACAAAATGAGGAAATAAGGAGTAAGTGAGTCTGTGGGACAAACACAGAGCCACACTGCCCCCTGCTGGCTGAAAACACAGTCCCAGAAAAGCGCTTTTACCTGTGAATACAGCTCCTTCTGTAGGGGTATCACCACCTAAATAATATCATACAGAGACAAGAAGTGAGTGTGCATTTTCTGTGTGTGAAAGAAAAGAAAAGTCAGAGCTGAATTAAATATTAATGTCACGATTTAAAGCTTCAAAATAAAAATCTCACCGAGTTTAACTTTCCTTAATTCAGTGACAATCAGCCGCTTCACTTTCCTGATACAGTCTGAGAAAGAATATTAATTAAATATGAGTAAAATATGAGTTAAATGTGAGTAAAATTCACCTCACTTCACCGTCAGCTCCAGTTGAAACGTCCTCAGCTGAATCCAGACTGTATAAACTGGTCTGAACCTGCAGAAGGTCAAAGTCCAACCTTATCTCTTGATCAATAAAACCCACCTTATTGTTCCCTATAATAAAACATCCTGATCAAACTCTCATCTCTGATCCAAAGGTGGAGTTATGAACAGCAGAGATCACGGGTCGTTTTACTGGTTTTAATGATCTACAGCATCTAATAAGAACTTTTCCACATCTCTGATTTGACTCTGATCATTTCACATCATGTGAGACAAACAGCTGACTGTGTTCACATTAACTTCCTACAGAAACCAAAACCAAAGTCTATTTCTATTTCTATTTAAAAATGGGAACAGAACATACTGATGAACATTTACAGTCAAGCCCAAAAAGCTCTGAAATATTTCTGTCCACCATGATCCTCTTGTACATCAGCTGATTATCTTCTGGGAGACGTCTGTGTCATTTCTAGTTAACAACAAACTTGCTGCTTGAATAAAAGTAACTAAGTCCAGGAGTATAAATCATTCTGGGCTTGACTGTAAATGTAAATATGTGGGATTATAACCAAACGGCTCATTTCCAAGTCAGTGAAAATGTCAGAAAACATCTTCTCAAACGTTCTCTCTGGTCACCTGCTCAGAAAAAGAAAAAAAGGACTTCAGAGAAAGGAGATGAATTCAGCCTTCAGATTTATTCAGCTTTTAGAAAAGAGTCAAAGTGTCTCAGTGTTACAGGAGATCATCGAACAGAAACAAACAGATTAAACCGACAGAGGAGCGTGGGCGTGTGATCAGCTGGACTCAGTGGGAGAGTCCTCAGCAACAGGACGACAACAACAGCTCTGTGAACAAAGACCCTTAAATATGAGGAGATAAGAAGATAAACAAGAGAGAAGACGTCTCACCTGATCTTCACACCTCAGCTCATCAACAATCAACACCAAATATGATTATAATGTTTGATTATCAGCAATATTGATGATCAGCAGCAGCAGCGAAGAGGAACGGTTCCTCATCAATAACTGATCTGGATCCAGCTCTGCTCCGTCGGTGAACCGACTCTGATCCTGAATGAAAGGGGATCCTCACAGAACCTCCTCATCAGGATCCTCAACGTTCAGCAGATGGAGCTCATCTAAAATCACAGGGTTCTGGTTCTGGTCCAGTTCCAGTCTGCAGAGGTCTCTGATATCATTATTAATCCAAATCATTGTGATTATGAGTTACACCCTGAACCTGGACCAGGCTCCGGTCCAAATCCAGGATTAGGTTTGAGACTTTCAGACAGAGGAACTCAGAACCAGGAGGCCCGGTTTTAAAAACACTGAACCCATCAGTCAGAGAGAGAAACACACCTGTGAGAGCAGGAGTCCAAAGACATGAGAGCAGTTTATCTGAGCAGCTGAGACTCCAGCATCCTTCAGTGTTTTAAAGACAGACTCGAGTTCAGCATCGAGACAGGAGGAGGAGAGAGCGGACCACCGGCCCGGCTCCCTGAACCCGTCCTGGACAGAACCCAAACAGCAGCACCTCTCTTCAGTGTCATCGGTTAATATCGTCGTTTACATTCAGTCCAACAGGATCTCATTTCCTCCTGGAACAATTATCAGTCTCATCGTTAAAAGGCGATTTTCTTAAACTTGACGACTTTTTTTTTTAACTTCACCATCTCCAGTAAACGAATTATTTCACCTTTCTGTAAGAAAGTGCCAAAAATCAACACGAAGCAGGACACCTATATATCGTTCTGATTCAACGTTAAAGGGATATTCCAGCGTAAAACTAATTCAGGGTCAAACACACCGTCACACCGAGTCAGACCCCCTCCAGAGATTAATGCTGCCGACCGCTTCCTTCTCTAGTTATACCAACTTTAGTAACGACCGCAGGATAGTACGTTAGGTGCTGTTCTGAGCATTATCTGTGGCTACAGAGCGGCGTTTGGTTGAGGTCTGTTTATGGCTCCTCAGACCGCTCTGTATTTCTATCCTGCTGGAGCAGAGAGGGAGGGGAGAGGAGGAGCTGAGGGTTGGGAGGGGTCGAGTTTACATTCAAGATTTCTCCCAAAAACTGGAACTAACTCAGATCCTGACAACACACCACCTTTAATTTTACGCTGGAATATCCCTTTAAGACTTGAACTCTTACTTTGGCGGTTCATAACAATAACAGGAAATACTTTGGTTCCTTTGGTGGGAGAAACTTTTAAATCCACTCCCTGTACTCTGACAAGTTTCACTTTAAATCAGTATCAGATACCAAAGCGACAGATTCAGATACTTCATCAAATTTCACATGATCTCATCGTTCAGCTGAATTATGGGTAATGTCATCAACAGTCTCACACGTCAAAGGCACGTCAGTGATTCAGAGAGTGGTCAGTGTGAGGCGTCAGGAACAGTCGGACACTTTGGGAACTTTCTGTCTCCTGTGGAGGAGAATAACGCCGCTGTTTCCTACGTCTGCTCCTTCGACCACTTTGTGGAGCGAAACAAACGGATTAAAAATCTAATTATTCATAAAAACAACAACATCAGTATGATAATAACGCGTCACCCTGATTCACAGGATATAAAAAGTCACATGACTGGACCAAACAATAACATCTAAACATTTTCAGCGTCTCTCACTGATTTCTGTCTCTACCTCACCACTCCTCAGGGTGGCGCTGACGACACTAATTCTGCACGACTTCTTTCAGGCACTTTCTCGATCCTTCAGTCAGGGCCTGTGTCCATTCACGACAAATTTTCCACTGGAGGTGCCCACGGCCTCGATTTCACTGCACCCCGCATTGCACTTATTTAAGTAGAGTATAAAAGTTGACCCACTTCAGCTTCCGTAGATAGTCAACACAAGTTGGTCAACACAAGTTGGTCAACACGTTTACGTGTTCAGATAATCAATTCATCAAGTCAAACTGAAACTGGACTTTAAACCACGTAAACACGACAGTCTGACTGAAATCACCAACAAACATCGACGACACGGGGGGGAGTTGATTTCCTGCCCGCCGACAGGCTGAAATCATTCTGAGCATGCTCCACAGTTCACATGCTGGGCTTTGACGCAGAAGTTGAACTTCATCGATGTGTCGTGGTTGGCCGGGTAGAAAAGAAAACCTCAACAGAAGAATAACGGACATAAAAGGACAAAGCTGTCGGATCGTTCGCAGGATAAGATGTTCCTTTAATAGTCCCACAAGGGGGAGTTCCAAAAAACAGGAAGCCCCACGGCTGAGCAGGGCATCAAAACATTACATTATACTCTTGTTGTTCCTCTCCACAGAAATCTTTAGTAAAAGGCGAAAGATTTATACGATCTGAAGAGAAACAAGAGTGAACGGAGTGAAAGGAAGGTAGCGAGCTGCAAAGATGCAGGTGTTTTCACCAACTGACGTACGGCCTGTTCGCCTCATGTTCAGGTGGAGGTCAATCGTTTTGGTACGTGACGTAAAAGATTACTAGGAGATGGCACGATAGAAAGGAGAGAGGGAATATCACCACCTACCGTAGTTTAGGTGGATGTAGTTCTGTCATAATGGGGTTCTTGTCCAGTTAACCTAACAGCGCCTGCCTGTGAACCTGCCGAGTGACGCATAATCAGAGCCGATTAAATGCACCCAAAGTGACGGACTGTTCCTTTACAGGACTTCAAGTGAAATGACAGTGTAATATTGCTCTGATGTAAGACAGAGACAGTGCCATCACACTCTCACTTTTCACTATTCTGTATAATAACAGGAAATGGGTGTCGAGGAAAAGGCCAGAGTCTGAAACACAACGTTTCATGTTTTCATGGAACATGACTGAGTGAATCAACACAGACACCATCGGTTCATCTATCGTTCATCAGGAGTGTTCACTATTTTTCAACCACAACCTGAAAACAGCCTCAAGATCAAGATACGATCAGCGACCCAACCAGACCAACAGGCTGGACTTTGAGCTTCAGGGTGTTCAGTTTTCATAAAACACGCCCTCTATTAGCATGATAAGAGGCACTCTCTCTCCACACTGTGTTTCACCAAAGGACATCAGCGTCTGTAAATCTGTCAGACTCAGAGTTATACAACCCGAGCCTAAGACAACCTTCAGTGGACGCACTAATGGTGTATTTCCACCATGTGGTTCAGTTTGGATCAGTACGGCTCGGTCCGGTATGGTGCCGTAAACTCTGATCTTGCTTGTTTTTTTTTTACAGTTTGAATTTTGTGGAGCAAGTTACCAAATAAAAGGAATCAGTTTTCTGGGATGAGCAGCAGATCTCAGGTTCTTGGTTCCCCAACAGAAGGTGTCAAAAAGTAGAACAGTGCTATTGTCATAGAAAGCCTGTAATATTGAAGAATTGCATGGTTGCCAATCAGTGAGTTGTGGGAGTAAACAGTGAACACACCCTTGAATAAACTCACCATTTCCCCCCTAACAGGGACCATGTAGTCGAGTTAAGGAATATTTCTGATCTCACAGTTCAACATCTTTGTCTCCAGCTTGATGATGATTGTTTTGGGAACATACAGCATCGGATTTTTTTATAGGTCCATGGTCCCAGGCAGTAGGATCAAAAAACAGAGGAGTGGATTATAAACAGCAGTGGTGTTTCATCCTCGGCCCCAAACTTCAGACACAGCTCAGTAAGTCTGGGGACTTACAGAACTTCCTGAGCCGTGTCTTTGATAGTGTGTCTGATGAGTCCAGATGGGTAGACAAGAAAACGTAGAACTTGGTCAAGAGGTACAAAATCCCGCTTTTGGCATGCTGTGTTTCCACCAAAGGTAACCAGGACTTCTGGAACTAGGAGCCTCTTTTCAACAGACTAAAACTCCCTCCAGCCATCATCCCCAAGATCCAGAAACCTGCAAAGACTGGGACAGATTTTGGGTGGTCCTGTGTTTGAGTAATCCCCTCTGAAAATCTCTTGAACCTGGAGAGAGCTCCTGTGGTGGACACACAGCTTTTGAGTAAGGCCTCCTTTTGCCTTGCCCTCAGAGGAGTTTGGGTCTTAATGGGTTGGGCCTGACCGAGGAGTAGGCCCCAATATGGGTGATGAGGTTTGGTTCCACACTGTGAGACCTTTCCCCAGGGGTTGTCCTGGCCTTATGATACAGGACCATGTCTTTGGCATTCCCCTTCACACAGTGTGAAGCATCTAGGTACTGTGCGACTCTGAGGGAGGAGTTCCCAGGAAAGAGCATTGCTGGAGTGCAGCACTCTGTGGCTGGAGATACAGTGTAGAGCTGGGGGGAAAGTCTCCGTATCTCCAGGAGGTAGTGCCGCCCCAGCAGCTCAGCAACAGCCATGAAGTAGAGAGTGAAGAAGACAAGGTGACCAGCAGACAGTGTGAAAGAGAAAGGCGGATTCCAGTACGGGAAGGTGAGGAGGAGGGCGGTCGCTCCTACCAGCCCCAGTCCCACCCACTCTAGGATGCGGTAAGGCTCAGGGTTCCAGTAGCGCTGCAGCCTCTCAGGGTGATAGAGCTTTATGTAAAGAGAGTGGAGGGCAAAGCGACGTGATAGTAAGTCCTCGATGACAGTGAAAAAGTCCTGCCTCGGCAAGGCGTCATCCTCCAAGACAACCACATTTTTGGGTCTTACCAGCTCCCATCCCTTGCGGAGGCAGAAAACGTAATCCCTCTTCTCTCTTTCAAAAGTGTTGATTCGCTCTCTGTTCCTCTGCTGCTCCTCCAAGGAACGCCGGATCACCTGGAAGTGATTCTCTAGCAGCCTTGCATCCTGGTTTTCCTGGGGATCACTTTCCACGTCGCAGACCAACACCTCTGCACACCTCAGCTCCCCACAGCTCCCCAGAAGGCCACTCAGCTGCTGCATTACCTGCAGAAGGTAGTGAAAGTCCTGCCCTTCACCTCGCCTGGCTGTCACCACGGTGACCAGCAAGTCAGGATGCTGGGTAATGTCTCTGAACCTGGAGGACACTGCTGCAGTACTGGGAGTGCTCTGCCAGAAATGCAGAGCATCTTGGCCTCTTCGGAGACTTTTCTGCAGGACATCTTCACTCATGGACTTCAGGTACATGGACTTGATGAAGAAGTAAGAGTAGAGTAGCCGATGGCAGCACAGAGGTAGAACCACACCAAACGTGATGATGGACAGGACAAGGGCCTGGGTGAAGGTGCTGGACCATCTCAGGTGTTTACTGACGAAGGCTTTCCATCGAGACATTGGTGAAAGCTGGAGCCACTGTGCCACAGAGGAGGTGTGCCAAGGACAGTGTTCAGTGTTCAGGTGAATATTTTCCCAGAATGCAGTCTGGCATGAAAAACTGGCAGAACAAACCGTAGCAGAGAAACCTGATGTGTTCACTGTGAAGTGATAGCTTGACTGGGTTTGGAGTTGGCACTTCTTCTTGTAAACAAAGACGACTGGATCTTAGCTTGATCCTGGTCTTCTGAGGAAACAGAACAATCTAATTTAGTCAAACTGCACAATCAAAAAAAAAACTACAGGGCAGGACTTTGGATCAATATTCTGGTTCGGTGGGTCTCAACTGGTCTCACTCTGGGACTCACATTTTTCCATTTAAAAAAAAAAAAAAAAAACATTTAAAGACTCAAATCTTTAACATAAATACACCCGTTTTTTGAGTAAAGCGCATTTTAGAGCACATGAACTGAGGACGACAACTACTTAAGTTGTGTTTACAGAAAATATCAAATGGTACAAAATGGAGAACAGCAAAAAAATTTCAAAAATGAAAAATTTGACTTACAACGGGTAAAATAAGTATTGAACACGTCACCATCTTTCTGAGTAAATATATTTCTAGAGGTGCTATTGACATAAAATTTTGACCAGATGTCGGTAACAATCCATGCAATCCACACATGCAAAGAAATCAAACCATAGATGTCCAGAAATTAAGTTATGTGTAATACTGTGAAATGACACAGGGAAAAATTATTGAACACGTGAGGAAAGGGAGGTGCAATAAGGCATGGTGAAAATTTCATGCCAATAGCACCTTTAGAAATATATTTAATGAGAAAAATGGTGACATGTTCAATACTTATTTTACCTGCTGTTTGCATCTCTACATTCAGAACATATTCAGAAGAACCTGTGGAGGACCGTACAACAGCACAAGTGAATTAATATCAAATCGCACAAAATAAAGACCTTAACAAAAAAAACGTAATTTTACTGCATTCAGGACAGATTAATCAGAAACCGAGGAGGACCACAACATTACGCGTGCCTTTCAAAATAAAAGACATGTCAAACATCAGATGCACATTAAATATTTACTTTTTTGACCAGCTGTTCACGACTCATCTAGAACATGTCCACGGCCCACATTTGGGTCGGGATCCACCAGTTAAAAACCACTGGCCTAGTCCATAATGGCATTTCACTTCCGACATACTTAAGAAAAAAGGACTTTTATCACGATATTAGGGCAGAGCAAACAACGATATTCACTTTCACATTACCACCACTGTTATATGAGTGTCTGAGCTACTTTACACCCCACTCTAAGCTACTTTAAACCCCACTCTAAGCTACTTTAGACCCCACTCTAAGCTACTTTAAAACCCACTCTGAGCAGATTTAAACCCCACTCTGAGCTACTTTAAAACCCACTCTGACCAGATTTAAACCCCACTCTAAGCTACTTTAAACCCCAGTTTAAGCTGCTCTCTTTCCTGGCCTAACAAATTAAACCCTGGGTCTGAGCTCCTTCCTCCACACACACACACACACACACACGCACTAAACTACGTTAAACCTAAATCTAACCAGCTACACCCCTAACCCTAGTCTGAACTCCAGCTGCAGTTTACCCCCCCCAGTCTGGACTAATTAAACCCCCGGGTCTAAGCTGCTGCCCCCCCCAGTCTGGACTTTATTAAACCCAGGTCTAAGCTGCTGTTTACCCCCCCAGTCTGAACGGCGTCGATGACAGACTCCATGTTTGAGTAAAACTCGGTCCTGAATCTGGTCCACCTAAATCTGTTTGCTCACTTTACCGCCTAAATGTCACCGCACGAGACCAGATTTAATCACAGAACACGATCAAACACGGACACAGACCGACGAACCGACAGACTGATCGGTCACACCTGGATGTCGTCGATCGTTCCCGTCATTCGGACCCCTTTTTAACGGAACCGTCTCCGGTACCGTTACCGTTAAAAGGTGACCCCCGTTACCCTGAAGCTAGCATCAAGCTAACCGACGCTCTGACGACAGTGTGCTAAATAACCGAAAAGAGAAGAAATGATCGATTAAAGAAGAGCTACAGACACTCACGGTGAAGAGGAGGAGGAGGGGAAACTGCTGCTGCCGCTGCCCGCTGCCATGTCTGTCTGCTCAGGTACGGTAATGGAGGGCAGCAGACCCGCTACCGTAACACTCTGACTACAGGCGCATCGGAATATTGTATTGCTCTTTTGGTAAAAGAAATGTAAAAAATAAAAATAGAGCAGCAGAGCGTTTAAATTTGAAGGACCTGAGTTTTATTAAAATATAATTCTGTGAAATGAGATGAAAACTTTGATCAGTGGTGTACAGAGGGGTGGGTTCAGGGGGCAGTCGCCCTCCCTGAATATCTGAAAATACTTATAAAAAACAAATCCCTTTGCTTCAGTTCTTATAGCCGACACTTTCAGAGCATCTGGAGGACACTCAGAGGACATTTAGAGGACACTCCATCCAGAGGGAACTTTGTTTTCCATTTAAACACATTAAAAGTATCTAGAGGACAGTTAATGTACAAATCATACAACTGAGGGTCATCCAGAGCAAACAAAGTGTCCTCTGGAGTCCATGTGAATAAATGTAAACTGTGCCCCTTTTCCTACTTATGGAGCCTTTGAAATAAAATAAATCACATCTAAATGAAGTCTCTGTTTACAGTCAGAGGGTGAGATCTGAGTCTGACTGAACTTCTATTAAAACATGTTAAAAATAAGAGCGCGGTCTGGAAAGGCCAGTGTAACCGGTGTGACTCTGCGCTGTGGTTACTGACGAAGACACCAGCTGGATTTGTTTTTCTGCGTTTCCTCTGTAAACCAGAATGAGAGGGGAAAACGTAAGAATGTCGGCCCTGCAGCCTCCCTCTGCTCCTCTCCCCCAGGGATCATCATGGAAAAGGGCGGCAGGAGTGAGGAGGCCAACTCCAATGTCAATGCACATGTTATATAAACAGCTAAAAAAGGGACAAGAAAAATACCTGTAAACCAGAATGACAGGGGAAACCATAAGAATGTTGGCCCTGCAGCCTGCCCCCGCCCTACACCGACAGAAACACACACCAGTTTAACTGAATAAACACAAGTTGGCACGAGACACACTAAATGGACAAAACACAACAATGCTAACACTCAGGATGTTACATGAGTGAAAAGAAACTAGAAACTGCTTCATAAACACTCCACGGAAAATAAAAGTACACATCAAATAAATGAATTATGGAGAAAACAGAGAAGGAGAGAAGTGAGGAGGCTGAGTCAGAGATAAAGGACAAGAAACCAGCGACATCAAAAGAAATCAAAAAGGTTCAACTGTTAAACATTTATTTATTATTTTATTTAAAAATAAAAATAAACCATTTAATTTAAATACAAAGGTTCTCCTATCATGAATGTAAGGGAGCAGAGAGAAGACGAATCTGATTTTATCGGATACCTTTATCCCCAGAAATCAATTTACAAAGAACAAACTTAAAATAATAAAATAAAATAAAATAAAGCAACAACAACATAGACAACAACAACACACACAACAAAAAAATATATAATGAAATAAAACTATAGCTGCTGGCCTCCACAGACAGTCATTTACCATTTAGTTTTCAAGTTACAGTTAATGTCACTCAAACAACAACAACATGACAATGGTACGACAGTCAGACAGAACGAACATGTTTCCTTAACATACTGGCTTTAATTCTTCTTTTAAATGTTTGACTTGGAACATAAAAAAGGCATAATTTTGGTAATTATTAAGAAAAATAAAATGTAGATGTAACTCTGTTAAAGCTCAGTTGTATGATTTGTACATTAAATGTCCTCTAGATACTTTTAATGTGTTTAAATGGAAAACAAAGTTCCCTCTGGATGAAGTGTCCTCTAAATGTCCTCTAATGTCCTCTGAGTGTCCTCCAGATACTCTGAAAGTGTCGGCTATAAGAACTGAAGCAGTGTGTCCTCTGGAGTCCATGTGAATAAATGTAAACTAAGTGCCCCTTTTCCTACTTATGGAGCCTTTAAAATTAAATAAATTACATTTAAATGAAGTCTCTGTTTACAGTCAGAGGGTGAGATCTGAGTCTGACTGAACTTCTATTAAAACATGTTAAAAATAAGACCGCGGGATCACTCGACTCTGTGGACAAAGACAGAGAGTTAGTCTCAGACTAACTGTGAACAAAAGACACTTTTAATCTCAGAGGACTCACATCTGTCTGCTGTATAGTCCATTTTTAAAACTCCTACCACATCACATTACTGAGCACCTTAAACTGTCTGTATATTTATCATCCCATCTGTATATTACTCATTTCATTTTTATTACTCATCTCAAAAGCCCACGTTTGTCGTATCTCACTTTTTTCTCTTAGGATGTTTAGTATATTTAGTCTGTATTTATTGTATATATTTAGTATTTTTAGTCTGCATTGTACTTACTTCTTATATTTAATTTTATTTTGTATTTTTTGCTGCTATAACATGAGAATTTCCCAGTTTGGGATCAATAAAGTCTATCTATCTATCTATCTATCTATCTATCTATCTATCTATCTATCTATCTATCTATCTATCTATCTATCTATCTATCTATCTATCTATCTATCTATCTATCTATCTATCTATCTATCTTAGACCATCTATCAGACTCTGAACCCGCCCAGCCAGGCTAGAATAAAAGGCCCAGACTGCTCCAGGTCCGTGTGAGTCTCAGTGTGGGTGTGTTGCACTGCTTTGTCTCCAGGGAGACCAGAATCTAGACAAACAAAGTTCTCAGAGGAGCCTGAAGGTGAGGTCTTTAACAAGCCTTTCTTTATTTAAGGATTTCTGTAAAGATGTACATTCACCCAACCTTCCTCATACCTGCGAGGAGGGCGTGTCCAGGTGGGGCCTGGGGTATGTGATGAGACAGGTAAGGTCTGAGATCGGATTGGCCCGCCCAGGGGCCATCTGAAGTCTGAGACAGGACTTGATCCACATGCTCCCTGGTCGTGCTTTAGATCTGGTTTGTGTTCAGTTAACAGAGTTTCAGGAAGAGTGTCTCAGTCATGGTGAGAACTTTGAGTGTCTCATCAGGCGGTGAGGTCCTCCTCTCTAATCTCCTTTTTTGATCAGCTGTGTCTTTTTTTCAACATGTAAAGTTTGCTGCAGTGTCTTCATGTTTTGGTGATTTGAAGCTCAGACTCATTAAATTTCACTGCAGAGACAGATTCTATCAGAGTTGTTCACTTTCATTGTCTTAGAAAGTGTCTTTTTTTACCAGCAGCTTCGAGGTCCTCTGATTTGTCTGACAGCACCCTGCAGTTAACAGAATAACCACTAGGTGGCAGCAGGGACCGACATGAAGCTTCCAGATGACTCAGAGGAAAGTCTCTTTAGAAGAAACAGCCTGAAAGGACTCTGATTCTGTCATCGCAGTTTCAGTTTTACAGCTGGTCTGAAGTTATATATAATATAATATAATATAATATAATATAATATAATATAATATAATATAATATAATTTGGTCTTTATCAGTATTTTACTTCCTTTCTCTGAAGTACTCCTGCAGAAAATCACTAACAACAGCTGGTTCTACATTAGCAGACTATCAAAACTGACACTGACCTCAAGGTGGCGCTGTAATAACAGCTTTGATTACAGGTGTCTCCAAAACTAACTAGAATAAAGAATAAAAAGATGTTTTTAACCCTTCAGTTTCTTTAATATCTCTGAGTTTATCGAAGACGACGAGGCGGACGGCTCAGCTTGTTCATAAGTTTGATGTAAAAAATCATCAGAAATATTGAAAACTTCTTTCTGCTCCTCAGAGGTTAAACCATCAGGATTTAATGACTCCAATAGAAATGAATCTTCAGCATTTATCATGAATCTGCTGTTCCTGAAGTGTCCACTAGAGGCTGTCTCCTCCAGTGAGAAGAAACCCAAAGAGTCTGATTTCGAGCTCGGTCCAACACGAGGACAGCCTGCTGTCAAAAACTGTTCTCAGGGTGCTGCTACAGTGGCCCTAAAGGGTCATAGTGTTTCAGAGAGAGAAATCCTAAATGTTTTTACAAAGTACAAATAAATAAACAAATATTTAAAAATGTAAATAAGTTTGAAAACATGAAAAATAATTAAGGGGAATAACTAAATGTTGATAACCACAGCAGAGAATCCCTGAGGCTGTTTGATAAACTGGAGGTTACAACTGTACAGTTCAGCTGAGAAGGGATGGATGGATGGGTGGATGGATGGATGGATGAATAGATGGATGAATAGATGGATGGATGGGTGGATGGAAGGATGAATAGATGGATGGGTGGATGGGTGGATGGATGGATGGGTGGATGAATAGATGGATGGGTGGATGGATGGATGGATGGATGGATGGGTGGATGGATGGATGGATGGATGGATGGATGAATAGATGGATGGGTGGATGGAAGGATGAATAGATGGATGAATAGATGGATGGATGGATGGCAGGATGAATAGATGGATGGATGGATAGATGGATGATGGAAGGATGAATAGATAGGTGGATGGATGAATAGATGAATGGATGGATGAATAGATGGATGGGTGGAGGGGTGGATAGATGGATGGATGGATGAATAACTGGATGGATGAATAGATGGATGGATGGATGTTTAGGGATTAAATTCTGAGTTTATCGTCGATCTTTGTCGTGTCTTTAGGAAAAACACAGTAAGGAGAAGGTCATGTTTAGGGACGAGTCACATTTGAATTGTTAGTATAGATATTCAATTTAGATTAATTAATTGATTGATTGATTGATTGATTGACGGGTGTCTGTTGAGTGTCAGCTCAGCTCATTCAGTCCTTGAACTTAACCCCTTCATTGTCCTCCAGCTCATTATCTCAAACACCCTGAGAAGACAATAGAGTGTGTGTGTGTGTGTGTGGGGGGGGGACTTTACCTGCAGCTCAGGTTCCATCAGTGTGTGGAAACTGAGTCTTAGATCACCTCTGGAAGCTGAGCCCAGAACCACACAGACCACTGACCCGTTTCAACACCTTTATTAAAGGGATATTCTGACATAAGATTAATCGAGGGTCAATCCCACCGTAACACCGAGTTAGACCCCCCACAAATAATGCTCAGAACAGCACCTAACTTCATCAACAGGACATATAGGGTCACAGACATAGTACTAGACACCAAACAACACAACTCACCTACTCTCTTCCAGCAGACGCTTGTTTGTAGAGAGACCTCAGGCCAGTCCATTACGGACTACAGCGGGGTGCCACAGCTCAAGGAAGAACATTTATGATCATTTCTTCATGGAAAAACAATCAGACCGAGACACTAAGACAGAAGAACTACTGTGTCTGTAAAATGATTAATATGGTGATTATTACTTCATGGAAATGATAAAGAAACGGTGTTTGATGTTCACTTTAGAACAGGTTTTGGACAGGGTTCTGGACCTGGGTCTTGTCTTTCAAGGCTTTGGTCCAGGTTGAAACAGGGTTGAAACCAAAACTGCACCACATTCTGGACCAGGACTTTGACCTGGTCTTCATCAGGATGAGGTTTGACCCTCTTTTGGATCTGTCAGAAATCATGAACCATTCAGACGAATCAAGGACATCCTGTAAGCCCAGCAGGGGCCCAGACCAGGACTTGGACCGGCTCCAGACTAGGTTTTGGATAAACATTTGTGGACCAGAATTTGGAGCAGGTTTGGTTCCAGTCATTAGAGCAGTTTTGGTCGGAGTCTCAGCCCAGGTTTTCTCAGGAGTCCTCGTCCCCTCTGGTGTAGGTTTTCCTCCAGGAGCATCAGGTGACAGAACCTGAAACCGGATCCAGCGGGGCGATTATCGGAGGTGTCGGTCCGATCGCTCAGCTGTTGTTTCCATGGATGTGTTTGTTTACAGTGAGAGGTGTGAACTCCTGCAGGCTCAGCTGGTCGCCGTAGAAACCGTCACAGATGAGAGTTTCTTGGAGGATTTTCTCAGTTTTCATCCTAAAATCAAACTGAGAACTTTCAGGGTCTCTGGTTTGGTTCCTCACTGACGGTTAAAGGTTCAGTGTAAAGACTTGGTGGTCCAAAGGTCCTGAACCGTCATGTCGGAGTTAATGTGTCGATTAGAGCCGTTTGATTATGTCGAGATCATAAAGACGATCGATTTCTCAAACTTCTGTAACATTCAAACCCAAAAACTGTTTGAACTTTTGATTCATTTCTCGTTTCTCTCTCAAAAGTCCTCTGAACCAGAACAATCCAGAACTCCATCACTCTCCTCTCTCTCCTCCTCCTTCTTCTGCTCCTCTCGCACCTGTTTCTCCTCTCTCCTCCTCCTTTTACTCCTTTCCCATCTGTTTTTCCTCACTCTCTCCTCCTCCTTTACCGGCTGTTTCTACTCTCTCCTCCTCCTATCTCTCCATCTTTTACTCCTCTCCCATCTATTTCTCCTCTCTCCTCCTCCTGCCCATCTCTCCTCCTCTCCCTCTCCTCGTCCTCCTCCTCTCTCTTCTCCTTTTTCTCCCCTCTCCCCCTCCTCTTTCCTCTCCTTCTCTCTCTCCTCCTCCTGCTCCTCCTCCTGTTTGTCCTCCTGTTTGTTTGTTGTTGTTTGTTGATGCTCGAGGACGCGGCTGCCGGTTGTCATGGTGATGAGGAGTCACGCAGCTGCTCAAACATTAATAACCCCCCCTGTTTTCCTCGCTGCGCCTTTATCTGTTTGAGCCTCACTCGGACCCGGTACCCTCTCAGACCGGCCCCGGTGAGTCCGACCTGCCGGGCGTGTGTCCTCCGCTTGATGGGGATTCCGGTTTTTCCGGTCTGCTCATCCCGGTTTAGACCGCTGCAGCGCTGAGTCCCGCTTCAGTCCCGCTTCAGTCCGAACAGCAGCAGCAGCAGCAGGATGGCCTCCAACACAGCCACCATGGGGAACCTTCCCAGCGGGGTCGGAATCTGCACCACCATCCCGGACATCCTCTACCTGCCAGAGCTGGTAAGAAACCGACCGGACAGGAGAGGCGCTGACTTTACGCAGCGTTTACGCACGGACATCCAGAGCTAGATTTGAGTCTGGAGGTAGATTCTGAGTCCGTGTTCGTTGACATGATGTTGTTTAACAGCAGTGGATCCTGAGAGAGGATTTTAGGGTCACATGGTTGATTTTGTCACCTTTAAACGATGAGAACAGGTTTCTGTCTCTCCTTCACTCCCTGATCTGATTCCGTCTGTTGAGATTCTTCTTCTCCAAAGAGAGATCCGTTTGTTTTCTGAGACTCATATAAAAAAGGAGATCTCCATCAAACTCCAAACAGCTCCTCTTTACTGAGTGAATCTTTGCTTTCTTCACCACCATCATGTTTGGGTTTCTAACACTTAAAGAGACAGTCAGTAACTTTACAGTGAGCTCAACTTTGTCTCCAAGATAAATGTGGCGCGTGAACAAGTCCTGATGGCACTTATTAGTTTGATCAGGATACCAGGATCTTAACACAGTTAACTCACGTCATCATCCAGGGCTTTTATTTTGAAGTTCACCACTGGGGGATTGTTAAGTTACCAAAGTGACTGAAAGGATAAAAAAAAACTAGTTTGAAAGTATAAATGAGGAGGTTTGTGGAGCGTCTGTTCTTGTTGTTTGGTGAGGTCAGATATTTCAGATGAATCTGTGATGATGATGATGAGCAGGGATCTGTCTCTGATCATACAGGAGTCGTCTCCTCCTCCTCTCAGTCTCAAATCTAAAACATCCCAAAATTCAGACGAACCAGAAAAGTCAAAGTTCGGAGCAGGTTTTTGAAACGTGAGGAACAGAAGGTTCAGATTTCTGCGATTAAGCGTGGAGATGAGAAGACCTGATGAGAACTCAGCGAAGCGTCTGTGTCTGTTGTTCAGGATTTGATCTTTGCTCCTATCGCACACCTGAATCAGACACATGCAGACGGCTGCTGAGACTGTGAAGCCGCCCACACACACACACACACACACACACACACACACACACACACACACACACACAGATTTACTGCCCAGATTAAACAAAGTCTGAGTTAACAAAGTCAGAGTTAACAAAGTCTGAGTTAACAAAGTCTGAGTGCTGCTGGACGATCCTGGTCCCTGGAGCTCTGACCTGACACCGCACCGGTCCAGAACGGCTGGTTTGGTCTGACTGTGTAATGCCGTTGTAGTCCTGATGAAGACCAGTGTGGTCTTTTCTTCCTCACCTGGACCACGGCAACATCAGGAGAGACTCCTGAAGGTCTGGACCTGAAGTTCAGCTGGTTCTGAGTCCATCACAGACCCCCGTCATGTCTGACCCTGAAGCTGCTGAAATGACCCAAAGAACCGAAGAACTCTTCAGTCCGTCCACGCGCTGATCACATCATGTCTCCAAGGACATGAATCCACCCAAAAAGGGGCGGGGCTTCCCTCACGCTATTTCAGTCTGTTCCCGTCAAACATGGCGGCGGTTGCCTTTGCTGCGATACTCTGCCCTCCTCCCTCACGATGATGGAGATTCATGAGGCCTCCTCATGTCCACCAGGTCTTTGTGGACATATGTCACAGGGGTATCTGCATGCTGATTGTCTGCCTGCACCACTCGTTAGCGTCACTCGTGTCACCTGACTAGAACTTGTGTCTATTCGTGTCTCTACTCCAACTTCACATTTTCACCTGGTTGAGCAGGAAACCAAAGTCACTGCATCTTCAGGTGACAAAGTTCTTGATGAACTCAAAGAAGGACACGAGATCCTGACGTGTCACAGAGACTGGGTTCAGGAAAAAGAGGGATCTGGTTTTTGATGGTCCAACAGTCTCGAAGAACGCTGTGGTTAAGAGGCGTAGTCATGCCAGTCTGGTCGAGGTCAGGAGGTCAGGAGGTTCTCCTCTCCTGGAATGAACCTGCGTGAGTCAGAAGAGTCCGGACCAGAAAGATTCTGAGATAAAAACATGTCAAAGGTTCAGATTTAACGTCACAGGCTGCAGAGGAGGAATGCTGCTCCATTTTACACACATGCACACACACACAGGCACACACACACAGACACACTATAACACACTCACACACCAACAGCAGCAGTGGCGTGCGAGCAGGTGGCGTGTGGTGCAGCCCCATGAATAATGCAGCCTGTCAATCATCAGAGGTGTAAGGTGAACAGTAAGCCCCGCCCCCTGAGCTGCAGACATGAGGACAAACAAACAGACCGATAAACAGATGAAGGAGGGCGGGTTCAAGTTGATCCAGAGACGGTCCGGAGACAGACTGGGGAAACCCTGATCAGGGTCTGACAAGGAGCACACAAAGAACTTTAATAAAAAATCTAAAAAAAATGTCAATAAAAACTGATCAATAATGTTTGTCTTATTGATCGACCTTAGTACTATTATTAGAAATCAATTTTAGGTCTTTTGGTCACATGACAGTGAAGCTTTTGAAGGAAAACAGCCTTTTCTGAGAACATCAACCGGTAATTTATTGACGGTCCCTTATTCAACACCGACGTTGACAGTGAGGGTGTCGAGTAGATTTAACCGCGCTGCTGTTGTTATTCCCGGTTATGGAGAGTAAGAAGACACCGGTAGATCCTCAGAGAACGTCTGTCAGATATCCAACCTGAAACTAACTTCACCGCCGTATTTACAGGAAAATATATCCAACCTGAAACTAACTTCACCGCCGTATTTACAGGAAAATATATCCAACCTAAAACTAACTTCACCTCCGTATTTACAGGAAAATATATCCAACCTAAAACTAACTTCACCGCCGTATTTACAGGAAAATATATCCAACCTGAAACTAACTTCACCGCCGTATTTACAGGAAAATATATCCAACCTAAAACTAACTTCACCGCCGTATTTACAGGAAAATATATCCAACCTTAAAACTAACTTCACCGCCGTATTTACAGGAAAATATATCCAACCTTAAAACTAACTTCACCGCCGTATTTACAGGAAAATATATCCAACCTGAAACTAACTTCACCGCCGTATTTACAGGAAAATATATCCAACCTGAAACTAACTTCACCGCCGTATTTACAGGAAAATATATCCAACATTAAACTAACTTCACCGCCGTATTTACAGGAAAATATATCCAACCTGAAACTAACTTCACCGCCGTATTTACAGGAAAATATATCCAACCTGAAACTAACTTCACCGCCGTATTTACAGGAAAATATATCCAACCTGAAACTAACTTCACCGCCGTATTTACAGGAAAATATATCCAACATTAAACTAACTTCACCGCCGTATTTACAGGAAAATATATCCAACCTGAAACTAACTTCACCGCCGTATTTACAGGAAAATATATCCAACCTGAAACTAACTTCACCGCCGTATTTACAGGAAAATAAAAACATTTGTTGATTTTTTTATGCGCACATATGACCCTAAATACATTTGACAATTCACACACGTCTATTTTTAGTCCCTGCCAAGGGTGGTCCAGCTCAGATGCAGACCAGGTTCAGCCTGGTTACCCCTTCTTCACCAAGCTGGTTCTGGTGGAGCTGATTTGGGGTCAAAGCCAAATTCTGGGACCAGTCCTTCGTTTCCACTTCTCAGGAACTTCCTCTCTGATACAAAAACCGGTCCAGAGTCGCACCCCAACAGCACCAGCCCAAGTCTTAAGAAATAAAAGCTGAAAACCACAGGACTGAGGCTGTCCGCAGACTGAATGAATGAATGAATGAATGAATTTTGTTTGAGTGAATCTACGCCAACAGCAGCCTCTGGGTTTTTGTCTCCAGCTGCTCCAACTAGACCTCTACAATCAGCTGATCACTCAGTACGTTTCTACGATGTTCAAAATCACATGAACTCAAACTGTTCCCACACTTGTGTCCCCCGGTGTTTGGTTGTTTAAATGTCCGTGTTTGTCAAAGTTTCTCTCCTGAAGGTTTTTTGTAAAATTGAAGATTGTTCCAGTAAAAAGACGTTTTCTCAGACGTGTCTTTGATGTTCCTGCAGGTCTTCGGTGGTCTGGTGTGGATCCTGGTGGCGTGCACGTTGGTGGTTCCTGAAAATCCGCAGGGCTGGGTGATGTTCGTGTCCGTCTTCTGCTTCGTCATGACGTTTATTTGGCTGCTGGTGTTCGCCTGCGGGGGGCATAACAACAAAGGGAGCTGGGCTGCAGCTGTAAGTCCTCGAACTCGGTCTAGACTGATGGAGTGGACCCTGACATGTTCACCTCAGTGCTGATAAAACCAAAGTCCTGGACTAGACTCTGATTTCAGTCTCATCTCACCTTTAAATACTTGATCTGTTGTCAGTCTTTTGTTCGTTTTTCAACACCGACCGATCATCCTGACCTGCACAAATCCAGTTAATTCAGAGCTGGATTAACGGGATTTAAACACAGATCAGATCAATCGTAGTCTTCACTGTTATGTAGATGATACTCTAATATTCAGATCAATGAAGCTAGAAAACACAAAGAAGAATCAGCTGACTGAACTCAGATCTGGAGGTTCTTGTTCTTGGCCCCTAACCCCTCAGAGAGGGACTGTCCGGTGATGGGACTCAGTACATGGGATCAGTCTGGCATGGCAGTGAAGACTGCAGGAGTTCTATGTGATGAAGATCTATACTTGAACTTCTACATTGAGGAACTGCCTGATTTTCACCTGCAAAGATCAGTCCCATCCAGTCTCACCCCCAATTTCCACCACATCCAGAACATCTCCAATCCAGAACGGCTCTGATCCAGAATGACAGCGACTTTTGCCGTCCGCCAATTCCTATCGGATCCGTTTGTGACAGACAGCAGGAATCGTGGTGTAAATTGACATGTTAACTTGAATGGTTACGATCAGCTACGATCAGAGGATACAACCTTTTTGTAGACGATCAGGATGAAGGTGGAGGTCAGGGGTCAGGGTTACATGAGGTCAGACTCTGACAGGCTTCATATTCGTCCTTGGGGATGATGTCAGAGTCGAGGCAGGCCGCTCAGTTATCTGTGGGTCTGTGGCGATGATAACGAGCTGTCACTTAAAGATGATGATGATGATGAGTGAACCGAGTTGACGCAGTCTGACAAACAGAGGAGCTTTGAAGAGAAAAATACCAGGGTTATCATCACAGCACAGAGACAGACACGATAAGATGATGGTGAAGATTATCAGCTGGTCTGACGGATGATCCTGTGAAGAAGGATTTTCATTCCTCTGATCTGAACTAAAGATGATTGAATATGTTCAATATTTACCATCAATATTTTTGCTCATTTCCTCTTCGAGTGTCGCGGAACGCACCACCCCGAGTTTTTTTTAGTCAGCTGATGCTGTGATTGATTTTGATCAAAGAATTTACTGATATAAGTCAGGGAACGTCTCACCATGACGCAGCACTTCTTTATCTGATGCTACAGCAGAGTGTGTGTCTGTGTGTGTCTGTGTGTGAGTGTGTGTTAATGTCACTCACCTCCATCTCTCTCTGGTTCTTCTGGTTTTTCCTCCCTGACCCTCGTCTCTCAGGACTTCGCCTACCATGGCATCGCGGCCTTCTTCTACCTCAGCGCCTCGGTGGCGTTGGCCAAAGTGACTCTGGACATCAGGGACGGGCTCAACTTCCAGAACTACCAGCTGGACATCTCTGCTGTGGTGAGTCAAAACCAGACTCTAACCCAGACCCCACAGAGACCTGGACCTGGTCCGACTCTGTTTGTGAGAGAACCCTCTGATTGGCTCTAAACGTTTCCAGTCTGGACTCTCATTGGTCAATGCAGCATTGACTGTTTCCAAACAGTCTGGGTGGTCAGAGTGGAACTTTAAAGGGATATTCCGGCGTAAAATTGACTTAGGGTCAAACACACCATAAAGTTAAATCAGCTAATTTTCCAATGAGGTTCTGTTACTGAATAGAACGACACCATGATCTACTGAGGTTAGGACATATAGGGTCACAGCCATAGTACTAGACACAAAACATCTTTATAACTTTGACTCATTTCTTTAGCAAAGAGACTAAACACAACTCACCTACTCTCTTCCAGCAGACGCTTGTTTGTAGAGAGACCTCAGGTCAGTCCATTACAGACTACAGCGGGGTGACGCAGCTCAAGGAAGAACATTTATGATCATTTCTTTATCATTTCCTTGAAGTAATAATCATCATATTAATCATTTTACAGACGCGGTAGTTCTTCTGTCTTAGCGTCTCGGTCTGATTGTATTTCCATGAAGAAATGATACCTGACAGGACACTTCAGTCCATCCTAGATCCAAGTCCACTCATCTCTCTGTCTCTGCAGGTTTTCTCCTACGTGGCCACCCTGCTCTACTTCATCCACGCCATCCTGTCCGCCATCAGGTGGAAGTCTTTCTAGAATTCTCTACAACTGGACTGAAAGAGGACTGACTTTATTCTGCTGCCGAGGTTCTTCATAAAACTGTGGATCTGTGACGATGATGAGGGAACATCTGGAGTGGAGAGAGCATCTGAAGGAGATAAGGAAACACCTGGAGGAGAGGGAACATCTGGAACTCTGTGGCGTCTGTCAGAACAGAAATGAGGGAATCGAAGCGCTCCGATGACTCTCCGTTTTTAAGTCACAGGAAGTATTTCATCATCCACACTGAAGCTGTGTGAGCGGGTCTTTTATTTTGTAAACAGAAATGTGACGTCACTTCCTGCTAAACTGTGATTTTCTTTTTCTAATGAACTCGTTTGTTTCTCGTTTGTTTTATAGTTTTCTAAAGTTTCTTCACATCAAAAATAAAATCGTCCGTTTCTCTTTTTTATGTTCAAAAATTTTCTGCTTCATTTTTGTAAATTTTTGAAATCCTGAATGAACTGAGAATTAAAGTTTTGGTTTGGGACATTTGAGTCAAGTTTTTTTATTTATTTATTTTGTTCAACATGGCTGTTAAAATGTGTGTGTGTGTGTGTGTGTGTGTCCTGACCGTGCCCATTTTAAGTGAATTATTCAGTGTTTGTTGAGGTGTGTTCAGGTGTGTCGCCATGGTAACAGGGGTGGGGGTTTAATGCTGTTGACTTTTGTAAATATTTTACCAGGTGGAGGGGTGGACAGAGAGGTCAGAGGTCACAGAACAGGCAGGTAGAAGCCCAGAGTATCAAACTATAAACAGATATCTGCATGAAGGTTAGTTAACCACCAAACATGAACACAGAGTGACCCTCGGCGCCCCCTATAGACCTGAACTCAGGTCTGTTTTTAGGCTGCAGGTTTGTTTCTTCATTTTGTCCCCCTGATCGTTTCAGACTTTCTGACTCTAAACTTCGGCCTGTCGTTTCCATGGAAACTCGTTCTGCCTCTGCTGCAGTTTCCCTGATGGACCACCAGTCAGAGTCTTTTTTACTAACAGAGGGAAACGCCACATTCAAACCGGGAACATTTGGACTAACATCACTCTTTAGATGTTCTGGACCCAGAAGAAGGTCTCTGCTCTGGAGCTTCAGAGACGTGGAGGAGAGTCTCTGTGTGTTTCTGCTGATGATGCAGGTCCAGATGAACATGAAACCAGGTTTAATGGAGGATGGCAGGGAGTAAATACAGGACACACACACACACACACACACACACACACGCACACACACACGCACACACACACACACACACACACACACACACACACTCAGAGCGGGTCAGTGAACTATAGCTGTGATAGATAATTAATGAAGGAGGCAGCAGGTGATAATAGTCGAACATCTCCATGAAACTGAAGAAGAAGATGAGAGAGGCGGCAGCAGCACGACAACATCCAACACACACACACACACACACACACACAATGTTCCTGTACATGTATGTGTGTCTGTGACCTTTTGTCTGTTTTTGTGTTGGAGTCACCGTGAAGATCCTGGAGTTCTCTCAGTAACTTCGGAGTACGGCTGGGCGATAAAACGATAACGATATCCAAAATTAATTTCCCTCAATATCAATATAAAACATGATCAATATTCTTTTCAATAGTCGTCATTTCATCATGTCTTGGTAGACTATAAGAATAGCCAATGAAAAGGGAAGTTGCTCCAGGTCCACGCCGCGCTGAACCAATAATGTGCTGAATTAGAACCAAGTCTCAAACAACTGCGTCGTAGCAGACAGCAGCTCCACCCAACCATAGCACTCTAACAGGTGAAGACGCCGCAGAGCACGCGCAACGCAAAAGGTCACAAACCCCGAGAGAAGCGAGGAGCCCATGGCGCCTGAAACAGACGACCATTCAGTCGTCTTTCTCTAGAGCGACGCCTTACGACAAAACGCCAAAGAGACACAAAGACCTCACAGATGCAGGAGATTATTGTGTTGGAAAAGACATGAGACCAAGAAACACTGTTACAGTTTTAGATCCTGATATTGATCAATATCAGCTGATATGAACATAATATATCCTGATAATCTTTTTCCCTTATCGCCCAGCCTTACTTCAGAGCGACGTTTTCTTCCCGTTTCAGATTTGGAGGAGTAAGTTTGACGTGTCGTTTGTATTTGGAGAAGATCTGAAATCAAAGATCTTGAGTTCGATCTTTAAAAACTGTTTCTTCATGTTCCTCTAAGAACCGTTCTCTCGGCCCAGTCCAAAACGCTTCCTTTCAGCACTCCAGGATCAAGTACTCCAAAACTCAAAAATACAGAACCCCACTCTCTAAAATCCAGTTTCTCAGGTCTCAAGATTCCAGGACCCCTGGTTCTAGAATTCATTATTCTAAAGCCCAACGTTCTGAAATTCAGCGTTTAGAACCCGTTCTCCAAAACCTCATGGTCCTGAAACTCAGCATCTCGTGTTCTGGAATCCAGCAATATAAAACCAAGTCTTCTGTCCTGGAACCCAGTCCAGAGTCCAGTCTGCTAGAACTCCAGAACCCAACATTGTGAACCTCTCGTTCTTGAACCAGCACTTTAAAACTAAAAGTTTTAAAAGTTTAAAACTAAAAACCTTAATAAAACTGAAATCCAGAAAGAGGAGGACTTTCTTCAGGATCGGGTCACTCAGAGTCCAGGTTCAGGTTTCTCTGTAACTTCAGGGGTGAAGTTGGTGTTTGCTGGCCGTCACTCTGAACTCACCTGAAGAATATTTTATAATCAACATTTTAAGAACAGACGGTGTGGCAGAGGAGGGAAGTGTCAGCCTCCTGAGGGACCAGCAGGGGGCAGCATGTGTTCACAGATAGGTAAAGACCTGAGGGAGGAACAGAGAGGTCTTCAGGAGGGTTAAAACACAATAAAAACAATAAAAACACCGATATTCAGATTTTAATGTTAATGAGACTGAGGTCATTAGTAAATGTAAATCATTAATTCACTGAAAGTCTTTTTTCTGAGAGATCCAAACCTTCAGGAGACTCTGACAGGTTCAGGGTAAAACCACATACTTTCACTGATTTTACTAAGAATGGAAAACTTTATATGCTCTGTATGAGAGCAGATGTCACAGACTTACTCTGAAATATTGAGGATTAAAGGCATAAAGACAGAATAATCTTGTCCGGCAGGATGGTGGACTCTGCCGACTCAAAGACTCTTAAATCTAATCTCTAATTCTTCACAACTGTTACTAAATGATAATTAAACACCCGAGGATCAGAGCTGGAGGTCTGATAAAGTCCTTTTTTCAGGGTTTTGGGTTAAAAGTTGGAGGTTTTATGTTCCTCTTCCAGCCGCTAGAGCCCGCCAAAACGGTTTAGTCGCGCTGACATATTACGTCATCAACACGCGCCGACGCCTGATCTGAAACAGCGTCCTCGACCTTCCACGCTGCAACATTAGGAGATAAAATCAGGATTAAAGTCTGAATTTCAGCCTAAAATGTGATTTTTGATTCCCAGAAGAGGACGTTCAGAGTGTTTAAGTCTTTAACGGCGAACAGAGCAGACATGTTTCGGTGTACTCTGCTGATCTGTGGCAGAGGAGTCCCGAAGAGAGTGAGTACATTTATTATTATTATTATTATTATTATTATTATTATTATTATTATTATTATTATTAACCTGCTAAATTCACCTTTAATCCGTTCATATTTAATCAGAATTACAGGAGGAATATTTGATACACGATAATGATAGTCCACTAAATAACTGTTCTGTTTGTATTTCATTGTATTTTCAGAAAGCTGAATATTCTTGAGAACATTATAATAAAATCTGCAAAAATAACTAAGAAAGTGATGACATATGTCTGTAACCAGCTGCTTATGATGGATAAGACTTTATTCAATATTACAAAAAGCAGATATCCCACTGATGAGAGAATTCATAATCCTTTAACAACCCCCCTTATTATTACTATTATTATTATCATTATAGTTAGTATTATTTTTATTGTTATTATTGTTGTTATGTATTTGTATTATGTATGAGGTTATCTGCTTTGTTTTCGTTGTTTCAAAATGAAAAATTAAAAGTTAAAAAAAAAAGGATTTCATGATGTCCTGAAATTAACCAGATAGAAGATTAATTAAGTTTTTTTTAAAAATGAATAATATTATGTTTTAATGTTTTAAGATCTGATGTAACCTCTACAGTCGATGTTTGAGCTCCAGTTAATCTGGAGTTTAAAGTCAGACTCTGTTTTAACTCCGTATTCTCGCTCTGCAGTAAGAGAGCTAGTTATTATATATGTGTGTCACTACAAATAAAGACACGTGCACATCTGTCAGCGCTGTTGGACATCAATCTTCTGGTAATTCTGCTGATTATTGATTCGATCGGCTGACTTTAAACATCCAGATCACTTTTCTTAGTCTGTTTCTCAAACTTTTGTCCTCCTCAGTTTTCCTCGGCGTTCAGCGGTGAGAGCGCTCTGCCTCCAAATCTGCTGCTGCCAACCAACCTCATAGATCCTTCCAGATTAAGTGAGTACAGGGTTGGTGTCTGATCGTGGTTTTTTTTGGGGGAGGTATGAAACAGCAACACGTCAAAGACGCCTTCATTGACTCTTTTCCGGCGTCCTCCTGCAGAACGACCTCCTCCTCCCGCAGACTGCTCTCTGCCTCTCCTGAGAAGATGTGATGCCGTCGTGCCGGCTCACCTGAGTCCAGTTCAGACGTGGGTGGAGACCTTGGAGAGCCTGGATAGTGAGCCGTTAGGTTTGGCTCAGCTCCACCCGGACGTGTTCGCAGTGCCTCCCAGGTAAACCCGGCTTCACTCGAGTTCATGTTTGTCCGTGTCCATCATGAAGGTCCTGAGTGTCTACGGTTTCTGTTGGACCTGATGTAGAGGGGTCAGTTAGGAGGTATCATCAGGGACAAACTCTTCTCTTAAATCTTTTTATCCTTTGAAATTTGTATCTAGAATTAAACGAGTTAAAATGATTTTGAGAGTCAAAGAGGTTTTTATTTGGACTCTTGTGATGTTGTTCTGTATGTTGGTGTTACGCAGACTCTGCTGTCATGTCGACAGTTGGTCTAAAACTTTCATTTTTAACTCTAATTCGATGTCTTGAACTGAAATGAGTGAGTGAAGTCATAAATACTGAGCATGAATCCTGATGGATCAGCTGTTTGTTTTCTCTCCTCTCTCTCAGACTCGACATCCTCCATCAAGTTGAAATCTGGCAGAGAAACTTCAAAAGAATCGTACGTTGTTGTTTCGATCATCTAATCTCATGTGTGTCATTAGACATCACTCACTGGAGAGTAAAACGCCGCCGCCGTCTGAATTCTGAATCACGTCGTTTTTGTAGACTCACTGTCGAGCTCGTCACGAGTCCTCTGGAGCGAAACGGGGATGAGTTTGTGATTTCAGACCTAACAGCTGTTTTCATCCATCAGAGCCACGCCCACACAAAAGTGAGGTCGGAGGTCAGAGGTGGAGGCAAAAAACCATGGCAACAAAAAGGCAGCGGCCGAGCACGCCACGGGAGTATCCGCTCGCCAATCTGGAGAGGAGGTGAGGAGGTCCTCTGAAACTCTGTGCTCACAGTGGTCCACCATGACTCTGATGAAGCTCCTTCAGGTTCTGGTTCTGGTTCAAACTTTTACCTCGAAGCAACAGAAACCGGACCTGTCACTCAGACAGGTTTTCTCCCAGAATGCTTCACTCTGTGGATGTAAACCAGCCTGACTGTCTCCATCTTTTTCAGGTGGAGTCTCTCATGGACCCAGAGGACCAACCAGTTACTACTACATGTTACCCCTGAAGGTCCGAGTGCAGGGACTCAAAGTGGCTCTGAGCTCCAAGATGGCTCAGGTAAGAGACACCAGAAACAGGAAAATCCAGATCGACTCAGATCCAGTCAAGGACCAGTTACCCCCGACCTCCACCTTCATCCTGATCGTCTCCTAAAAGGTCGTATCCTCCGATCGTAGCTGATCGTAACCATTCAAGTTAACGTGTCAATTTACACCGACTTCTTTCCGTTCCTCTGCGGATCGCCGGACTCCTCAGCTGATCACAAGAGTTCTATTTTTTCTGGACGCCGGAGCATGGCGGATAAATTCAGCACAGATTAACCCGTGCTGGAAAGGAAGTCGGGCACAGACACAAAATAAAACATCCGGCTTCTTTTCAAAATAAAACACTCGGGAGGAGACGAACAAGTGAAAGGTTTTTAGACGTCATTTCACCCCGATGACACCATGGATGAGGAGATGCTGATTCTAGAAGTCTAGAAGTAGATTTCCTCCTCTGGAAGGACACAATCTACTGCTTATATGTCTATGTGTCTGTCTTTAGAGAGACGACTCGTTATCGAACGATTGAACGTGAATCTGCGGGTTCTTGTGAGATCTCGACATTACTGCTGTCTGTAATCCGCCACAAAATTTGCCTCACAAATTGATTCGGTAGGAACTGGCGGACGGCGAAAATCGGATGCGGTGGAAATTGGGGGTAAAACCTCCTGAACCTCCCTGTACTGGATCAGCCAGGTCCAGGACTGTCTTCAGAGTCTGGACTCGTCATGGTCTCGTGTAAATCTGCATCAGTAAGTGTTGAACCTGCTTTTGTAGGACTACCTTCACATCGTGGACTCTTTGAACATCCCCACCCCTGACCCTCAGTACCTGCTGGACCTGATCCGACAGAGACACTGGGGAGAGTCGGTCCTCATCGTGGACGTGTGAGTATCATCACAGACGCTCCTGAGAACTACCGACCTCTCTCTCCTCGCCCCGCTTGACCTCGCTGTTGCTGTTGTTGTTTTCAGAGGGGCGGAGTTTCCCGACAACATCCTTCAGGCAACAGCAGACCTGAAGACGGTCAACATCATTCCAGCCATCGGTGAGTGGAAACCACGTCTTAGATTAAAAAAAGACCTCCTGAAGAAGAGGATCCGGTTTGTGTTGGTCCATCAGATTTAAGATGTCGGACACTTTCAGAACTTTTCACAGAAGGTTCTTCTGACTGTGTTTGTTTTCTGGTCCAGGTCTGAACGTCCACAGCATGCTCAAACACGAAGTTCTCGTCCTCACGCTGGAAACCGTCAAGTTTCTGGAGGACAAACTGCTTTGGCACGACGAGCGATACTCGGCTCTGTACCCGTTCAAACTGCCGTACTCGGATTTCCCCTGAGGAGCTGAAGGAGGAGGGCGGAGTCAGCAGGCGTGTTTTCTTCTTCATGTGTTTATTATGTAAAAGAAAAATCATGAATAAATAAAACAGTGACGAGAAAACAAGAGTGTGAACATTTCATTAAAAAGGCACCGGGACGTTCAAAGGCCTAGAACCGGTAGCTGGATGTCTGCGGCAGGAGGCCGTTGGCGAGGTCGTTCCTGATCTCCCAGCACAGCGCCGAGCGCTTCTTCTCAGTTGGCACGATGTAGGTGTTCGGCACGTAAACTCTGCGAGGTTTGGGCTGCAACGAAACGAGAGCGTTAGACTATCTCCAGGATGGCAGGTTTGTTAGAATCAGAGATCTGAAGAAACACTAAAGTCTTCTGTGAAGGTCCGCTGGACTCGTCTGAGGTTCATGGAGACGTTTCTCCTCAAGCTTGAAACGTCTCCAAGAACCTCAAACCAGTCCGGCTGACCTTCAACCATGACCCTGAGGAGTGAGAACCTACATGAACATCTGAGGTTTTCTAAAACTCTAACTCAAGCGAACATGAGGCGCCACCTGCTGCTGTGGAGGCCAAACTACACCAGCTTTAGCTAAGGTGGCTGAAGTTCTGAAGAACCTGAAGATTTAAATCAGACTGGGTCTCCTTCATCACCAAACCGGACCTGAGTTCTGATCCAAACGGACCCTCAGAGGGAACAGGTTAAGAGAGCAGATACTCACAGGTGGAGGCTGATAGGCCAGCTGGTCCTGAAAGAAAAACACAAACATTCATCAGCGCCTGAAGACCCGACCGCCACTTTGACTGTGGCGTCCAACAGGACGGCCCACATTCTCCACATCTACAGACGGAGACATAACGCTACGTGACAGTGGGATTTAACCATGACCAGGACAAACGGATACGAGCGACTCTATTGGACGATCAGGTGTGTGTGTGTGTGTGTGTGCGCGATAACAGCGGTTACAGATATGGTAAAGAAAGAGTCGGCTATAACGAAAACAAAGAAGTGAGTAAAAGGGGGAAGAGAAACTAAAATAATGATCATATTGAACATGATAAAGATTTAAGTCATAATAAATATTAATAATGAGAAATAGAAAAAAAAGGAATAAATGAAAAAAAACAAAAAAAACAGTAAAGTAATTCAATAATTAAACTTTAAAGGAGGAGAAAAATAAATAAATCTAAATATATAAATAAATGAGTCAATGGATAATAATGATGTAGGAGAAATGAATATTACACGATACTGAATGATTAGTTGATTGATTGATTGATTGACTCTCAGACGAAGAAAAAAAAAAGGGTTGGATGGAAACTAAGAAGTTTGGAAATCAGTAAAAGTGGACGAGAAGGAAGTAGAAACCAGATCCTTCCTGATGTTCCTGATATTCCTGATATTCCTGTTTTCATGTCGCTGAAATGAACTCAAGCGTTCGAACCTTGATCTCCTGACGAAGAGCTCTGCGGTCCGTCTCTCCTGGAAGTTTAAACATTTCCCAAATCTGTTTGTACTGGAAATACCTGCAGAGACAAGAGGACCCGTCAACTCGGAGGACAGAAGAAGAAGAAGAAGAAGACTCTGTCCTCTGTTGGGACCTCTGGACATGTCTGAGAAATTAACCCTTACTTTGCCACCGGGTCGGTCTTCTTCCTGGTTTGTTGGTTTCTCGTTGGTCTGATGACTGAAATGAAAAAGTGACGAAGTGAAAAACGAGTTAATTTAAGAGTTTAGATGAGGGTCGGAGTCGTCTGCGTTTGATCGCTGCAGACTTACAGGATTTGGGTTTGGGTCTGATGTCTCCGTCACTGCGAGATCGAGTCTGAAACAACAAAGTGAAACACACTCAGACACACACTTCAGCTTCTGTGTGTGTGTGTGTGTGAGGCCTACATTACCCACCATGCCTCTGATGTAGGACTCGAAGGCGCTCAGGGCGTCTCCCTCGGCCCCTGAACTCTGTGTCTCACTGTGACTGCCGACCTCGTCGTTCTCGGTTTCACGCTGAGCCGGCGAGGATACATGAAGCTCGGCCAGACGCTCCTCCAGACAGCTCGCTGTAAAGACCAACAACAGTTAAAAACATCAAAACTGTGAGGGACCAAATTCACGGAGGAACGCCGTCAGTGATGGCGTTAGACCGTTAGACTGCGGCGTCTGTACGACGATCAAACTGAAAATCGACGATTCCTCTGATTTCTGAGTTTGAACGCATCGTAATTTCAGAGACGAGAGAGAAGCTCGTTCATTTGGAGGAGACTCTGCTGCTGAGAAGGAGATAATCTCAAACATCTGCACGAGACAGACAGACGGACGGGCTGTGTGTGTGTGTGTGTGTGTGTGTGTGTGTGTGTGTGTGTGTGAGTGTGTGTCAGAAACAGCCATGAAGCTGTACTTGAAGTTCTTCTCAAAGGCTGACGGTGAGAAACGGAGTGAACAAACAAATAATGAAAGAGAAGAAGAAGAAGAAGGAGAAGAGGAGACACCACAGAGATGACCGAAACTTTTCATGTGAATTAATGTGAATAAATCTGAACTGTTCAAAACTGAAGGTCGGCTCTCGACAGGAACTTTAATATAGTCGCTGAAAATATCTTGTAGGCCACGCCCCCTACATGCACTGTGCGTTCCTCCGTCACATGATTGACAGATGATTTCTCGAACCCTGGAGGTCACAGAGTCCACCGACTTTAGAGAGTCAAGGAAGTTCTGATGATATTCTGGGGTAAATATATCTGATCTATAATGGAGTTAATATTTAAATCAAAGTCGGTGTTAAATGTGAGTTATTTGGTCATTTAAGGGTGGAGTTTATTCTGTGGTGGTCGTTTCCTCAGATTCTGTTTCTTCAGACTCCTGATAGACGGTTTTCTGTAACCGATCAATCAATTAAACATCAATTATTAAATATTTTAAAGACCGTTTATCAGCTGTTTATCAACTATATTTATGTTCATGACTTCAGATTTTTATTTTATTAAATAATTTAAACTTTCATGTTTTTTAATTGTTTATTTTTCATGGATGTCTGCTGATGAAAAAACAGAAATATTTAAGTTTGAAGATGATAAAGTTTGTTTAAATTAAACACAATTTACAGTTAATTCACATGAAAAGTTTCCATCTTGGAATATTTCCAAAATCGCCGACTTAAAGGCGGAGTCTGCAGGAATCTGTAAAAGAAACATCTTTTTATTTTGTTTATAAACAAAAAATCTTTAATATCAGTCAATAGTTATCAGTTATTGATTATTTGGTAATATATCGATATCTCTGTGTTCTCTTATGTCTGTGTCGTCAACATTTGAACATTTTTGAGCGGTCCGCTCTTTCTGACTGTAAACAAAGCCGTTCTCCACCTCCTCTAACCTGATTGGTTGTGAGGCAGACGCTGCTACAATAAAACTCAAATTACCCCTCTGATGACGGAGGTTTCCCTCCCAACCCTCGAACATCTGGCCGTACGTGTTGGAGCTGAACTTGTCTTTGGAGTCGATGAACTTGACGTCTTTGTTGCTCGAAGACTCGTCTGATTCTTCTTCGCCCTCTTTGAACCCGTCTCCGTCTGCGGCGTGGAGATGTTCCTCTGATGCTCCACAGAGATCCAGACTTTTCTCATGATCTCCTGGTTTCATGTCTGTGACGTCCACCTCTTCATCATCAGCTCCTCGCTCAGCGTCTGCTGACACGCCCACTGATGGCGTCTCTCTGAAGTCGGGCTCGGTGGTTTCCACGTCGAACCCTCCGAAGCTCCACAGCGAGCGCTCCTCCTCGTCTCTGACCTCGGACAGATCTCCGCGGCTGTCCTGATCGAACTCGGCGATGGTGTGGTCGTCTCTGCCGTCTCCGCCCTCCTGCTCCTCGGGTCTGATGGTGCCGTAGCCTGACGTCATCATACTGGGGGCGGGGCTATCAGAGCGGTGGTCTCCATCCTCTTCCTCACTCTGACCTTCAACACAGTCCCTGCTGGAGTGGTCCTGGTCCTGAAGATCAGGGTTTTCCTGCTGTTGAGAGTCCTCTTCATCAGGGTCGGCTTTGAGATCTTCCTCTCTGACAGTGTCCTCCTCTTTCTCCTCCTCCTCTTCCTCTCTGACAGTGTCCTCCTCTTCCTCCTCCTCTTCCTCTCTGACAGTGTCCTCCTCTTTCTCCTCCTCTTCTTCCTCCCTGACAGCGTCCTCCTCCTCCTCCTTCTCTTCCTCCCTGACAGTGTCCTCCTCTTTCTCCTCCTCCTCCTTCTCTTCCTCCCTGACAGTGTCCTCCTCTTTCTCCTCCTCTTCCTCCCTGACAGTGTCCTCCTCTTTCTCCTCCTCCTCTTCCTCACGTCTCCTCTCTGAGCAGTTCTTCTTCTCCTGCTCCTCTCGCTCAGGTTTCTCCTCCTCTGAAGACTCTTTAGTGGACTCCTCTTCCTCACTGGTCCTGCCCTCCTCCTCCTCCTCCTCCTCCTCCTCTCCTGAACTTGGCCCGGTCAGGTTCTCCTGGTTGGTTTCCTGAAGTGAATCTTCTGCCTCGTTTGCAGGTGTGGAGTCTTCCTCACTGGTATCCACCTCCTCTTCCTCACCTTCACTCTCTGAACTCCTCCCACCTGCGCTCTCCTCCTCCTCGTCTGACTCCTCCTCCATATCTCCGGAGTCTTCCTCGCTGATCTCTCCCTCCTCCTCCTCCTCTTCATCACCTCCTCCTCCTGAGCTCGTGTCGTCCTCCTTGTTCGACTCCGACCCTTCCTCCCCTGAGGAGGTCACCTGAGGAGGTTTTGCACCTCCTTCTCTGATCACTTGCTGAGTATGACCCTCCTCTTCCTCCTCTTCATCACTTCTACCCCCTGAGCTGCCCGGTCTTGAGTAGTCCTGGTGGTCCGATTCAGTCCTCTCCTCCTCCAAAACCTCCTTAAGAGGTTTTCCTGTATCTCTACCAGGTCTGACTCCTACCTGCGTCTCCACCTTCTCCTCCTCTTCCTCGTCGTCCCGTCGCTCTTCATCAGACCAAAATGAGGAGTAGAGAGAGTTCCCGTCGTCATCCTCGCTCGGGGGGTTGTAGCTCTTGTACATGGTGTCGGCGGAGGTGTGTGTGTTCAGTGTGTGTGTGTGTGTGTGTTCAGTGTGTGTGTGTGTGTGTGTGTGAGGTCTGTGGAGGCGCCCGGCTTAAGGAAAGAGGATTACGCTGAGACTCGACTCCCAGGTCTGCCCGAAGCTGAAACGGCCCCCTCTGCTGGTGGCTGCAGGAATCACAGCTCTGCTCTGTTCTTGTTGTTTGACGTGTTTGAGTGTAAATTAGAGTTTTTTTCAGGACTGTGAGCGAGCAGGTAAGAACCGTCTTTAAATCTCTTTTAAATCCAGTTTTGTTGTTTTTTGAGTAAATCAAACTCCTCGACGTGACGCCTCGTATGAAATAAAGATCATATAAATATATAAATCTGAATTTAAGGACCTCTGCTCCTAAAACATCTGAGAGGAGTTTTTGTGTTTGAACCTGCGTGAAGCTGACCCCCCACCCCAAAAACAGTCCGCTTCGTTTGTGCCGTTTAAGTTTTCGTTTGTGCTGCTTTGGTTAGTTATTAAATATTGTTTTATAGGTCATCCAGAGGTCACCCAGCCCCCCTATTTGCTCTGAATGGACCCGAGAAGTACATGCACCTCCACATTTGAGTTGTTTTGTTTACGGTCTTCGAACAGAGCGTGGTTTCTGTGTTTCTCTCTGTCAGACAGTCATCTGTAGGTGTTTTTATTCTTATTTACGGCTAAAGTCTCGGGATTGTTGTTCCCACATCAGCTGCTGACGTTTAAACCGCTGAACTCACCATAAGTGTTGTTCACACAGACGCCCTAAAAACAAACATTTTCTTTCTTCCTCAGCCTTTTATTTTGAAAAACTCTCTGAGGAAAAAGTTTGTGCAGCGCTTCAGAGCGAACTCGTGACACTGAAACAGACCGAGAAATTTAACGATCATCGAGGGCTGAGCCAAATATCTGTTTTAGACCTGGACCAGGGTCTGGACCAGGGTCTGTTTTAAAGGTTTCTAAAAGACTAGGATCAGAAATGAGGGTCAGGGGTGTTTTACCTGAGTCTTCACTGTAGACTGATTCATCACAGACCAGAGATTGTCCTTTGTGCTTCCTACAGTTAAAAAAATGAAAACAGTTTTATTATTATTGTTGTTGAATTTGCAGTAAAAACACCTTAAACTGAGTGTTGAGACGATCGTTTTAATCTGTGGAGATGATAATTCACTGAAGGAGTCACTTTTCTCTGTTGGCTCTGCAGAGACTCGGAGTTTTGTCGTGTCTCTGATAATGAAAAGGTGGAGGTGGAGCTTCACTCACAAACACAGATGTAGTCAAAGACCGACAACATGTCGACATTTCGCCGTGACCACGTTTCTTTACCTGAAGACCTTCCTCCTGATGAAGCGTCGGTCCTGGATCTCAGGGCTGGATGTGGAACTGTCAGAGAGCGGCGGGTGGAGGGTGTCATCAGGATCTGGATCTGGCTCCACCTGCAGCCTGTTTGGAGCACCTGGAGGCAGCTGGAGCCTTGGAGCCACGGAGTGCTGAGCATACGAGTCACCGAGTCTCTGCCGCTGCCCGCGGTCTCTGTCCTGACCCTGAGGTAACCACACATGAGCGGGATTAAAACGCACAAACCCGACACACGGTTACAGAAAACGTCTTTTTAAGATAAACGAATAAACCGGTCAGTTATCTCAGAGAAACTCTGAGTCTGACTCAGGGGTTAAATGACGAATCCTGTGAGTACAGAGGTCCTGATCAGACCCTCGGCTCTGCGCCACATCTCACACTTCCTGCTCCATCTATCCTCCTCCCAATAAAGGCACCGAACCCCCAAAATAACCTCAGATAATGAAGGGGTTAAATACTTCCACATCTGGTTGGTGGATGAACATTTGACAGCAGGTTTCCGGAAACAAAGATCGATTATATCTTCATGTAACGACGTCTTGTTGACCAACGATTGATAAACTACAAAAAAAGGTCGTCCTTCGTCGTCCTCTGGTTGGTCAATAAAAACGACAGATAAGAACAGCAAAGACTCAAACATAAAACTCACTTGACTGTGGCGGTCCATGTGTCCAGCTTGTAAGAAGAAACCCTCCTGAGAGTCTTCAAAAGATCTCCTGCTCACTGTCACGACATAAAACACAGAAAACACCAAATTAGCATCTGAATTTTGACTTGATATCTTGTTTTTTTTAATTACTCAGACTCCTCCACCTGTCCTCGAAGGTCCCGCTCACTCTATCTAGTTTCTAATTCGCATAACCACCATGAAAAGTGTTGACTGTTGTGAAAACCCCTCAGTGTTATCTCAGAGGGAGACCTTTCTCTTTGGTGAAGGCGGGAGGACTCGGTCCAGATGATGCTGTCGGAGATCTGCTGGAGTTTATCGGAGGTGGGGAGGTCAGGTTCTTCCATTCTCCGTGTCGAATCAGGTCATCAAGATCTGACCGAACACAAGAAGAGAGTTTTTAAAAACTGTTCCTAAAAACGACTGTCGTTTATTTCAGGGGTGTCTTAAAAACAAACTCCAGATGATGCAGGAAAGAGGACATCAGTGTCAGAGTCCCACCTTGCTTGAATTCTTGCAGTCTGTGTTTTGGGATGTTTTTGTAACCCAGCAGAGCCAGCTGTTCCCGGATTTCTTCTTCTGTAAAATCCAAACTGTCCATAAGTTCAACCTAAAGACAAAAAGATAAAACCTGAGAGGAGAGAAAGGCATCGGGATGAGGGGAGAGCGGGGTCAGAAGATCCATGTTTCCGGATCAGTCCATCAGGTCAGTCCTAGTTTAGTCTCTAACTCGTGTCTCTGCAGATATTTCAGGATGTTGTTCATTCCTGCAGAATTGATGACCCATATATTTGGTCACATGATCAATTTCTTTGACCATTTCCAAACAACAGGGGGTGGCTCAACTTACCCCGGTCTCCCCTATACGTGGATTCAATAAACAGCAATAATGATTTTATATTTTATTATCACTTTAAAAAGAATATTATTGTTTCTTCCACAATAAAGCACTAAAGGAAACTGTAGATTTAGCTGTAAAAACTTATTGAACGATGAAACATCGTTGGTGACCGTTAAAGTTACCTTCTTTAACTTCCACAGTTTTAATAATAATCTTAGTAAAAGTTGCAGGTTTGAGTTTGCCGAATGTAACTTAAATGTTTTGGTTCCTCTAAACTGCAGACCTGGGAGAGTTCTTGAGTTTAAGGTGTTTTAATCTGAGAGTTTAATCTAAACTCGGCAGGTTTAGGTTCGGGGTTCGGTACAAATGTAAGCTAACGGCTAACAGCTAACAGTCAGTGAACAAAGTCACCTGTGTGAGGAGCTTCTTACCTGTGCGGTGGTGTTTTCGGTGAAGTTTGTACCTCCAGACTGTTTGAATGTTTACAGGTTTAACGGCACCAAGACAACAGCCGTTAACGAGCTTTAAAAACGACGCCCAACACCGTCTTCCGTAAACTTCCGCTCTTATTCTTCTTCGTCGGGTCTGTTCGCGGTAGTCTTACACTGTAGCGCCACCATAGGCCGCATGCGCGCCATTCTTCCCGCCTCAGTAATCTGTGTGGTGGTTTTAGGAGTTTAAAACACTGCATTTAAACTAAGAAATGACTAACAGCTCTATCTAGTGTTTGATTTTGGTATCATACTGATGTATTTGAAAGTAATGAAATAGAAATACTCAACACTTTACATTTTTATTCATCATTTGTTTCATTTTGTGCCACACCTTCACAGATCACCAACATCAACCTCGTCAGACTGAGACGTCTTTAAATGTTGCTCCATGTTTTTATTCCTGAACCAAACAAACGTCCTCCTAATATTTAATACAAAAGGATGTTTAGTCTTTTCAAACTCCTCTTAATCCGTTCACGTTTCTGTCCCCTTTGACCCCTCAAACTGAGCAAAGACTGGAGAAACTTCAGAAACTCAGACATTTTCACCATTTTAAGCTGAAATGTCAGCGGAATAATAAACCCATCTGACAAGACGCTGTTTGGTCATTTGAACTTTTTCTTGTCTGACTTTTTAACCAAGTGTGTCAGCGCTCTTTACTGCACAGTAGTCCTCTGTAGTCGCCATCTTGTTCCTCCTCCAGCAGCTCTTGAGTTTCCCGGCTCGGCATCGGCCCGGTGAGTGAGTGAGTGAGTGAGTGAGTGTGGGTGGGTGGACCTGGCGTCTACTGTGACTACGTCATCACAAGTACCACTCTGCCTCGCTCTTCTTCCTCCTTGCTCCGTCCTCAAAGCAGGAGGAGACAGCATGGAGGCCGGTCAGTGGATTTCTCCTCCTGCTTCAGCGTGTTTTCAGAGGTTTTCCACCTGAGGAGAGAAGAGTGAATCGAAGGTTTGCTCGTGACGTAAAGATTTTCTTGTGTGGAGGCAGGGAGATGAAAGTACAAGCGCCTTTGAAAGCGGTCTGACATGCTGTTTCATTACCTGAATCCACGATTAAACCGCTTAGTCAAAGTTTTCCACTCAAGTCATTTTTCACAAAGGTGTAAAAATCCAAAATGGATGAATCACTGAGGAAAACAGGACCTTTCAGAGCCTAAATCGCAGCGAGGATGTATGACAGAATTTTCCTGCATTTATTTGGTAAAAATGACTTTTTTTATTTCACTTCTTCATTTCTAAAATAATGTGCAGCTCTAAGTAATTGTTTGTAGACTTAAAGAGGGGAGGTCTCACATGACTAATCCCATCACTAATCCCTCGTTTCTGCTCGTTTTAAAGTGCTCTGAAACAGAAATGTTCCTCCTGAACCTGCGGTTTGTAAACTTTAGCTGAACAGTGTTTGTGTCGACGTTCAGTGACTGTTTCAGCTCCAACCTGTTGAACAGCGTCAGACAAACAGTTTCTTCAGCTTGGAGAAGAAGCCTTCCTCCTCTTGCTGTTTCTGTCCCTCCTCTGAGCCTTTTGCACCAGACTCTGAAGCGCTGCTGCCCCCTGCTGGACACAAACACACTCTACATCAGCTTCTATTGACACTGACTGTGAGTGTTTGTCTGCCGAGTGTGGAGTGATGCTTGGACAGACAGAGTGACGTAGTTTCACTCTAACCTTTCCTTGCAGAAGGAGTGACCCCGTTAATCGTCCCCTCGACGTCCGACTCCTCTTCAGCGTAACTGAGGATCAGAGAACGCTGCCTAGGAGTCAACTTCCTGCAGGAAAGAGACCACAGAAACTCGATTACATGATCCAAACAGAGTCGAGTGAAAAGTGAACATTAAAAATCACAACTTCTTGGGTAAATATTGAGCAAACAACCACATGAGAACTACCCCTGAAGCTGTTTCTACATTCAGCAGATCTTAAAAATGTCCTTTGGTATCGTGTCCACCAGCATGTTGGAGACATCCCTGCTTTACAAACAGTGATTTCACAGCAGGTAGAGGTGATGGAGGTTTCAAAGGTGTGTCATCTGGAGGGAATCTAATCAGAAAAACTATTTACCTTTGAGCAAATATTTAAGGAACATGATAAACCAAAAAAACTCTCAAATATTTACGACTGAAACATTTTATATCATCAGAAAATAAAGACCCGACGTCTGAACCAGCTTTGACAAATCTAATCATGACAAATCTGGCTAACGGGGGTCGAGTATCTTTGTTTTATGGGACTCTGATATCTCATGAGAAGGAATCATCCAAGGACAGAAACATGGACAGTCGATAAACCTGAAGAAGACTGGGAAGCGGCATATCGAAAGGCACGGCAAAATACAATCAACACAAAACTGAAACTGCTCCAATATAAATGGATAAAGTGAACTTCAGTAAAACTAAATCAAACCTGTCCTAATGTTCCAGATACCTGTTGTTTAGAGGAAACAGGAAGATTGTTCCGTCGTGTTTGGGAATGTGATGATTTCCCTGATGGTGGTAAGAACGTTCCCCTGGAAGCTGAACTCTGTATCCTGGTTTATACCCTTCAAGCTAGAAGACTGGTCGCTCTTTTCTGGAATAATCTCCAGTTACCCTCTGTAAAGTTACGGCTGAAGGAGACTGAGACACATCTTGTGTTGGAAAGACTTTCATATATTATATACAGTTTGTTACAGGATGGAAACCTTTTGGGGATTTTTGGAGGATGAGAAAGTTGTTAAGTCACCACTGCTGCTACTTTTTCAGTTGTTTTTTCTGTTCCTACTGTTTTACTCTTATTATTATTTTTAAATTATTTTTATCTTTATTCACTTATTTTTCTCTTCTTTCCATTTTTTGATAGTTTTGTTGTATAGTGCATTTATACATCATTGCTATTGCTGCAGTGCTATTTGTATGTTTTTCTTATATGTAAAAACTTCATTTAAAAATAGAAAAAACCAAAACATGAACAGTCAGATACTGTGCGTTGCAGAGTAGTTTCTATTGCATAAAAGAAAACGTTTAAACTAAAAGAAAAAGAAAATGTTGCTAAAAAAATATAAATATTAAACTCAAAGTAACAGAAAGATTAAAATGAAAAATGATGGTGGCATAAGTCCTTTTTTTCCACACATCTGCACAAGTTTGTGATGATTTCTGATGCTCTGGCTGGTTTCCTGTGATGATTTAAAAACACAAGTAGAACTTTCATCCCAACTTCAGGGCATCTCAGCTGAATAACTGGTTTGATAAATATATTTGAAGTGTTTTTTAGCTCCTCCTCTTACGTTGGCACTCTGATCTTGACGTGAACAAAGTGATTTCCATAGGTGAACGGTCTTATCCTCATAATGCCAAGTCTTGAAATGTAGATTACTTGATCCGCCTGGCAACTAGCGGGAATCTAAAAACACAACAGAAGTCGTTACTTATCAGACACAGTCATTAAACACCTGTGTAAACAGCTGTGACAGAAGGACAGGAAGCCCAAACATGGTTCACTCCGCCCGTTTTTAGCTTTTCACTCTAACTTGGTGAACAAAAGCAGATCAGCGTCGTATTCTGAGCAGCCTCGTTCTGACTCACATCCAAGTCAACGGGACCGTACAGGCCTGGTGCTGTGACCTTTCCCCCCAGGATGGCCTGAGCGACAGAGATTGACACATCTGAGTGGATGTCCAATCCATAGCGCCTGAAAATCTTACTCTCCTCCACCTGTATTGAGACAAATGAGATGCAGGTCACGTGACTCCAACAGACCTCTGTCATTTTGCCGGATTTGAACAAAAATCTGTGAAGAATTTCTCCAAAACTCACCCTGAATGTGACGAGAATTTCTAGATTTCTTTGCACTAACATGCGCAGCGTCTGACCGGTCTCCACTCCTGCAAGAAAGTCTCACTGTCTTAAGTTGTGTTTGTTATTTCCACCCTTTGCTCTGATGACTGCTTTACACACTCTCGGCATTCTCTCCGTGAGCTTCCAGAGGTCGTCACTAGTGGTGCAACGGATCACAACACTCACGGATCGGATTGTTCCTCGGATCAAGAGTCACGGATCGGATCATTTTTCGGATCAGCAAAAAGCAGTTTTGTCTGTATATTAAACACTTAAATGGTTGAATTAAAATATATAAAAGTAGTGCATACGGCGTAATATCTTCTTTTCAACATAATTATTAATGAAAAACAACTTAAAGTGCAATATATAGGCATATCTCCTTCCTTTAAAATGTAACAATGAACCAAAAATGAAGTATGTGCGCGGTGGGATATCGTAACGTGGCTCAAGCACTTTCAGCATGTTTTTAAAGCCCTCGTTTGCACAACTGAATACGGCCTCATGTCTGTAGCTAAACACACCGTTAGCGTTTGTGATGCGCAGGAAGAGGCTGCTTAAATGCTGCGGTGATGAGCGGTTGCTGGCCAGCTTTCGTTTTATCTCAGGTGTTGTGACATAGAATGCACCCCTGCCGTAGAATGCACCCCCTGACGGGAGCGCGGTTTAAAGTACATAACGAGGCGAAATAATAAGTTTTTCTTACATTGGATGGATTCAAAAGCGTTTGCCTGTAATAATTTCATTCAGGCTATTCAAAGAAGCCAAAAACAACAGCCCTTGGAATATTGCTGTCCCGAAAATATAATGCTCTCTACCTGGACAGCTTTCTGTACAGTTTATACCCAAGTACACCTCTATATTTGCATTTTTGAGACACATAAAAAGAAAATGAAAGTTTGCTGCTCCATTTGACATGTTGTCATGATCTAATACTCGTGTTTCTTTAAATATGAGATCATTATCTCCACTGTAAGAAGCTAACGAGTGGAGGGGATGCAGGGGTGCGTTCTACGGCAGGGGTGCAGTCTACGGCACAACACCTGTCATTAAAACACCCGGGTGATGTCGCTTTCAAATGCGTGAACATGCTCGATGTGTTTCCACTGTCATATGGCTTTCTTATGCCACAGTGCCTACACACCTTCACAGTTTTGTCCACTGACCTCTTTCCTTCCTCATCATAGTTGACAGGGAAGCCACATTTTTTTTTTCAGAAATCGAACCGCGGGTAACGTGTGTGCCGAACCGATGACGTCGATCCGAACGGATCACGGATCAATGATGATCCGTTGCACCACTAGTCGTCACCTGACGTGGTTTTCACTTCACAGGTCTGCCTTATCAGGGGTAAGTAGTGGAATATCAGGTTAATACACAGCCCTATTGGACAACTGTTAAAATTCATATTATGGCAAGAACCAATCAGCTGACTAAAGAAAAACGAGTGTCCATCATGACTTTGAGAAATGAAGGTCAGTCAGTCCAGAAAACTGCAAACACTTTAAATGTGTCCCCAAGTGGAGTCGCAAAAACCATCAAGCGCTACAACGAAACTGGCTCACATGAGGACCGACCCAGGAAGGGAAGACCGAGAGTCGCCTCAGATCAGAGTTCGAGCAGCAGACCCGTCTCTACAACAACTGTTAGACTGCTGAATCAGGCCTTCATGGTCAAATAGCTGCTAGGAAACCACTGCTGAGGAGCGGCAACAAGCAGAAACACAAGGACTGGACATCAGAGCAGAGGAAATCTGTGCTTCGGTCTGATGAGTCCAAATTTGAGATCTTTGGTTCCAACCGCCGTGTCTTTGTGAGACGCAGAAAAGGTGAACGGATGGATTCCACCGCCCTGGTTCCCACTGTGAAGATGGAGGAGGAGGTCTGATGGTGTGAAGGCACATCCTGCAGCGACATGCCATCCCATCCGGTTTGTTTAGTTTTTCAGCAGGACAAAGACCCCACACACACCTCCAGGCAGCAGATGACCTGGCCTCCACAGTCACCGGACCTGAACCCAATCGAGATGGTTTGGGGTGAGCTGGACCGCAGAGTGAAGGCAAAGGGGCCAACAAGTTCTGAACACCTCTGGGAACTCCTTCAAGACTGTTGGAAAACCATTTCAGGTGAGGACCTCCTGGAGCTCATGGAGAGAGTGTTTACAGCGGTCATCAGAGCGAAGGGCGGCTAAACTCCAACATGAAACATGTGTTCATTCACAGTTTTGATGCCTTCAGTGAGAATCAACAGTGTAAATATCAGAGATGGGAACTGTGGAGTCATCGGGTCATCTCCATGCCGTGTTTTTGTTCTGCTCGGTTCCTGAACCAGGTGCCTTCACCGACTGCTGCTTCAGTAGCCACGTTTACATGCAGACTTTTTTCTCATTCGGATTATAATCATTCCGATTGAAGCTCCCAGGCGAACTGTTTACATGGAAGCGATCTATTCTGATCTGGTGTTTACATGTGCCACGGCATTCAATCGGAACAGCTATTTACAGACACGTGATACCTTCAAACATCACGTGATTGATTGATCACGTGATCTCCGACGCAGACCAGTGCATCGTGCTCTGCTTGGAAGCCGCCATCATGTTTCCATGTGAGTCATACGTCACTGCTTGTTTACATCAGGACAGAGCATGCGCAGACAGAACCCAGCCTGACAACTTTCCGATTCACCGTTTACATGACAGGATTTTGCTTTTAATCGGAATGGGAAAAGGAATATTCTACCCCTGTGAATCGGAATGAAATTCCATTCGGAATGGGCCTGTTTATTCCGAATGAGGTGTTTATATGGAGCATTTTCATTCCGATTGGGCTTCTAATCCGATTATATTCGTAATATTTGGCTCCATGTAAACGTAGCTAACGACAGAGCAGAACAAACACACGGCATGAAAATAAAGAAAACGCATCGAATGAGAAGGTGTGTCCGAACTCTTGGCCTGTACTGTAGGTGTGAATGCATCTTTGGTTGGAGACCCACCTGGAGGCACTTCGATATGGACAGTTTGTCTCCTCTTAGTCTGACCTGAACCCTGACAAAGGGCACAAGGTGTGATCACAATCGACCCTCTCCCTCCGCACCGTCTGCAGGGGGTTCGCATGGTGACGGGACCTGTGGTGACGGACTCCTGGTGAGGAGGACACAGAGAGGACTTCAGGACAAACACAGATGTTCAGATTATTGTCACCTGACGCTCTGCCACTCACCGTGCCAGTGCCGTTACAAAAGTGGCAATGAGACACCTTAGTGCCTGGCTCGTTGCCTTTTCCATCACACCTTTGACAGGTGTAATCTACGTTTATATCCAGATTTTTATCACAACCTCTTGCTGCCTCTAGGAACGTAAGATCCATCAGAAACTGGAAGGTGAGAAGAAACAAAAACCCTTCACTGTAATGAAATCACTGCCGTTCAGAGCTCCAAGAGGGAATTAAACCTTTTTTCAGATGAATCCAAATATGTGGACACCCAGGTTACTGGGTTTCTAACCTCAGGTGTTTGTTCAAACATGTTCTCAAAGTCCCTTCCTCCAGCAAACTGTCCAAAGATCTTCCTAAAGAGCTCTTCAGGGTCTAGAGTGGACCTCTGTGCCCTGTAGGACTGCCGCTGGCTCTGTCCAGCTCGGTTTGGGTCGAAACCTGCTGCTCCGTAGGTGTTATACTGTGTTCTCTTCACCTCGTCACTCAGAACCTGAAGGGAAAACAACAAGTTCAAGGATCACTGTCATCCTTCAACAACATGAGTGGAGACTAAATCACCTTGAACAGGAAATGGTTTTGAACCTCATAGGCTTCAGCCAGCTTGGCAAACTTCTCTTTGGCGTCCGGGTCGTCTGGGTTTGTGTCTGGGTGGTACTTTTTTGCCAGCTGGAGAGACAAGAACTCGGTCAAACGTGACCCGTAAAAGTAACTCTGGAGGTATTTGCACGGAGCAACAAGTTCTCACAACAGTTTGACTACAGAGTGTTTTCGGACCTGGTAGTAAGCCTTCTTGATGTCCTTCTGCGAGGCGGTACGGGCCACACCCAAGACCTCGTAATAGTCCTCCTTCGCCAACCGGCAGCTGGTGTGAAAAGAGCGGCTGGTTGTACCGCAGGGACATGTTGTACCTGTAGACAGAAGGATCCCCAGAAGACTATTTTACCCAGAGTGCTGCTACCATCCATGCTAATAAGATATATGAACCATTAAAGGGATATTCCGGCGTAAAATTAATTCAGGGTCAAACACACCGTAACACAGAGTTAGACACGCCCCCCTCCAGAGATGAATGTTGGATGGTTCTGTGTCTCTTTGATGACTGAAATTAATCTCATTCACCTGTGATCATTAGTTTGTCAGGTGAGCCCAGGTAAGGGAAAAACTACTAAAGAAGGATGTTCCTGAAATAGTTGAATGATTGAAGCATTGTTTAGGTATCCATTTAGACGGAAAGATAAGAGCAAAGGATATCTATTTTTTTAACATATTGCGAACAACCGCTATGAAACAGGTGACCAAAGCATGGAAACAATCAGATCAACCAAAATTAACAGCTTGGGTATCAACAGCAGAACAATGTCTAGAGATGGAAAGGCTAATGTTAATGAATAGGGAAAAAATGCATATTTGGAACAAGCTATTCCACAAAGAAAGGTTGACAAAAACAGTAGAAATATTTAATCAAATTAAGGAGATGGATTAAAAGGTCCCCACCCCAACTCTAACGTCCATGTACATAAACACACAGATACACGAACACACATACATGCACCTACCCCTACCAGTTTTCTTTAGTTTATTTAATCATATTTAGTTCATTTTATTTTATTTATGCATTTACTTTTTGTATTTTGTTTGCTTGTATGTTTTGCCTTATTTTTGGAGATATGTCGATTTGGTTACTTTTTGGTTGTTATTTACTTTCTGTATGTTAAAAAAAAAAAAAAAAAAGGGAAGGAAGAGAAAAAAAATGTAAGGTATAATATTGTAAAATGAAAGCCTGACTATGTTTGTGAAAGAAAGAAGCCTTGCAATAAAGTAATAAAAAAAAAAATAAATAGTTGAATGATTTGGACGAGGAATGAAAACCTCTGATATTTCACCAAAACTGAAGCCTGATCATCGTACTGTTAGGAGATCTGTGTCTGATTCAGAGCACACACGGGTTTGTGGAGATAAAGAGGAAGGTTTCTGTCAGACAAACACATCAGATTAAGAGAACAGCTGCTAACACGTCTTTACAAAACAGCAAACACATATTTGAAGCTGCTGATCAAGCTGTAGGATCCTCCAGAGGTTTACTGTTGTGTATAAACCTTCTATTCGGCCACCTCTAAACAATCCTCACAAACAGAAACGGTTACTGTGGGTCCAGAAACTCATGAAGACAAGAACAGTCTTGTTCACTTATGAGAGCTGTGCAACCCTGGATGGTCCAGATGGATGGAGTAATGGATGGCCACCATGTCCCAACAAGGCTGCAACATCAGCAAGGAGGTGGTGGAGTCATGGGGAGGGAGCTGGTCGGCCCCTTTAGGGTCCCTGAAGGCGTGAAAATGACCTCGGCGAAGTATACAGAGTTTCTGACTGACCACTTGTCTTCCGTGCTCTCTGTAATAAAATCATCTTCATGCATGACAGTGAACCATGTGATGCTGTAAGGGATACCTCTGCTTCACTGGCTGCTCTGGGTATAAAAAGAGACAAACTCATGATGTGACCCCCCATCACCCCCTGACCTCCACCCTACTGAGAACCTTTGGAGCATCTTCAAGCTAAAGATCTATGAGGGTGGGGGGCAGGTCACATCCAAAGATCAGCTCTGGGGGGGATATTCTGACATCCTGCAAACAAATCAAAAACTCAATAAATGAAACAAGACTTCTGAAGCTGCTGTCAAATAAAAGGTCCTCTGTTAAAACTTGACCTGTTAAGATGTTTTTGATTAAAATAGGTTTTAATTTCAGTAAATATGACCTCCTAATGCTGCTAATTCAACTGATGACCATTTTCAGTTCTTTACAATGTTTTGAAACTCTGTTGTGCAAAATAATGTGGAAGATTTAAGTTTTTTATTTTTGAATAAATCCTGTTCTCATTGGGAGGTTTGTTCAGTAACATTTGAATTATACTGACTGACATTTGTGTGACTATTCAGAAAATCAGAGAAAAATATCATTTACATAATAATTCGGAACACGGTGTAAAATACGAAGCTCCCAAGAGGTAAATACAATCCTCCAGACTGTAGTTAGTTGTAGTAAAACCTTCATTTATCTCCAGTCAAAAGAACAAATATCAGGTAAAGTAAACATGACGGTTACATCATCGTCCACCCCACCCCCCCCAATCTAAGCAGGTTCAGAGTACAGGTGTGTCTTTAACCAACAGTTTACAGATATAGAAGACCAACAGTGACATGAACATAAAGACAGTTGGATAAACTCACACTCAGATCAAACTTTCTCTCCTGTTAGCTGTTAGCTCTCTCACCTGTCAGTCTCCTCAATGTCACGACATTTCCGTGGGTCCCGGAGTTAAAGCGGTAAACTGTCAGCCCTCCCCGGAGCGTCTGAGACACCGCCGCCGACCACACTCCGCCATGTCTGAGCGGGACGGTGAGGAAACGGCCGCTACGGTGAGCAGAAGCGGCTGAAGTACAGAACCAGCGTGAATGGAGCCGGACAGCGGCGGACGCCATTTTCCGCGTCACTGCCGGTGTGAGCATAACGTACGTACACGCCTCTCTACGTGCTGGAGCGTAATCCAGCGTCGCCGCCATATTGGAGAGGTCTCCTCACTCTCGTCCCGCAGTAGAGCTAATCGCAGTAAACGGAGCGCAGAAGCAACCATGCAGTTTTGTGCAGCCTACAGTTACAATGGAGATTTGTTTTAGAGTATGGAAGTAAATCTGTGCCATCTGGTTTGGAATTTTAAATTCTAAAGCTCCATTTTTTTTCCATTAAAATCAGACTTTGAATTTCAAAACCATCAAATTTCAAGCATTTTTATTTCTTACACTAATTTTTTTCACAATGATGAAATAAATTGAGTGTAAAAAAAGTCTCTTAGTCTTCTCTTCTTGTCTTACGTATTTTTAAAAAAGTGTAAAGTATAAAAAAAGTGTAAAAAAAAGTATCTTAGTCCACCATTCTTATCTTATGTATTTTACTTCACTTTAGTCCCAGAATTATTATTTTATGATCTAACACTATTTGCTTATTTTCTTTTGTTTGATTTTAAAACAGTTTTATTATACAATATTTAATTATTATTATTATTATTATTATTATTATTATTATTATTATTATTTTTATCATTTTATGAGTTTCCTATATCTTTCATGGTTTTATCAGTTTAGTTTCAGCTCCTGTGTTTCCCCATGTATGTGTGTGTGTGTGTGTGTGTGTGTGTGTGTGTGCGGCTCCATGCGTGGCCCCGCTGTCAGTGAGGACGCCGCTCCATCACAGCCTCTGAACGTTGAAATGGTGGTCATATTTCTGATGTTAAATTAATATTTCCTCAAAAAAATGTTGTAAATGATAGAAAGCTGGGATGACTGATTTTCCATCCCCTCTCATTACTGATAATAATGTTTTCTTTTGACTGATGTTGTACTCAGAGTCTCTGAAGCCCTAAAAACTAATACTTTTTATTTTGCACCATTGTTCCACTCACTCATGTGATCGTCATCATGTACCTTCAGTAATATGTTTAAATAAAGTTATACTGTCAATGCTGCCCTCCCAAAACAAAGTCTCCTTAATTAATCATCCTTTTTATTCAGAGTTAACTTTCTCCTGATTATAATTTTATAGTTTATAATATTAGCAGGACTTTAGACATCTTCTTTCTCACAGCTTCGTCCAACACGTCTTCGTCTTTTTCTTTGTGAATATCGTAAATCATCACATTAAAACAGCGTTGCGTTATCTGAACAAGTTAGCCATTAGCCTCTCTTGATGTTTCATTTGGCCGTTAGGACGTTAACTCAGACTAAAAAATCACAGAGAAGAAACTACGCGTTCACTCACCATCCTGAAAATGTCAAACAAAAGCTACTGAGTTAGTCCATGTAAAAGGCAAAATATCACAAACTGCAAAAATATTTCAAACAAACAAAAAAGTCACGACACCTGTGGTGCTTTTCTCCTGCTCTGGTCTGCACAGCACACCACAACAAACGTGCAGAAATCCAAATGTCAGATTTTAGGAGCGTCCTGCTCGTTTTTCTAACTTGGCAGCCCTGTTTTTTTTTCTCACCCACTTGGTTTGGCCGTCTCAGACCACCCAGACTTGTTTTTTCCTTCAAAATTAATTCGAGGTGTGAACACATATTCATGAATTTACCTGAAATTGCTTCACTGCACTGCAAGCTAAAACTTCCACTATCAGAGCCTCTTAAATGCATTTAATAAACTATTTGTAATCTTCATTTTTTAAATCCAAGGTACTCAATGCTGTGCAAAGACATAAAATAGAAGCATTTCTGAGGTTGGAGCGGCTTTAATTAAACATGTTACATTTGAGTCAGAGTCTGACTGTGACGAATTCAAACGGATAAAAGGCAAGAGCACTGAGGACAAACCGAGTCGCTTCCAGCAGATCAACACCAAGCACACATCAGAGAGGGGCGCTTTGACAAGTTCCACTCTGCAGGCTGTTTGTGGAGGTCATCCTGAGCACCAGTCATATGCACTGTACATATCCTCACACTCATATACAGCTGCACCAGCCTGAGACAGCTGCTTCCATAATATCCCTGCTCCTGACATGCTGAGTGAGCAGAAAAGACAAGTTTCAATGCAGAAAAACAGAGAGACGTGTCAGTCATTGTCATTTCAAATCCAGACCAAAAAAACCCGTAATGTGCTCTAAAATACCACAACTTTACTTCCATTTAAATCTCTATACCAGGAGTCAGTCACTGTGCAACTCTGTTGGTTTTCAGCCAACCATCAACCTCCGGGGTTAAAAATGAAGGTTATAATCAGAACGTTTACATGACACTCAAGAAAAACTAATTATGGCCAAACCCTCAATCTCCACCTTCATCAAGGTCATCAAAGGTCGTACTAAAAGACGAACAAGTGAAAGGTTTTTAGACGTCATTTCACCCCGATGACACCATGGATGAGGAGATGCTGATTCTAGAAGTCTAGAAGTAGATTTCCTCCTCTGGAAGGACACAATCTACTGCTTATATGTCTATGTCGGAGAACTCTGATTAAAACTCCCAGATAATGTGATTAGAATTCGATTTTCTCTACCATGCAACCAGCGTAGTCGGAGTATGATCGGACAATGAGCCACGCCCCCCTAACCCCGGTAACAAACCCCCAGAGTAGAGGAGTAGCGTTGGTCTCCTCTTTAGAAAAAGTAGCGCGTCCATCATGTCGGACAAAAACAACGCTGTACGATGCTCCATCTTCTTGTTTCTCCAAAATGCCCAGCAGCAGTTGTAGACACTGACGTCTGACACCGACCTGCTGTTGTTGTTGACGGTTGTATGGGGTCGGAAACAGCGCCGCTGAAAAGACCCATATCGCCCCCTAGTGTTGGGGAGGAGGACACGTTCACGTCAATAATTCGATTTTCTCAGCTGCATGTAAACGAGGACAAGGAGAGAAGTCTGATTCAGAGAAAAAGATGAATTATGAGGTTAGTCTATAGACTGTATTTACTCTGGACAACTCTGTTCCTCCTTCCTCCTGTAAACGGATCTGAAGCCGAAAAGTTCTCGGTTTTTCAGCCTTTTTTCTCCATTTCCTGAAACCAACATTGCGCAGTAGTGTTGTGCACATTCGGCAGGAGAGTAGGTGTATTAAGTGTCTGGCTGTGCACCGGGATCCGCCAGACAAAAAAAACACTGCGCAGGGTCTGCCACCCTCCACCGCACCACTGGCGGGCATGAAAATAGAGCCCTAAGTCTGAAAAACAAAACAAAACAAAACAAAAAAATTAGTCCAAAAAACAGAAAAAAATTACTCTAAATACAGACCTTTTTCTTTTTCTCTCTTCTTTAAATTTTTATTTTATTTTATTGGTGAATACAATACGCCTCTGTACTGTTCTGATATAAATAGAGTCATAGAAATAACTGATTTAACACTTATTAAAAAATGTGGAAGGGTATCCAGAGAGCAGTGTTTTTCATGTTAAATCTCCTGGACAGAAAGTTTTTTAAATTATGTCCACCAGGAGGGTATTCAAGGAGTTTAATCAACAGGAAGAGTATCCAGAGGTCAGTGATGTAAAATCTCTTTAAAGGGTATTCAGAGGGCACATTAATATTTTGAGTCCACTAAAAGGTCAGACTTTTGTTTATCTGCTGGGAGGGCATCAGGGGCACTTTCTCCATGTTTCATACAATGGAAGGGCATCAAGGCAGTTTTTTTTTAAACTTTTTATACGTTCAAAAGGAATCCTCTTGTTACTCTGTTAGTTTGATGTCCTGGAAGCACAACCAGAGGGCGCTCTTTAATGTTTAATACTGTAGGAGGGAAGGGCCCTTGAGCGGTCTTCTTTCAAACGTGGGAAGAATCATGTTGAATATTAATTTACATCATTTGATGTTTTTATGAAGTGGAACACCTCAATAAAAAGTCTCTGTCTCTGAGACACAGAGTTAAAAATAAGAGCTGAGGAATGTGTTGATAATCAGTCAGCAGAGATAAAGACTGTCGGCGTTTATCAGTGAGAGGAGGAGGGACTGTAACACCTCTGAACACAATCAGCCGGGGACGAGTTTCTCTGTCAAACAACAAAATCCACAACATGAACGTCTGCAGTCTGACTCTCAGAGATCTGTTCTCTGGATCACAGTCCACTCTGAAATGAGAGACAGAAACACCCTCCACCATCAGTCTGTTGTTTTCATCTGTACGACTGTGGAGGCAGCGCTCTGTGCAGAGTCTGAGACCCTTCAGAGCCGCTGAACAACAGAGGATCACACACACATCTGCCCACATGGGTTTATTCCTCCTCAGAGGAGAAAAACTAAACATGCAAATTGGAAATAAGATTTAGCTTCAGCTGCTGGAGGAAAGGCTGAAAATGAAACAGCCTCCACACATCCGAAAACACAAGGAAGACACAAAAACACACCTCCAGAACGAGTAGGCCGCTGAGAGACGGAGGCAAAGAAAGACACGGCAACACCGCCTAAAGAAAGACAGAGAGGGTGGGGGTGAACATGAGCAATACAGCTGTTTATCAGCATTTTAACACACACACACACACACACACACACACACACACACACACACACACACACACACACACACACACAGGTCCAGGACAGTCTGTCCTCTGAGAACACTAATGAGCAGCAGAAACATGGACACAGTGATTCTGCAGATTACTCACCCTTTAAATCTCCGGTTTATCCTTCTGCTGCTTTTATAACAGTTTTAATTTTGATCTTTACCATCATCCGTTAGAGGAGAAACCAATCAGGAGCTCAGAAACCTCCAGAAGTCTCAAACACAATCAACAAAGAGCCCTCTGGATGCCCTTCCAGTATATGAAGTGTTGAAAAGATGTTGTCTAAATCAAATATTATAAATAGAACTTTCTGTCTGTGGATGAAACATGAAGAAGTGCCTCGTAGTCGCCCCTTCAATATGTAAAGAGAAAAAAATGTTGGTCTCTGGATGCCCTTCCAGCACATTGACAGTGTTTTCTCTTAACGCCCTTTGAGAATATAAAATAAAAGTTCCCTTTTGATTTTTTTACAACTGACAAAACACGAAACTGTGCTTTTTATTTCCCTTTATACGGAAGAGGATCAGGGCCACTGGAAAAAAAAAAGGTCCAGTGTGATTTTTTTAAATTATTACTCTGAATCAGAATTCTGAGAAAAAAGTCAAAAGTCTGACTTTAAAATCAGAAGACCTGAAAGTCAGAATTCTAAGATTTAAGACACAATTCTGATTTAAATTTTAGAATTCTGACTTTTTTTTCTCAGAACAATAATAATAAAAAACATACTATTGGACTTTTTTTTTCAGTGGCCCTAATCCTCTTCTGTACCTTTCAGTGTATTAAATGTGATAAAATCCTTTCTGGATGCCCTCCTCTGGTGTATAAAAAGGGGAAAACGTGTTTCCTGAATGTCCTACGACTTTATGATTTGATGTAAACTCTGTTGGGTAATGAGACAACACTTGTTTTTTCCTTTTTCATGAAGTTGCTGAGACATAAAAAATGTCCTCTGGTTGTCGTGTCATTGTAGAGTTAAATCATCTAGAAGCTCTTCCTGTGAATGAAACTAATTAATGTGAAATAAAGAGTTCTGCCACGCTCCAAAATGAAATATAAAGAGTTTTTTCAGGTAATAAAGCATTTTAAAAAGTTTCAAGTTTCAAGTCATAAAAATCTGCGCCCTGGATACCCTACCAGCATATGACATGTGGAGAAGAGCTCTCTAGGTGTCACCTTCCAAATAATAAAATATGAAATAAAGGTCATTGTGTGTTTTGTGTGTTCAAAAAATACATTAAAAGACATCATCTGGATGCTCTACCAGGATGTGACTTTAAAAGTTTCCTTGAGTTGCTAAAACCTGAAAAAGAGCCTTCTGCGTCCCTGACCGTCTCCAACTTTAAGACGAGATTCTCTAGAAGCTCTTCAAGTTCAGGAAATGTGGAAAAAAAAACACTTTGGATGCCCTTCCAGATAATGTGGATGTTCTTTAATCTGTTGAAAATATTGAAGTTTCTTGCTCAGTGAAATATCCTCCTGAACACAGAGGGTTCATGGTCCCCTGCGGCTCCTCTCCACGGCTCGGTTTCAGAGTTTTCTCAGTGAAAGTTTCAGGTTTTTGATTTTCGCTCCTCGCTGTCGAACATCGTCTCTCTGGATGTCACCTTCTCTCTGCTGTGAAGGTTGCACAGATGTCATGTCTGTTGGAGGGGTCGGGGGGACACTTATCCCAGCATTCCTGCCAGCTAGCTGTTAGCTGTTATCTCCCCACGTGTCGGCGGGGACGAGGAGCTGCTGGATGGCCCCGGGCCCCGCACAGCCTTGTATGGCCATGGCCCACTGGGAGCCGACGATAAGCAGCCGGAGCAGATCTGCCTCCATGTTTAGAGCCGCGTCTGCTCCTGGTAAATTTAGAGCGGTTATCGGCTGCAGCTCTCTCTCCTGAACACACTCTCTTCTTCTTCTTCTTCTGCTGCTGCTGCTGTCAGGAGCCGAGGTGAGGACCAACTCTGAACTACCTTTCTCTCTGATTCATCAGGTTTTCATCCGGCTGTGGAGGAGCCGCCGCCGCCGCCGCTGATGGTGATGTAACAGAGTGAGCTGCTGCTGCTGCTGCTGCTGATGCTGTAGGACTCTGTAGGCTGTACTGGGCTGCTGATGCTGCTGCTGCAGGGGTGTTGGAATAATGTCCTGAAACTCTGATTTTAAAGATGATGCAGAGCTGTGGCTGCAAAGATCAGAGAAGGTTGAAGCAGCTGATGAAGCAGCTGATGGAGTTTAGTTTGCAGCAGGTTTACAAGAAGAATGTCTTTCACTGATGGGATCAAACATCTTTGCATCAAGTCCTGCTGAATAGAGGATCATGGGAATTAGTAAAAGTTGAAAATATAGAAGAATGTTTTGAAAAGGAGTGAGAAGATTCAGGAACTGAAGAAAATGACTGTAAACTGGTGAATATTGAGGAGCGAGCGAGGCAGAGCAGAGATGTCACACTGAGACGTTCTCCGACTGGAAGGAAATCAGATTTTAGCAAAATGTTGTTCAGTCTCAGTCCGTGTTGAAGTGAAATTAGACAGAAGAAGACAGCAGGGACTCGTGAGGTTTTATTATTCTGATATTTATTCTGCTTTGATAGAAAAAAATGTTTTTAATCGAGTAAAAAGAAAAAAAACTGGAAATCTTTGTTGTTTTATACCAAAGACAAAAAAAGGAGAAAAACAAACTGAGAGAGAGAGAGAGAGAGAGAGAGAGAGAGAGAGAGAGAGAGAGAGAGAGAGAGTCCAGAGTAGAAGAAATAGAAAGGGTTTTAAATACAGGGTTTAAAAGTTCTTGTTCTGGTTCTTCAGGTGAGACGATTCAGCAGAAACGTTGTTCTGATGGTTGTTTTGAAGAGCAGCAGGTAATAATGAGGTTTTATTGATGCTCTTAAACATGAATTCTGTCATTTTTGACATGAAGTTAAAGTTAAAGTGGTCCAAATATGAAACTATGATACCGTCACATTCCCTCCGAGAAAAACTGCTCAGAGTTCTAAATGTTGTGTTGGAGTGAGAAATATGAGGTTTGTGAAGATTCATTTATTTCTATTTAAGGAGAAATATGATTTAAAAATGTAAGAAATAAGAGAAGATTAACAGACTTTAGGTTTGACACGACTTCATCTGTAAAATTAAGTTCCTCAACAAAACAGTTTTATTCTGTAAATCAGGAAACTTAGATTCACTTTTAAAGTCTTTTAATAATTCATAAAATATTATCATTGTGGTCGAGGAAAATGAACAAGAAATGTGACTTTAAAGCAAAATAGAACTTTTGCAAGATAACACAGGAGCAGGAGGAAGAGAGGAGAGGAGAGAGAGGATATATATATATATATATGTATATATAAAATCAAAATGAGGTTTGGTGCAGAGTGGTTTAAGGGTCAGGGGGTTTCTCTCTGTGTTTTAGTTCTGCAACAAACAACACAGAATTCAAACAGATAGAAATAAACGAAATCTAGAAAAGTCGTATCAGAAAAATACAAAAATACAAAAATACAAAAATACAAAAGAGTAAAAATGAATGAGATTTAAACCGGCTGTGAACTTCAAACAGAGAAAGATTAAATTATTAAAACTCGATTAATAGGACCTCAATTAGAGCCATGAAACAGACGAGGCTGAGAGTGCAGTAATGTCTCTGTATTAATGAATTTCTTTTATCTTCTTACTTTAAAAATTAAAATACTGAACTGCTAAAAAACAGAGATCGTTAAAGAAGTGAAACCTGTTTATTATAAATGTGGTCTTTATTAGTTTGATATAGATTTTCAAAGTAAAGTTCATTGATATTTTGATTTAAATGTTCCCATGTTCTTTATTGGAGCGTTTCCCTCCTGAAATCTCTGGTTTCAGTTTGACTGTAAAGTCGTCAAACGGACGTGTTTTTATTGTGAAGCTGTTTCTGAGTCTGCAGGGTTTGTAAAAACCAACAGAGAGGAGGCGTTGTGAAGAACAGAAGCATGAAATTAATTTATTCTGACACCAAATCTGTTTCTGGGCTAAAAAAGCTCCGAATATTCACACATCAGTTTCAGATTTTCAGTCTGACTCGATGTTAAAAATCTGAATATAAGACGAGGATGTCCTCAATTAATTCAGATTTTTAATGTCGTCCATTTGTTGAGAGTTCAGCCTGACCTGGGATCAGCTCTGAGACCCTCTGACAGTCGATTGAATGAAAGATAAAGACGATGTTGAACCTTCTATCAGACTGACTCACAGACAGAGAGGTGGCTGATGGGTAATTTGACTGAACACACAGACCATCATGATTCAAGATCACGCAATGAAGCAGACCCACTTCTGTCTGCTGAGTTACATAACACACACACACACACACACACACACACACACACACACACACGCACACACACACACACACACGCACACACACACACACACACACACACACACACACACAGTCTGTAGATCTCTTCTGAAAGCAGATCAGAGAAAATTACAGTATTTTGTCGTCTGTGAGGAAATGAAAAGTGAGCGTGGTTAAACGCTCTCTGAGGACAAACTGAACTCTCACTTTTTATTCAACAGAAACATTTACATATTAAAGTGTTTCTCTATTAACACGTTCACCGCTCTGACAGTCAAACCTTCACTTTTCACTCAGAGCCTCAATCATCAGCTTTGAGAGTTTCTTTCTAATCATGATAATAAGAATTAAAGCTGTGAGCAGGTTTTTGTTTCCTCAGAGACACATTTTCACTCCCCCAAGATCAGCCTGATGAAACAAAGAGACGGGGGATTAGATGTGCTCTGAGGGGGTTTGGGGAGAAGTCTGAGGAACGTTCAGTTAGTTCTGAATGTGGTCGAAGAAATGAAGAAGAAACATCAGAGAGACGAGGTTCAGAGTTTAGCGTTCATTTGTAACCCTTGAGAGCGCCGTCTCTGTGCTGTTCACTCAACCCAGACTCAAGTACCGTTCGGACCGCAGAAGGCCAAAACGGGACAGAACCATTCCTCTAAAACAAACTCTGGAGCTGGTCAGACATTTTAGGAAGGTCAGATCAAAACGAAGGATGGGGACACGGACCGGGCAAAAAACATGATCACGATATATTTTTTCATATCGTCTGATCTCGATTATTATCACGATTTTTTAAACTGACAGTTTTAAAGCATCTGAACTAAAAACTAAAGAAACTAGAAATTAGTTCAAGATTTTATTAATAACAAAACAAATTAAATCAGATAAAAAAAGACTTTAAAAAATATAAAAAACATTTAAAACTCAACAGTGTGACAAACGTAAAAATGTAAAATACCAAATAATGTAGATAAAGACTAAATAAAACAGTGAACTAGTTTACAGTCTGAGTGTTTCTGCAGGTAAAAAGACCCGAAATAAACAAACGTTTCCTCAGAGAGAATGAAGACGCCCTAAAATATAAACATTAGATGATGTAAACGTAGATGATACGATTGATCGATTACTTTGGTCTGGTGGCTGCACCGCTAGCTGTAGCTAAACTGCTAATGCTACTCGTACCGTCAGCAGTGACAGGCTGTACAGACTCCGCCCACATTTTCATGTTCTCCTCATAATCACTCGGGAAGAACTTCTTCAAACGATTAAACTGATCTGTTGTGTTTCCGATTTTTGAGGCACCGACCGCCGACAAACCTCAAACATCGGCTTAATTACTCGACGTCACTTTGGAGATACCTGAACCACCGCCACACAAACGACGATCAATAACTTCTCAACAATAACATCTTTAGAGGACGACTCAAAGTCTACGTTCAGACTGCAGGTCAGTTCTGATTGGTTCTGATCCGACCCTCTTCTGTATGTGGAGATAAATCAGATATGTATCTGATGTGACTGCAGTGTGACGCTCAGGTCGAGTTTATCCGACCTTTACGTCATCGATATGAGACAAACGTCACCGTTGTTCAACGACACAAACAGGAGCGGAGAGATATTTGTGTTTTGTGTTCATGAGGGTCACTTCACGGACGTATTGTTGTAACATGAACGACCGCACAAAAAGATCGGATTTAACGAAAAATCAGAATCGTGCATCAGAACCTGCGGTGTGAACGTAGATCCTCAGTCAGCTGATGCCAACATAGATTTCCACCCTGGACTGAGACGTTTAACAAACAAGAGCCGCTCTAAAGTCTGGCTGCCATGTTTTGGAAGAAGTCAAACTTAAATAAACCGGGTTATTGATCCCCGTCCCTCTTCAAGGCCAGGATTTGTTATGGTGATGAACTACAGCGCTGCAAATACAAATATAACACAACTTTTAAAAAACACACAAAACCCCGATACAAACGAAACGGTAGAAAAACAACTGCATGGACAGGAACAGCGCAGCAAATACACAAAGAACAGAAACGCAGAAAGCAGCTGTGAAGAGAGCGGCTGTGTAGGACGGCTGCAGATTTAACAACAAAAGACACAAAACTAGGAGAACACAATATTCAGAGCTGATCGTTTTCATCTGACCCGCGATTCTCTGGAGAGTTCTGAGAGTAAAATGTAAGTTTGGTGTTTTTGCTCTTTCCAAAGATGATTCAGATGGTGTGAGTGCTGACAGAGAGGAGGAGGAGGAGGAGGAGGAGGAGGAGGAGATGAAGGAGGCAGAGATCATCACACACAGACAGCAGTGTGTGTTAGTTTGTGTTTTTACCATCAGGCTGTTTCTGTTTCTCGTCTTCTTGCCTCTCTGGAGGAGAAGTGGTCGCCTTATTTTTAGCATTTCTGTCTTGAGGATAAAACTTCTGCTCGTGTTTTTTTGTGGAGATTCTGACGACAACATCTGTTAGATTATCTTCTTCTTCTGTCTGACTCTGAGCTATTCTCTGACGGTAGGTTTCAGATTTTCTCACTGATGATGAAACATGCGGGGAAACCGTTTCACTGCAGCGGGTAGGAAGACTTGTGGACAGTGTGATGAATGTCAGATCTTATTCTCTAGAACAGCCTGTTTGTCGGCGCCGTGGTGATGCTTTAGTATTACTGACGCATCAAAAGAGACTTGTGGGTCAGTCATTTACTCAAATTTAAGTCTGAGATTTAATCCATTCGACTGGAGTAAATATCAGATGAAGTGAATTTGGATAGTTAAGGTAAAATAAAAGACGTTTTTTCAGTTTGATTCAATTCAAACTTCTTCATCGATCCCTGAAGGGGGAGGTGGTTTTGGAGAACCTGACACCTTTCAGATAAACATTGATATATGGGCGCCATATTTGGGTTTTTCTTTGTGCGCTGCAGCCTGGAGCAGCTGGAACCAGTACACAGGAAACAACAAACCAACAACAGGTCTGTGGTTGATCTCAAGGTCGATCCTCGTTCAGTCGGATGTGTGGTGGGTTTTGGACTCATAAATAGACTTTATCAGGGCAGAGCGAGATGAAGCTCCTGGAGGACTCTGAGTGGAAACAGGAACTTTGACTATGCTGGGTTTAGAAGGTAGAACCATCTCAGAGAAAGACCAGTGAAATCCAGTATGTGAGACCCGTTCCAGTGACATATTCAGAGAAAGGACTGGGAACATTTTTGACCGACCAAATCTCACAACATGTAATCCCCTAAAGGCTAGATGTCTTCATTCTTAGTTCGATTTATCGATGCAGGCCACAAAGGCTAGGTCCTTCAAAGACTAGGTCCCTCAAAGACTAGGTCCCTCAAAGACTGGGTCCCTCAAAGGCTAAGTGATGGAAAGGCTAATACTGCATTCCAGTCACCTTGAAAGTCAGATGTCGGAGCTGAAAATGACGTCACACCGGAGTTCCCAGCGTTTCAGTTACCAAGTTGGAAAAAAGGAAAAATCAGAGGCGGAAACAAGATGGCTACATGTGCGAAGTTAGTTTAGCACTTGCCTTGTCCGAATATAAGACAAGCGCTAAAATTACTTTTGTAGATGTATCCGTCTTGTTTCAGGCCTCCAATTTGCTTTTTTCCAACTTGGTAACTGAAACGCTGGGAACTCGGATGTGACGCCATTTTCAGCTCGAATTTCTGACTTCCGATGAAACTCGAACGCAGCATAAGTTCTGCAAAGGCTGGGTCCTTCAAAGACCGGGTGATGTTAATGTTGGGTCCTTCAAAGGTTGGGTTTTTCAAAGCCTGCATCCTTAAAAGGCTAGGTCCTTCAAGAACTACATCCTTCGAAGGCGTGTCCTCTGAAGGCTGGGTCCCTCAGAGGTTGGGACCTTTAAAGACTGGGTCCATGTAGGAAGAACCAGTTTTGCATGTGTGTGTTGTCTGTTCCAAAGCTTAGTTCCAAACATAATCCTACAGAAGCAGAAATACTCAGATCTTCCTCTTTGTCTTGCAGGTTTAAGGGAGCTCAGGAGTCACCATGAACAGTGTCAGGTCTTCATCACTGTTCCCTACTCACTGGATACCTTTCCTTCTAACCCTCCTCTCAACTGAACCTCAGTTTTCTGCAGCTGGAAGATCTGCTCAGTCCCTCGTCTCCAACAACACCATCAGCAACCACAGCAAATGTGGAGGAAGTACGGAATGCGTTCAAGGCGTTATCCTTCCAGTGTGGATGCCAAAGAACCCGGCCTTCCCAGACCGCCTTGCCAGAGCCACCATCTACTTTGTGGGTCTGGCCTACATGTTCCTGGGTGTGTCCATCATTGCTGACCGCTTCATGGCATCCATTGAGGTCATCACCTCCCAGGAGAGAAAGATCACCATCAAAAAGCCGAACGGGGAGAAAATCACCACAACAGTACGCATCTGGAACGAGACCGTGTCCAACCTGACCCTGATGGCGCTTGGTTCCTCTGCCCCAGAAATCCTCCTATCAGTCGTGGAGGTTTGTGGTCACAACTTTGACGCCGGTGAGCTCGGCCCAAACACCATCGTAGGGAGCGCTGCCTTCAACATGTTTGTCATCATCGGACTCTGCGTCTCCGTGATTCCTGATGGAGATATCAGAAGGGTGAAGCATCTCAGGGTGTTCTTCATCACTGCCTCCTGGAGCATCTTCGCTTACACGTGGCTCTACCTGATCCTGGCCGTAATTTCTCCAGGTGTTGTTGAGATATGGGAGGGGCTGCTCACGCTCTTCTTCTTCCCTCTTTGTGTTGGATTTGCCTACATCGCTGACCGCAGACTCCTCTTCTACAAGTACATGTACAAACGGTACAGAGCAGGAAAGCAAAAAGGAATGATCATCGAAACGGAGGGAGAACCGGAGCTTCCCTCCAAGGTCGACATTGAAATGGATGGAAAAATGCTCAACTCCCCGGTGGAGGAGACGGGGTGCGACACCCAGGAGCTTGATGAAGAGGAGGCCCGCAGAGAGGTGGCACGGATCTTGAAGGATCTAAAACAGAAGCATCCTGAAAAGGAGATGGAGCAGCTGATGGAGCTTGCCAACTACCAAGTTTTGACCCAGCAGCAGAAAAGTCGGGCTTTCTATCGCTGTCAGGCGACCAGGATCATGACAGGTGCCGGAAACGTCCTGAAGAAGCACGCAGCTGAACAAGCCAAGCGAGCCAACCAGCACGCCATCTTCTCTGAGGTTTCAGAAAACGACTTCTCCGCCAAGGTTTCCTTCGACCCCTGTACCTACCAGTGTCTGGAGAACTGTGGCAGCGTAGCTCTGAACATCATGCGCCATGGTGGAGACCTGACAAGCACGGTCTCAGTGGATTACCGGACCGAAGACGGAACCGCGAACGCCGGCTCAGACTACCAGTTCACTGAAGGAACCGTCGTCTTTAAACCAGGAGAGACCGAGAAGGAAATACGCATCGACATAATCGACGATGACATCTTTGAGGAAGACGAGCACTTCCTGGTTCACCTCAGCAATGTCAGGGTCATTACGGATGGAACCGATGCAGATGACCACGAGGCAAACCACGTGGACGCCCTCGCAGGTTTAGGACTACCATGCACAGCCACGGTCACCATTTTTGATGATGATCACGCCGGGATCTTTACGTTCACGGAGCCGCAGGTTACCGTGAGCGAGAGCGTAGGCATGATGGAGGTGAAGGTGATCCGGACGTCAGGAGCTCGTGGTGTTGTGGTGCTGCCGTACAACACCACGGAGGGGACGGCTAAAGGAGGTGGGGAGGACTTTGAAGACACACATGGAGTCCTGGAGTTCGAGAACGATGAGATCTCGTAAGTAAAGACCTTCTTGTAAATATCTACGGCTTTATGGTGGTGAAGCACAAACTTCTCTGGTTTCTCTTCACTGTGTTTATGGTAAAACAATAGACTTTATATCGTATGGACAACATGGCTGTACCTCCTGTCAAATTTAAAACCACATTGCTCTCAGTATTTCCAGTATTTTCCCAAAATCGCAACTTTCGTCCTCCCATTGGCTGTATCAGGTGTCAATCATAGAAAACATGAACCCCCTAATAAACTTTTAAAAATGGAGCTGTACAGAAAAAAGAGGACTTGAGCACAAACCAGTCTGACAGTAACTACATGTCAACATCACAAGAAGGGGGGAGAAACATTTATATTCTGTGTCATTCATTTATAAAGTTTGTCCACAGCTCCAAAAGGAGGCGGGGTTTAGGACCTGTACCAGTTACATGGACATTATTGCTCTTTTAAACACTTTCTTTATATATGGAGCAAAAGCTGTGAGCTAGTTCAGGCAGGCATTTCAAACTGCTCTGATTTCACTCTTAATATATTCTCAAAATCACACAGAAATACGTCCTTCTGATCTCATGAGCTGCAAGTTTCCCATTCTGCTTTGCTGTTGCTGCTCGGGATGCACTCGGGTTTCCACCTGCAGGGGTCTGCTGTTAACCACCAATCCTAAACTAAGACTGCAGAGAGAAGGAGGTGGATCAGGTGTGTGTGTTAGTAAAGCAGAGGGGTGGATCTTCAGGAGAAAACACAGGTGCAATCGTTCAAAACTAACTGAACAGCAAAAAAAAAAAAAAAGTCCTGCAGAGAAAGAAGGTGCAGCACAAAGTCAAAATAAGAGCATCAGCTGTGAACGCAGAGCCAAAACACAAACAAGGAAAATTCAAGGACACAAAAGAGGAAAAGAGCTGCAAGAGAAAAACTCGAGCTGCCGATAATCAAGGCTGACAATAACAGTAAAGCTTCTTCACCTTTCAGTCAGAAATCCTGCGTCTGAGCTGGTTACTGCGAGTTTATAAAAAGTAAATATTGCAGCTGAACGTCAGTTTGGTTTGAGTTTTGTGACTGCAGGTTAAAGAGTAACTGATCAGACGTATGAGAGCTAAATAATGACTCTATATGTAATCACAGTTTAAGGCCTCTAGTGTGATTCCTTCTCTGTCTGACCGTCATCTTTGTGAGTCGGTCGCAGACTGATCATGTTGGTAGTTTTTGTTTTGAAGCAGCAGGATTCAGTTTGGATGTTTTCTCAAACCTTCAGTGTGAGTTGATTCCCGGCCCGGTGTCTACATCGTCCTCGATCATGTTGTTCATCCAAACCGTGGGGGCTCCTGGTTTGTCGGGCTCATAAACATCACGCCGTTCTCTTCCTTATTAGGGCAGCTGGTGTTGGGCCGCAGCAGCAGATCCTGCTCATTGTCACGGCTCGGCCCGTAAAGCAGACACAGAGACAGACGGTGCAGCCGGTTCCCCTCAGAGCCAGCGCAGAGGAGGTCTCTGCTGGCCCACAGCCACCAGTGGGACCTGAGCGCACGTTAATTCAGCTTCTGTTTCCTTCACACAGAGCGAGAGAGAGATCCTGTAAAAGAGCGGAGAAGATAAGCAGCTGAGCGGTGGAGTTTAGACGGATTTTTATACCAACTTTAAATCAAAGTCCTCTGTGTTTTGGTAAAGAGTCTGTGGAGCTCTGCAGGAGCAAACATCAGGGTCAGGATCAGGAAAATCAGCCTGCTGACTTTTTATCTTTTGCTTTTGTAAAATCAAGATCAGTGTGAAATAATCAATCAGGTATAAATATCTGAAAAGTCTGAGAGAAGGTCGCTGACAGAATTTCAACATTAAAAAAACAATGAGGTCTTATTCAAATACTGCAGTTTGGGTCAAAAACAGTTTCTAAAAGCTTCTTATTTATAAACTTTATCGAACTGCAAAAAAAGATCAAATTCATCAAAAAAGCTGATGCCGACTTTTTTATTCTGCATTAATAGTTTTTACTGTATTTCTCTACATCTCAGATATTCTCGGACTGACTGACCATAAAAAACTGTAAATATCCTTTTTTTGAAGGTTAGTTTGACAAAAGAAGAAAACAAAGACGAAGAAACACACAAGTGTTTGTGTTCACTTCAAATCCACATCAGATTAGTGCAGGTTTAAAGTGTCGGTGTATTTGGTAAGTTAACAGGAGCAGAGATGACACAGTCGCTCGTCATCGTCTGCAGCAGCGTGATTTAAATCAGCGACACGTTTCTCTGGAGCTGTGACATAAGAGCGTCTTTGTGTCCTGGAATCACCGAGACAAAAACTCCAAACCATCAATCTGCTCACATTAAATAAACATGGAAATGGACGAGGGCGCTTCTCTGTTTCCACGCTGCTGGCACACACACACACACACACACACACACACACAGTGTGAATCTGACCAATCAGGGCTGCCGTAGCCTGCAGCAGAGTGAGGCGTCCAACACCAGAGGCTGAAGATCCTCATGTTGTATCTTTGAATCTTTCATGACTGGATTCAGCTTCAGTCTGTGCTGCTCTCATTTAATGACCGGGAAACTCAACAACTCATCTGTCCCTGCAGGTGTCAGGTCTGTGTGTGTGTGTGTGTGTGTGTGTGTGTCTGTGTGTGAAAGATGCTGTTTTACCTGCACAGCTACTGCACAAAGCTCCATGCATGCTCTGTCATCTTCTTCTTCTTCAGAAATGCTGAAACTGCTCTTTTTGAGAAGATTAGAGATGTTGTAATTCAGTCTTTGCGTTCCAACGCTACAAAATGATTCGGCCAAAAGTTTCATATTTGTCCCTTTAAATGATAAAACAACCAAAACACACATAAAAACAAACCCTGAATCTAAAGACGTCAGACTCTGTGTGAATCTTTGATAAAATCATTATATATATTATTATGTTGTGGTGTATGAATCATCAAAAATCAAACAAAGACAGCGTGTAATTCATATGTTTTAGGAGTTTGATGCAGAAACATGTAAAAAGTTGTTAGAGTAGTTACCTCCTGTCCTGATTTGTCACCCATCATGAGACCAAAACCAGGACAGAGGAGACCCTGACTGGGACAACATTCAGAACCTGGACTCCTTCAGTCATGACTCACATTAATCATGTTTTTAGGAAGTTCCTCATCGCCTCCAGCGCCGTCTTATTTTTATTTTCTTATTTTCTACGCCTCACTCTGCTGCACACTCCTCCTCCTTCTTCTTCTGCAACTTTCCTGTTTTTCTCTTTCTCTGTTGCAGCAAAACTATTCAGATCAATATTATTGATGATGAAGAATACGAGAAAAACAAGAACTTCTTCATCGAGATCGGAGAGCCAAAGCTGCTGGAGATGAGTGGGAGGAAAGGTGGGGGTGTGGCCTTGTCGTGATGTAACCCCGCCTCCCTGTGATTCCCCCTCATGTCTCTAATGTCCTTTAACCTGTTGATCCACATTCACCTTTGGTCTTGTTGGGGGGTGGAGCTAAACTCACAATTAAGTTGATTGGTCTTAAATCAATTAGATGAGAGTTAAAATCTTGTTCTGGTCGCAGTTTATCACGATCCAGCGTAATCCAGGACAACAGTCTACTGTCACTTTCACTTCTGTGCATCTCCAAAACTTTACCACAGGTGTGACCATTCACAAATAACTTTATTTAAAAAAGACTGAAGACATTTCTGTGTGTTATGTATCATGTTACTATAATTTATTGTTTATTTGTTTGGGAAAAATACAGTTTACAAAAAAACGAGAGCAGCTGACTGATGCAGGAATGGCAGTGCTTAAAGGAGATAAAGACTCTGAATGATACGATGTGATTTATGTGATATGGAAGGATAACATACGGTGTGATGTTACACAGCCTGATACAATACAGTACTGTATAACACAACTGTGTAACACAACTCTGTAACACAATACAAAGAGTGGGATTGATCTAAAGTCGGAATTCTGAAATAAAAGTCAGAATTCAAAAGATCAAAGTCGGAATTTTGAAGTCAAAGTTTAACGCTGCGTTCGAGTTTCCTCAGAAGTCAGAAGTTCGATCTGGAAACGACGTCACACCCGAGTTACCAGCGTTTTAGTTACCAAGTCAGAAAAAAGCAAATCGGAGGTGGAAACAAGACGGCTACATCTACGGACGTTGTTTTAGCGCTTGCCTTGTCGGAATATAAGCAAGGACAAGTCAAACGCTAAAATAACAACTTAATGATCGAAGGCGGATCCCAAAGATCGAAGTCGGAGTTTTAAGATGAGGAATCAGAATTCCGAGATAAAAGTCGGAATTCTGGAGTCGAAGTCAGACTTTAGGGATCAAAGTCTCAACATAGTGACTGAAGCCAGTTAGGATACTAATATACAGTTAGGATATTTTTAAATAAATTCAACATATCTATCTTTCTACCTATCTATCTAGCCATCTATCTATCTATATCTACGTATGTTATAAAATCGCAGCCTGCACACATCCAGTTCCTCTCCAGAATAAAAATCAGGCAGGAAGCCGCAGCAGCATGAGTCCAGATTGTAATAAGAGAAATCTGACCAGATATTAGTCAGGACCGGACGCCTCATAGATCTTTGCGTATATTCCAAAGATACTCTTACTCCACTTCTTCGGGTCATAGAGAGTGTGAACATAAACTAGAGGGTTTGAAGGGTCAATAAATTAAGAGGAAAAAAATAAACTTGTTTTATGTCCAAAGGTCTGTGTTCGGCTGTTATATAATAACAAAGGCAGCTTCTATATGATAACTGCACTGCTATTCCTAAACATGGTCAACTGAATCCCAGTAGGAGCAGGTCTGAACGATCTGATGATAAATGAGGTGGACTGGCCCTTTAATTTGGTTCTTGGTATAGACTCATTTTAATGTGACTTCAGCCTCCCCCTCCTCCATCCCTGCCATCATCACGTCCCATCGGTGATTGTGACCCTTAACTACAGAGTCCTGAATGTGTGGTTGGAACTAATGCATGACCCCTGACCCCCTGCCCTGTTGTTGTTGTCTGCACTCTTTCAGGAAGACCCTAGCTGTTAGAATATTTGACCATGAGGAGTACGATAAGCAGGCCAGCTTCTACATTCAGCTGCAGGAGCCGTATTGGAACAGGAGGAGATGGACAGGTGTGAGGAAGCACCCTGACCTCTTAGATGACCTTTGACCTTTCCTTCATCCACCTTAAAGTGCTCTGTTGCTGCTTTTGTTCAGTTTACTTCTGTCGCTCTTGCTTTGCTGCCTCTTACTTCAGAACATCTCTAAAGCTCTTCTATGGAGGGTAGATGGATCCAGTTTAGCTCTGGATGTTTAACCAGATCCACCAAGACGAGACAGGAACTGGGACGGCTCACAACATGTCCACACCAGACTGGTTTGGACTGGTCAGGAGTGCAAGGACTGGTTCACAATAGTTTGATGTGTTAACTGAGTGGCAGTGTGAACCTGTTGGTATTACCTAAAGGGATATTCTGTGTAAAATTAATTTAGGGTCAAACACACTGTAACACCGAGTTAGACCCCGCCCCCTCCAGAGATGAATGTTGTCGACCGCTTTCTTCTCTAGTTATACCAACTTTAGTAACGACCGCAGGATAGAAATACAGAGAGCCACGCCCTCAACCAAAACGCCACTCTATAGCCATGAATAATGCTCAGAACAGCACCTAACTTCATCAACAGGACATATTACGGACTACAGAGGGGTGTCACAGCTCAAGGAAGAACATTTATGATCATTTCTTTATCATTTCCTTGAAGTAATAATCACCATATTAATCATTTTACAGACGCGGTAGTTCTTCTGTCTTAGCGTCTCGGTCTGATTGTATTTCCATGAAGAAATGATCATAAATGTTCTTCCTTGAGCTGCGACACCCCGCTGTAGTCCGTAATATGTCCTGTTGATGAAGTTAGGTGCTGTTCTGAGCATTATTTGTGGCTATAGAGTGACGTTTTGGCGTCTAACTCTGTGTTACAGTGTGTTTGACCCTAAATTAATTTTACGCCAGAATATCCCTTTAAGGTGACTAAGTATTGACAGGAGGAATTGAATATGACAGTTCAGAGGTTTGCAAAGGTAAGCAATGATCCAAACATACTGGAGAAAGGATGGATCGACCTCTTATCCAGACACGGCTGACTTGATAAAGTGTTCAGACCAGTTAAGACAGAACAGCTGGGACTATAACTGGAAAATTTAAGATCGTAGGACAAGTGAAGAGAGGTCGAGGCTGTTTGAGGCATGTTAAGACGAGTTGAGACAGATGGAATAGATACTGTCAGGTCAGCTAAGTGTTGCTTAAGACAATCGAGAACAATCAGGGGTTCAGCCTCTCGGTCCCGGCTGGGATCTGAGTTTGGCTCTGTCCTCCCTCATCCGTCATGGTTCGGGTGGTTTTGACAGGACGGCTTCGTAAGGGTAAGGACCTTTAGGACCCGATAGACAGCTGGCTGAGGCAGGTTTGGACCAGCGTTAAGATTAGTCCGGTCTGCTTTAGAAGGTCTCAGTGGGTCTGTAGATGTTTCCCCTGTCTGTTAATCTCTGTGACATTACACCTGCCTGCTCGCTCGTCTGTTTCCTCTCCACAAACCTGATTTGACTTGTTTCTAGATTATTGTTGTAGTTTGAATTCAGTCTGAAAACAGTCTTAAAGTTTGACACCTAGAATGGATCAGACTGTTTGTCTCAGTGAGGTTTTGTTTTGTAATGTGACAGTCGTCATTTACTGAAGCCGGTCTGTCGACTCTGTACCATCCTGCTGTCTGGTAAACAGATCGCCCATCCATCGTGAGCAGCAACAAGTTAATTCCCCGTGGAAACACAACCTGCTTAGTAACTATCAATGAGAACGAATGAATAATAAGGTCAGGGAAAACCTGCAGTTAAGGCTTGGTAGTTGGAGAACATGTTCATGCAGGATAAGTGCTTTATTATGATTAATTAAGGGCTAATATTATACTAACAAACTACTAATTAACAGTGTGTGTTCCCCGAGGTGTGACCCACTTAAAAACATGAACTAACTTTATACAAACCACATGTTTTTACTCACTGTAGATGGACGTGTGAAAAGTAAGAGAACTTGACATTGACTAAAGGAGTGGTTTTATGCTTTTCTACGTTTACGACAAAAATGACAAAATTATAAAGTTTGGTTTCCGTACAGGAAGTGTGCGAAGTTTCAAACTGCAAACGTAAACTTGTGTTTCAATAATCTTAGAGAAATAGATTCTTGTTAGGAAAACATGAAACTCACCAAAGTAATAGCATCATCGTAATAGACTCTTCTTATTGGTTCATCAGCAGAGGGGGCGGGGCCTTAAAGAGACAGCAGCTGAAACGAAGCGTTGCAGACGGAAGCTGAAATAACGATATTTTAATTCACCAGAGTGAGAAACAGGAGGCTTTTTTTGGTCTGAACATCGTGTTAAACTATTAAAAAGGAATCAGGGAGGAAGATTAGAGTCTAAAAATGAAGCATAACACCCAACTTTAGACTGCCCAAAGTAAGGAGGAGTGGTAGGTAACTTTTGTAGACGTCTACTTTAAATCAGGCCTAGTCCACACCTTGGTGAGTATTTTTAATATCAGCTTTGCAGGTTTGTACAGAAGACGGTTTCCTCCAGTTAAAAAAAAATATGTATATATTAATTTAAAGAGGGAAAAGAGACTTTTAGGTGAACATCCTTCTGTAGCTGTAGAGGGTGTAAAAACGTGAAGAACAGACGTCAAACTGTTTTCAGATCTGTGTCATCAGGAGACCTAAGCCCTTCTTCTTCTTCTTCTTCTTCTTTCTCTTCGTCTGTCTTTGTGCTCGTCTTTCTCTCGTCTGTTTCCTCTTCAGCTGTGTTGCTTCAGGAAGTCGGTAAGCTGCTCTCTGTTTTCTTCAACCCTTTTTCCTGCTGTTTATTCCTCTGTTTGTACATCATTGAAGTGAAGGTGAACCCTCATCAAACCCCGTCTGACTCTCTCTCCCGTGTTATCTCACTCTGTTCAGGTGGATTTGTCAAAACAGGTAGGTGGACCGAGACACTCGCACTCTGCCTTATATTAATGGGTCGATGAGACAGCCCTCACTAATCTCGTATATCCTCTCTGTATGGCCTCTGACAAGACAAACAGCTGTATGGTAAGACTTGTCTCAGCATCGTAACCTCGGCTTTAACCTAATGCAGCAATAACAGGGGTGCAGCACGTTCATCTCACAGTGAAACACGATCATTCTGACCTGTGGAGGCTCACGGTCTTCTCTGCAGACTGATGCTGGTTTGGAGAAGGAGGGTTAAGGAAGCGCTTTTAATCATTTCACACCTCGAACCTTCAGAGCCCTTATTTCAAATCTATATGAGAGCCAAGGTACACTTTAGGGACTGAGTCGGGTATAAGTGTCTTTTATAAGTTGAGCAACAGTAGAATAAAGTATCAGGCGGACGGAGGAGAGCAGGGAGAGGAGCAGGAGGAGGCAGGTGTGAGTCTGAACAGCCAGAGACAGGATGAGCAGGACGAGAGAGGTCACAAGAGTTAACAAGCTAAACAGTGACTTTGGACTGTATCAGAGTGTTGAAGTTATTAAGACTTTTTAAAGTTTAGATACAGGAAATGTTAGTTTATAAGAACTCATGTTCAATAATCCTGATCTCAGTGTTCATCAAATCATCCTGAATAATCTGGCAGTTCAACAAAAAACCAAAATGAAGGAAAAAAAAAGACAGATCTGTGATTTTATCATCAGAATTATAGAAACAAACTGTTCACCAACAGCTATCATCGCCATGACAACCATTTCACTGAGAGTCACCAGATTACAGGGTAACTCTTTAAACCGAAACACCGGCTTCCTTCTGTACGAAGTGTGTGTTTACCTGCAGAGCTGGAGAACACACACCTGTGGTTTAATGAGGTCAGGACGGTCCTGTGATGGTTCGGCTCCTTCCTGCTTTACAAAGCTGCAGAGTGAACGGAGTGAACAAACCAAAGGTGTCAGAAACAGTCTGAAGTTCATTCTTATCTCAAAGGAAATGTGGACCAGTCTGAGGTCTCCTTATTTTGTCTCAGTCGTTTTCGAGCTCCACCTCACCTTAGAAAACTGAGCCTGGAGACACTTTCATCATCAGTGTGTCACAGCGCAGGGTTGGACAAAGGAAAAGGACCCAAAAAATACAGACTAAAGAAAAAAGGATTTATTAAAAAGAACCAAATCAAAAGCAACAAAAACCTACTTGAAAATGTCCAACCAAAAAAAATCACAAAGACAAAATCCAATAAAAACACCAGGAGAGCAGGAAACCACAGATCCAGGATCATGTAGAACAGACAGACAGACACGACACATGACATGACACGACACGACACGACACATGACACGACACGACATGACACATGACACGACACGACACGACACGACACATGACACGACACGACACGACACGATGAGCCAACAGGAAACAGGGGAAGACAGGGACGATATACACAAACAGGGAAACGAGACACAGGTGAGACTCATCGGAGATTAATGAAGGCAGTAAAATCAGACTAGAGACACAAGGAATCAACTCCTACAAAATAAAACAGGAAACAAACACTGAAAAGTGATCTAAAGAATAAAACACTGAGACCAGGAGAGAAACAGGGTCAGACTGAAAACTCAGAGGAACACGAGGAAAAACACTCAAATAACAAAACCAGGAAAAACGACATTATAGAACACATCAGGACACAACAGCTGTCAGCAGCATTAACGGGAAACATATCCGGGAACTTCAGCAGCTGAAGCTCAGGTACATTTTACCTTTAAGGACTTTGCATAATTATAGATAAGTTTGAAGGTCTGATCAAACTCCTCCCCCTTTGGCCTCCTTTACAAGTTTTCTCTTTACGACCCCTCTGACCTTTAGTTAGATCATGAACAGACTTTTATCGCTCTGTAATTCCCTCTGATTTCTACAGGAGGTCACATCTCTGTAGGATAAAACGGTCAGCAGCACTCAGACCAGGTTCAGGGACAGACCGGGTTCATTAGAGGGTGTAAATCTCGGGTCCCAGCTGCAGGATGCATGGTTTGCTGATCTTCACTGTAAACTCTCTCCATCCTGACTGCATGAACACAAACACCGCTGACCTCACACACCCCCTCTGACCTCTTAGACCGCTGAGGCTGATGGGAAACCATCCACCCGGAGGTCATATCTGCTGAGCGAACACTGTTGTAACCCGGGGCTTATTCTGATGGTTTCAGACACATCAGAACTTTTTCACACTCGAACTGTAGAATCAGAATCACTCCACGGCTGAGAGCAAACACACGACCCGAGGTCAAACACTCGCTGATCTTCCTGTCTGATGAAAAACAGACTCAAGTTCCCGCATTTACACGTCAACGTTTCATTGGTTTTGAACTTACCTTGAAGTCCTTGTATGGAGGCAGTGTTTTCCCTGTGGTGTTCCAGGATGTTCCAGGATGTTCCAGGATCAGGTTTTGTTTTTGAGATCTGTTTTCAGTAGAATCACTGTTCACCTGTTCAGGTAGAGACATCTACAGGAAAGTCCAGGGAAGAGACAACCCTGTCCCCTCCACCATCATCAACATCACAGGTATGTCCATCCGTCCCTCTACACCTCTTCATTCATTCATTCATTCATCTGTTTTTACTGAAGAATCACAGTATTCACTCATCCATCTAACCCTCCATCTCTTCATCCATCCTTGTTTGTTGTCGTCAGTCTATTCTGAGATATTCCAGATTTAATAAGTTCAAGTGATCAATAACCTCATCAATAACCTCATCCACCCATTCATCAATCTATCCGTTCAGACTGATATTCATCCCTTCATCAGTGTGTTCATCATTCATCCAAAGATCTAGATCTCATGTTTTGTGTCCAACCCCCTCTCTCCTGTCTTCCTGTCTCCCCCCTGAAGATGGGGTTGAGGAGGTTTTGACCAAGAAGGAGGAGGAGGAGCGGCGGATTGCAGAGATGGGTAGGCCAACCCTTGGCGAGCACGTCAAACTGGAGGTCGTAATCGAGGAGTCGTACGAGTTTAAGGTGTGTCCTCTTGTACGAAGAACCCAAAACACAGACGGTAATATCAGAGGAGAGTCGGTGGTTCATCTGTTTCCTGTGGTGTGATGTCCTTCAGAGCACTGTGGACAAACTCCTGAAGAAGGCCAACCTGGCGCTGGTGATCGGGACCAACAGTTGGAGAGAGCAGTTTGTGGAGGCCATCACTGTCAGCTCCGGTAAGACCTTTACCTCGACTAGATCTGGACGCTTGTGTTTGGATAGTTTTAGGTTTTTGTGGATTTTCTGGGGAAAGGATAAAAGTTTTGAATCTTCTAAGGACTAACTCACCAAACCAGAACTAACTCTTGTCCCCCCCTCCTCTCTTTCCTGTTCAGGTGATGACGATGATGATGAATGTGATGAAGAGAAGATGCCCTCCTGTTTCGACTACGTCATGCACTTCCTCACTGTCTTCTGGAAGCTCCTGTTCGCCTTCGTTCCTCCCACAGACTACTGGAACGGCTGGGCTTGCTTTTGCGTCTCGATCTCGGTCATCGGCATGTTGACAGCGGTGATCGGTGACTTGGCGTCTCATTTCGGCTGCACCATCGGCCTCAAAGACTCTGTCACCGCTGTGGTGTTTGTGGCTTTGGGCACCTCTGTACCAGGTCAGATACTAACCGGGGATACTTCACATATTCATGTGATTATTAGTATGTTACACTGCAGAAAATGATGGGCCAACTCATCTCCCGTGCAACACATTTATTTGAACAGGACTCCTGTGAACACACAATTACAGACAGGTGAACAGGAGCACACGCTGCATCTTGTTTCAACTCTCATCACGTACTGACCAGACTTCTTCTACCCTATATTCCAATGACCAAAACATGTAAACTCTGAACTGAAATGTTACAAGTGACATGTGACATGACTGTCTCAACGTTTATAGTTTTTAATCACATACATCCTTTCCTATGAACTGCCAAAATCACATAACGCATTTAACTTGATAAACAAATATCTAAATATACTCAAATTGAGGTTCCATCGTGCTTTCAACCTTTGTTTTTAAACACTGCTTTTAACCTTTTATTAACTGCATGTATTACATTAAATCTCTTCTGAACAAATGTCTTTTTAAACTCTATTTATGTCCTATTTATTCTCTATTTAATAAACCTAAATTATTCTACACTTTCTGTCTACACAAACATCACATAGTGTAGCTTTACTCTAAAACACACTCATGTTAACAAAAATAGACTCATCACTGTCTAAGCATTGATATGAGACCACACGTTCACTCTTTAGCTTAGCCTCACGTTAAATTCAACTCTTCACCTCACTCTGTATCTCGGTTTACACAAGCATCTGCTTGGAATAACACATCTACTCTACTTGACATAAGTTTTGGCCATTAACTCATGCTTACACAGGGATTATGTGCATCTAAAGTAGAAAGTTTAACCGATCAGAGCTAATGCAACATAAAACACTTCTCTGGTTCATTACCGCGATCGCCGCGCACTGCGAGTCCGCCATTTTAGATACACAAACGTGACGAGTCGCCTTCACGGACTCATTAACTTGTGAACTCGTTCTGCAGATCGACATCCTTGACATTCTAAGGCACTTATAATCTACCACTACTGTTGTTGTATATTAATATATTGTTTACCATCCAGCTTACCTGTGAACACACAATTACAAACAGGTGAACAGGAGCACACGCTGCATCTTGTTTCAACTCTCATCACGTACTGACCAGACTTCTTCTACCGTCAGCTACTGATGCGTGAAATACAGAGCGCCCTCTGCTGGCGAAACTCATATTAAGCGGGATTCAAACCAAGCAGACATAACAGTAGTGTTCCTGTAGAAAGTTACCTTTAAGTTACCTTTAGAAATAAAAATAAAATGGGGGGGCAACTATTTTTATTCATCCATCTATATCATAGTGCCACAAGTACGACAACTTCACTCAAGTCCCTCAACTCCTCCTGAACAGAAAAGCTATAGTTACTGATGTTTCACATGTAGAGATCAGAGATAGAGATAGAGATGTTTCGTGGTACAAAGATGAAGATCGAAGGGTAAACATTTACACCCAGGTCACATAGAATTACAGCAGACCGAACGTCTGTGTCTCTAACGTTCCTTGTTCTGGTCTTCTAGACACCTTTGCCAGTAAGGTGGCAGCCATCCAGGACCAGTACGCCGACGCTTCCATCGGCAATGTGACCGGGAGTAACGCTGTGAATGTCTTTCTGGGTATTGGCGTGGCCTGGTCCATCGCAGCCATCTACCACTGGTCCAAAGGACAGCAGTTCAAGGTGGATCCGGGCACACTGGCCTTCTCCGTCACACTCTTCACCATCTTTGCCTTCATCTGCATCGCCGTCCTGATCTACCGCCGCAGGCCAGAGATTGGCGGAGAGCTGGGTGGACCCAGAATCCCTAAAATCCTCACCACATGCCTGTTCTTCACCCTGTGGTTGATGTACATTGTGTTCTCCTCACTGGAGGCCTACTGCCACATACCGGGCTTCTAAAAGATCTCGTTCTAGTGGGTCCCAGCCTTAGTTCAGTGGGTCCGTAAAGGTTCCTACAGGGTTTTTAAACAGTTCTGACGGATTTCTCAAGGTTCCAGAAGGTTCCTGTCTCATCTGGCGGGTTTCTTCAATTTCTGTTCCTGTCTAAAGGTTTGGAGGAGGTCTAGAAGATCAGACCAGTGGATGAAGTTCTGGGGGACTCTGTTGGGTTTGTGAAATCTTTGTGTTCCAACTGATTTTTAATGTGCTGAAAGGTCCGTAAGCATGAATAACAGTCTTGGGTTTTTAATGGTATTTCTAATTTCCCTAAAATTCAAACAAACTGTAAATAACTTTAATGTTTTCTCTGTAAAAAAGGACCTTCTTCTCCTCCTTCAACACATGTTTCAGTATGAGTTACATGCCACCAGTCGGTCTTCCAGTACGCTGGCCGGTGGATGTGCAGGTTGGTTTGCATCTGCAGATACTGCGAATGGATTTTCTTCTCTGTGGAGCGTAGTACACTTGGACACAAAAGAAGTTCTTGGATCAAGTCTCTCAGTCGACCGTTTCTCTGTGAAGGGCTGAACGAACCAACATCTACTGTGGCCGACACATGGAGTCATGACATGTAACTCATACAACGTCACTTCAAAAACACTGAAATATCTCTGTAAGGTTTCAATGTTTTACTTCCTGTCGTTTTTGGGGTCTGAAGGAGGTTTTTAAGGGTTCAGAAGAGGTTATAAATATTCTTCTAAAATGTTTAACCAGGAAGATCCATGGAGAACAAACATCTCTTTTCAAAGAGAGACCGGGTCAAGGAAACAGTCCGAACAAAGTTACTCCAGGTCACAACCTGAGCGTCGGTCACCAGGTCTCTGGTTTTCCTTAAATGTGTTCAGGGAAAATGTCTCTGAATCCTTTTCATGTGGTGAGTTGATGTGTTGGAACCATAGACTGTATGTAGAATGGACAGAATCTGCCTCCTCTCTGTGAGAACAGCGCCCTCTGGTGACGGGCTGCAGTATAGGTCATAAACCCCGCCTCCTTATGGAGCTGTGGACAAACTTTATAAATGAATGACTCAGAATATAAATGTTTCTCCCCCCTGGTTGTGATGTTGACATGTAGTTACTGTCAGACAACGCTCCTGCGCAGCGCTGGTTTCAGGAAGTGGAGAAAAATCCCGGAAACGCCGAGAACTTTTTAGCTTCAAATCCATAAACAGGCGGGAGGCGGAGCCAAGTTGTCCATAGTTTATACAGTCTGTGGTCGGAACCCAGAATGCAAAACCATATCGTTGAAACTTTTAACAGATTTTATTTTGAGAAATTGTGCAAAGAAGGGAGGTATCCAAGGTCCAAGAGCCGTGAGACGATCCAGGGGGGTGTGAAAGGCTGTGAGGGTGATTTCCTGGAGAGAGAGCTGGGTTAGTGGGGAGGAGTGAGGCGAGGAGTGAGGCGAGGAGTGAGGCACCGGAAAAGAAGTAAAGAAAAACAAGGGTCATTAAAAAACAGGAGCACCAAACATCTTCAGACCTCCACCAGAATAACTAGAGAGCTCTGAAGACGGCCGTAGGTCCACTGCAGGGAGTGACAACACTTTGGCGCTGAGGCGAGTGTCGACAGTCTTACAGCCGACTTTATCACAGAGCAGCTGCAGGTGAGAGTGATCGACCTCAGAGCTGTGAGGGAAAAAGGAAACAGCAAACAGCCCACACAGGAAATGGAACCCAACAAAATAAGAGCGTGATAGGAGTGTTATAGGAGAAGGTCGTTTTCCCCAGACCTGTGCAGGATGGTAGTTTGACTGGAGTTGGTTTAAGAATAAAATTATACTAGTGTTGTTGTCTGGGAGTCACTGACACAGTCCAACCCTCCGAACCCTGAAGATTACAGCGGTGAGTCGGGGATAAGAAATAACTCCAAACAAAGATGGAAGTTTATCAGCTCTGAAAGTAAAGTAGGATTTATTTCTGAGGACAAACGACGAGCCTGAACTTTGAGCTTTTGAACTAGATTAGTGATGTTTGCATTAAATAAACTTTGTTGTTGACCCAGATACCCAGGTATCAGCTCAGGATCACATTTTAGTGGGTTTACCATCAGAGACTAAGATGACCCGGCTGTTCAAAGTCAACTTTTCAGGATTTTAAAACATCCAAATTAAACAGGATATAAGAAGGTCGGCGCCTGTAGGTCTTGAACTGCTGTTGTATCAGAAGAAGCGTTGGTGCAGAGGACACCATCATCAGCAGAGGTGTGTTCCTGCTCCGAGATCTTCAGAGAACTAAAAGGGTCCCATCATGAGGTCAATGTAGTAGTTCAAAGTTTGGTTAGCAGCAGTTCATGGTCTCATGAGTCGTTCACTTCCAACAGACTGAAGTATTTTTCTGTCAACAGTCTCATTGGTAACTTCACTGTAGCTGTTAGAAGTTAGGTGTGGTCCACAGACTTCAAAAGATTCCAGCTTCAGTTTTCCAGGTATCGAACGTTCTGTCGAGGTCTGGGAGTCGAGTTTCTGGACATGATGTACAATAAAAGTTCTCATCTCTGAAGGTTCCTGTACGGTGGACCTGTTACAGCTGTGAGACAGACTCAACAGTGTTTGGATCATCGGATCGGTTCACCGATCAGCTGTTTTGGGTTTGGGTGGTTCATTAACTTCACAGGATCTCTGATTCACTTCTAACGGGTTTCTGGTAGATCCATGTCGTCTTTACCGTCATGAAAAACCTCGAAAGATTTACCGGGAACATTTTTGAAACTCTGGCATCTTGTCTGGCTGTTGGGTGACCTCAAGACTGGACCCTCTTCATCCTCTCAGACCTCCCGGTCATTTACGGACATCCACCACAGTTCCTTCAGGTGTACCTTTACCTTTGTAACTTTGTCAGCGAACATTCAGGAGGAGGACCGTGACCTCTGAACCCTGAACGGAGCAGGAGTTTCACCTGAATGAGTATCTGCACTTCGTTTGAAATATCGTTTATTTAGTGTTTTAACCCACTGAAGGTCTTTGCTGTTCTGAGACCATGAACTCAAAGACTCTGAACTCAGTCCTGGACTCTGCTGCAGCAGAGCATCTATACTGTGTATGTCTGTGTGTCAGTGTGTGTGTGAGCGCACAACCTTAGAGGACACTGGGAAGAAGAGACACCCGCCGTGATGCTCTGTGATCTGATTGGCTCTTTGGACAATGTGGAATGATGTCATTTTGATGGAAACAGGAAGCAGCGTCTCTTCTCTAAATATTAAAGTCCATGAGTGAAGTGTGTCAGACTGTTTGTTCGAACATCCCTCCTCTCTGATCGATCGGTTTCCATCTGAAGATGTTAAAACTACAACCAATTATCAAAGTTACATTTAATTAAAAAACCAGGAGACCAGTTTCTTGAGGATTTTGAGAGTTCAGGGTCTCCTTGGTCCTATTTTTGGTGTCATGATGCTCCAAATGTTTCCTACAAGTCAGGACCGCATCAGTCCAGTTTCTCAGCAGGACTCTTCTCCTACAGAGCCATGCTGTTGTACAATGTGGTTTGAAATTTGAAGGTCTTCCCTGAAAGTTCTTGTCGCTCCTTAACTTGAAGATATTGTTCAACATTAAAGGGATATTCTGTCGTTAAATTAATTTAGGGTCAAACCCACCGTAACACCGAGTTAGACCCCCCCTCCAGAGATGAATGTTGTCGACCACTTCCTTCTCTAGTTATACCAACTTTAGTAACGACCGCAGGATAGAAATACAGAGAGCCACGCCCCCAACCAAAACGCCACTCTATAGCCACAAATAATGCTCAGAACAGCACCTAACTTCATCAACAGGACATATAGGGTCACAGACATAGTACTAGACACCAAACATCTTTTTAACTTTGACTCATTTCTTTAGCAAAGAGACTAAACACAACTCACCTACTCTCTTCCAGCAGCCGCTTGTTTGTGGGGGAGTTTCGCAGCTCAAGGAGGAACATTTATGATCATTCCTTCATGGAAATGTAATCAGAGTTCTTGTGTATCTCATATATGTGCTCTGCAGACGTGGTAGTTTCTCTGCCTTTGGGTCTGATTGCATTTCCATGAATAATCATAAATTCTCTGCTGCACGGTGTGTTTGATGCAGCATATTAACTTTTCTGGAGCTGAGGTTGTATACCCTCCGTTGGAAAAAGGTAGATCACCTTCTCCAGGTCGGAGGGGCGGTCCTGTCTCAGGTGGAGGAGTTCAAGTATCTCAGGATCTTGTTCAGGAGTGAGGGTAGGATGGAGCGGGAGATCGACAGGCGGATCAGAGCGGCGTCAGCAGTGATGCGGACGTTTAACCGATCAGTGGTGGTGAAGAAAGAGCTGAGCCGTAAGGAGAGACTCTGGATTTACCGGTCGATCTACGTGCCGATCCTCACCTATGGTCATGAACTTTGGGTAATGACCGAAAGAACAAGATCGCAGATACAAGCGGCTGAAATGGGTTTCCTCCTCAGGGTGTCCGGGCTCAGCCTTAGAGATAGGGTAAGGAGCTCGGACACTCGGGAGGAGCTCAGAGGAGAACCGCTGCTCATCTGGTTAGGACGCCTTCTGGACGCCTCCCGTTAGAGGTGTTCCAGACATGTCCCACCGGGAGGAGACCTCATGGTCGGCCCAGGACCAGGTGGAGGGATTAGATCTCTCGCCGTCTGGGCTTCCCTCCTGAAGCTGCTGCCCCCGTGACCCGGACCAGGATGAAGACGACGACGAAAAAACGATGACGGGTTTTTATATTTTACACCAAGACAGAAAACAGAGCGGATCTTCGTTTTATCAGGTTTTGTTTATTGATTCCAACATCCAATAAGTTTTACACACATTTTACCAAACTGGTCACTGTGCATAAAGGGTTAGAGCAGAGTGATGTGCAGCAGTGAGCAGCAAACACAAACTACATTAAACACAAGAGAGTTCACGTCTGTAGGCAGACCCTGCAGCTGGAGGAGAGTTGGTCTGTGTCTCAGAGTCCTCGATACGACACGGTCGACAGACTTGGTCTTGGAAATGTCGGGTTTTCTTTAAGCTGCTCTTTTCTTCAGATTTTAGAGACCAGGTGACAAAAATATGTCTGTCTACACAGGATGAGTTCATCCTGCAGCAGGTAAACAGACGTCTGTGAAACAACCCCAGATGGATCAGAGAGAGTCCACTAACGCCTCGTCCACTAACGCCTCGTCCACTAACGCCTCGTCCACACGTCTGCAGACATGATAGAAAACTGAAGACAGCAGCAGCAGCTACTGAGACTCTGAAGAATGAACTCTGACCTCTGCTTGTGCGTGGCAGTGGTTTAACTGTGTTATAAAAACACAGACAGCAGGTTATTGTTGTTTTTACTGTTGGCTTACACCTTCAAAATCACGACAAAACTTTTACACAAGAACACTTTTTACTGTCCAATAAGACGCTTCATACACACACTGTGTTCCTCTGAGGTGTCAGACATGACAGACTGATAGTACACTATCGCCACCTACTGGTCTGGCATGTTTATATCAGCTTTTTCAACTGCTTCAGTCTGGTTTGAGGACCAACACACGAGTCTTGAGCTCCAGTTCAGATGTTTTCTGTCTTTCTGATAATTCATTCAAAGTTGTGTTCGTGTTTAAATCTGTAAATTCATGTTTTCACTTTTGTAGTTTCTTGATTTTACCTTCATGTAATCCCCCCAAATCTGTCAATCTGTGAACACGCAGCAACAGTTTAGAGTCGGTTCACATCTGGTCACCTTACAGGGAACATCTTACAGGATTGTTGCTATGGCAACAGCAGCAGCAGGTCTACATCAATGAAACAGACTTAGAGAGAGAGTATTAAAATGATCATTATCATCATAACTTCAGACAATAAAATATTCACAGTCATTAATATCAGCAGGGTGAGTCATATAAATAATTCAGAGTAACTTACAGTACATGGTAGAAACAGGACGTGAGTGAAAAAAGGCAGAGAGAGTTTGTTTCCGTTCCTCCTTCAGGTCAAAGGTCAGGGTTTGTTGTAGCTGAAGATCCCCACAGGGAAGTGTTTGACGTGTGTCGGCCACTGAGCTGCCAGCTGGAAAAACTTAACATCGTTCCACTCGACCCCGTCTATAGAGACTGAAGACAGCACAGATCCATGAACACACAGACTCATGATGACCACCTTCAGATCCTTCAGTGAAAGTTATCAACAGGATTAGAGAGGACGGCTCTGAGAACCTGTCTGACTCTGTACCTCTGAGTACATGGACACAGTTCAGACTCTATATTCCTGCAGGGACACCCTACAAGACCCTTCCATCCATTTTCTACCACTTATTCCCGTTAGCATCTTCAGGTGAAAGCAGGGGACGCCCTGGACAAGTCGCCAGTTCATCTCAGGGCTGACATACAGAGACGAACAACCGTCCACGCTCACATTCACACCTACGGGTAATTTGAGAGTGGCCAGTTAACCTAACTGCACTACTGCAAGTTTTTGGGATGTGGGAGGAAACAGGAGAACCCGGAGTAAACCCACACAGACACAGGGAGAACATGCAAACTCCACACAGAAATACCCTGACCCGGATTCAAACCCAGGACCTTCTTGCTGTGAGGCGACAGTGTTAACCACTACACCACTGTGTCGCCCCCCTACAAGACCCCAGGAGCTATAATCATAAGCCTTCTCCAAGTCCACACATGGGGACTGGACGGGAGAACTCCAATGCCCCATCCAGAATCTGGAGGGGCGTCTGCTGGATCCTCCTTCCAGCACCCTGGAGAAGTTTTTCCCAGGAGGCTGAAAAGTGTGACAGCATGAGAACTGGAGAGATTTTAACCTCTGCTGCCAACGCCCCGTCGACCCAGGATCAGAGCTCACTAACTCTACAGTCATGGTTCAGGGTCCTTCATGAGGACAGTCCAGTGTTGGAGTTCTCCAGATCGGCCATTTTTTGAGGGTCTTGGTGTCGTCTTGGAATCGAAGACATTTTCAATCGGTCTTGTCTCAGTCTCGGTCCTCTCTGGTCTCGGTTCTCTCTGGTCCCGGTCTTGTCTGGTCTCGGTCTTGGTCTCTGTCTTGTCTCGGTCTCGGTCATGTCTCGGTCTTGTCTCGGTCTCGGTCCTCTCTGTCCTCTCTGGTCTCGGTCATGTGTTGGTCTCGGTCTTGTCTCGGTCTCGGTCTAGTCTCTGTCTTGTCTCGGTCTCTGTCGGTGCGGTCTTGCCTACAACAGGAGGACGGTCTGCGTCTCGTACCTCTCAGCGTGTGCTGGTGTTTGGAGGTGCAGATCAGGCGGCTGATTCCTTCGATCACCTGACTCCTGGACTCCGCCTCCTTCTCCTTCGTCTTCTTACTGAGAAACATAACTGACAGGCACACCTCCATCAGTGTCACCTTCACCATCATCATCATCATCGTCGCTCCTCCAGACCTCCTCTTCCTCACCTTTCTTGTTCTTCTCTTTGGTCACCACCGTCATGCTCATCAGCTCGCCCCCGCTGATCCTCGACACCTGCAGAGCCCTGAAGTTACTCTTCAGAGTGTTCTTCATCCCCGCCTCCTTCCTCCTCTCTCCTCCACCTCCTCCACCTCCTCCTCCTCCTTGACTGCTCCAGTAGTCCACCTGCAGACCCATCACCTCCGTCGGACAGCTGCTCAGAGATGAACAAGAACAAAGTCATCGCTCTTATCAGAGAGGAACAGCTTTTATTTTGAAGGGCGATGTGAACAGGAAGTACCTGATAGAGGGGGAGGGAGGGGGTGTGGAGGTGATGCTGATTGGTCCAGACTGGGAGGGCGGAGATCCCAGTATGATGTCATCAGAGTCAACTACAGAGAGCAATAATGTGTCCTGTTAGATATGTTAAGGGGAGGAGCCTAACAGGTAACAGATGTTAAGGGGAGGAGCCTAACAGGTACCAGGTGAGTTTGATCTACCTGAGGTTGACAGGAAGTTCTGCTCCACGACGCCGACCTTCACCAGCTGAAAACAGAAGAACATTAGACGTTTTCTTATTCTGTCATATAAACGCTGCTGCAGTTCCTGTAGTGACCACTAGAGGCTGTTTCCTAAGGTGAGTCAGTCTCCATAGAGCCCCATGTTAAAATGTCTGAACTTGAAGCAGAATTCAACACATTTATAGATGTTTTGTTACTTTATTTTCAATGAACTCCTGAAATCGTCACAAACATGTTTTTTTCTCGACTCTTACGAAGCGTCACATTCGCTGAAGGAGTTAATTCAGTAGCTGACAGGATTTCTTACCCCGATAAAAGGAACAAACTTCTGACAGGAGTCGTCGTCAGGGCTGGAAAATAAAATCAGAGTTTTGTTGGACTCAAAGAGCAGCGGAGGAGAACATGTGACAGCTCAGGTGTGATTCAAAGAGTTATATAACCGGAAAAAAACCTCCTACTTGTTTCCTACAAAAGCACCACGATCAGCTGCTGTCAGGATCGTTAGTACAGATGAAACATTACTAAGATATCAGAGGCAGAAAGTGAGTCCTGTGTGAGGAGGAAAGGTGATCGGACCTTTTAGACAAACGTCAGGGGAGAGGAAGAGGAGATAATAAACCTCAAAAACTGAAGAGTAATGCTGCGTCGGATAAAATCACTCGCACAAGTGAATCACCTCTTGTGTTTGCAGGTGAGCATGGCCTCTGAGATTGGGCACAGGTGGGAAACAGCCGCTCCACTCAGGTACTGAGACACTCGACCCGCAACACCAACCGGGTCTGATGGAAACACCGACACACAAGAACACGTCACAGAGTTTCTACGTTTGTTCTGTTATCCGTCTAACTTCAGGGGGTGAAAGTACCGAGAGGAGGCGGCTCCACCCGTGCGAATAGTTCCCTCCAGCCGGCGTCCATGAACAGGCTGTTGAATCTGTTATCCAGGGCAGCCAGGTACTTGGCAAGAGGGTGGACTCCTGGTGAGGTCATAAGAACAAGAGCATCATGGGAAGGTTCACGTTCAGCTCTGTGGATGGGTCGTGTAAGCGTGTGCGTTTGAGTGTGTGCTTACCAACTGGAATGATGAGGAAGCGGAGGTAGTTCAGCCAATCAGGTGTCTTGCTGGCCAGCTGCTCGACGAAGCAGCAGAGGGCGGTGCTGAGGTAGCTCTGATCCCCGCCCACCGCCACCTTCACTGTGGGCGGGGTCTGGGAGTTACAGTTACAGCTAGAGGGAACATGAAATGGATGAGTGAGATGACTGAGCCTTCAGTCAAACTAACTCCGCCCTCCATCAGCTCCTCCTCTATGAACCGGGTCTGACAGCCGTCTGTTTCAGCTGAGGAGCAGGTGTTCATGTTTCTACAGGAGTCTCAGTTTCGCTGTAGCTCTCTCTAACACATCTGTTTACTGTTATTTCTACATTAAGTGTAGAATCTGGGGTTTTTGATTCACTTCATCTCAGTTCCTCTGAATCTATCTCTAAGTCCCAGTTTTACTGTATCTGTCTCCAACATGTCTGGGTTTAACAGTTTTTTCTACACTGAGTCTGAAATCTGCTTTATCTGTCTCCACAGAGTCTCAGTTTCACTGTATCTGTTTTTGATATGTCTCAGTTTTAACGTTACTGTCTTTAATAAGTGTCAGCCTCACTGTATTTGTCTTTTAAAAGTCTCAGTTTTACTGTCTCTCTCTCTTACTGAGTCTCAGTTTCACTGTATCTGTCTTTAATGAGTCTCAGTTTTACTGTATCATTCTTTATAAGTCTCAGTTTTACTATATATGTCCTCAACGAGTCTGACTCTCAAATCTGCCAAAGCAGTCTTCTAAGAGTCTCAGTTTTACAGTATTTTCAGTTCTTTACATATCCAGCCTTCAGCACAGCAGAGACATAAAACAACATTTCTCTGTGATTTAAAGACGATGCACAGAGTGGACTGTTTTATCATCACTGACATAACAACACGCTCATTTTCCAAAAGTCTAAATTCAGAATATTTCAGGTCTGACTGCGACATGAAAACAAAAACTATTTTACTACATGTTCAGTCTGAGATGAGTTTGAATTACGCTGCAGCGTCTTCTTACTTTGGTAAAGAAAAAAAACTGAGTCAAACTGAGCATGCTCAGTGTCATCAGGAATATTAAAGGATGTTAAATCAATATGGCCTCCATCTGTTTCCATGGTTACAGTAAATACAGAGTGACTCCCGTCTGCAGCAGGGAGACGTGTATCTGCTACACACACTGATGAGGTAAAGAACTGATCACATGACTCTTACAATCTCTGAATCCGGCTCAGGATGGCGCTGAAGGCCACCTGGACGTCAGCTGATGAGATGGTGCACACGATTGGCTGATCGAACAGAAGCTCCGACAGGTACTGAAGAGAGAGAGAGAGAGAGAGACCCGAGGTGAGGGAGGGGGAGGGTAAATTATTAACAATAACACTGATGATATGAACGATGAGATCATCAAAATGATCAGTTTATAAATAATAAAGTATATAATATAATAAAGTTTATGAAGACCTGTCCCTGCCAGTCTGTGGTGTTGATCAGGATGATGGAATCAGGGATCTGATCGTCAGAGAACAGGATGTGGTTCAGCTGATCCAGGACAGACTTCCTCGCAACCTGATGAATCACAAACACACATCAGACACCTGAACCTAAACCAGGACCGGGACCAGGACCAGGACCAGGACCAGGTGTTTGGATGTTCCTCCTCTGACTGAGGAACTCCCGTGTCTGTCTCACTCACCTGTGGAGGAGGTATCCTGTAGTCATAAGACGTCTCACTCTCCACACTGCTGGTCCGGTCTGTCCCTCTGGAGTTCTGTCTGTCCTTCATGGAGCCGCTCCAGTGATGGCGGGACAGCTGACTACCTGTCTTACTGCAGAGGGACACACAGACAGACAGACAGACAGACAGACAGCTGACTCCCTGTCCAACGCTGCACTCAGGTGACTGTGTGTGTGTGTGTGTGTGTATGTATGTGTGTGTGTGTGTGTGTGTGTGTGTGTGTGTACCTGGGTGAAATATGTGTGTGTGTGTGTGTGTGTGTGTGTGTGTGTGTGTGTGTGTGTGTGTGTGTGTACCTGGGTGAAATGTGTGTTTGAGACTCTGTTTTGCAGAGTTTGGCAGCTGGTCCTGCATCTGCTCCCATGGCAACATCCTCCTCCACTTCCTGCGGAGAGAAAAATGAAGAGTCTTTATTTGGAGACTCCAGAAACATCTGAAGACCGTTTGAAGGTGAGTTTTCAGTCTCACCCCGGGGCCGGCCTCGTCTCCTCTGGACTCCTCGGGGAAATGAGGCCCCTGACCTCCAGGAGACAGCAGCTCTGCAGCCTGAGAGTCCAAACAGAGAGACGCCGTTAGAAAGAGTGGCCTCTAGAGGGCAGCAGAGTGAGACAGCAGACACATCTCTCCATGCCTCCGACATCAGTTATAAATATGAGTCCTGGACAGATTTTCTTCCTCCTGTCATGTTGTTTCTGCTGTCCTCCTGTTCGGTCTCGTCTGTTTTCAGTCGCACAGATTCGGAGCGTTCGGCGGTTTTACTCACAGCGGCGTTTTGTTCCCTCTGCTGGTTCTGACTGTTGTCACTCCTGGTCTCAGTCTGAGAGCTCTCCTCGAAGAACGGCCTGAAGAAAGATTCACAGCACAGAGACGAGAGACTTCACAGTTACAACCGGGACAAGAGCGGCTTTTCACACCAGAACTTCATCTGAAATCAACCAAAAAAACCTTCATTTCAGGGCGAAGAGCGGAGGAGCCGCTTTATGGAGACAGAAACGATTTCAAGAGAAGAGTTAGACAAAGAACGGGTTTATGAGAATAAGGAGAATAAATGTGTTTTTGAGAAAAGACTCAGAATGTTCAGAGTGTCGTCCTCTGAGAACTCCACATGTTAGTTCAGCAACGACTTCAATCTCATTTCTGCTCAAACTTTCCTTTAACACCTTTTTCCTGTTAGAATCACTTTTCCTCAAAGTTTGTCAGTTTTTCCAAAAATAAACAACTTCAGATATTAAATTTAAAACTTGATTGTCATAAACGAACGTCTTTGGTCCCTTATTGAACTTTGTATTTCTTGAAATTTGATCCTTTTTCTCTGATATATCAGATATTTTAACTTCTATTTGTGATGAATCTATAAAATTAAAAACACATTTACACATTTTATGAATAAATTTGAAACTTTGTTCTTGTGATAATGTTGTTGTTGTTTGTGTAAATTTACCACTTTCACGTCATTTATTGACGGTTTAATTTCTTACATTTACAACTTTTATCCTTTTTTTGTAAAATATATTTTTTTTTCTTTTTAATATGAACATTTAAAAAAAATCGACTAAACCGTAAAATAAAACATCTTTTTGTGCATTAAAATACAAACTTAAATGTCTGAAAATTACAATAGATGTAAATTTAATTTTTTTATTGCAAATTTACGATTTTATCTGATCAAATTTACGACTTTTTTCTCAATAATTAGAAACTTTCTATTTTATCGTAAATATTTCCTTTAAGTTTTGGTCAATTAGAGACACTTTTCCTGTATATTCTAGACTGTGGTAACATGTGTGTGTGTGTGTGTGTGTGTGTGTGTATGTCCGACCTGAGTTTGGGTTTGGGCGTGCTCACGATGCTGTCGTTATCGTCCAGCTCAGGGCCGCTGTCGCTCTGGTTGTAAACCTCCAGACTGTCATAGAGGAGATCCAGGTCCTCCTCCACCTCCTGACTCTGACCCACCTGCTCCGAGTCCAGGACCTGGAGGACACAAAATCACCAGCAGGTGGCGACAGAGAAGCTCTTCAGTGTGATCAGGCTGTCAGTCGTGACACTGGAAACAGTTAAAGCTACCCTATACTTTTGACTTCAGCCAGCTGACAGCTGCCCCCTGCTGGACTTTAGAGAGAATGCAGGTTTAGACTCTGACACATTGCTGGGAATTGAAGGCTGAGTACAAACCTCATCGGTGACTTTAAATCTTCTCAGCAGAGCGACAAACTTCTGTTTGAAGTTCGGCTGCTGCAAAAAGAGAAAACAAGTGAGAGAGTCACAAAAACATCGTCTCTCCACATTAAAGTTATTATTCAAACACTGACGGTGGATCATTACTTCATTTATTGGCATCTTTCTATTTATTTTATTTCTTTGGAAACATGTTCAAAACAAATAAATTCAATCAATCAGAATGAATTCAGCGTTGACCCTCAGTGTTTGACCTCAGGAGACTAAAAACAACATCTGTCCTGACAAATACAGGAGACGACCCATAGAACAAAGGCTGATGGGAAAACCGCTCACCTGGGTCAGAGAGGTGGCTCGGATCATTTTCCTGTGAAACTTCTTCGTCTTCCTCTGGACATCTTCGTCATCATCATAGATGTCCTGGAAAAGAAGAAGACCTTTAAAAAAGATGTTAGAGGAACAACCAGACAGGTGAATAACTGAGTAACAGCTGTGGGAACATCTCCAATTAACCAGGTGAATGTCCAACAGGTCAGTAACTCGATGAGGTCTAAGACAGAAGTTAAGAGGGGCGGAGTCTCTCAGAAGGAAAAATGGAGGAGGGTCAGGACTCAGTGAGAGACTGCGTGAGCGAACAGGTCAACAGTTTCAGACTAAAGTTCCTGAGTGTGAAAGAATGAGTGGATTTCTCTGTCCTAAAGGGACGAGGACGTCATAGAGATCATGATCTGATACTGTATTAAGGTGTGTGAAGTCAGCTGATCAATCACCTGAGGCTGGACGGCGTCGTCACTTCCCTCCTGCTCAGACGAGAAGCTGTCGTCATCGTCCTCTGAGTAGTTTTCCATGTCATGTGAGCGATCTGATAAAGACACACGACACATGAACTGTGGTCAATAATGAACGGCTGCTGATGTTAACCATCAAAACTCAACATAAATTCATCTAAAACTAAATTAAAGAGAAAATAATCTGAAATAATCTGAAGGAACCTCATAAAAACTGAAATAACTTCATTTAAAAATCTAAAATGATTTAAAATAATATGATCAGATCTGAAATAATTAGACATAATCCATCATAATCTGAATTAGCTGAAAAAAAACATAATCTGACACAGTGCGAATCAATCTATGATAATCTGGAATTATTCTAATTAAATTTAAAAAACTGACATGACTTCAAATAACTCAAAACACCCTGAAATTATTAGAAATAATCTGAAATGTTTGTTTTAATCCAAACAACCTGAACTGATTTAAACCTGAAATGATTTTAAATAATCTGAAACACTCAGAAATATCTAGAAATGACCTAAAATAATCAGAGCTAATCTCAAATTATCTGAAAAAATTAGATAATCTAAATCGACCTGAAATAATCCAGAGGAGTTTGGAATAATCTGAGTGTTTTGTGTGAATTTAAATCATTTTAGGTTGATTTTAAATCTCTCTGGATTATCTGAGTGTGTTTTTGATGACCTTCAAAAGAACCTTCAATGATTTCATCTGAAACGATCTTAAACCTGGTAATAATCTCAGACAGATTATCAGAGCCACGTTGGTTTAAAGTGTCTGTGTCTCTCTGCGGCTGTTTTGTGTCTCTCGCTCGTCTCCCGTGTCGGCGTTCGGAGGAAACAGCCGAGAACAAACACGCTGTTTTTCATCAAGTCGAATGTCCAAGGAGCTCATGTGTGCTTGTTTTGGACCAATCAGGAGCCAGCGTGTAACGAGCACCTGATGCTCTCAAACAAACAGAAGGTCATCTTCGTTGTTCATCTACCTGAGGCCTTGGTCTTGTTGCCATGGTGACCGCTTGTGTCCTCCTGCTCGATAGGCTGGCTAGAGAGAGAGAGGACGCTCAGCTCTGCCGCGCGCAGCGAGGCATCCTTCAGGTTGCTATGGAGACCAAGGATGTGGGCTCTGTCTGTTGGATGCTGCAGCACCTGAGACGGGACACACACAGACACACAGATACACACACAGACACACAGACACACCCACAGATCCACCCACACAGAGACGGTTTAGAAGTTTGTTCTCAATGATTCTGTCCATGTCTGAGCGAGACGACCACGATCTACCAAAGACAGCCCAGCTCCAACAGGTCATCTGAGGAGGATTTCTGCATGATGGTGTCTTCTAGATCAAACATCTATACTGAGACACTCATCTGCCGACTCTAGACCTGACCCCAGAGCCCACAAAGCTTGGCCTTTGACCTTTGACTGATCTGAATCATGATGTTGTTATTTCAGCAAACTGAAGACTCGTTTATGAGAGGAAATCACAGAACATCAGCTTCTGTTTCAGGGTCATACTGCTGGAGGAAGCCAGAGTGAAGCCGCTGAGGAACTATTTACAGTGAAACTGAGACTCACCACAGACAGAAGGATTAGGAGGTAGGGTGAAACATCTGAGGAAACTGATATTTACAAAGAAACCTGGACCCAATCGATCTGACTGCTAGGTTAAAGAAACATGAAGATTCTGCCAAACTTACTATTTACAGTGAAACTGGGACTCACAAACTGTTTACCTTAGGGCAAAACGAATCCCCTATGAAGCTGACAATTAACAGTGAAACCTAAATATCAAGTTTTGTACCACACCAGACTCAAGTCTGTTTGTCTTACTCTTTACAGTGAAACTGGGACTCATCAGGTTTATACAGCTTCATTTGGCTAGAGTAAAGCCGCCTTGTTACTCACTGTTTACAATGAAACTGAGACTCACCACAGACAGAAGAATTGGGAGGTAGGGTGAAACCTCGGAGTAAACTGATATTTACAAAGAAACCTGGACCCATTCGATCCCTCTGAAGATTCTGCGTAACTTGGTATTTACAGTGAAACTGGGACCCACCAGGTTTATACAGCTTCATTTAGCAACAGTGAAGCCGCCTTGTTACTCACTGTTTACAATGAAACTGAGACTTCACAGAGACAGCTGAGACTCTGCTGATCCACACATACCTCGGCCATGTTGATGACTCCCACCGCCAGCGTCTTGTAGCCCAGGATGGTTCTGTTCTTGTACCTCTTCCTCCTCTGCAGCATCACGTGAAGACAGTTGACGTCCCTCTTCAAGAAGTGAGGGTACTAGAAGACAAGACAGAGACCAACATCGGCTTCAATGAGGACATGATGGAGTCCTGCTGATGACGTGCAGAGCGGACGACTGATGGACACGAGAGAGGATTTTGTAAAGAGTGAATTTCATCTGTGAGACCTGCAGGGAGAAGGTGAGTTCCAGGTCTGTCTCCATCAGACCGTCCGGAGGAAGGAGGTACTCATTCGATCTCAGAGTCCGCTTGGAGCCCTGAGAGACGCCGAGACAAACACACATCAGATCAGATCACAGTCATGCTGTCTGAGGTGTTAGATAAGCTTTAGGTCTGTCTGAAAGGAGGACAGCAGGAACCGGATCAAACAGACAGTCTGCTCAGTGTTTGACAGACAGGTGAGAAAAGGTCCTCACCTGGATCTTCACAGCGATGACGACAGAGCTGAGCTCTCGATCGAGCTCCCTCAGAACCATCAGCCTCTTCAGAGTCAGACTGCACAGCCTGGAGACAGAAAACAGAAAACACACCCGACTGTGGGAACTCTGGATCTTTGATCGGAGGACCTGAGAGTCTTTTTAACAAACCGAGGACAGGACTGAAGTCCTTCTTCTGACCATCAGAGATCTTGATGGACTGACACGACTGAAGGTCACAGAGTGTGAGAACATTCAGACGAGCTGGAGGTTCAGTAGGTCTCCACAGGTGGAGCCTCCAGTGTTCAGGCCTCTGTCCTTTAATTTGAAAGTCAGGGTCCAAAAAGTGAACAACCTCAGACTAGTATAGACTCAGACTAGGATAGACTTAGACTAGTATAGACTCAGACTAGTATAGACTTAGACTAGTATAGACTCAGACTAATATAGACTCAGACTAGTATAGACTCAGACTAGTATAGACTTAGACTAGTATAGACTCAGACTGTTATAGGCTCAGACTAGTATAGACTCAGACTAGTATAGACTCAGACTAGTATAGACTCAGACTAGTATAGACTCAGACTAGTATAGACTCAGACTAGTATAGACTCAGACTAGTATAGACTCAGACTGTTATAGACTTAGACTAGTATAGACTCAGACTAGTATAGACTCAGACTGTTATAGGCTCAGACTGTTATAGGCTCAGACTAGAATAGACTTAGACTACTATAGACTCAGACTGTTTTGGGCTCAGACCGTTATAGACTCAGACTAGTATAGGCTCAGACTGTTTTAGGCTCGGACTGTTATAGGCTCAGACTAGTATAGACTCAGACTGTTTTAGGCTCAGACTAGTATAGACTCAGACTAGTATAGACTCAGACTGTTTTAGGCTCGGACTGTTATAGGCTCAGACTAGTATAGGCTCAGACTGTTTTAGGCTCGGACTGTTATAGGCTCAGACTAGTATAGACTTAGACTAGTATAGACTCAGACTGTTTTAGGCTCAGACTAGTATAGACTCAGACTAGTATAGACTCAGACTGTTTTAGGCTCGGACTAGAATAGACTCAGACTGTTTTAGGCTCAGACTGTTATAGACTCAGACTAGTATAGACTTAGACTAGTATAGGCTCAGACTGTTTTAGGCTCGGACTGTTTTAGGCCCAGATCAGAACCATCATTGCCCAGACTGTTTTAGGCTCAGACTGTTATAGGCTCAGACTAGAATAGACTCAGACTGTTTTAGGCCTTGTCTTCTTTCAGGAATTCACAGCTTCCCTTACAAAGGGAATACGAAAGACAGTGATAAAATCTGAAAGTTATTTGTTGTTGTTTTCTTTCTTTCTTTAAAATTATGTCACCTTTAGTGACACCTTGAGAAAACTTTGACCTGCTGCCGTTACTTTCAAGAAAAGTCAGAAATCACAGACGATCGGTCTCTCTGCTCCCACCTGATAAATCCTTTTCTCAGAGTCACATGACTTCACACCAGCGAGTTCTCAGACTGGTGACCTGTCCCTCCAGAGATCTCATTATTGAAGGATCACGCTGTGACTCATCCATTTTAACTTCCTGTCAGCCAAGAGCGAGGCTAACACTAACCTTAATACCTGCTAATGCCCGCTCCTCACCTGAGCGAGGCCAGCAGGGGAACGCAGAAGTCGGACAGCATTCTGGGAGTTTTTCTCAACAATTAACTTCACTGCTATAATAATAATAATAATAATAATAATAATAATAATAATAATAAAAAAAATAATAAAAATAATAATAATAATAATATGTTATTACTTAATTACAATATTTAGCTGCATCAATTGTGGTAGATAAATTGTAGTTAGATTTTAAATACAAGATAATTTAAAACAGGTAGTAAAACAGGTTCACCAAAAAGCAAAAGTTTTTGAAATATTGATTAAAAGCCGACTATATCAAAGGTCTGAATATAAGGTAATAACAATAATAATAATAATAATAATAATAATAAATGGAGTGAGACTAGATTAACTGCTGTGGTTGTAAACTGGATCCATGTGGAACGTTTGTGCTCAAAGTAATAAAAACATTGAAATGATCAAGAATAAGAGATATATATAAAACATTTGGATGCTTCACTCTTAATGGATTTCTCACCCCGCTGTGATCTCTGTGGGCTCAAACAGGTTGTGTAGTGTTTACTGAGTCATTAAGAAGATTAACTCTGATTGGACGAGCTCCTTAACCCCCACATGGTTGAATAATCTCCATGGTAGCAGACAGGTGGGGAGGTCAGAGGGAAAAGATGTTTTTTATTTTCTTCATTTTTTTAATGATGATGGTCCACGTTCATGTCATTTAGCCTTTTATTGAATGTGGTCACTGTTAATGTCGTGTTCTGATTGGCTGCTGTGTTGTGGCGTCATCAGTGACGTCATGTCTGGGTTAGTGTCTGTGCTCTTAATCCCACTGCAGAGTAATGAAGCTGCTAATTCACGTGAAGTGGAGGTCAGATTACAGTGCTGGCTGCGCTCTCTAAGCATCATGGGAGTCGTAGTTCATCTGTCTTCACATCAGCGACACATGCTGACTAGCGTTTAAATGTTTGAATGTTGCTTTTCCTTTCCGTTTGATGTCAAAATTAGAAAAATTAAAACTAAAAGCAGCTCGAACCCACAAATGAATCAAATCAACTCTGATAGTCAGAAACTGTGTCGTTAAAAATCATTAAAAATAAATGTAAAAAGAGAATCCCAGAAAGGAGTCATCCACGATAACTTTATGACTTTAACACGGCGAATTTATTCTAGTAAGAAAACGACTAAAGAAATCTTACATAACTCCATCGTACATACAGAATGTTAGCTTTGATTAATATTACTTCGTTAATGTTAGCTTGTGCTACAAACAATAACAAACTTATAACCTTTATTGGTGTTTGCATTGTTTGGTGTGTCGATTGTTTTGGCATGTAATGTACTGGTTAACCAGGAGACGGCACGATAGTCACGAGGCGGAAGGAGGCATATCGCCACCGAGGCGACGTTCACACTGCAGGTTCTGATGCACAGTTCGGAATTTTTGTTCAATCCGATCTTTTTGTGCGGTTGTTCACGTTACAACAACGAATGCATCTGTGAAGTGACCCACATGCAACAAAACACAAACTGCTTTTTGCGCCTGTTTGTGTCGTCGAACAATGGTGACGTTTGTCTCATATTGATGACGTAAAGGTCGGATGAACGCGACCTGAGCGTCCACACTGCAGTCACATCAGATACATATCTGATTTATATCCACATACAGAAGAGGCCTGGGTCGGATCAGAACCAATCAGAACTGACCTGTTCACACTTAGATGAAAACATCAGATATGAGTCACAGATGGTTAAAACATCAGAATTGACCTGCAGGGTGAACGTCGCCCTGGTGTGGCGAAGGACACACTACAGTCAGCAGATTCTTGCCTGGTGCCAGCAGACTGGGAAAGGACAACAGTCCAGTTAAATCGCTTAACTGAGCATTGAACTATGGATGTAAACGTGATGAATCAACCAATCAATGGCCAGTATGGATCTGTTATCTCGGTCACTTCCCAACTTTTGGCTGCAACATAAATTTGTACCAAACTAGACTGAACTGTTTGATCTGAACACGGCTGTAGAATAAAGGGGGAAATGATTCTGTGTTTTCACATTTACACAAACATCCAGGACCCAAACAGACTCCAGTATTAATCCAGACGTGGTCCAAGACCTTTTGACCCCCAGACTCATGAAAAATACAAGAATATATATAGACTAGAGCTGATGGTTGTGATGAGTTTTCATGGGGCTGACTAGTAGTAAGTCAGTAGTAGATAGTAGTAGAAGTAGCTGACTACAGCTGAGTAAAATGGATGATAAAATCCTGCTCACTCTGATTTTTGCTCATTTATCCTGTTGCCCCCAAACCCCCAGACCCTCCAGACTGATCTGACTGTTTTTAATCTGTAACCAGGCTGATCACAGAAACACAGAAGGACATGGATGATAAATAAAACTATAATAATAATAATAACCATCGTAGTTCAGGCTGGGTGATGTAACAGTCACGCTGCTCTCCCTCATCATGTCACGGAAATAAAAAATGAATTTCGGGATGTTTGACGGTGGAGGTCCGTGATCGCAGTGGGCAGCTCCTCTGACTCCTCTCCCCGGACATTAATCCTCTTACCTGGGCACGCAGCTCGGGGAGGACCGGTCGATCTCCCAGGTCGCAAACAAGTTCATCGGCACCGGGACGCGGCCGTCCTGCTCCCCCGCAGCCCCGGAGCCTGCGGCGGTGTCCGGGTCCGGAGGGAGAGCGCTCCCCCGGACACCTCTGTCAGCTGCTGCCGCCGCCATCGTCGCCTCTCCCGAGTCTGATCCCGGCGGGTGATCCTCAGGAGCGGCTGCGAGAGCGAGAGAGCGCGGGGCGGGGCTGGATGGATGGATGAGGGGAGGAGGAGGAGGAGGAGGAGGAGGAGGAACACAGATCCAGGATCAACCAGAGCAGAGGTATGGATGCTAATATCACAGACCCACCTAGCGCACCGAACTACAACATAGAGACAGCGTTTTGTAGGGGAGACTGGGGACGGTTACCACGTCTTTATTTTCTTAAAGGTCCTCACACACCGGGACCAACGCGAATATAGAACAAGAAACTACGAAATATCCAGAGGTGAATTTTGACGCGCCTGACTGTACACATCAAGCCCGATGTGATTTTGCGACTTTCCGGGGAAAAAAGAGGCATCATGGGGGAAAGTCCCGCCTCCTTTGCCTCTGATTGGCTAGAAAAGCTGGAAACGTCATCACACGCTCGAGCCAAACGGTCAGCACTTATAGCCAATCAGAGGCAATAAGATAAACACATGAAACTATAGTAACAACCGTCAGCTTAAGTTAGCGCAGATGAAAGTTAAAACAAAGACGTTTATCAAACTGTTAAAGCTCACAAACCATCGTCATCGGAGAAATCCGACACTATGACTCTCCACAAGTCGTCCTTCAGGTCGTTATCTTTGTAATGTTTGTGTCTTTTATCAAAAATCACTCTGTTCTCCGACATGTAAACAATCAGCCGGTCGGCCATGTTGGATATACCGGTGAATCTGATTGGTCAGAAGTCGACACACAGTATGAGAAACTTTAGAAAAATCGACCGTGATCCGAAAAACATAAACGCCACAATATCGCAGGACGGGAAAATGTCGCTGATGTGAACGCTTGTATTGACAGGATACATGTTGGAAAAAATGTCAACGTCTGAAATAATCGCACGAAAAAAATGCTCCCGGTGTGAAAGGAGCTTTTTGTTGCTGGTCGATACTTGAACTCCTCCACTTGAGGCAGGACCGCCCCTTCGACCTGGAGAAGGTGATCTACGGAGAAAAAGGTCAGAATTATTTTTGCATTTAGTCAAATATTTTTCATTTTCATACATTTTCCTATTTTAAAAAAATGTTGAATTAAAACATTTTTGTAGTTTTTAAAAGTTTCGTTTGATAGAATTCTTTGCTTTGTGAAGAAAATGTTTGAACACACAGAGACAGGATATTTTTTTGCATTTTTAAAAATATTTTGTGAGTATTGTTCGTTAGATAAATATATTTATTTATTTAGATATAAAGTAAAGTTGCTTGAGTCAGCCACATGTGGCCCTTTAACAGGAACTACAAAAAGGAACTATTCCTGTTTCTGTTTGACGGGGAAAAAGAAAAATGAGGAAACTTTTTCAAGAAAATCTGAGAAACTTGTTTTTTTTCCCACTGAACACCAAAAGTTCAGTTCAGCGTGAGAAAAAAGAACCTCTCAGCCGGTCACATGACCGAACGAGACCGCTGATCCACGTCACAGACACTCAGAAAACTCACAAATGATGATTCTTCCTTTAAGCTTCTTAAAAAGACGTCTGGATCATCTGTAACAGTCCAGACTTTTCAGTGTGATATTCTGTGTGTGTGTGTGTGTGTGTGTGTGTGTGTGTGTGTGTGTGTGTGTGTGTTAAGAAAACTCTAATAAACTCTAAAAACACTCATTTTAAGGCAGAATTTGATCACGTTGAAGCGGCTGAACAGACGTGACGACAGCCTGAACTGCTTTTTTCATACCTTGAATCAGTGAAAGCATCGTGACCTTGAACAGAAGAGGCCCCAGGATGACGCCTGGAGAACTCTGCACGACATTTTTATCTCTGCAAAGAGGAAACCTGTTTTTTTTTTTTTTACATATGAAAGTAGCAGAACAGACGTGTCCACGTCCTCTGACCACGAGCACGCACAGACGGTCACGTATGTTTAACTTCATAAAGACTGAGACTGAACTCCGTCTGCAGCCAGAACAACCCGACCTCAGAGGAAACACAGCGGCCGATCCAGTGAGTAAACATCTCATCTGCAGAATCAACCAATGATCGATCAGTGATTATTGATCATGTTACAGAGTCAGGGCTGAAAAAGCGCAGGAAAACTTTCATGTTGCTTAGCAGTCGAGTTTAGAAAGTAGATGTTTGCTGTAAGTTTGATAATCCCATGTCAATAACTGTCTGTATCTCCACCTTCTAGAGAGCTGAGATGGTCAAAGGGGCTCTCCTCGAAATCCTGGACGAGATGGATGACAAAAACTTCGATCGTTTCAAGTTTTATCTGAGAGACGACCGACTCTCGGATGAATACGTCATCGCCAAGAGCAAACTGAAGAAAGCCAGCCGTTGTGAGACCGTGGACCTGATGGTCGAGGTCTTCACCCTGGAGCATGTGGCTGGGGTGGCGTCAGATATCTTGCAGATGATAAAGAGGAACGATCTGGCAATGAAGCTGGAGGAAAAAGGTCAGTCAGTCTGAAGTCACAAATGATCAGTGTTTTATTTTCAAACCAGACCAACAATGACCTTCAAACCCGCTGACAGGTCTGACCAGCTCTCCTGAAAGAGCTCAGAGGTAGACGGGGAGGGACCTGTTATAGTCGAGCTCAGGGGTCTTTGCTGCTGCTCCCCCTGCCCTGACCTCCTGTAGGCATGTTTTTGTGAATGTTCATGAACCAGAGAAAAGCTGTGCTCCTCCTCCTGCATGCGGAGATGATCCTCTCAGTCCAAAGTGGTTACCCTCATCCTCAGATGTTCGTGTGTTCTTATGTTTTATGTTTTTATGTGAATGATTCGAAGATGGTCAAAATCAGAGAATCTGGAGGTTCAGGGGGCGGCGGTCTGAGTCTGAATCAGGCGTCTGAACGAACAAAGTCCATTAATAATGAAATGAACTCTGGCTGATAATTCCTCTTTTTGTTGACAGTGGAGGAGGAGGAGGACTGAAGATAAATCCACCAGGACCGTGAAAAGGAGAACATGAGGTTCACTCAGAAGGAGCGAGTCAAAGTGCCTCAAAAATCACAAAGAGAAATAAAATGAGAAAATAAAAACTTTGTTTCTGTGTCCTTTTTGTCCCCCTCACACCTTTATACTTAATATTATTATAAGTTTTATAGAATAAGTCATCTTTTTAAATAAGTTGTAAAACATAATTTATGTTTGTTTAACTTTTTATACATGTTATATGAATATCTTTAATATTTTCAACCCATAATTCAAACACAGTTTATCTTTATTTATTGAGGTTATATATTTATTTCTTATATTTTCATTTGTTCATATTTTTCTTTTCATTTTACATTTAAAAATACATATATAAATGTATTATGTATACATACATATATAGAATACATATTCTATATATTCTGATTAAATATATATTATTATATTATTTATTTTTTAATAATTCATATGTATTTGTAAATTTTTACATATATTTTATATTTGTAAATAATTCATGATTTATTTTAGAGTTCCTCTTTGACACTGTAAATTGATTTGACTGTGTTGTCATTCTCATGGCGAACACAGGAGCCTCTCAGTGTTTATCTGAAGTTTTCATTCGTCCTCAGTGGAAGACGAACAAGTCAGGAAGTTGGTGATTTTCTGTATATTAGCTGGTTTATGAGAAACATATCACTGAATGTCATCAGCGTAGCAGCAGTGAGAGATATCATGAAACTGATTAATAACATGGTCTAAGTGGCCCCAACACAGAACCCTGAGGCACTCCACAGGACAGAGCGGCTGACATAAACCTCACGAGTTTATCTACTTTTTCTTATTTGACAGGAACTCTATTTGACTTTTACTCAACAGTGACATTTGGACTAAGCGTTGTTAAAAAAGACATCAGAGTCGAGACACATCATGTCCTCATCTTTATTTTTGGACTCATGAAAAGCTCTGAAAGACGCTCCTCCAATCTCATCAATAACAACTTCAGAAAATATTCACTTCTTGCAAACTGAATGAGAATTAAACTAAAATGGATTCAAACTTAAACGTGTCACAACATCAAAACTACTCGACCACACACAGATGACAAAGTCAAAATCACATTCTTAGGATCTCTGTAGATCTGTCTCCCATCCAAGGCCTCCGTACAAACATCGTTTTCACACCTTTCCTGCAAAAATGACAACAAAAAAAATTTAAAAGATCTTTTTTTTTTTAAATAAAATCACCTCAGAGTGTCATGGTCAGAGCGCAGAGGATTATTTTCTCATTTCAAAGCTCTTTTAAGCACTTTTTTACGGTGGCCCTGAAGGTCAATGACACAGATACTGTAGAAGGGAACTAAAAAAGATATCTGCCTGAACATGAAAAATTCTCATTAACTGGAAAAAATATGTCACAAAATCCTTAAATAAAAGATGAATAAAATAAAGAAGATTCATTTGTTTCAAAATTATTTTGGTTTAAATTTTTGTTTTTTTACAATAAAAATTTGTTGAACTCAATTTTTTTTTTAGTTAAAACTAATTTGTGTTCTGAGAAATCTTCTCTCATTTTGTGAAATGTTTCTATTTGATGTTCATTTAAATATTCTTTTGTTGCCGTTGACCTTCAGGGCCACCGTATTTTCCTTTCATATGCTGTGATTTTATTCTTTGAAATGAATAAACGGTTTCAGGTCCTGGAACACTGACCACACACAGACCAACCTGGACGCTTCAGTCTCATCGCCAGGTCGTTCCTCTGAACATTCATCAGAGCCTTCCTGACCACCGCCGTCACCTTGTCCATCGTCAGCCTCCCGACCAACAGGTCAATGGCGGCGGTTCGATTGGCGCTCTGCAGTTTGTGCTTCGGGATGTGAGTTTCCTCCAGGAACCACTTAAAACGCTCAAAATCTTCATCGCTCATCTCATCCAGGATGTCGACGAGGTCCATTTTGGTCGTCATGGCTCTATGAAAGGTCGTATAACATTTGGTTATTTCCTGTCGGCCATTTTGTGCCGGTTGTGTGTGACAGAGAAACTCAGCAGGACGATAATCAGACTTTTAGATGCGCTGAATTCCTGAACTGATGTTCTGTTGAAGTTCTCAACTTTAATCTGCTGAGTCACTGAAGGGAGTTTGGAATTCATCAGAAATGACGACTCGGACCTCCTTTAAATAAATCAGAGCGGAACCTCCGTTAAACTGACCCTTAACAGTAAAACTGAGACCTACTTGATTAGGTTAGCAGTAGGCCAGAGTGAAGCATCTGCTTAATTTACCATTAACAGTAAAACTGAGACTCAGCAGTTACAGGTGAACAGTGAGCTGGACTGAAACCTCAACTATGTACAGGTAAACTGAGACTCATCTTAGACATGTGACTTACTCATTTACAGTAAAACTGAGACCTTCTTTATTATGATAGCAGTTCGCCAGAGTGAAGCATCTGTTTAATTTTCCATTAACAGTGAAACTTAGCCATTATAAATGAACAGTGAGCTGTGTACAGGTAAACTGAGACTCATATTACACATGTGACCTACTTATTTACAGTAAAACTGAGACCTGTGGACCAAAATTAAGTCTTTTTAAAGTAACTTGATGGAGTTAAACTGTGAGACACCTGAGCTTGTTACTTTTTTTTACAGTGAAACTGAGATAAACAGAGAAAAATGTAAATAAACATCTCGAGTAACTTTGATAACTAACAAACAAACTGTAAAAATAAAATAAACAGATTTATTTGACAGTGAGCAGAAAATAAAGAAGTGAACACTCACAGGACGGCTGCGGCGCTGCGTTTTCCTCTGAGCTCTGCTGAATCCGGAGTTAAGCCGAGTCTAAATAAAGTCGGACGTACGTGACTCTGAGTGTGTTCGCCTACATGTTGTTTCACGTCGCGGGGTCGCGGTCATGTCTGTTCTGCTTCTTTCACATGAAAAACTGTTTCCTGTTATTTGATATTTGGACTTTCACACCGCTCTGCAGACAGTATGTGTTCATATAAGGGAGACATGTCTGTACCTTATTTGACATGTGACTATTTTCTCTTCATGTGCCGTTTTGAGATCTTTTTTTAAACTCTTTTTGCTCAAGATGCTTTTCTTTTAATAATGTTCAAATAACTAAACCAAAAATAACTTATTTGTTGTGTTTATCAGTCTGAACACACAAAGATGGAAGACTGAAATAAAGTACAAAACCATTTATTTGAAGTTTGACTACAAACACAGATCATCTACAAGAAGAAAGTCTGAGAAAAACCAGAAAGAACAGAGAGAGGAGGCGACTCCGCAGAAACATCCGTGCAGATATATTCAGAAAATGTCTGTTTTTACATCCATATGAGGACCAGGATTTAAAGAGGAGACCTTCTCAGTGGTGTGGATATTTTGTAAAATTGGACTTGCTGTAAGTTTGTTCTGGTTTTGGAGTGTGTAGTCCAAACAGGTGAAGTATAAAAGCACCTTTAGATGAGGGCAAAGATCTGCGACAGCCTCCTGAACGATCTTCAAGAGGAGAAACGAGACGAACAGACGCAGAGACGGTGATAGAGGACAGAGCAGGAGGTGAAACGCTCCTGATCTTCTGATCTGACAATAAAACATCTTTGTCTTTTCTGCTCTCTGTCTGAGTTTTTTCTTGGACTCATTTGCGGTTCATGCGTCTGTTTTAGGTTTTTCACAGCTCGGAGTTTCTTGGGTGTTTTGAAGCTCTGCTGTTTCTCCTGATGAGGATTGTTCTGGCTGTTGCAGGTGGTTTGTCCTTGTCAGCCACCGTACCTTTGGGCCTCTCCTTTTTGTTGACGGTGGATTTATTTTTGCATAAACTCCAGCTACACTGGAAAAGGTGGGCTTCCAGAAGAAGCCGTGTAAATGTGTGTGTGTGTGTGTGTGTGTGTGTGTGTCAGAGGGCAGTGGTGTCTCCATACTCTCGGTTCCAGCTTACGTAAAGCTCTATTGTCTTCTCGCTGACGCTGCTCTTTATTTTCTTCAGGGACTGGTTGAAGTCTCGAAAACAGATGCTTCTGACCTGAAGAGGAATTAGGAAAAAAAAAAAAAGAGGAAATGTTCTCAGAAGATCCTGGTTTACAGGAGCTGCTGCTGTCAGCCCTCAGAGGTCCCTCACATTCAGGAGATTTCAGAGGGAAACAAAGTTCCTCTAATTTCCCTCCATGAGTCAATTAAATGCTTTACACAAGTTTGATAATGTATTTAGATTAAAGAGATATTCTGGTGTCAAACTAATTTAGAGTCAAACCCACCGTAACACCGAGTTAGACCCCCCCCTCCAGAGATGAATGTTGCCGACCGCTTGTTGTTCTAAGAAAACAATCTTAAGCGGGGGCGTTTCTCCACCTCTGTAGTCTGTAAGCTGGGCCAATAAACTTCTACTGTAGTAAAATGAAAAGGTAAAGGTGTTTTTATTGAGCCGAATTATCAATAAAATCATGATTTTGTTAACAGGTATGGATTTATGTGCTGTTGAGTTAATATATTTGAACAAGAGCACAGTAAAGTTAAATCAGCTTATTTTCCAATGAGGTTCTGTTACTGAACGGAACTACACCATGATCTACTGAGGTTAGTACATATAGGGTCACAGACATAGTACTAGTCACCAAACATCTTTTTAACTTTGACTCATTTCTTTAGCAAAGAGACTAAACACAACTCACCTACTCTCTTCCAGCAGACGCTTGTTTGTAGAGAGACCTCAGGCCAGTCCATTACAGACTACAGCGGGGTGCCGCAGCTCAAGGAAGAACATTTAACTAACTAGAGGGGTGGGTTTGACCAGAACTTAATTTTACTCTGGAATATCCCTTTAATCCAAATTCATTATCAAACTCCCATTACAGGCATTATTTTAATGTGATACAACTGAATCAGACCTTTTGGATTAAATACAAAACTGACTATATTTAATGTTTGGTCTGAATCCGTCCTCAAAGTTTGTAAGACTGAGGCCGATTTAAGGAAAACTGAGAAGATTTAGGAAGAAGAGAAAACAAATCCACGACTAAACTCACCTCACTGGCCTCCAAGTTCCTCACTTCCTCAGGACGCAGCTCTACAGAAACATCAACACTGTTATTTTTGTTAAAAAACTCCTGGATTTGGATCGCTTCCTGTGTAAAATATATATATATCTATAAATCTGTAACTATATTTAAATACTCACATTTAAAAGGCATCAGAGAGACGAAAAAACAATCATAAATAAAAATACATATACACATTTATACAAACACAATATACAGAAGGAAAAACTGAACTTCAGCGACTCTGAGGAGGATCTGTCTCAACAAACTCTGTTCATGAACCGAATCTCACCTCTGATTGGTCCCAGCGAGGCGTCTTTAGCCAATGAGGTGAGGTCGCTGCCCGAGTATCCTTCAGTCAGTCTAAACCAATCAGAGGTGAAGAGTCATGGGTTAGATTTAGGAGTTAGGGTTAGGGGTTAGAGTTAGGAGTTAGGGGTTAGGGGTTAGAGTTAGGAGTTAGGGGTTAGAGTTAGGGGTTAGAGTTAGGAGTTAGGGGTTAGGGGTTAGAGTTAGGAGTTAGGGGTTAGAGTTAGGGGTTAGAGTTAGGGGTTAGAGTTAGGAGTTAGGGGTTAGGGGTTAGAGTTAGGAGTTAGGGGTTAGAGTTAGGAGTTAGGGGTTAGAGTTAGGAGTTAGGGGTTAGAGTTAGGAGTTAGGGGTTAGAGTTAGGGGTTAGAGTTAGGAGTTAGGAGTTAAGAGAAAGGGGGACATAAGAGTCACCCCTTCACTGATTATTTCACTGAAACCATTTAATGTTTTTATTAACGTATAAAAAGAAAACAATGTGCTTAAAAAAAACTCACAGTGAAATAATAAAGTCTGAATTAAAGTGGAAAAGAAATGTGGTGATTTCAGCTCTTTGGTTTTATTTTGGCGAGTTCCTGGGCTGTTTCCTGTGTGGAGTTGTGTTCGTTTTCTCTTCTTATTTATGGGTAAAAATCTGAATGTTTCATAAAAACATTTAATCTGCTGGCTGAGCGCTGACCTGGCGAGCTGGCTGAGCTCCTTGTGATTCAGAGGGTTTCCATGTTTCTCCAGAAGGTTCTTCAGCAGCGCGAGTCGAGTCTGAAAACGAAACCGTTAAATTCAGACAATCAGACTCGTACGGTGAAGGATTGTTTTTTCTCTGCAGGTGAGCTCACCTCCTCAGCCGGCGGAGTCACGTACACCCGTTTGGTAAAACGTCTGCAGAGAAACAGCGAAGAAGAAAAGAGTGTCTTTATAAAGTTCAGCTTCACCCAGAGAGGAGGAGAAAACAACACGACACAGAGAGGAGCGGAGAGGAGCGGAGAGGAGCGGAGAGGAGAGGAGCAGAGAGGAGAGGAGAGGAACAGAGAGGAGCGGAGAGGAACAGAGAGGAGCAGAGAGGAGTGGAGAGGAGCAGAGAGGAGCGGGGAGGAGAGGAGAGGAGCGGAGAGGAGAGGAACGGAGAGGAGAAGAGAGGAGCAGAGAGGAGCGGAGAGGAACAGAGAGGAGCGGAGAGAAGCAGAGAGGAGAGGAGCGGAGAGGAGCAGAGAGGAACAGAGAGGAGCAGAGAGGAGCAGAGAGGAGAGGAGAGGAGAGGAATGGAGAGGAGCAGAGAGGAGAGGAGAGGAGAGGAACGGAGAGGAGAAGAGAGGAGCAGAGAGGAGCGGAGAGGAACAGAGAGGAGCAGAGAGGAGCAGAGAGGAGAGGAGAGGAGAGGAATGGAGAGGAGCAGAGAGGAGAGGAGCAGAGAGGAACAGAGAGGAGCAGAGAGGAGAGGAGAGGAGAGGAGAGGAACGGAGAGGAGCAGAGAGGAGAGGAGAGGAGAGGAATGGAGAGGAGCAGAGAGGAGAGGAGAGGAGAGGAGAGGAATGGAGAGGAGCAGAGAGGAGCAGAGAGGAACAGAGAGGAGCAGAGAGGAGAGGAGCAGAGAGGAACAGAGAGGAGCGGAGAGGAGCGGAGAGGAGAGGAGCAGAGAGGAACAGAGAGGAGCAGAGAGGAGCGGAGAGGAGAGGAGAGGAGCGGAGAGGAGCAGAGAGGAACAGAGAGGAGCAGAGAGGAGCAGAGAGGAGCAGAGAGGAGCGGAGAGGAGCGGAGAGGAGAGGAGCAGAGAGGAACAGAGAGGAGCAGAGAGGAGAGGAGAGGAGAGGAGAGGAGATCACTCTGAATATGAAGACAACAAAAATGACGACAAGGACATGGACCTGAAGAAGCTTTTAAAGATGAGACTTTATACCGACACAGAAACTAAAAATCACAACAAAGAGGTGAAATTTGACTCTAAAGACTTAAAAAAACAAAGGAACTAAAAAAGAAAACTACAGAGAGACCCAACATGAGCACGAAGAGACTTAAAGAACAAATCGATTTAAAGGAACGATGAAGACACTTCAAAAAACACCACAAACTACAAATGACCTCTGAGAGAATTCAGATGACCTTGAATGTATGAAATCAGCGGAGGGACAAAGAAGGTGACCTGACCTGAGAACGGCCTCGTCCAGCTCCTGAGGTCTGTTTGTTGCTCCCATCACTAAAACTCGATCATCGCTGCCTGACTGGACCTGAAAACAACAAAATCGGTTTGATTGATGAGAATCGACTTGGTTTGGTTTTAGAAATCATCTTCATCCTGTTTCATCTTTATTCTCTCACCCCGTCAAACTGAACCAGGAACTCCGTCTTCAGGCGGCGGCTGGCGTCGTGCTCGCCCTCCCTCCTCTCACACAGCAGACTGTCCACCTCATCTACACACACACACACGATTACACAACCTTCATTATGAAACGACAAGGTTATTAATATATATATGTTTCTTGTTTGGCTCCACCCCCTGGTGTGAGGAGGAGGAGGAGTTACCGATGAAGATGATGGAGGGCTGCAGCTCTCTGGCCACAGAAAACAAAGCTCTCACCAGCTTCTCTCCTTCTCCGACCTGCACACACATCCATCACAGACCTGTTACTGATCAGACCAATCATCATCACCGTCAGCTGATTGGTCCGTTACTTACGTATTTGGAGGTTAAGCTGGCGGCACTGATGTTGAAGAAGGTGGCGTTGGATTCAGAGGCCACAGCTTTGGCCTGCAGACGAGAACAACGTTCAGTCATGAGTTTAACTCTGTACTCTGAGGGTTCATGTGGAATTTTAAACTAATTTAAATTCTAACTTTGATCTGAAACACTTTGAACTCTTTGATTTCACTTTCACACGTCCTCGTCTGACAGTGACCTTCATGAATGAGTCCAGTCTGGTTTCTGTCACTCGTGGTGTTCCTCAGGGTTCTGTCCTGGGCCTTATCTGTTTTTTTAACCTCCAATCAGAGCTATTTCCTGTCACTACTGGTGTTCCACAGCGCCCTCTACTGGGGCCCTTTCTTGGTATTTTGCAGACCTCTCAGTCCGGTCCATTTCTTCCCCGGTTCTGTTCTGTCACCTCCTCTGACAGTCATCGATCTTTATTTCAGAACCTTTCAAACCGGGCCTTTCCCTGTCACTGACGCTGGTCCACAGCTTCTGTCCTGGAGCCTCTTCTGTTTATTTTTGCTGTTATCCTCCATTAATCTAAGCTCGACCCCCCCACCAAACCTTAGCTGTGGTCTTCATTATTTCACTCTCTAATGTGTAGCTCAGTCATATCAGCACCTTCCTATATAAAAATGAATGAAGTTATTAGAGTCCCTTTATGACCCTGATCTCCGTCCTCTTTTCTCTCTGTTCCTCACCAGCATCGTCTTGCCGTTTCCTGGAGGTCCAAACAGAAGAAGACCTCTGGCTGGAGCTCGCAGACCCGTGAACAACTGCAGAAGAAGAAAATCAGAGGATGAAACGAGACCAACAACAACACTGCGTTTTCACTTTGGTTTACTCCGAATAACTTCAGTGAATTATTTCCATCCCGGTCTTTAAAACGGTATTTCCTCAGCTCTGTGAGATGAACCGAAACCTCGAACACTTTAACGCCTGAAAACACAATTTATGGACAAAAAAATTCACTTTTTGGAGCTGAAATGTTTATTTGACTGAGAACTGAAAACCAAAGAAATCAAAATGTCAACAAACATATTTATTGATCTCCTTTGATACATTAGATGATGTGGAAATGATAAACCACAAGAGGACATTTTTATTATTGATCAGACTGTAATCAGCTGTTTTTTTAGTAATTTGTTTTTCATATTGATTTGATAGAAGTAAATAAAAGTCTGTATGAAATATGAGACAAAAGACATTAAAGGGTTAACACAAAAACATCTCCTTGTTGGTTCAGTCTGTCTCTGAAGTTTCTCTTTAACTATTTCCTCTCCAAAAGATGAAGGTTCCAGGAATCAGAGGGAAGTTTAGATACTTTTAGAAGAAGCTCTTTACTCAACGACGGCCTGAACAAGAGAGATCGGAGTCTCAGCTGTTACTGAAACCTGAAAGACCTTTAAGAAGCTCTGAGACAAAAACTGGAAACAACATAAAATCAGCTGATGATGCAGCGAGAGATCAAAAACCATGAGGAGCTCAGAGGACGCTGATGCAGGTCTCTGATGTTTCCTGGAAAGGCATGAATACAAAGCTGAGTCTCACTTTCACTCAGTTCAAAAGAACCAAAACACCGGTGTGAGGGACAGAGGAGATTCATCTGGACCGCAGGAAACCAGGTCCACATTTAGTCCTTCAGTAGAAGATCGACCTCTAAAAGGTTCTTGAACTCACCTCTGGCCTCAGAGCGGGCAGGATGACAATCTCCTGCAGAGCCTGTTTTGCCAAATCCTGACCGGCCACGTCTTTAAAGCTGACACAGGAGCCGCTGAAACACAGACGACACGGCTGATAGGTCGACACAGACACGGGATCCAAACGTCTTTAATGAGCTGATCATGTGATCGTTTTCGTCTGGTTTTCTCACCGGTCCACGACCTCGTTGAGGATGAGTTCAGCCAGCTTCCTGTCCACGTTCTTCAGGTTCTTCACTTCTTTCTTCTTCTGTGGTGTCGAGGTAGGATCGCTGGCTCTGACGCTGTGACGACTCGCTCTGCCCTGCAGGGGGAGCCAAAAACAAGAGGAGTGTTATCACCGTGGTTCACCACAGGTGGAGACGCAGACGTCAGGTGACACTTCCAAACTCACCCTCCGGTGTGCAGGGAGGCGCTGTGAGCTCAGGTTGGAGGGGCGATGGAGAAGCTGGGGCGCCGAGGAAGATGAGGCGGAGGAGGAATTGGAGGAAGGAGAGGAGGTGTTTAGGATCAGCTTTGGTCTGCTGGAGGGGGCGGGGTTAACAGCGTCCCTTTTTCTGGAGACACCTGTGCGCACACACACACACACACACACACACACACACACGCACACACACACACAGGTTATGAAGTAAACGAGCTGAGTCAGGGTTGTGTATTCTTGGTCAACGCCTCAGATTAAGGAGCGACTCGGCGTATTTGCAGGTTTATGGACAAACCTGAAGTTGGAGGCCTCAGGTCAGATCTGGTGACGTAAGAGTCTCTGCGAGGTCCGGACTCTGAAATCACCTTCACTGTAAAAAAAAGGAACAATCCGTCTATTTAAAGGAGGACAAAAAAAAACAAAAACACTTTCAGAAAAAGAAAACGCAGACACTTCAAAATAAAGAAATCCGACCCAAAGACTGGAGCCGTTCTCTCGCCATGATCAGGTTTGTGGTCATCTTGTTCTGCAGACGTCGCTCATGCTCACACTCTTCTCCTGAAAGAGAAACAGGACAAGTTTTGGCTTCACTTTAGCAGAGTTTCCATGTCATCCATCTGATTTGCTTGGACTCACCGTTTCCTGTGACCTGGATGGCGATGCCTCTCTCCAGCTCGCCGATCCCTCGTTGGTACCAGCCCACCGCCTGCTGCTTGTCACCTGACCACACATTAGACAATGAGACTCACTGTGAACTTTGACATGACACATTTAAAACTGTGTCATGTGACCTAAATAGAATAGAATATTCCTTTATTGATCCCCCACGAGGGAGAACACTTCCTCTGAACAACAGCACAGTCAAAACCAGAGCGACAGAAAAGTGAGCAGCGTAGAGAACAGCGTGAGGCTTTTATTTTGAAAAACCACACACAAGAAAAACTCTAGACTATAGACTTTGATTGATTTGGGTTTTATTCCACTTCCTCTCTACCTCCATTTTATGCTGCTATTTTACTCTGAGCTTTTATTGTTTTTATTTTTTTTAATTTTTTCTGTATCTCAAGTAAAATAATGATAATAATAATAATACATTTTATCTGTAGTGCCCTTTAGATCAAGCGACCTCAAAGAGCTATATCTTAAAAGCAAATAAGTTTCAGAGTAAAAGAAAATAAAAACAGGTTATTGTTTAAAATAAAAACATCATGCTGAGATATGGAGGCCAAGCAATGACATTTGGTTGCAAATCACAGCTGTGTTTTACTCTGTGCAATGGAAAATAAAGAAAGTCTATCGCCTGTAGTCTATAGTCTATAGTCTGTATCTCTGGAGCAGTATATGTGGTGGAGAGAAGCCCTTCTCCACCAGGAGGCGCTGATGAGGTGGTTTTTATTTCTCTCACTGAACAATAAATCATGAATCTGGGTTACAAAGCAAAACAAGACCAAAGGATCTGAATGAAGATGGTCTATTTAAGGCGTGTTTGGTTATATCTATGTGAAGGGGAAATTCATGGTTTATCAAAACTCCTGTGAAAGAAAACTGGTGAAATCAACATCCTAAATCTAGTCTGAGTTTCATGAATCCTCGGTATGTTAACAGCCTAGACAGAAAGTCCTTATAAATATACATTAAAGCAAAGTCAGCGTGAGAAGAATTCCTCTAAAACTTTTAACTGAAATTCAATAAAACATTTTATTTATACGCCTTCATATTAATGCAATCTATAGGGAGGACCTGCAACTGCTTTAAAGCACACTTCTAGCAACATTCAGTATTAAATCACTGCCGTTTAAATGAACTCAACAGAACAAAAAAATGCAAAAAGAATATCAGATTTTTTGTTTTTGTGTCCAAAAAACTAAGTGTTTTTTTTCATTTATTATTATGAAACTCACTTGTGAATGAATATTTATTTTCTTGATCCCATTACAGACAGAATCAATTATCAATCAATAAATAATAACTAGAGACATGAGAAACTGAAGCACTCCGACTCTGCAGACAAACAGCAACACAGACTCTCGCCGCTGTGTTCTCAAACCAAACTCCATAGAGAAATACACTAATTCTTTAACGTGAGCTCCTAACATTAAACAAATGTCACAAAAAGATTTAAATAAACGGATTAATCATCTTTCTGGAGAGTTCTTTCGTTCGGCGTTAACAAAGTTTGATCTCCAACAATAACAGCCGTTAAATGGACTCATTTTCATCAGATACCTTTCTCGTCCTCGTCGATCCTCAGCGCCGCGGACATGAATTCGAAGGCCCGCCTGTGGTGACTCCTGACCCGGTCTCCCCGCTGCTGACTCCCGCTCCCTCCACACTGGTCCTCGGCTCTGGGTTCGGTTCTGAAGGCGGCTCTGGAGCGGGTCCACAGCCAGCAGAAGAGTGCCCGGAAAAGAGACAGCACGGCCACCAGCGGCCGGGACACGGACATCAACACGCCCAGCTTACCGGTACCGGTACCGACACCAGAGGCCGCTCCGACCGGAAGAACCGCCGAGCCGCCGGTCCGCCGCCTCCCACTTCTCTTCCCCCAGAGACTCATCCACGGCCATGTCACAGCAGCACACCGGTCCGGTTCAGCCCAGAGAGCCGCTCCGGTTCGGACTGATGTGGTTCTGTTTGCAGACAATCCTTCTTCGTGTGATGAGGTTGGTCAGGACCGAGCTCAGGGGGCCACCTACTGTACCGGAGGGGAACTGTTTTCCTTTAATATAGATTTATTATTATAGTGTTTTTTTCTTTTTCTTTTTTGTTTTTCTCGGGATAAAAAGTTATACAAAATAAATGTCTTGAAAAAATGCAAGAATTTAAAAAAATGACATATTTCATGAAAATCTCGTCTTCAATCAAAATAAAACAGTTTTTGCAGGAAGTTCATTTCCAATTGTTTTATAAAAAATGTTTACAGTCTACAAGCTTTATCTACATTTTACAAATGATTCCTGTTTTATGAAAGATTTTTGAAAAGTTGAAAAGTTATGAACATTTTACATGTTTAAGGATTTATTTTATTTATTTTGATATATTCTTTCAATTCCTTATTTTTGGCTATACAAATAAATCCAAATATACATATATTTTTTAATGTTTAATGTTGACTTATATGGCGGTCATAATGGGAGATCTTAAAAAGAGACAAACATTAAAAAAAGAAAATATCTCAGAAAAAAAACAGTAAAACAATTGATGGACAAAACTATTTATGACCGCAAGAAAAAAAAAAGAATATATTGGAAAATATCATTCGTACGATATAAAAGCTAAAAAATATGACATAAAAGACATAAAATATGTGAGTTTTGGAGTAAATTTGGTCTTTTTAACACAGTTTTATTCTATAATAAACTTTTATTTTAAATCTTTATTTTAAACCCGTGTATTAAATAAACTCTAAAGGACACTCGGACTTTAATCGTTTTTTTAAATCGTTAATTTTTATTGTTAAAAATAAAAACAGCTGATTTCACGTGATTTCATGACGTTCGCGACCACGTGACGCGCCGGTCAGCTGACTGCCGTCTTCCGGGTCGTCAGTCGGTGTTTACTCGGAAATAATCTGCTCGTTTTTCTGCTTTTTGAAGGATTTCTACGACAGAATCGAGGTAAAGTGTGAACTTTATAACATCGATAAAGACAAACTTAGAGCTTCTTTACAGTCAGATATTTACTGAGATTAACGGACTGACTCCAACTCTACAAACTGAAAACACATTTAGACTCTCAGATTTTAACTCAGAGAGAGCGGAATAATGAACAAATGTCAGGTTTCTACAGTCAGTCCGAGTTAAAGGAACATTCTGGGCTTTTAAAGAGGTTTTCAGAGGGGTCTACAGGGGCGGAGTTACTGTTTTCAGGGGCCACCTTTAACTCTGGGCCCCCCACCTCTCTCTAAAATGTCTCTATAATCATAAAGGCTCTCTGTGAAAGGTGAAGTAACTTCAGACATGTTGTGACCTTTAATTTCGACATAAACATTTATGAGTCCAAATAATCAGATGCTGTGTTGATGTTGATGTTGGTTTGGTCTGATCTAAAGTGTTGACAGACTGTTTTTATGAAAATAGAGAAAAACAACAAGTTCCCTAAAGTAGGTCCAGGTTCATGTTTCTCATCTTTTCTCATCGGCTCCTTTTTTTTCTAAAACTGTGAACCTCAGTGAAACCAGGGGCCTCATTTATCAACTGTTTGTAGAAAAGGTTCTAGATTCTGTCGTAGGAATAAAATGTCGAATAAGAACAAAAAACTCTTGGTCACTGGGATGATGGCGTCGGGGCGTTTTGTCTCTCGCTCCGACACGGTTGTAAATCTCGGATCATAAATCCATTCAGATGTTTTTGGGGATGCGGTACCTGCTGAGAATCCACTCTGAGTTCTCACTGAACTGATCAGCACGCTCTTTGGAAACGCCGCGCTCCCTGAGGAGGAGGAGATCAGGACCATCCAGTCCTGGTTCTGGTTCTTGTAGTACAGAGATTTCTCCAGATCCTCTGAATCTTTGAATGATCTGATGTTCTGTAGACGATGAAATCCACTCAGGAACTTTACTCTGAAACTGTTGAACTGTTGAACTCACGCAGTCTCTCACAGAGCCGTGAACCTCTTCGTATATTTCCTTCTGAGAGACTCCGCCTCTCTGATCGTCCTTTTCAGACGCAGTCATGTGACTAACCTGTTCACCTCTTTAGTTAAAGATGATCCTCCAGATGTTTTTACATCAGCGTTACACGACTGAACACCTGTCCGGTTGTTCCTCTGACTACAGATGTTTTTTTATAAACGGACTAAAATAAAACGCCGTTTCTTCTTTTCTCTGTTTTCATGTTTAGAAACTTTCGATCTGTTTTTATCGACTTTGTTGTTTATTTGCAGACGCCGCTGTCAGGATCATGAACGCCTCTGACACTGACGATGACTCGTATAACGAGCGGTCAGCGTTGGTCCCGGCTGAGAATCCGACGGTGCCGTCTTACAGCCCAGAACCTGACCACACACCCCCCAACAGCTCGCCAGCCAAGAGGGTAAAGGTCAAGTTTTTATTTTTACATGACAGCGTCTTTTGGTCGTTTTCGTTGAGGTGTCATGGCAGAAATTCTTTGCGATTGTCGTGGCTGAATGTCGCCCTCTGCTGGTTCAGCCGCAGGTCACCAGGAGGGCGGGTCCACCTGCGGCGGATGGCGGCAGCGGCAGCTCCGATCAGGATGTCGACCTCGAGGATGAAGAGCTGACTCTGAAGTACGGAGCCAAACACGTCATCATGCTGTTCATCCCCGTCACGCTCTGCATGATCGTGGTCGTCGCCACCATCAAGTCCGTCAGCTTCTACAGCGAGAAGACCGACCAGCGACTGTACGTCCCCGCACTCCTCGCCGCACATGTAACCCGCGTTAGAACACTTAACCATGATGTCTGTCCCCACAGGATCTACACGCCGTTTTCAGAGAACACCTCGTCTGTCGGACGCCGGCTCCTGAACTCCGTCCTGAACACCATCATCATGATCAGCGTCATCGTGGTCATGACCATCCTGCTGGTTGTTCTCTACAAGTACCGCTGCTACAGGGTCAGAAACACCTCCAGTTTTTTTATACAAAACAATCAGAACGCCAGATCAATAAAAACGCCGACGTCCTGATGTTCACCTCTGATACCGACCGTGAGCTCGGAGAGAAATGATCAAATACAGACAAAATGATCCTCTGACCTGAAAATGAAAAATGACCTAAAGTGACAAAAACTGGAGTTTCCTCTGGTTGCTGAGAAAGAACGGAGCTTTTCATGTGTCCGATGCTGCGTCCGAACTGCCCGCTCGGATACTACATGCTACTGCTACGTGCTACTGCTAGATCCTACTCCTACATACTAAAAACGTTGGCCCAATTCGGACACACTAGACGAGCGGTGGGGAAAGACGACCCCCGCAGGCAGAGAGTAGGTACTGCGCCCGTGCAGACAGTGGTAACTGAAGCCCCTCATCTGCGGGCCTGGCTGTAGTACTGCAGCTGTGCAGTTTAATGATGGAATAAGTGAGCTTTACCTCCATGATGTCGCCACATATTTGCTCATAAAATGATTACTTGTGCAAATATGACACCATGACATGACAAAGAGATACAACCGCACATTTTTTAGGACAGTGTGTGAAGTTACATGAAACTTACATCTGTACTGCTGCGGTCCCGCCTGCTGCTGCTGCTGCTGCTCCGACATGGTGCGCGCTGTTGTCGCCAGCCGGCGTTCGCGACACATTTAAATAGGCAGAGCAGCTGGTGGCGCTAGCATCACATGCGCTTCTACAACTTTTAAGAGGACGAAGAAGAAGCCCGCGGTGCATTTTGGGTCAGTAGCATGCCCGTAGGATGCACCGAGACCAACCTACAATGTGGGCGTGTCTAGCATCTGAAGTAGTATCTGAAGTAGCATGCTACTCGCTCCGGTGGTCAATTCGGACATGCTAGATACTACTTCGACTACTACTTGGCAATTCGGACGCAGCTCGAGTGTTTCTGCCTGCAGTTGACCTCCCTGCAGGCAGAGGGCGCAGTCTTCCGATCAGGTGTGATTGATGTGATGTCTCTGTGTTTGTTTAGTTCATTCAGGGCTGGCTCATCCTGTCCTCCCTCATGCTGCTCTTCTGGTTCAGCTTCATGTACCTGGGGTGAGTCCTGCTTTATTTACACCCGCTCACTAAAGAGGCGTCTCAGCTGCTTCACTGTCCTCGTCTCCTGTCCTTCAGAGAGGTCTTTAAGACGTATAACCTGGCCGTGGACTACCCGACAGTCGGGGTGATCATCTGGAACTTTGGGGCCGTCGGGATGATCTGTATCCACTGGAAGGGCCCCCTCCAGCTGCAGCAGGCCTACCTCATCCTCATCAGCGCCCTCATGGCCCTCGTCTTCATCAAATACCTGCCTGAGTGGTCAGCCTGGGTCATTCTGGGCGCCATCTCTGTCTACGGTGAGTCGGGGACACTTTGCTGGAGGCAGTGAGAGAGGGTGGAGTCTGTCAGATGTGGAGTTTGTGTTGTTTGTTCATCGGTTCTGTTTTTATCGTTTCAGACCTGGTGGCGGTTCTGTCCCCTAAAGGTCCTCTGAGGATGTTGGTGGAGACGGCTCAGGAGCGGAACGAGCCCATTTTCCCCGCCCTCATCTACTCCTGTGAGTCCATCCAGTTTGACATTTCAGAGTTTTTGGGTTTTGTGTCGAAGAAAAAAGAAACATTTTGGGTTTTTGTTGTAACGAGAAATGGAGAGAGACGAAGATGGTCAAAGAGGTCGAAGCCACACGAGAGACACGGTAACCCACTGACACCAAGGCTGACCCCCGACCTCCACCTTCATCCTGATCGTCTCCTAAAAGGTCGTATCCTCCGATCGTAGCTGATCGTAACCATTCAAGTTAACGTGTCAATTTACACCGACTTCTTTCCGTTCCTCTGCCGATCGCCGGACTCCTCAGCTGATCACAAGAGTTCTATTTTTTCTGGACGCCGGAGCATGGCGGATAAATTCAGCACAGATTAACCCGTGCTGGAAAGGAAGTCGGGCACAGACACAAAATAAAACATCCGGCTTCTTTTCAAAATAAAACACTCGGGCGGAGACGAACAAGTGAAAGGTTTTTAGACGTCATTTCACCCCGATGACACCATGGATGAGGAGATGCTGATTCTAGAAGTCTAGAAGTAGATTTCCTCCTCTGGAAGGACACAATCTACTGCTTATATGTCTATGTGTCTGTCTTTAGAGAGAAACTCGTTATCGTGAGATTGAACGTGAATCTGCGGGTTCTTGTGAGTTCTCGACATTACCGCTGTCCGTAATCCGCCACAAAATTCACCTCACAAACGGACCCGGTAGGAATTGGCGGACGGTGAAAATCACCGCCGTTCCATGGAAGTCATTGTTCAGACCCCAACAACCCCCCATTCACGCCAGCAGCTGTCTTCAGAAGCCCACACGGGGACTCAGACCGCTACAGAGCGAACAGTGATCTGAGGTTGATGTTGAAATTTGTGAACGAGATTTTGTCCACAAGGGGGGGCTAAAGTCAGCACCAAAAGAAAGTTTACGAACAGTCTGCCGAGGTTTTTGTTTTCATGTTGATCTTTCTTTGTGTTTCTTCAGCCGCCATGATGTGGACGGTGGGGATGGCGAGCCCAGCAGACGCTCAGCAGCCGGGACACGAAACAGGTCTGAGGTCACAAACAAAGAATCATGGGAAATAGAGGATGGGCACTGGTTCTCCTCATCTTCATAACGCTGTCGCCCTGCTGCCATTTTCTTTCCAGATGAGGAGGCGGAGCAGAGCAACAGGTGGGCGGAGCCTGAGAGGAGGCAGTCCAGGTCGCTTCCAGAGGAGGAGCTGGAGGAGGACCGTGAGTTCAGAGTTCAGATCAGCTGGAAACACCTGAGACAGCACAGGTGTGTCCTTACCTCTCTCTCTCTCTCTCTCTCTCTCTCTCTCTCTCTCTCTCTCTCTCTCTCTCTCTCTCTCTCTCTCTCTCTCTCTCTCTCTCTCTCTCTCTCTCTCTCTCTCTCTCTCTCTCTCTCTCTCTCTCTCTCTCTCTCTCTCTCTCTCTCTCTCTCCCCCTGTAGGAGGGGTGAAGCTGGGTCTGGGGGATTTCATCTTCTACAGCGTCCTGGTCGGAAAAGCGGCGGCGACGGGAGGAGACTGGAACACCACGCTCGCCTGCTTCGTCGCCATCCTCATCGTGAGTTTTATTTTGAAAGGGCGCACCGCCAGACTTCCTCCGTTACACCTGTATCTCACCTGTCCTTCTCACCTCTCAGGGCCTGTGTCTGACCCTGCTGCTGTTAGCCATCTTTAAGCGAGCGTTGCCGGCGTTGCCGATCTCCATCGCCTTCGGCCTCGTCTTCTACTTCTCCACGGACTTCCTGGTTCAGCCGTTCATGGACAACCTGGCTGCTCACCAGTTCTACATCTGACACAAGCCCCGCCCCCTCGCCTTTTACCTCCACATTTACCTGCAGGACTGACAAAGACTCGTCTCCGCTCATGAGCAGGTGATCTCACCTGTCCGTACGAGTCTGATCATTAGAAAACAGGAAGTGATGTAACGCAGACAGCAGAAGCTCAGGTGTGTTTTTGATCAGCTGCTGAAGAAGAAGAAGAAGAAGGAGGACAGGTGTGTTAGGAAAAATCCACCTTAAATCCTGAATCTGCAGAGTCTGTGTGACCAGAATAAACCACGGCTGCGTTTGATTGGCTGATGCTCCTGTCAGTCAAAACAAACACGCCCCTAAAAACAGGTGCTTTGTTCCTTTAATTAAGTCGAATATCCTCCATTTTCAATCACAGCTGTGAAAACTGAGAGTCACAGCAGAGCGCCTCCTGCTGGCTGTGAACAGGAGACTTTATTATGTCAAATATTGATGCTCTGCAGTGATTTAAGGTGGATTTTTCCATGAACTCGTTCAGTTCCTGATCTTATTTCTTAACAAAGCTCCATAAAGGCGTCGTTAACTTATTTAGATTAGAGTAAAAATTAGTTTTTGTTTGAGTTAAACTTTTTATCAAACTTTAGAGAAAACCAGGTGACCTTTATTAACCCCAACAGAGACTCTGAAGAGCTGGTATGAAGATAGAAATAAACCTGCAGTTATTTTGTGTCTCTACTCCAGTTTAGTTCAATTCTCTCCTTTTGTAAATATGAGAATAAATTTAATAATCTTTTCACTTTGACTTCCTTTGTTGTTCAAACTGCTGATATTTGATCTTTTTCACTCCAGCGTCTCTGTGAGGTCACGTGTTTGACCTGCTCTCTGTGATAAAAACACCCACAGACACTCTTCAGTTTAAAAGAACAGAAGAGTTTCCACTGGTTCATTTCACACAGAAAAGTTTCCCTTTGACCCTCCAGACATTAAAACATAATAACCTTTACCTTATGGTCGCCCCTGTCAGTATTAAAACTGTCGGCTTGATCCCCTCGAGATGTCCTTCTACTGGATATGTGCTGAGGTCAACTTTGGTTATTTGGCTGTTAAACAGTCTTTGTTTAGTTGACATGAGCAAACTTTCATCCTCATTTAGTCCATTTTTAAATCTGTTTATTCTTAGATTTATTTTGAAGGAGTAGTTTCAGAAAAACCAGGATGAGTTCTTCAAACAGGAGCAACATTCAGTTCTGATGATTATGAATGTTTTTGGTTTTTCTGTCAAATTTCACCTCTAAATATTCAGCAGGATGCAAAGATCTAACTGTTAGACACAGACCCTTCTCTTCTCAACTTTTTCAGAGTAACATCACAGTCAGCCTCTTTCTCCTTCAACATCTTTATTTATGCATAAAAAAAACAGTCTAAATCTCATGAACGCACAAACCGGTCTGTACTGAACAAAACGAGCCGAAGAGCCACAGAAACGTTTAACTTCTCTCCTCGAACTGGGATTTATTCTTCAGCAGGAACGTCGCCAAGTACTCGATGGGGTTTGGAGGTCTGAGGACAGAGTCAGGAAACAGACGTTTGAGTTTTTTCATGCTGCGTGAGACTCTGAGAGAACTGTGTGTGTGTGTGTGTGTGTGAATACCTGTCCTTGGCGAGCACTGACAGGCCCTGCAGCAGGATGGGGACCACGGTCTGGTCCAGGTATGCTCTGGTGGGCAGCGCCTGCAGTTCCACTTTCTGCTTCGACATCTTCTCTGCGCTCGTCTTCTCGTTCTCCACCGGTCTCTGAGGAGAAGCAAAGCATGCTGGGAGTCAACCTCCACCTCCTCAGTAAACTGTGTGTGTGTGTGTGTGTGTGTGTATTACCTGGTTGTTTTCTGAGAGGCCGTACTCTGCGTGGGGGTTTTCAGAAACCTGCAGGAGGGTTCACCAACAAGGTTTTAAGAATAAACTTTAATGCAGTCATAAATATTAAATATTGATCTTTAAACTCCATTTAAAAACTTTTCATTGACAGCCAAACATGAACCTCATCATCTAAGTTACAGGAACTTTTCAGGAGCTTTGTGAAAACAGGATTTACGGGCCTGTTTTCATGTCTACGTCCCCCCATGAGCAGGTTCGGACAGGTTCTCTGAGAGACGTTTGTGTGTAGTTTAGTGTTGTACTCACAGGAGTGTGTCCCTCCATGGACTGGTCTGCGTCTGTGTGATCTGAAACACACAGTAGACTCACATAAAGGCGAGTAAGAGAAAACAGAACTTCATTTCACTTTTTAAGGAGAGTTTTGCACTGATTATCGAGAGGTTAGTTCACTTCAGGGTCCTGTCACAGTCCGTCAGAGTTTTATTTTACATACTTCACAGTATCACTTGTATGGTTTTTATGCAAACCTATGACATGTTTAACTAAACACCTGTGACCCCTTTTCTCCAGTTCGATATTTGTCATTCAGATGATCAAATTTACTCTAATTTAGCATGGCGATCACGTCTCAACACACATCAGATATTTTTTAGAAGAGAAATATTAAAAAATGGCCCAATCTGAAATATAATTTAGATCATAATGGTGAGTGTTGAAAGCCCATTTGAGTTTTCATTTTTTACACTTTTATCAAATTAATGACAACAACAGGATTGACTTTATAGTAACAGGGCTGACAAGAGTAAAAGTAAGCGGACACTCAGTAACTGGCTCTCCACCGGCTTATCAATCAATCAATCAATCAATCAAAAAATACTTATTAGCTCAATAATGTTCTCTTGATAACCTAAAAATGTTTTAATTTTAAAAGGTTAACCTTTAAAGAGAGTACAACGAGGGTAAACACTATTCTGTGTCATCCCTGTTACTCACATGTCAAATCCTGTTACAGTGGAAACGTAACAGGGTAGACGGGAAATCAGGGGACGCTGATAAATTGGTTAATATTTATAATGACTAATATATATTATTACCAAAACACTGTTTAATTATAAGATCATACTTATAACAATATATAAATCTGAAATTTTTTAACATTTTACCAACATTTTACAGATTTAAAATCCTGTATACAACAGTAGTGAGGGACAGGCCAAAAAACTTCATCAGTATAAAAGTAATTTATATTAATTAAAATGATATTTAATTGACTTTAATTTGATGTTATATTGAGGAGAGAATACATGGTGATGTTATATCTTTAAATTACATATTAATTTGTTGTTATTATAGTTTGATTTCACGGAATGACCCAGAAGCACAAACGAAGCGGACTGTTTTCCCGACACTTTGCGCGGGTTGAGGGGCCAGCTTCACTCAGGTTTCTCACACGGTTTCAGATTTTGTGGGACATCACTAAAGATCATTACTGTAATTCTGTGTCGATAATCTGAGCAGAGGTTCCGTCCTGATACCGGGTCAGGGTCAGTCCAGTCCACGGTTCTGAGTTCCCGTCACGGAGGAGAGGCTCCACACAGAGACGGTGAGGCTGTTTAACGTCCCAGTATTGGGGTAGTTTTATTTGTTCTAATTTAACTCTTAAAGTTTCTAAAGGAGCTGCTTTATTCGAGACAGTGAGCTAGCTTAGCACTCCGTTAACACTGCCCTCTCGGTTAATAATCTCTACAGCGGCTAAAATACTCCTCCTTTGTTTGAAAGAATCGTCTATTTGAACCATAAACACACTGCAAACAAACAGAGATACAATAATCAATTAGAAAATGTAATCAATGGCCAACAATGAACTCACCGTCCGCCATGTTTGTTGTGGATTTTTACGTAAAATGTCTGCCGTACGGGGATTCTTCTTCGGCGGTTACGCTACAACGTACTTCTTCTTCTTCCGCTTTTGATTCGGGTGTTGTGCCGTAGAATGCAGCCCTGCAACCCATCCACTCATGAGCTTCTTAAAGCTGAAGAAAATGATCTCGTACTTAAAAACACGAGTATTGGATCATGACAACGTGTCAGATGGAGCAGCAAACTTACGCTCTGTTTCTATGGGTCTCAAAAATGCACGTATACCGGAGTGTACTTGGGTTTATAAACTGTACAGTAAGATGTCAAGGTAGAGAACTTTATTTTTTCAGGACAGTCAATATTCAGAATCAGAGGGCGATTGTTTCCGGTTTATCTAAATAGTCTGAATTAAATCATTAAAGGCACACTTGGATTATTTCGCCTTGTTATGGACTTTTAACCGCGCTCCCGTCAGGGGTGCATTCTGCGACACAACACCGGCAGGTTAGGCTCACGCTCCCGCGCTACAACGTAGTGAAGGTTTCCGGTTTATATCATTACTTCAAAGTAAAAGCAGCGACGTACATCCAGCGTATTCTCGTCTCCCTCTTTCCACATACTGTGTCAAATGTGTTGATTTACTGCTGTGAGCTTTTTTTGTGAAGTTTGAAGCATGTGAGGAATACGAAACCTGTTTTTTTAAGCGTCTGTCTCTGTCCTTGACTTTTACAGTGCAGCACCATCCTGAAGGACTGCTCCACATTCTCTTTTTGATGCAGTATCGTCTTGGTGTAAAAAGTCCTTAATTATGAAATTTGATTGTAGTATTTCCATAAAATTCCACTGCTATTAAGTATTCAGTGGGCTCTATGCATCAATTCACTACTCCCCGAATTTAAGGCAGCTCCTCTATTTCCCGCATTAATCAGTTTGTCCAATAATGTAAGACATTTCTTCATGGAAATACAATCAGACCGAGACGCTAAGACAGAAGAACTACCACGTCTGCAAAATGATTAATATGATGATTATTACTTCAAGGAAATGATAAAGAAATGATCATAAATGTTCTTCCTTGAGCTGCGGCACCCCGCTGTAGTCTGTAATGGACTGGCCTGAGGTCTCGCTACAAACAAGCGTCTGCTGGAAGAGAGTAGGTGAGTTGTGTTTAGTCTCTTTGCTAAAGAAATGAGTCAAAGTTAAAAAGATGTTTGGTGGCTAGTACTATGGCTGGGACCCTTTATGTACTAACCTCAGTAGATCATGGTGTAGTTCCGTTCAGTAACAGAACCTGATTGGAAAATTAGCTGATTTAACTTTACTGTGCTCTTGTTCAAATATATTAACTCAACAGCACATAAATCCATACCTGTTAACAAAATCATGATTTTATTGATAATTCGGCTCAATAAAAACACCTTTACCTTTTCATTTTACTACAGTAGAAGTTTATTGGCCCAGATTATAGACTACAGAAGTGGAGAAACGCCCCCGCTTGAGTTTATGTTTTCTTAGGAGTTAGAACAACTCTGAATATAGTACTATGTCTGTGACCCTATATGTCCTGTTGATGAAGTTAGGTGCTGTTCTGAGCATTATTTGTGGCTATAGAGTGGCGTTTTGGTTGGGGGCGTGGCTCTCTGTATTTCTATCCTGCGGTCGTTACTAAAGTTGGTATAACTAGAGAAGAAAGCGGTCGACAACATTCATCTCTGGAGGGGGGGTCTAACTCGGTGTTACGGTGTGTTTGACCCTAAATTAATTTTACTCCAGAATATCCCTTTTAAGTCAGGAAGTAGTGGAGCTGTGCATAGAGCCAATTTGCTGTATTGTCTCCAAAACTATTAAACATGCAATTTGACACACAGAGTGAACATTACAATTCTGCATTTGAGCAGTAGGTGAGGCTATGCTTACGATCAAGTTATTATCTGTATCGTCTGTAAAATTTGGTGAGTTTAGGAGCATGTTAAGGCCTCTAAGCTTGGGATTCATTGCAGACATAAAAGCTTAGTAACTGTCAGGAGTTCCTATAGGGTCCACAAACAGCATTTCGGTGCTAGGGTCCTAATTATGGAAGACACATGTGTCCTGTTACTGCTGCAGTGTGAACAGTCTCTGTGCAATCATGACAGTTTTGGTATCTCAGATAGCTGCCACCAAGAGTTTGACAAACCTTCTGACTCATGTTTCAAACTTCTGCTGTTTGAGCGTCTGAGCAAGTTTGACAAAGTAACCACACAGATACGTTAAAAAACAGTCTTTATTATTGTTTTCTGTCTGTGTACAAAAGCAGAAACTATCATGAGAACAAGCTGACATACATGTGTTACCCCCGGTCATGATCATACATTCAGTTCTGTAGTGCTTATTACAGATTCTTCGGTCTCCAGTTGATTTAAAGTGTAAATTATTATCAGTGAGCTGTGCAGAGATGAACTTATTGTTACATCTTTAAAATACAGTGTGATAAGGTGCATTGTGGGATATTCATGGTCCCTTATTTCCTATCGCGGCTTCAGTTCAGGCTTTGTTGTGCAGTACCATCAAATTACAGAAGAATCCTCGTGTTTTTTAAACCGATTAGTCTTTCAACACTTCAGTGTCCGAAGTCTAATGGACTAATTCAGAGGTAATGAAGTTTTCAAAGAGGCTGTTTTCACTGCAAAATAACTACTTTGGAGACCAGCGCCACGGAGCAGTGATTGAATTTGTCTGAGTCATCAGTCATGAGCCAAAGACTGACAGTCACACAGCTGGTACCGCTTAAAGAGGAGTTGAATTCCCTCATGGTTGTTGACTTTTCAGAGTATGAAGGGAATAACAGCTTTCCTGGAGCAGGGGTAATCCTCAAACCTCTGCAGGTAGTCTCTGAAAAAACCCACAGGAGGAAAGCCCGGTTAGCTTCATCTGGGATCAGAAGAAAATCTATCAAACGGCCATGAAAACGGGATTTTAAATGAGCAGATTTAGAGATACTGGTGTTGGTCTGATACCAGCCAAAACTACAGGATTGGAAATTGTAAACAAAGTGTCCAAACTGATTATTTAGTCAGAAGTTACTGAGCAGAACATGCTGTTCAGAGGCTGCTCCTCTGGACAGCCGTGAGCCGCTGCAGCACGTGTCATGAAAACAAAGGCTAGAGTGTGTGAGAGGAGGCAGCTGCAAGAACCAGAGTCTAATGCCAGCAGAACTCACCAGAGGTTCAGCAGTTCGGACATATATCAGGCTGGCTAAGCAGACAACTCTGAGAAGAACTTAGAGTATTTGTCACGCTCATGTTTCCAGAAGGTTACGGAATAAAAGAGTCATGGTGCCAAAGAACAGGTTCAACAAGAGCACACCCAAACCCAAACAGAGCTGTAGTCCTGCACCGCGTACATCCAAGAAAAATGGATTTTCTTTTTCAAAGTCAACAAAAGCAGCGAGAATATTTAATGTTTAAAACAGACGTGTGCCCAGGTATGTGCAGTAACCGGAAATACAGGTGAGGGTGTCTACCTGTGGTGGTGGTAGGCTCTGGGCCCAATTGAGCAGATAGTGAAGACTGCGAAGGCGAAGGACGGGAGAGACCAGGCGATTACAGCGAAACCAATCCACTCCACAATCTCCCCGAAGAAGTTTGCTCCAGACACAAACTCAAACAACCCGCCTGACGGAGGAAGAAGAGAAGAGACTCAAACACTGCGGAGGTCCAGAATGTGGGTCAGGATCTAGATTCTGATCAGCGGTACCACGTGGGATCCGGTAGACAACCTCTCCAGGTTTCCTGAGGTGGCGCAGGATGTGGTCACTGTGGATGTTGATGATCATCCCGACTACGAACAGAAGGTAACCTGGGGAGGGAAAGGGAATTCTTTACGGCCTGCTATACCGCAGAGTTCCACTAGGGTAAGGGCCTGTGTCCACTAAGTTTGTTTTTAAACTGTGCAGCTCATGTATCCTGAATATTTTCACCCATGTAGTTCAGTTTTCTGCAAGACCAGGTCGCCAACATGGGAGGGGAGTCAGTTTTGGTAGCGTCACTGGAGGAAAGTCATGAAAGACACGCTGTCAGTGCACACAGGCCCTAAATGTTCCAGTCCAGCTGGATTGTGAGAGACTTTTTTTGAAGCCTTGAGTCTGGTGTTCTGCTGGTCTCAGTAGTCTTGCTTGTAGTCTCAGTTGTTTGTTGAACATTTGCGTTAATATGAGTTTGTATCTGACTGTAACCTCTACATTATTGCCTCTGTAACAGATAGACTACAACTCCCAGGGTGCATTTCACCAAAAAGCATCCAACAACAGCCCAACAGTTTCAGCACAATACTAACTTAAGCAGCTTGAATCAACTTCTTCTCCATGGCAACAGCAGTTGCAGAGGATTCTGGGTAATGTGTTTCCAGGTCTTCAAAGTATGAAGTATCCTGTCTCCACGACGAGGAGCGGACACTAAACTGATGGTCAGAGTGTTTCAGGTGAGGAGGTGGACTCACCTGCAGCCATGCGAACATGAGTCATCCAGGTGTGTTCGAACCGTGCGCAGTGCAGCAGGTGGTGTCCCTGCAGGAAGCCGTTGAGCGAGCAGAAGATGGCGCCATACAGGACGATGGGCAGCGGGACGGGTCGTCCTTTGGTCAGGAAGCTGTAGATAAAACTCCTGAAAGACACACTGAGGTCACTTCCTGTTTATCTTGAAACCACAGTGAGAACAGCGCCCTCTGGTGACGGGCTGCAGTATAGGTCATAAACCCCGCCTCCTTATGGAGCTGTGGACAAACTTTATAAATGAATGACACAGAATATAAATGTTTCTCCCCCCTGGTTGTGATGTTGACATGTAGTTACTGTCAGACTGGTTTGTGCTCAAGTCCTCTTTTTTCTGTACAGCTCCATTTTTAAAAGTTATTAGGGGGTTCATGTTTTCTATGATTGACACCTGATACAGCCTATGGGAGGACAGGGATTGAGTAGATCACCGGGGGATACGCTGTTTGAGCCGAGCGTCATCACAGCGACTCTTGGCGACCCTCCAGCTGAATGGGCGATGTTGGTTTGAGAAAATGGACAGAAAACGCGGAAATACCGAGAACTTCTCAGCCTCAAATCCGTAAACAGACGGGAGGCAGAACCAAGTTGTCTGTAGTAAATACAGTCTTTGGTTTATACTGATGGAACCAATCTGAAACCCTCTGACCTCTGAACTGAGGTTGTGTAACTTCATTCATCAAGACCAGACCTGCTTTTCTTAGAAAAGACGCTTACAGATGAAACAGGATAACATGGAAAAACTGATATGAGGGAATTTTCTTCTTATCTCTCCGTGTTTATTCTAAAACAGATCTTTGGATTTGTGATTGACTGTTTCTAGGAGGAGTGTTTCACAAACAGGGAGGAGTAAGAATCCAGAAACATACCAGTTAGATTTTCATCAAGTGTGAGGAGAAAACAGCAGAACCAGAGCAGACTGTTACAGAGAGAAAGCCTTTTCATTATTCTTGATGGGCTGAAATTTACAGTCGACACTTTAGATCTGAGTGTGAAGTCTGATCTGGATGGTCTCTGCTCTCTTTTTTAGAGTTTCTGATGCTCACAGAACCATGAAGACCCAGAACAGGAGATCATCAGGTGGTCTGAGAGATCAGAATCTGAGACAAACCTCCTTTTAAAGGTGGTTTTTATTGACAGGGTGAAGCTTTCTCTCCTCATGTCTGTTTGAGGAAGCTGCAGACTGTTCAGCAGCTTCCTGTTAGCTCAGCTCTCCCCGTGCTCTCTCACTCTGCACCTTCACACCTCTGAGTCAAACTCGATAAACTAACTCTGTTCAGCTCTCACCTCTGGAAGTAGTGCAGCATGAAGGTGCAGAGCAGCAGCGTCCTCCCGGTGCTCCTCACTCCCTCCGTGGCCTCCTCCTGCTCCTCCTCCCCGGGCGGCAGCAGGAGAAGCAGCAGCGGCACCAGGAAGGACGGGACCTCCTGCAGGAGCCAGCCGAGCCGGGCGGGGCAGAAGAGACCCTCCGCGGGGCTGTACCTGCCGTACGGCGTGTGTGACCACCTGTGACGAAGCAGGTAGGCCACGCCCCCAACGATTAGGGTCCAGCTCAGCCACGACACAGTGGCATCACGGCACTCCATAAGACTGCTGCTGGAGCACGACTCGGCTAAACTCGGCTCGACTCGGCTCTGCTCGATTTGACTAAGAGAGAGAGAGAAAGGGAGAGAGAGAGAGAGAGAGAGAAAGGGAGAGAGAGAGAGAGAGAGAGTTCTGATCCAAACTAACCCTTTATTTCCTTTTGTATCATATTTAATACTGACTTTTATAAACTTCTATCAAATCAATATGATCAATACATCACTAAAAACAGCGGATTACAGTCTGATAAATGATAAAAATGTCCTCTTTTAGTTTATCAGTTTCAAAAACATCTAATGTATCAAACAAGATAAAAAATATATTTGTTGAATTTTCAGTCGTAAATAAAATCAACATTTCAGCTCCAAAAAAGTGAATTTTCAGGCCATAGTTTGTGTTTTCAGGCATTAAAGGGTTAAGTAGAGTTTCTTTCACTCCACTGACAGAGCCGGCCGAGCCTCAATGAGGCCCTCTGTTTCTGCCAATAATATTGTTTATTGATCATTCACACTCCTTCACAAATCTCTTTGATTAACATCCCTGACATGCAAACGGACCTTTAACTTGGCATCAAACATCCATTTCACTCTCTCCTCAGATGGGTGGGAAGTCACTCGCTGTGACAGTAAAACAGAGCTGACTCTGGTTGGTTCCCCCCAGTGCCACCCACTCACATTCCTGGTACCTCATCTGTACACTCAGGCGAAGGCTCTGGGCTCAGTCTCTGACCCGGTTTTGGAACTTCACAAACTTATGAACTTCTATTCCTTAAAGCCGGTGCTCTTGTTACCTCTGGGCTGTGAAGTCCTCCTCTCTCTGGGTCTCGGTCGGTCAGTCGTCCCTGTCCTGTTCACAGATGATCCAGCTGGACTGTTAAAGAGGACAGAACATCTCTCCTGCTCTTATGTGTCTGCTCTGGCTCCAAATTAAGCTCAGGATTGATTTTAAACTTCTTTTGTTTGTTTTTAAAGCTCCACATGTTCTCATACCAAAGTACATCTCAGACCCTGTCCCGTCTCAGATCTCTCAGATCATCCGTCCAACAGGTACTGGCTGTTCCTCAGTCAAGGCTGAAAGGAAAGTGTCACTGTCAGTTTGCTGCTGTTGTTGCTTCAAAAGTCTGGAAAAGTGAGTGAGTGATCGTTTATGGGCTCGAACCCTCAGCATTATTCTCATACATCCTTAGACCCTCCCTGTCTGTGCTGAATGTTGCTGCTGTGGCCCCGCTGTATTTAAAAGGGCTTCAAATACCCGAAGAGTCACCAAACTTGGTACACAGGAGCCCAGTGGAGCTATGACACAGTTCATTAAGGTGTAGTTGGTGGGCGTGGCCAGATTGCACAATTAGCCACGCCCACAACATGAAGAATTTCAGTTCTTTTGGCATGTTAACCGAGAAATATGTGCTTCACTGGGTTAATGCATCTTAGCCAGAACAACAGAGACTCAGTTGGACCCACACTGAAGGACAAACAATAAATCCACAGTTTTTATTTTTGTAAAATCAGTAAAAAACAAACAAACAAACAAAAACAACAAAAACAGAGATTCTTCCAAGGGAACTTTTCTAAAATTAAATAAAAAATTCTTCCTTCTTTTTGACTTTTCTGAAATGCTGTGTCCTTTTTTTTTATGAAGATTTATCTTTTTTTTCTGACCAAAACAGACATTTGACCCTTTTTTAACTTATTTATTTTATTTACACCTTTTTTTCTGAAAATATTGACTCACTGAACATTTAATCTTTTCCGAAGGGTCTGAATCGTTCTAAAAATAAAAAAATTCTCCTTAAATTTTTACACTCTTGATACGACGTTTTAAAGCTTCACTTTAGCTCTTTTTTCAGGAACGTCTCTCCTGCTCTTGTGTGTCTGCTCTGGCTCCTGATCAAACTCAGGATTGATTTTAACGTTCTGTTGTTTGTTTTCAAAGCTCCACATGTCCTCACCCCCAAGTACATCTCAGATCCTCTTCACCCCCGTCCCTTTTTTCTGCTTAAACTGTTATCTGTCTTTTCTCATTACTTTTTTTATTTGTTTAAAGTTGTAACAATCACTGACTTCATGGAAAGTATTAAAACGTCGAACAAACAATAAAATAAAATAAAATAAAACAAAACAAAGAGAAAATCTCAAGAGAGTATCCCAAAAACTCAATTGTAAAATCATTGTAAGTCAACATAAAAGCTTTAAAGAGAGTTTTAAAAAGTCTGAGCTGAAGTATTTTTTTCCTCATAATCACAACCTATTAAAAAACTTTAAAAAAATATTAAAAAGTCTGATACAAAAAGTTTTTTTTCCTTTTTTTGCAGTGATGTAAAGTTACTATTACAAAGAAATCTTATGTGTTGGTTCATAAGGTACTTTAGTGTTTTTAACACGTTGTATAAAAACATTTCAAGAGAAAGTTTAAAAGTGTTATTCTGAAGAAAATTATGATAAAAAGTTATGAATTAAGAGTGTTTAAAGTCTGATATACTAGGGTTTCATAAAGTAGAGTTACTAAAAGAAGATGTTGAACGGTTTCATGAAACACAATCACTTTTCAGGGAGTTTAATGGGAAATACGTCACAGAGTTTTAACAAGAACTGCAGACTGAAGGAGTGAAATATACAAAAAACAAACTCTGTAATGTCACAAAACGGTGTGACATTACAGAGTTTCATAAAACACAACAGTCATCAAATAGTATTAAAAAGTCTGAAGTTTTCTTAAACAGAGAATACTGATAAAATGGAGGTTTTCAGCAGCATTAAACATTTAAAGTTTTATAAAATATAGTTACTTTATAATAAGGATTCAAATGGCTGTTGAAAAAGTATAGAAAAACTGTTAAACTAAAATATGAGGAATCTGATATTAAAGAGTTTAAAAAAACTATTTTCTACATCAAAAGTCTGATATAAAAGATTATTAAGTTTCTTAAAAGTTTTAAAAAGTTTAAGATGTATGAAATTTGTTCAAGAACTTTATGAAAAGTTTGACCAAGTCTGATTTAAAAGTTTCATGACCCACAGTTCCCCCAAAGATAGTTTTAGAAAGTGTGAAATAAATAAATACCTGCAGCAGCGTGAAGCCACAGGAGTCTGGGTGGTCGACCGGACCATGAAGCAGCTCCTCTCTCTCTCTCTCTCTCTCTGTTTAAAACTGAAGCTTTTTGGAGGGGGGATTAAAGACTGAAACTCGACACCTGTCAGATGTTGGGCAGGTTCAGACATGTGTTTTTCATCCCATGTCCATGTTTGAAGTTTCAAAAGAAAACAGTCAGATAACCTTCAGGGAAAATCAGAGTCTGTGCTCCTTCTCCTCCTCCTCCTCCTCCTCTTCATCAAATGAAATCATCTGACCTGAAGATGATACCTGACATAATGAAATGATTATTATCAGTAAGAACTCAGCAGTTATAACTCTGTCCCATCATTGAGGGGTGGATTTTTCAATAGAATTTGGACTGCATAGAGCGTGTACTTATGCTGCCCCCTGCTGGTCAAACACAGGCAGTGTGTTCAGCCTATCATCCCAGTAAAGATGGAACAACAGGTCTGTGTTCGTTTTTTCCTCTTTTGAGGTTTTGGATTCATTTTGCTTTTATTAAGAGGACAGAAAAGGAGAGACCGTGAACACAACACAGACACTGATTTTGAAGGGTTTTCCTCCTTTAAATACACCTGCTAAAGGGGACGCCTGTCACAAATGTAGATTATTGTTGAGTTCATAATATCGGCATAACTGTTTTTCTTTATCCAGGAGTCGAGTTGTGAAAAAAAATCAGGGGGTGGGGGGGGGGGGGGGGGGTGGGGGGTGGGGGGTGGGGGGTGGGGGGTGGGGGTGGATTTTATTGTAGGGACAGATATTTAGTTCTGCTGACAGTAGGAAACCAACTGTGTACTCATTTTATTGTTGCTAAAAGAGAATTATTATATTACAGGGTTTTTACAGGATTCTCTCGTAAACAATCAAAATAAAGTGGAAAAACAAACGTAGTCGAGAAATATGGTAATGGTGACATTTATTTACAGCCCGCCTTCCAAGCTGCAGAGCAAAAATATTTACAAAATGTATTTAGGGCAAAAAGAAAATGCCAATAAGGCAAAAGTTCTGCTGTAACTCTGGACTCTCAGTCAAGAGAAAGAAACAGAAACAAGTTTTTACACAAATCAACAGAGCTTTAATTTTTAGAGATTTGTGACAAACAACAAGGGAATCAATTTTTCTTCTTGCATCATGTGACCACTTTGACCCTCCATACACACCTATTTTACACCCGGAAATCGCGCGCTCTGTTTCCTTATTTGGACACATGATCCGGTATGATGGCGTGAATGAATGGACTCCCGGCAGGTAAGTGAAGGGGTGTTAAAGTTAACTGATAGAGCTCCGAGTGAGCAGCCTTGGTTACCCAATGATCCAACAGAGAAGTTTAGTGTTTAGTGTTCGCTGTTCAGAGAGTAAAAGAGACGCTGGAGGGAGGGAAATGTGTAGTGTGTGTGTGTGTGTGTGTGTGTGTGTGTGGCTTATAGACTGTATATACATGGACAACTTGGTTCCGCCTCCCGCCCAAATTTGAAGCTGAAAATTTCGCTGTGATTCTGCGTTTTCTCTCCATTTCCTGAAACTAATATTGCGCAGTAGCGTTGTGCGCATTCGACGGGAGAGTCGCCAAAAGTCGCTGTGATGACGCTCGGCTCAAACAGCGTATCCCAGCGTGCGAATCTTTTTTTGTTGAATGGTAGGTTGGCTAGAAGTGCTGGGCTCTGATTGGTTATGCCTTATGGCTGTAAAACGTCATCATCTGTCGGGTTAGAGTTACGTTTAAGGTCCTTACACACTGGGACCATTTTTTTTTGTGCAATTATTTTGGACAGAGATATTTTTTTTTGAACCCGTATCCTGTCAACACAAGCGTTCACATCAGCGACGTTTTCCCGTCCTGCGATATTGCAGCATTTATTTTCTCGGATCACGGTCAATTTGTCTTAAGTTTCGCATACTGTGTGTCCACTTCTGACCAATCAGATTTTGTGTTGTTGTGATGTCAGATTCACCGGTATATCCAACATGGCCGACCGGCTGATTGTTTACATGTCGGAGAACAGAGTGATTTTTGATTTTTAAAAAAATGCTAATACCTTCACAACACACAACATTCTACAATAGCAAAAACAATATTGTAAACCTTAGATACTGAATAAAAACCTCTGCTTCTGCAGTGATACCAGCTCAAAAACAATAAATCTGAGCTGATAATAAACTGTTGAAGAATTGACACACAACTGATTTATGTTGGGTAAATTGGGCCAAGGATGGATCCGACATGCTAAGCGGTTCGATCCCAGGTTTGTCGCCTTGGATAATATCAGATGCGATGTTGATGAAAATATATGGCCTAACCCCGAAGCATATATATGTATATATATATACATATATATTTATACATCTATTTATATATGTGTGTGTGTATATTTTTTTACATGTATATGGACATGTATTGCACAGGTTAAGGATATAATAATCAACACAGCAGCAGTAACATTGGTAATATTGCACTTGTTTCCTCATCTTGAGGGCTGGAGCTGGTTTATGGGAGTTTAAGATGGTGATGGCTTGGGGGAGAGAGCTGCATATTAATTCTGTAATTTCCAAATAACATCATTTTTGTTTTTTGAACTTTAATGAAAGTTTATTTCTGTCAAACCATACTTCCATTTTACTCATATCTATGGTAATTTCCTCCAGCAGCTTTTTAAAATCATCCCCAGAACAGAAAATATTTGTGTCATCAGCAAAAACACCAACTTCAACACCTGTGACCCTCTACAAATATCATTATATACATGATAAAGACATGGATAGGTGGGACTCTTATTGTGAAAGTCCCGTGTTGGCGCCCTCTGTCGGTGGGGTGTGAGAACCTCCGCCATCAGCAGCTTTGACGGACCGTCTCCTTCTCCTCCTTCTCTCAGCAGCAGCAGCAGCAGCAGGTCCGCTCGTGTCTATTCCCGGAGAGACCACCTCCATTTTCTCACCGACACCCGGCGGAGGCGCAGCGGCTCGCAGCAGACTCGGTGTCCGGCGGAGGGACACGCTCCTTCGGCCGCGCTGCTGTTAAATCCTCGGGCGTGAATCAGCCTTTTTTTTTCCTGGGATGGCGGCGCTGCGGCAGGACGCGGCCGGGGCGGCGGTGGATTTGTGAGGATTTAACGGCTCGGTTTTCTGCGGTGAAATTGTCGGTTTGGACGGAGCAGAGGAGGAGGAGGAGGGTCTGCTTCGGCTGGTCAGGTACAGGCTTTCTTCTAATTGGTTTATTTATGACGGGGCTTTATTCTGAGCTTCATTATAACCCGCTTTGTTTGATCTGCTCAGCGGCTTGATTAGCGACAGACAGGCCGCTACAGCAAGCCTCACCGGCGGCCCTGTCGGTGGGCAAAGCTCGCCGTTTCCACCCGGACAGCATCCATCCAGCCTCCGTGTGGCTCCGGTGGATTTTTGGTGGGGGGTGGGGGTGTCGAGTTATATAATGTGTGCGCAGAGGACACACCACCGAGCTGTCCGTCCGTCTGTCTGCTGCTGTAATGTGATTTCACCTCCGAGTGACGGACTGACAGCAGCCCGGTGCACACGCACACACACACACACACACATGAACACACACACATAAACACAAACACATAAACACACACACGCGCTCGTTTTCCTTCGTCTCCTCTGTCTCCCTCGTTATTCCGTCTGATTAAAGGGTTCGTCGGTGACATTGTGTCCGGACGGATGCTCGGTGTTGAGGCCGGACTGCAGGTGCAGCAGAGAGTCAGTCAGACCTGCACAACAGCTAAACTCATCAGTAATATCACAGTTAACAGTTTAAATGAACACAGTAAATATTCTGTGTCTGAACATCATGATAATCTCATCATCCTCAGTGTCTGTAAATAAAACAACACTGCAACTAAGAAGAGAAAATGAACCCACACTCATGTTCTTAGAAGACATTTGGTTTAGTTGATGTTTATGGAGGATCAGTGAATTAAGATTCAAAGGATTAAGTTGTATTATGAGAATAAACTCGTAGAATAATAACTGATTATTACAAGAAAACATGGTCTGGTAGAAACACTATGGAGAATAAAACTGTGAGTAAAATCAAAGTGTAAATATTTCAGGACTGACAGAGTTTTATTTATTATGTCATCTTTGTCTTATCTCAGTGTCCCCCCTCAACAAATTATTAAATTCAACCATGAATTTATTTTTCGAATGCGATGACGATATTCTCATACCAGATTTATTCTCATCACAAAATAAGTTTATTCTCTTCATACACATTTATGTTTTCTCAGATCATTTTAACATTATTCTGCTAACAGATCTTTATTCTCAGAATGACTCACTTCTGGTAATATACCGACTTTATTCTCATAACCTCAGGACAGTTTTTCTCATGTCATTCTGACTTTATTCTGATAGCAACAGGATTTTTTTGGATTTCTACGGGTTTATTTTCATAACATGAGGGTTTTATTTTCACCACATAAAAACTCAGTTGTACAAACAAAACTCTATCCTCATGCCAGCCCTGTTCTCAGATCATTACAACTTTATTTTGGTGAATAAATTAAAACACTGTATCGTCACAACAATGATTTTATTATGTGTTAACATGACAAATGTATTCTGCCACCAGAACAACCAGAATCTCTAACATTAAAAGTCTAGTCCATAAAGACTAATGCTGCGTTCTGGTTATCTCAGAAGTTGGATGTTGGAGCTGGGAATGACGGCGTTCTGGCAAACAAGATGGACGCCTACTGTTGTATCGATTAGCTGTTGTTAAATATACTAGTTAAAATCAACACATAACAGTATTGTACTCATATAAACACCACAGTACCATGTCCACAGGTAGGTGTTGGACAGTCCCACATATACCACTGATTTAATTTCACAAAAACAAAACAGAAGGTAGGGCTGGACAATAAACCGAAAATTCACCGATACTGAAATTTACGACAATAACCAACGTCATTTTGCACATATCGGTATATTCAGTGTCAAAACAAATCAATCAAAGTAGTTTTTGGATGTGTGTAGGTAGGCTATGGTCTCATGTCCCTTTAAGACGTTAGTTATCGTCCATTTATCGTTATCGAGGTGAATATTGATCTGAGGCCATATCGCCCAGCCCTAACAGAAGTGCTAATAAATAAACCATGTGGAGAGCTTTCACTGTCACTGTTCACTGCTGCCATCTTGGATTAGGATGTTGTGGTCGAGGCGCGGTTGGTGAGGAGCGTCCAACTTTCTAAATCCAAAATCCGACTTCAGGGAGGCGCTCTACGAATTTCCAACTGGGAACTCGGAAAGTCTGACAACAGAATGACTTTATACTTGTAACTGAACAATTTTATTATAGTTCAATTATAACTTTAACACAATGACTTCACTCTCTTTACTAATCTCTCTTATACAAACGTTATCGTTACATTCAGGCTTTATTCTTGTGACACAATAAATTCAGAGTCAAAACAAAACCGTTTCCTTCTAGTAACATAAAGAGTCTTTTGCCGTAACCTTTATTTCACTTCGATAACGACTTAAATTCTGAAATATTTTCCTCCAAGGGGGCCTCAGGACTTCATCTGAGTAAGTTAAATCAGTAGACAGAAAAATGATGTTTTTGGACTAAAAAAGAGTTTAATAATCCTGGCAGAAAGAATATGAGAATATGTTGTTTTTTATTCTAGTTTAAATCTATTAATGTATTTGATGGAGAAACGATTCAGACCGTCACAGTCTGTGTCAGAGTTAAAGCTTTAAAAATGGGTTTGGATTATGAGATATGAAACGCTCTGAAAACGTACACTGAGTGCAGAGGGGATATGTAAATGTGACCTTGGAGTCGTCCAGAGAGACCAAACCTGTTTCTAAATGTCAACATATACACTCATCAGATATTTAACACAGAAATCTGAGCTCCGATTTACACAACAAACAAAACAACTCAACCAAAGACAGCGACCTGTAGAGGTGAAACCATGAGACCGGAGCAGGATCGACACTACACTCATGTTTCCTTCATTTCAGCAGCAGGGCCGGAACAAACCCTCAGGGTTAGAGGTCAGCTGTGGGCCCCCTTCAGCTCCACTCTGGTTGTTTCTCATTTGTGTCTTCAAAGCTGTTTCGTCTTTTTGTAGTTGTATCTTTGTCGTGTTTACGTGTTGAGTTGTGTTGATTTTTTGCGTGTTTGTGTTTCTCTCTCTGTAGTCGTTCTTTTGTGTCTTTGTAGCTCTCTGATGGTAGTTTTGTTCATTCTTTGCGGTTAACTTTTCATAGTTACTTTGTAGTTTTTTGTATTTGTTTTTTTGCATCATTTGGTGTCTCCACAGTTTCTTCTTCCTTCTTATGGTCTATAATTGTTTTGTGTTTTTCTCTCGTTGTTTTGTGTCTTTGCAGTAGTTTTGTATCTCTCAGTTCTGTGTCTTTACAGTTTTCAGACAAGCCCCCCCCACACTGTCCATTTTTAAAACTCGTCTTAAAACCCTTTTTTATTCATGAGACTCGGCTGCTGTTTTAGTGTTTTATGTTTGTTTTTAGTTTATTTGTTTCTACGTTTTTTAAATTAGTTTTTAAAAACATTGAAACTATATTTTACTTTTTAAAATCTGCTTTTATTTTATCCGCTGTTTTAATTGTTTTTTATGTCTACGTTGTTTTGTTTTTAAAGTGCAAATAAAGTTGAGTTGTGTTTTTGCAGATTTCGGTCTGTAACTATTTTGTGTCTCTAGTTGTTTTGTATCTTTGCATTTGTCTTTTTGCAGCAGTTGTGTTTCTTTGCAGTAGTTTTGTGTCATTGAATTTGTGTAATTTCGTTGTTTTGTGTCTCCGGAGTTTCTTCTTCCTTCTTGTGGTTTATATTTTTCTGTTTTTGAAGGTGTTTTTGCTCTCGTTGTTTTGTGTCTTTGCACTCGTTTTGTATCTTGCAGTTGTTCTGTGTCTTATTAGTTTTGTAGTTTAGCGTTTTGCAGGTGTCTCTGTAGTTGTTGTTGTATCTTTCTACCTGTTTTGTCTCATTGCTAGCGTGTCTTTTTGCATCAGTTTTGTGTCTTTGCAGTTGTATTGCAGTTTTGTGTCTTTTCAGGTGTCTGGAGTTTTTTTGTTGATTTGCGTCCTCACAGTTGTGTATTTGCAGTGATGCTCACACTTGTTTTCAGTCTTCTCAGTTGTCTTTTTGCAGACGTCCCGCGTCTTTGTCGTTGTTTACTGTCTCTGTTTTGGTTCTCAGTGTTCGTAGCTGTCTTTGCGTTGGTTTTGTGTCCGTATTTTTGTGTTTCAGCTGTTTCGTGTTATCGGTCACATGGTGTGGGTGTTGTTGTCAGGGCCTCAGCTCTACATGTGCACCTGCACAGTGTTTTTTACCCTCGTCTCTGTTCACGGATAAATCCTTAAAAATCTGGGACTCAGTCAAATGAGACTTTTACAGAAATACAGACTTTCTGTTGTGTTTTGTTTACTGTAAATATTAAATATGAATCAGGGGTAAAAGTAAAGTGTGCGGTTTGTATATTTACTGCAGCAGCTTCACTGATAAACCACCGGAGCACTCAGAGTGATATCGGAGGAGAGCGCACTCAGGTCAGCCACAGACTGACGATTCGAAAGCTTTAAACACAACTGCCAATGATGACAGTGCATAAAGACACACCCACAGAGGCTGTGAAGTGCATTTCACCCCTAAAGAAAGTCTCTGATATTAAGACGAAGACTCCAGAAAACAGAGACAGAGCACATGTTTCTAACCTCAGACCTCAGCGGGAAGTTTGGATGTTGTCAGGAAAACAACGTAGCTGTTAGCGCTCGCCACCTTTCTGATGACTTCTGTAAACAAAGAACTAGCTGGACTTGAGTCTCAGCTGACCTTCATGAAGCTGAGATCTCTGAGATTATTCCAGGTTGTGTAAAAGGTAACACCCCAGCTGTGTCCAACTCTATCCGTGGAAAAGCTTTGTGAAAAGTTAAACCTCCAAACCGTGTTGAACTTTCTATCTAAGCAGCTAAATGAGGTGGACTGAGTGGACCTGATACAGCACCAGAATCTGATCATAGGGAGTGTTTAGAGCTAGGGGTGTCCCAATACAACTTTTTGACTTCCGATATGATGCCGATATTGAAGCCTTCGATGTTGACCGATACCTAAGGCTGCATGATATTGGAAAAAACTAACATTGCAATTTTTTTCAACCCTGCGATAAATATTATATTTAAAATTACAGGAATTTTACCCAGATGACCTGAATCTGAGTTTGTGCTGAAATCTTGAGGACAGTTAACCTGCTCTGATCTTACCTCTTTTAGTGAATGTTAGTAGACTGTCTTCTGTCTGTCTTTAGAGATATTTTTAGCTTTTATTGTTCTGGACGTTACCGTGGAAACAGATGAACACAGAACACGTGTTTTAGTCGACGTCATCCTTCTTAGAACTGAAATAATTCCTGATAACTGACGTTGATTTTCTTTTTACCAACACGTCTTGCTCTTTGGTGGTTTCCTCTTGTTCGTTTCTCCTTTTGCAATCGTTGTTGTTATTACCGCTGTTGTACAGAGAAACGCACGCCCGCCCGCTGAGGACTGCATCCACCTCGCAGAAACGCGCACCATAGAGTGGTCCGTGGAAATGTACGATTTAAAACCCATACAGTTCTTATTTGTTGGATAAACAGCGATGAGGAATGTTCCCAAAGTCATTCTCGACGTTTCTTGGGTCGACACCGGCAGCGCCAGCGACTCACTCCATGTGCAGGGGCGTGGTTTCCTCCTCTCTGATTTTGATTGACGGCTGGCAGGTTAGTCTGATTGGCAACTGAATAAAGAACGAATGTGATTGGCAGATCGCTGCACAGCACACGCAGAGTCACATGAAGTGTATGTCAGTCAGCTACCCGACAGCCTCCGACATCGCAGGCCCTGACATGTGACTGGTGCGCACACGTACATTACGATGATATTGTGGATCCGATATTGGAACAATATGACAAGTTTTGCACTCAGCTGCAAGTTCTTTTTTGTACTTAGAAAATACTGCCGACATCACTCTTACTCTTTGTTACTTTGTCCGTACCTTGGTACACACTGTTGTTGTGATTTTGTGGGCTCAGCTTGCTGGATCCGGGTGCTGCTGGATAGAGGAGCTGGAGCGGAGTCTGGAATGGACTGCTTGTATCGGAGTGCTGATATCGGAGATTTTAGATGCAGGCCGATATAATCCGATATTTGGAGCACCACAATTTAGAGCTGCCAATCATGCTAAGCTACTCCTCAGAACAATAACATTTGAGAAACAAAATACTGATGGAGACTAAAACCAGCAGTTAAGATGCTGCTGGTTTTCGTCTCCATCAGGGCAGATTCTTGCGCCGTATTCTCAGATATCATGAGCCGACCAGCTGTGACAGATTGAGGTCAAACTGAACTCATCAGATATTCACAGAGAGGAGAGTTTAAAACAGACTCTGAGAGAGAGAGAGCTGAGTGATCAACATCTATAACACACAACAACACACTCCAGGGCATACTGAGACAGACAGTATGGTACATGAAAACACACTGAGGCAAACTAAAACACACTTCAGTACTCTAAAACACACTCAGAAACACACTGCGGTGGTTGTCAGGTCTGTTTAGTTCAAAGTTTTGGTCAAACTCAGTTTATTTAATTTAGTTTTCTAAGTTTTGGTTCCTGACAAGTGCTTCAGAGACTTTCTTCAGGTCCTGATACTGTGGAATCTTCGACTCTGTTCATGGTGTTGTTGTTTGTAACTGAAGCTCTGTAATCTGACTCTGCACAGTGCACCATAAAGCGGTGTTACATTCACTGACCTGTGGAAGTTTCCCCTCTCTGCCTTTAAGGAGAGGAGTTCAGCAAACGTGTTACAGGACAAATCTTCAACAATTCAAACGTTTAACGGATAAATATTAGTTTTGGACTCAAACGCACCACTTCAGGTGTATTCTGACCCAGTTTGAGACGTTGGAAACGCAAAGTTATCGTGTTAAATACGAATTGGAAGAAGGTTGTCGGGCTTTATCAGACAGTTATTTTGATCTGACATTATATTTAATTTCTGGGATATATAAAATTATTTCAGGGACACTCCATTTGTTTTTTTTTCTTTGTAAGTAGTTTGTGGATTTGAGGAATATTTTTGCTTCAATCAAATATTTTAAATTTTCATAAATCTGTGTTTCTTAAAATATTTCTGTTCTTGCAGAAATTTAGAAATATAGACCAAAAATTCATTAAATAAGATAATTTTATATTTCAGGTATATTTGTACTTTGGAATATTTGAAGTTTATCCTTTTTTGGGGGATTTCTGCCGCCATTAAATACCTTTTTTTTTTTAATTTCATGGTGTATTTTTGCGTTGAAAAATGATTTTGCATCATATTCAAGGTTTCTGTTTCTTGATTTTTTAAAGGGTATTTGACTTAGAATATTTTTTTGCCTTTTAAGAAACATTTTTTTGAACAGTACATCAAATGTTTTTGCTTTTCATGATTTTTTGTGAAATAGTTTTACCTATAATTGATCATTTTAACCTTTTTGATTCCTTTTTTTCCCATTTCTCTGTATATTTTATTTGATCTCTGCATTTGCTTTTTGTGAAATATTTTTATGTAGGTTGAAAAACGTTGCACAGCCTAAAACATTTTTCTGGAACGATATTTTGTTTGATAAAAATATGTGGAGTTGACTTTAAGGGCCACCATCATTTTAAGTTTTGCTTACACTTGAAGTTACTTTGTAGAGATCAACAGCTTAGAGATGCTCTCACCAGTGCACGGATCGCAGGACAGGAGGCTTCTCCACCATTTTAGGGCTGGACACTAATGATTTTACTACTGCGTCAACAGGCAGAGGGAGAAAGTGAGAGAGAAGCCTGAGATAGTGGCAGAAGAGGAGTTTCTGTTGACATCTGTGAGGCGTTCAGGAACACCGGGTTCACACGGAGGCACATGTTGAGGACTGATAACAGTGTCAGTTACTCTGCGTTCACACTGACGTCTGTCCGACTGGTGAAAACAAGAAAAACAGCAAATCCAGTTCTGGTTTCAGACTTTTATCATTTGTAACTGTTATCATGGGTGTAGCTACTAGAAATCATGAATTTGGATCCCCGTCAACACATCAGCCTGTTCACTCAGCGCCGTGTCAGAGCCTTATTACTGAATCCATTCCACTCGTTTATTCAGATAAAACCTGAACCAATAAAACTCCAGTCCACATTTTAACTGCTAGCGGCGCCTTCTTGCACAATGTGCACATGCACGCACGCACACAGAAGATGGGTGAAAAAACTGTCACAGCAAAATGTTAACTTTGTTAATTTAACATAACCCTTCGGCCCTAAGCATATTTAAAGGAGAAAAAACGCATAAAAGACATACCCAAAGTAAATGAGGAATGACTTCACTTTACTAAAGGTTATTTGTTTCATGTTCTTGGTGTCCTTGGACATCTAGAGACTTCAGAGAATGTGTTCAATTGTCAGAAGTGTTTTATCTGTCATTATGCGTGAGTAAATTGGAATAAATCAGGAAAAGTTACGTTTTTTTACCCTCGCCAAAATGTTTTCTTTTTTTGACAGGGGAAAACACAATGCTGGCAATGATTCCAGGCCCCCAGATGCCATTGATTAGCTTCATCCACTCCTTGACCACAAATGTACCAAATTTGATAGAATTTGGGCAAACAGTAAAGCCTACATGAAGGTTTTTGTAAGGATACACCCAGGTGAGGACTCAATTTGGCACAATTTGTGGATTATGGATTATTTTCTACCTCTAAAGAGAACTGGCTCCAAATTACAATTTATTTTCATAAGACTAGTCTCCTACTACCTATTGGAGCTTTTAGATATGAAATTTACCTTTTATATTTGTTTATATGTAATACAGAATAGTGAAAAATAACAGGAACTTCTACATTTCTTTCTTCACAGGGAGTATTTTTATTTGAAAAAAGTGCAAAAAGAGAAACAAACATTCTGTGCAAACAATGTAAAATAAAAAGTAAAAGTGCAACAAATATTGTAAATTAAAAACAATATATAACAATATAAATACAGCAAACACATGTAGAGTAAATTAAATGTAATGAATACATAGAAATGCATAATTGAAGCAGTAAAGAGTGTATTATTTCATTTAGAGACCAGAATCAAACAAATGATCAGTACACAAACCCTGATACAAGCAATGTCACCTTTCTTGCAGGTAAGGGTGGGGGTGGGGCGTCTGGTGCAGGGAGTACTGATGGTGTGAAAACCCCTGATGGGGGGAGGGTGGATGTGCCTCACTCCCCTCTTCTTGGTGGCTGTGAAAATGGTGATCAATTACTATGCAGAACAAAAATAAATAACATTTGTAAATTTCACTGAAGGACACAAAAGTTGTGGATATATGTAAACTTATTCACTAAATTGAGTAGCCATGACCTCTACTATATTTTATTTGCATTTATATGTACTTTATTTTTTCTCATAAAGAATATATTCGAAGACAGATAAAATGCAGTATCTGGAAGCAAAGTAAGCCCAAAATAAACAGATATAGTGAAACTGCAGTAATATTCAATGCTATTGGACCGCCATACTTACTACAGTGTTTACAGTTTTATGACAAAGGTGTTCCATGCATATCAATTTACACAACACGGCCTTATAGATAAATGCAAATACTTACTAGTAAACTTGGTCCACTTTTAATGTAAACAGTGACTCCTCCTCGGAGCCGACGCCATTACTGAGTCAGACGAGTCCTCAAATTCACCGTATGAGCCCCGCTGAATTTCTAATAAAATGTCCGCCATTTCCCTGTAAGAGTTGAATTTTTCTTTTCCTGGTTGAAAAGTACTCAAGAGAAGTTTTATATGTGGTGGAGAAAGTTTACAGGAGAGTCCCGAGTGATCACTGTGCGATGCAGCATCCTGCCTTCGTCTGTGGGGCGCTGCACCTAAAAGCGCACAGATTACGAACACTTTACGCTCGGCTTTTTTCAAAGCTGGGAAATGTAGTCTTTAGAAAGATTGATGCTAATCGATTCAGTAGCTTCCCCCCTTTCAAATGGCTACAGACATGGCCGTACGGAGCCTTTCTCCGCTACACTGTAAAGCTTTGATTCGGTGGTGGTCGCAAAATTTAAATGTCCAGAGGTACAGAGACACCAAGGCAGATTTAAATCTACAGAAAAAGGTAACTTCTACACTAAAAACAGACATTCGACCCAGTTCTGTGAACATTAGAGTCTAAACTTTGATCGAGAATTGAGAGTTTCAATACATTTTTTACAGCGTTTAAATACATGCCGCAAAATCAACGGTCGTCCGTCTACGGGCAAAATTAACATTTTGTTAAATTAACTGAATGTCTGTGTTTGTATTTCTGTCTGTTTTTGTGATGAAGTCTCTACAGAGATGATTCGATGTTAGCAGATCGATGTTAGCAGATTAGCTAACCGTTGACGAGCTAATGCTGAGTTAGCGTCTCCCGTTAATCAAGTCATTCCGCCGCAGAAAAAAAAAAACCTCACTCAACTTTATTTGTAAATCACTTTAAAACAACCACAGCTGAACAGAGTGCTGAACATAAACAGACAAAACAACGACATAAAAAACAGTTAAAACAATGGATAAAATAAAAGCAGATATTAAAAAGTAAAATATAGTTTCAATGTTTTTAAAAACTAATTTAAAAACATCGAAACAAATAACTAAAAACAAACATAAAACACTGAAACAGGAGCCGAGTCTCATGAATAAAAATGGGCTTTAAGACGAGTTTTAAAAATGGACAGTGTGTGTATGTGGGGGGGCTTGTCTGATTCTGAGGGGTCGCTCGTTCCATAATTTTGGGGCTGTAACAGAAAAAGATTTATCCCCTCTGAGCTTCAGTTTGGACCTCGGTACCTCCAGGAGCAGCTGATCAGCTGACCTGAGGCTCTGATCGAGCGAGCGGGGGTGTAGGGGTGGAGAAGCTCAGAGAGGTAAGATGGAGTCAGACCGTTTAAAGATTTAAAAACAAATCAAAGAATCTTAAAATGAAGAATCTAAAATGAACAGGTGACCAGTGGAGGGAGGTCAGGATGGGAGTACTCCAAAACAAACAAACAAACAAAAAATAACATGTTTGACGTGTGTCTGCACCATCAAATCATGTCAGCACAGAGTAAGATTTCCAGGTGTTGGTAGATTTTTCTAGGCCATGTCTTTTTTTTTTTTGTCAGTGAGACAAAAGTGGACACATGCGGTACTTATATTTGTATGCTGTTGTTTGTTTTTGCTGGTGCACTACCTGCAGACCCCGCTGTGAGTGAGCACCGGTGCAGACTCGCTCTTGAAGGGCTGAACGGTCCACTCGCCCTCCTCACTCTGTGGTTCGGTTTCAATATGAAAAAAAAATCAGTTACATGGCGACCCTCTATTTTCCGTTAGATTTAACTCCATTGAAACAGGAGGTCGGAGGTTAGAGACGTGCGCTCTGTATCAGTAAACACGAGGGTCCATGGAGGCGTTTTCTACCCATAACCCCTCTGTCACAGTCCGTATCTGTGAGGCGGCTCATCCCTCTCTCTGTCACACATTTACACCTCTCAGTGTTTCTGAACGTACACATTTAATCTTTAAGCACACACATTCAGCTGTTATCTGTGCGCCGCAGACGTCAGCCGGGCGTTAAAAAAAAAGTTTCTTGTTCTTTTTTTAGCTGCTGCTGTCTGATCGTGTGTCTCTTAAAAACTCTGAGAGCTTTGGCTGCTGATTTGAAATTATTCACAACATCGATGTCTTTCTGCTAACCTGCCGGAGCTAACAGAGGCGAGGCTAACAGAGGCTAAGTATCATAGCTAATCAAATTTACCATGACAGGGCTAAGCTAACTCAAGCTAGCTGGTGTATGAAGGTGGTGCAGAGCTAACAGGGGAAGCTGAAGTTTTCGGACAAAGCCGAACAAACTCCAGGTGTGAGGACGAACTTACTTAACTCAAACTTTATTTAGAGCAAATATCGAAAACACCCGGGGTGGAGGAAAGTGCTGGACAGATTTCTAGGGAGGACTTAGTAACCTCACTTGATCCTGCAGAGCGGATGAACAGGGGAAGGACGAAGTTAATGTGGGAGGGGGTGAGCAGCTTGTGGAGTAGTTATCGTCCACTTATCGTTATCGAGGAGAACTGATCAATATATCTTGGTATTGATTTGAGGCCATATCGCCCAGCCCTAATGCAGGGTATATTTCAATACAATCTTATCCACAGTTATTTTATATGTAAATAAAGGACCCTTTGGATATTTGGACAGTACTGAAGTCAGACCCTGGTTTTTTACTATTGAAACATAGTTTTCTTGACCAAAGGTACCAGAACTTCATGTTTCAGGAACCTATTGTCAGGGAACTAAGCAGTGCCTGTGGACAAGGAAATTTGAGTTGACCTCTGGATAGATGAAGCTAGTCTGGCCAATGACAATGGAGTTTCTGCTGCTACTTATGCATAAAAACATTTTTATCAACTACACTGTCAGCAGGTGAGCTGTGTAATTATCATCTAACATAAGGTGATATATGATACTTTATGTGTAAACTAAAACACCACTAACCTTTAGTGGTTTAGGTCGGGGCAAGTAGAGAGCAGGGCTGAGTGAAAAAAGAGTCCAGTGTAGGGCTGGGTGATAAACCGAAAATTTACCACAATAACCGACGTCATTTTGTCCATATCGGTATATTCTGTGTCATAATAAACAAATCGAAGTTGTTTTTGGATGTGTGTAGGTAGACTATGGTCTCATGTCCCTTTAAGACGCTGTCCTACATCAGAGACGATTGTTATCGAGGTGAACTGATCAATATATCCTGATATTGATATGAGGCCGTATTACCCAGCTCTAGTCCAGTGTAATTGTTGTGGTTGTTTATGGTTTTAGTCCCGTGCTTCATCTACAGTCGCCTGTTTCAGTGTCAGGATGGGTCAGTAGGGTCTGGGTCACACGGAGGTCTGTGGACGGCGCTCGCAGGAGTTGGTTAAAGTCTCAGGAGGAGTTGAGGGGGTGGGCGAGTGTCTCAGGTAAAGGTGGTGCTAACATGTGCTGGTCTTTGGAGGGCTTAGGATCATGTGGGTCTGAGGATGTCCGTGGAGTCTAAGCTTTCAAGGCCTAGTGAAGGTCCCTGGATGGTGCTAAGCTAACTGAGGCTAGTGAAAGTCTTACAGACGTTTTTAGCCGTGGCTAAGCTAATAACGGTAATAGGGGTCAAAACAGCATGCATGGAGCTAATAAGGTCTGTAGGCGCAAGGTCTTACGAGGAGGTCAGGCGGGGGTCTAATCCAGGTATGCTGATCAGGTGTTAGCGGCGCTCGGCTGTGGCGAATAGATGTGTGTTTATCAGTGTGTGAGTGTTGCAGTGTGTCTGCAGCTCTGAGGCTGGAGGCTTCAGATGAGTCATGCTGCTGCTGCTGCTGCTGCACCATGACAACAGAGAGGGGGGGAGGGGGTCTGAATGACGGTGGAATATTCCAGATTTCAACATCGCTGCACTCACAGAGAAATAACAGAACCAGAAGGAAAAATCCCGTCTGGACGCTTTAATTTCATCCTCTGATAAAGAAAAAAAAACATCATCCTGATGATTTACTGCGTTTGAACACAGAGAGAGGAGCCTGACCTGAAGGTGGCGCTAGAAAGACCATAGAGGGGTTTATCCACTGGAGAGCAGGATGGGGATCAGGATATGTGATGGGGGGGAAAGTCCCAGAAAGCTGAAAACATGCAGGTGTTCTGACAACAACAACAACAGCGAACGAGGGTCGCTTCAACGCTCGACTCACAGAGGAGGAAAACAAACACCTGCGGACAGGTTCAGACACAAACGACACCTGTGATCGAAACAGAAACGAGATCAAATCACTGCAGAGATGTAAAAACACAACTCTCTGTCAGAGTCTATATCTCTAACATACACAGTTATAGACGGGACAGAGCAGAGTTAAATAGTTAAATAGTTAAAGAGCCAAGAAAATATTCACAAATATTGACATAAACGTAAACTCAACAATAGTAAAGAGTGAGTGAGAATAAATTCAGGCTACAAACAGTCACAAAGGTTTGTGTCTGTTCCCTGTTTGAACAAATGTAGTTTTGGTTTTTGGTCACAGATGAAAACAGCTGATGTAGAGGATAGTTCTGCTCTGATAACAACTTTTAGATAACTGTGGAGCTGATCGTTGTAATTTTGTAATCACCAATCAATCAGGATCAATAATCAAGGAGAGGAGGGAGGAGGCGGGTGTGTGTGTCTGAAAAGCAGAGGGACAACATAACCACGATGACAGAGAGGCTGTAGTGATGGAGCCAATATTTTTTAACATTTTAAAACATTATTTATTGACTTCTTATTTATTTTTGTCAGGCTAAACAGTGAAATTTGTCTGTATCATAAAAATATATATAATTTTACTCCTGGGTGTTATCTGTGGAGCTCAGGAGGTGACATGAACTTTACTTTTTTATTAATCTGCACGTGTCAGAAGGACGGTGTCATGGACAGAGAGCATACTGTCAACATTTCATTCATTTACTGTAGTTTTCGGGCAGTAAGGTGAACTGCATTGAACGGCGCTCTGTGAATTAACATGTCTGTGTTCACACATAAGGCGCACCAGATTGTAAGGCGCATTAAGCACTGGCGCATTGATTGGTTTATTGCTGCTAGCGCGTACTCTGGGCCTGGGCTGCCTTACATACACACAACACAACAACAACAAGTTATCATACATAAGGCGCACTGGATTATAAGGCAAACTGTCAATTTTGTAGGAAAATGTCAGGATTTCAGGTCCACATTGTAGTCCGAAGAATATGGGTCTGACTGACAAAGAGATACTTCATAGTTTCACATAGTATGGTATTGTTTTAAAGAGGAGACGCCTCATCACAATCCTTATTTACCATTGGCGATATTCGGACTTGCAGGAAGTGATTTTTGTTTATAAACAAACAGTTAAAACTAGGGCCCGACTGATATGGATTTTTGGGGCCGATGCCGTGGGACCTGCAGTGTGAACTTTTCCTGATTCTCCATATTTTATTTCTGAAAATATCGACCGATTTAATCAGCTTGCCGATAAATTGGTCGGGCCCTAGTTAAAACGCACCTGCGATATAATAAAATGAGGCGTGAGAGTAGAAGAGTTCAGATCCTTTAGTTTTTTATAACTGTATAAAATTCCTACTTGACTATAAAAGCGTGTGTGATGTAGATGTCAGTTTGTGAGTCAGAGTGTTTAAACATCAGGACTCTAATTTTTGACCTCAGTCGTTGGAACACTGAACCCCTCAGCCGTCCTTCATGATGTCTCTGCTGTTCATTCAGATCAGGAGCACAGACCCCCCCACAGTAGTTTTCTGATATCAGCTCTGTGTTGTATCTGCACACCTGTGGTAGAGCTGTTAACACTGTCCTGCTCTGAAGCATGATGGGAGCTGTAGTTCTGAAGACTGACTGTATAAAGTGTCAGTACTGTAAATATACTAACAGTGTTTCTGACTGTGGCTGCGTCACCTCTGCTGATATCAGATGGATGTGTCCTCTCTCACTCTCTCTCTCTCTCTCACTCTCACTCTCTCTCACTCTCTGACTCTCTCTCTCTCACTCTCTCTCACTCTCTCTCTCACTCTGTAGCAGCCTGATGTATAATTCAGAGACTCTCTTTGTTCCCCGTCTGTTCGCTCGCAGGTGGAGCGATGTGATGTAACCGTGACATCATCACTCAAAGCGTCGTCACTGCCGTTTTGTGACAAGCGCTCGCCCGGGCGTGAAAACTAGGTCAGGCGCTGTAACCCGGGTTACCGTGGCAACAGGATCAGTAGGTCAACACAGGGGGGAACTGTACGTGGCTGCCGGTCTCGAGGCATGCTGGGAAATGTAGTCAGTTCCGCTGCGCTGTAACTCATCCTCACGAGTCCTCTTGGACGGTTTGGTCCCAGGATGCATTTCTGTCTTCTATCCAGCAGAAATCATCACCTGTCTGCAGCCTCTCAGTTGGATTTCACTGATTTTTAAGTTAAACGCGGTTCTGCCTGAGGGTCTGAAGATCAGGACCATCCAGTCCTGGTTTTGGTCCTTGGTTTGAATCTCTGAATGATCTGATGTTCTGTAGACGATGAATCCACTCAGGAACTTTACTCTGAAACTGTTGAACTGTTCGCTCACACGGTCTCTCACAGAGCGGTGAACGTCCTCCATCTTTCCTCACGAGAGACTCATTACACAACTTTTGACCAGTCTGTTTGTGTCTCTGTAAACAGCTGTTAGAAAGATGACAGTAAATGTAGTTTTTCTATTATGAACCTTTTTTAGTCCAACTTCAGACGTGTTCACATGAGCAGAATCAGAGAATCTGAATCCACTGTTTATATGGGGGTGTAAATCAGATAATCCCATCATGACGTGTGTAAACATGCACTGAGTTTGGTTCAGATTAGAAGTATTTGGACATGCGCTGAGTTTTCTAATTTCACTAAAACAACCACAGAAGAAGAAGAAGAAGAAGAGTTGTGTTTACGCCTGTGCTGTCAACAAACCAACAAACCCGGTCGTGGCTCACTCCGTCCACTTCAGGAGTTTACTTAGTTGCTCACTTATTTCTCTGTTCTGTCAAAGGTTGTGCTGTGCGTGCAGATGTGACATCGTTACGCTGTTTGTATGAAGGAGCAGACACGTTGATACGAGTGTTAACAATGAAACCTCCTGAACTGACCTCAGTAAATGAAGAGTGAAGATGGAGTCAGGTTAGAGAGTCACGATCAGAATAAGTCTTTACATGGACTCGTTTCAGAGGAACGATCGGCATAAACCACCCCTCTGGATCAGAATACAGATTCTCTCTAATTGAGCTGAATTGAATCTGATCGACATGTTTACATGACGCTTTTTTATTCCGATTTTATTACCATCATATTCTGTTTCTATCAAAGTCTCTTGACTTTGTTGAATCCTTTTCTGTCCTCCATGTAGGAAACAAACCATTCGAACAAAATCACAGTTATTCAGAGGAAATCCTGAGACATCATCAGAGGCCGTCAAACAAACAGACTCATCCTCTCATTGAATCAAACTTTGACGGCAGGAAATCTCAAATCTCCGAACTCTGATGTTTTTGATGGAAAAGTTAAAGGTGCTCAGAAATGTTTCCTTGTTTTCCTGACAGGTTTGGGTTAAAGGTCACCGTTTTAACGTCTCTGTTTCCTCTTTCAGATTCTCTGCGAGGATGTGGCAGTGAGCATGCTCAAAGCCCTGATCGTTACCATGGCGATATATGGCGGTGGCCAGGCGTGCAGCGGACAGGACAACTGCTCCTCCCAGTCCAAAGACTACTGCTACTCGGCCCGCATCCGCAGCACGGTGCTGCAGGGGCTGCCGTTCGGGGGTGTGCCCACCGTGCTCGCCCTGGACTTCATGTGCTTCCTGGTGAGTGGTTACTGCACATGCTCAGTAGAGCACAGATACGAGTGAGGATTTATTTAGTCTAACTGTCAGGAACTGCCGGACTGGGTTGTAGTTTTTGTTGCTGTTGTTGTGTTGCTTGTTGACTGTGAATGTTGTCCGTCTGTTGTCTGTCTGGTTTTTGGTTGTTTTCGGTCAGAACAGCTCCTGAGTCGTTTGCTAAGCTGTTGTTCTTGCTTTTGTTAGGCTAAAGTCAGGCTGTTGTCTGACTGTTGGGCTGTTTTTATGCTGTTGTCATGTAGTCAGGTTGTACTGTGGCTGTTTGTGTTGCTGGTCAGGCTGTTGTTTGGTTGTTGTATGTCTTTTGAAAGACTGTGATCTAGTCACTGTGTGTGTTGGAAAGCTGTTAAAGGCCTGTTATATTTCTGTTGTTTAGCTGTCTACGATCAGTTGTGTGGCTGTTGTTTGACTGTATTTTAGCTGTGGTCTGACTGTTGTTCGTCTGTTGTCTGGTTGTTGTTTGTGCGTATTTTGACTTTTGTCCGGCTGTTGTGTGACTGTATTTCAGTTGTTTTCAGGCTGTAGTTTGACATTATTTTGGTTGTTGTCTTGCTGTCGTTTGGCCGTATTTTGATTGTTTTCAGGCTGTTGTCTGGTTGTTGTTTGTGCGTATTTTGACTTTTGTCTGGTTGTTGTTTGGCTGTATTGTGGTTGTTTTCTGACTGTTTTTTGTCTGTTGTCTGGTTGTTGTTTGTGCATGTTTTGAGTTTTGTCCGGCTGTTGTTTAGCTTTGTTTTGATTGTTTTCTGGGTGTTGTTTGACTGTATTTTGGTTGTTTTCAGGCTGTTATTTGACTTTATTATGGTTGTTGTCTGGCTGTTGTTTAGCTTTGTTTTGATTGTTGTCTGGCTGTTGTTTGGTTGTTTCAGGCTGTTGTTTGACTGTATTTTGATTGTTTTCTGGCTGTTAAAATGGTCAGGCTGGTTGTTGATCTTATTTCCGTCTTAGAGTTGTCAGGTTGTCGGCTGTTTTACTCATAAATGGTTTCTGTAACTTTTTATTTTCTGTATTTTTGTGTTTTTTTCTGAAGTCGTTTATTTTTATTCCGTCAGAAACACGTTGTGGTCATGTGACGAGGCTGTCTGCTGATTGGTGACTTATTTCAGACTTAATGAACCGCTGTGGTCCTTAAACATGTTTAGACATCCTGATTGATCCCCAGCACCCTCTGTGCAGTGCATTGTGGGTGATTAGCGTTATTGATGAGTCTGCAGAGTGCAGTGCCGAATCAGGAAACAGGGTGCATTGTGGGAACTGCTGAGTGTGTGCAGTCTGTGATGTTCACTGACTGTAGGAAAAATCAATACTGCGGTCTCATTGATCGACCCACATTCTGACGCTCCACCTCTGCTGAACACAGAGACTCTTATTTTGGTAGTCTCGTCCTCCTTCGTTGTAATAATGACACTCACTGTGTGTATTATTGATGTGACCTTTGACCTTGTCCGTGCAGGTGTGTAACAGACACTCTACCTCTTCTCCTTTTCCTCAGGTGCTACTCTTCGTCTTCTCCATCCTGCGGAAGGTGGCGTGGGACTATGGACGCCTGGCGCTGGTCACCGATGCCGACAGGTAAACACACCTATAACCACAGGAAGTGGTGATGTCATACAGGTAGAGGCTGTGGTTCCCAACATGAGGATCACGGCCCTCAGAGGAGGACGCTCATTTAACCTGTCAGCTGTTCTAACCCAATCCAATGTCCTTATTATGACAGAGCAAGTATGACTGACAAAAACTGACAAAAAGAGACGAAAATAACAAACTCAAGACAGGAAACAGGAAAAACAACGTGAACATAAAACCTCAGAGACCTCACAGCTCTGTTCAGGGATTAAAAACCAGCGAAGGAAAATAAGTTTGAAGCAGAGAATTAGAGGAGTGTAAGGTCGGGGTCACGTAAGGCTGTCACAGTTAAGACTGTTATTGAGACACAAATTCAATCCTTCAAATTAGAAGTTTTATTTAGCCAAAGTGTAGACTTCAGACTCCAGGACTGCAGCCTGTTCAGGTCACAGTTTTTGAAGGACCCAGCCTTTGACTAACAGGGTTTACAGGACAGTACCTTTTAAAGGACCCAACAACAACCCAGCCTCTGTGGTCTGCATAGACTGGTCGGGCCAAACTGATTTCAGGTGGTCCAGCCTGTGTGTGTGGCCATCTTTCCCACCCTTCCACGTGTGTCACATTGCATTGACCGTGTTTACTCAGTTTTATTGAAGTTAAACAACATCACCAACAGTTCGTAAACTTCATCCTTTAATGTGTTGATCTTTGGTAACTTTTGTACAGCTGTCATCAAGAGTTTTTATTAAACAGTGTGTAAGTTGGCAGGAAGAGAGACAGTAACATAAACTGTCCATTATTGGTCCTTGCTTTCTACCGTTTCCTACGGTTTGACTCATAAATCGCACTGATAATGTTGAAGCACAAATACGCCGTAAAGCTCAGTACAGGTCTGTGACTGTGGAGATGAACTGTTAGCTTCTCTGGTCTCTGCTGCACAGAGCTGCACTGTGCACTCTTATCCTGATGGTGCGAACATAGAACCAAATTCAGGCTTTAATTCCTCTGACTGAACTAGGGCTGGGCAATAAACCCAAAATTTACCGATACTGAAATTAACAACAATAACTGACGTCATTTTGCCCATGTCGGAATATTCAGTGTCAAAAAAACAATTAAATCAAAGTTGTTTTTGGATGTGTGTAGGTAGGCTATGGTCTCATGTCCCTTTAAGACGCTGTCCTACATCAGAGACGTGACTCCACCCCCTCCAGTCTGTAACAAAGAGGGAAAGACAGGTGAGGAGATGGAGGACGGAGAGAAAGTTGGAGCGGCTGAAGTAGACGAAGTTAATGTGGGAGGGGGTGAGCAGCTGGTGGAGTAGTTATCGTCTATTTATTGTTATCGAGGTGAACTGATCAATATATTGTGATATTGATTTGAGGCCGTATTACCCAGCCCTAGACTTTACTGAATAACAGCAGTTTTAGCAGACGTACATTATTGAAGAAATCTACCGGTGGGATTGTTTAGTAACCGTCGGCTCTGTCGATTGTGAATTAAATGTTTCTGGAACATTTTTCCCACGAATAAAAACTTTTTTTGAGATGATAAAATATTCGCTGATGCAGGAGGATGATATTTGGTCACTGTCAGCTCTTCTCAAAGAAACTGAAACTGAATGTGAAGATTGTTGGTGATCTCTGAAAACACAGATTTGATTCCACTTTAATCCTCCTCAGGTGATGAAATGGAGACACTGACTGTGAACCTGGATGAGCTCTGTAGTCAAATCCAATCGTAGTTTTAGTCTCTTTTCACAGCTTTTGATTTTCTGTCTCTTTTTATCCTGAAGACTGAAGAAACGCTTCAGCGAGCTGGAGGAGCGGGAATAGTATGTTACTGCTGCCTCTGTGTTGTTCTGTCAGCTCACGTCTTCCTCCTCCTCCTCCTCTTCTTCTTCTTCTTCTTCTTCTTCTTCTTCTTCTTCTTCTTCTCTTATTACCACTAACATAACTTGGACATTTCAGCTCATGGCTGCTCCAGAGTTCCTGTATGGGGGAGGTTTTAGTGCCACCTGTGATTCGGAGGTTTGTCTGTTTATGTCTGAGCAGAAAGATGTCCGATGGTGTTTCTGGTTGTAAATACACATTTTCCCCCAACATTGAAAAAATCGACACCAGGCGTGTTTGAGTTAACCATTCATTAAGTTCTGGATTTCCTTGCCTACCAGGTTTTGGGTTTCCCCTGGACCTTTTTTGTTCCCCCCATCAATGATTTTAAAATTAAAACCTCTATGAAAATAAAAAAACTTACTTCCCTTTTTGTCATACTAAAATAAAAACTCATATTTAATAAACTTTGACAATTTAACCAGTTTTTATTACCAGTTTCCTCTAATGATTTAACCTGAGTAACTTAATTACTTCAGTTTTAAGGGGCCCGTCGGGGGGCTCGATAATAGAGCCCCTTGTGTTTGTGTAAATCCCTTATTATTGATTTTATTTCAGTTATTGGAAATGTTTCTGAACAGTTTAATAACAATCGGAGCAGTGGCACTAATCACCCCCCATACACCCTCTAATCCTGATGTTTTCACACGTGTTCAGACTCTAAAGAGCGCTTCTGGATGACCCCCTGTTAGCTAACCTGGTGCTAACAGACATTAAGCTAACATATATGTTGCTAATAGCTGCGGTGCTAACAGGTTTGATGCTAACACTACTTCACATTTCTCTTCATTTTAACGTTAAATCAGCCGAAGACGAGACAGAGATAACTATGAGCCGGTCAAAAGGTAACGGGTTGTGTGTGTTTGTTTGTTTGTTTGTTTGTTTGTTTGTGTTTTTAAACCCTGTGACATGCTAGCTAGCTCGCTCGTTAGCTAACTCCACACACAGCCGGTCAGCTAGCACGCTCACATCTGACACACCTGTCCGTGTTTGTGCGCAGGTGTTCAGATCAGAGTTCAGTTTCAAACAGCTGTTGATGTTTGTGGTGAAATGATTCTGCCCCACCCCCACCCTCCGTTAGCTCCTCCCTTTTCAGTCGTAGAGATGAGGTCAAAGGTCAAACCGGCTACATACTAAGAGCTCACGGTCAGCTGACCTCTTCTGTTTGTCTCCACAGCGTCGCCTCAGCGATGCATTCAGAGACGCCCGACCGCTACGAACGCCTCACCTCCGTCTCCAGCTCGGTGGACTTTGAACAGAGAGACAACGTAAGGACACCTTCATCCTCATCATCATCATCATCATCATCATCATCATCCTCATCATCCTCTTCTCTCTCTTTTACACCATGTGACTTTGTTCAAACTGCTCATTTTAAATTTGCTGCAGCAACAGAGAAAAAGTCGTCAGACGAACGAACATTAACTCTTTCAGCGCCACTGACAGAGTTTTTTTTATTCTCCACCAGAGGGCGCTCCTCCCTAACATGGGACTAAGTCTGGGGTCGTTTTGAATGCAGAACAGTCGACAAATACGTCATAACCACGTTACAATAACAAACACAAGTACTGGCCAGTGAGAAGTGTGCCATCAAGTTTGCCGATTAGCCGAGAGTGGAGAGTTTTTTTATCTATGAAGAGAGTCGGAAAATGCCGAAGTCATTACTCAAGAGCTAACGGTCTCAGCTCATCGGTTCATGTGGGCGCTGTGCGACCGTCTCTGGATCCAGTGGAGATACCGGACCGTTACATGGTCAGCAGACGGTTAAAGAAACAATTATCAGGCGTGTCGTGGTGCTGGTGAGCGAGACTGAGCCGGAATTCAGTGACCGTCCTGGCGAGGAGGACGTGAGCCGTCTGTGTGGTTTACACCGCGGTGTCAGGTTCTCAGGAGCCAATACGACTCCCCGCCGTCTCAAAGTGACCTATCACGATCAGATCTGGAGAGTGATGAGGAGTGGAGTCTGAGGAGGGAGGAGCTTGATGCCGTCGGTAAAGTAGTTTGAAGTGAAATGAAACAGACGATCAGAGTTCTGCTCTAAAGTCTCTCCTTCTTAAAAATGAGTTTTTCCAGATCGGCAAAGATGATTTGACCACGCTGCTTTGAGGAGGAAATAACTAAACACAGGAGTGGGTTAGAGATGAACCTTTTTTTTCTGGTGAAAGAAGAGAATCACTCCTTTCTTTTGAGATATTGAACTTAATTCTAGTCCAAACACAAGATAATCTGAGGGTCCTGAAAGAAACAGACATTTCTGTTGCGGTTAATAACAGCACTGGGTGAAAATCGTCTAAATGAACCTGAAGGAGAAAATTCTGAACAACATCTCCAGGTCTAGGAGGAACATCTGCGTCCATCCAGACAAAGACTTTTTCAGGGGAGACCTTCATATGATCCTGAACCACACTCTGACAACAGCACGGCTCTGTAGGAGAAGAGTCTTGCTGCAGAGAAACTGGACTGATGTGGTCCTCATGACTCCAAAAGCAGAACCAGGGAGACCCTGAAGTCCTGGTCTGCTGGGTTCACTAACGTTTACAGAGGAGATAGGAGAAGGAGGAGCTCCTCCGTACAAACATACAGCTGCACCAAATCTCTAATGAGCAAGAACCACTCTCTCTCTCTCTCTCTCTCTCTCTCTCTCTCTCTCTCCCTCTCTCTCTCTCTCTCTCTCCCCGTCTTCTTCTTTTCTTCTTCTTTTGTTTCTCATCCTCACGCTGTGATTCATTCATGTCTGTTCGTCTGTTGATCACTGATGATTGTTTATTATTTCTGCAGGGCTTTTGCTCGTGGCTGACGGCAATCTTCAGAATAAAGTGAGTAAAGTGAACAGTCTGAACAGTAGAAATGGTTTGTTTACAGCGCCCTCCTGTGGTGAGGAGGGAGGGAGCAGTCTGTAACAACAGTTCAGATGGATTTCCCTCTGATCAAAAGAGGAAGAATTTAAACTCATTTGTTCTTTTTAGATAATAATCATGATAATTTTCTGTAAGAGGATGTAAAATGATGAATTATGACGTCAAAGACCTTTAAAGAGAAATAAGAATCGAGTTTTTGGTCAGTTTGATCAGTTTTGTTTGTATCTGAATTTAGTTTGATGGTCCTCCTCTTCCTCCTCTTCTTCCTCTTCTTCCTCCTCTTCCTCCTGCAGGGATGAGGAGATCAGGGAGAAATGTGGAGAGGACGCCGTCCACTATCTGTCCTTCCAGCGTCACATCATCGGTCTGCTGGTGGTCGTCGGAGTCCTCTCTGTCGGCATCGTTCTGCCCGTCAACTTCTCTGGAGATCTGCTGGGTGAGACTTTCACTGCAGTCATCTTCATCATCATATTTATCATCATCATCATCACCACAGGGTCACTCGTCTGTGTCGTCTTCATCACCAGATGAACTCTCACACAGTTTAATGATCCTGAAGGTCAACTAAAGATCGGTAACATTTAGGCGAGAGACACAGCGGCGTGACGTCCTCTGAGACAGACGGCTCTTTGTTGGTCTGACTTTATGCAGAGTCACGACCACAAACAGTCACTGTAGGTGTCTGTGTCTCCACCCCCTCCAAACATCAAAAAACCTGCTGTCGGATTTCTATTAGGTTTTTATTTTCAAGAAATGATCATGTGACATCAATAAACCGCCTCAGGGAGACTGACATGGGCTCAACTTTAGACGCTTTTTCACAGTTAAAGGGGGGGGGGGGGGTTTGACTGTGTGGGGTAAAAATGAACGAAGACGTTTCTGCTTTACACCGAGTTTGTGACGCGGTCAGAGCTTTCAATGACAAACGTTGAGATAAATAAAGTCAAACTGAGGCTGTTTGGTTAGTAACATTTGGTTCGGTCTGTTTAGGTTTCACGCTGTCATTATTGCAAACAGACTAACAGACGTTACGTGATGTCGTCATCAACTTCGTGCTTTACGTGTCTCTTTAGTTTACATTGATTGGTCATTTGGCCGGCGGGCGTCTTGAATGTTGTAAACATGATTAAAACCGTCATTCCCCCCCCCATTATATTATTGTTGATTTTAGTGATGCACGATATGAAAAATTTCAACCGATACCGATAACCGATAAATTCATATTTTTACATTTATTATAATCTTCATATAATCTGCAGTTTGTGCAGGATGCAGCGATTGAAAACTGATGTTTTTGTTGCTCTGGCCTATCTAGAACAACAAACTAAAGTTTTTGGCTCCTCAAATGTGGTCATTTGCTATAAATAACAATAACAGAGCAAAAAGCAGAACTTCATTTGATCCCCTGAACTGTTCAACAGAACTGTAAACTGTAAAGGAGCTATTATGAGCCGTTAGGCTTAGCATGCTGACCGGACTAACATCTGACGTCCATATGTCTGTGGTAAAACTCACGTGTAGTCCGTTCTTGTCGATCAGGTTGTGAATGTTTGTGGCGACAATATCATAGAGTGCAGGAAGAGACACATCCGAGAAGAAGCGGCGGCTTGGGAGAGTGTAACGTGGCTCCAAGTGTGCTATGAACTTACGAAAACCCGGGTTCTCAACGACGGAAAAAGGCTGGTCTTCGACCGCTATGAACTCCATCACTTTGTCGTTAATGGCTTTAGCCTTTTCGCTGTCTCTTGAGAAGCTTTTGCAGTTTTTAAACGCCCGCTGAATGGGGACATCGATCCTCCGTAGTGTTGTTGTCTTAGCTTTAGTACCGCTAGCAGCTTCGGCGGCTGTCTCATATTCTTTTACTACCGCTTCGCCGCGATGGCGACTTTTCAGATGAGCTATCAGATTCGTTGTGTTAATACTTGACGTCTTCTTTCCTCCTCTCGGAATCCTCGCTGAACAGGTTTTGCATATAGCAGCTGTTGTCATCTTCTGCCACTGAGAGAAACGACCATGCTGGTGAAGACATTTTATTATCTGTCAGGTAGTGACAGGGTCAGGCTTGGGACCTGCGAGTAAGGCTTGATAGACGACGTGACCAGCGCGTCTCGGACGGGCGGCTACTCCGCCTGCAAACGTTACTCGTAATTTCATTAATATATCGGATCTTTCTATCGGAAAAATGCACCTATCGGACCGATAAAAAATGACGTAATTTCCCCCCAAATCGGCCGATATTTTATCGGTCCGATAAATATCGTGCATCCCTAGTTGATTTTAACTCCTAACAGTGAGAACTTGAAGAGCTGAACATGAGGCTGGTCCGAGGAAGTCTTGTGAGTTTGATCGTTAGACGTTGACTTTATCGTTGTCAACAGGAAAGGAAAAGAAAGTATGTAATCCTGCGAGTCACTGCGAGAGAAAGTCTGTGTGGTAAAACTGTTTAAAGATAAGCGATCAATAGTCAAGTATAACTTAATCTGCAATATCTTAAAATGTCCCATTTGTGGATAATCTCCGTTACACATATTAACGGACACTTTACTCCTCGTGTCATTTCCTGTCTTTACTGTAAAGGTCTGAACCTTTCAAAATAATGCTTTCACACTGGGAATGAACCAGACTGTGGTTCAGTTTGGTCTGGACCGAGGTCCTGGGGAGGTTTGACTCAGACAAGTTTCTGCAGAACTGAACTGGACTTTTCTTTGCATTTCAAACCCACTGTGGATAAAGCAGAGCAGACTGTAGATCAACAACAGTGAGATAGAAATCATCATCTCATCAGCATAAAGATGAACTTTAAAACAGCCAACATAATGAAGGGAGAAAAGAACAGAACCCAGGACAGAACCCTGTGGGACGCCGTCTGTAATTGAAACTAAATCTGATTGGACAGTTCTTGGCTGATAACTGTGAGACCAGGTTTAAAGTTCTTCTCAACATCTGGTTCTCCACCTCCATGTGGCGCTGTGATACAGGCAGACGTCCAGATCGAAGGGACTGGACTGTTCAAAATAAACGTTAGTTCAGAAAGTCTGGATCCAGTATCTGTTTCAGACCCCTGACCCTGTAAAGTTCTGATGATCGGACTCTCTGAAGTCCAGCAGCTGGAGCCTGCAGACTCTGGATCCTGGTCTGACGTGTTTCACTCTTTGTCTGGTTCATTGTAGTCAGAATTCTCAATAAAGATGCGTTCCTAAACCAAGGAGCACCTGGACCACCTTCTAAAGAAGGTAACAGATCAGAGCTGTAGGTGGTCTGTAGACCATCTTTAGGTCCACATGTGGTTCTGTAGACGTACAGGTCTTCATGTAGGTCAGTTTGTGTGTTTGCTGTCTGATGGTAGATGGTGGTTTGTAGCTGGACATGGATCTAGTCCCCTCTGGTAGTTTAGACTGCAGTTGTCCTCTTTTACTCCAAAGACCATCAAACTTGATCAGTTCTTGGAGTAAAAGTAGAAAATCTCTGCAGTCAGGGTGTCGGTGAAGAACCTCCAGAGCCCCCCAAGTCCAAAAACCGGAGAAGTCTTTTTTTATTGTGTGTACAAGATAACATCTGGACGTGTAGAGCTCAGTGTCTGTGATGGTGGTTATGCTCATATCTGTGTTTGTAAAGATGCCGACCTTCACCCTGACGTCTGTTTCACTCTTCATTTCAGAAAATAACGCCTACAGCTTCGGACGCACCACAATAGCCAACCTGAAGTCCGGGTGAGTCGGTGTTTCTGCTGCGGGTCGAGCTTTGATCTGTTTACAGACTGTTTACCTGAAGTTACTGCAGACACTCACAGACTCTCTTGTCAAATATATTATTCTGTCAGGACGAACCTGCTGTGGCTGCACACCGTGTTCGCCTTCATGTACCTGCTGCTGACCGTCTACAGCATGAGGAGACACACGTCCAAGATGCACTACAAGGAGGACGACCTGGTAGGTGGACGACCAAGACTCCAAAAACCCACCCTCACTGAATTCTTCTGGTGTCCTCCTCACCCCAGTCCAGTGGTTGGGTTTAAATCCCAGTTTTTTGTCTTGCAGGTGAAGCGCACTTTGTTCATTAACGGCATCTCTAAATATGCAGAGGAGATTCAGATCAAACAGCACTTTGAGTAAGTTCACTGAACGTCTTTTACATCAAATTCAACCTTAATTCATTAGAGATAGATCACTGTTGAGTGTTTGACGAAAACGGAGTTAAACAGTCTGAAAATCAGTCGAATTGGAAAAGAGAAAACTGTTTCTGATGCTCATTTAAAACTTTTAAACCTTCCACTTGTGAAGGACCTTGCGGACGAACCTTCTGATCGATCAAATTCGTCGTTGGTGGAAAACTGTCCTGTGGGTTCGATAAGTCATAAAGTGCGTTTCCGTTACATTTTTTCGCAAAATAAAAGCGATGTTTATCAAATTTCGACAAAGTACAATTGCGATTTGCGGGTGTTTCCATTGAATAGTGTTCAGTGCATAAGTGAGCCGTCTGCCTCTCGCGAGCCGTGTTTAAATGGCCGTTGCCTAGCAACGAGGTAAACTTCCTGCCCATGCGACCTCGTATTCCTTAAGCCTTTTTGCACACCAACATGGACGAGACACAAAACATTTTTCGTTTTGGAGCAGCTATTTCTGCGACCATTACTGCTGTAGCCGCTGCTGTCATTAGAAGACGAAGGCAGCGGGTGATAATTCAAAGGCAAAGCTCGTATGTATGGGAGCGAACACGGATGAGCGATTTCTGGGAGAGGATCTTTAATGAGGAATTCACAGACGAACTGTGGATTCAAAACTTCAGAAAAATACAAATACAATTCAAAACTTCAGAAATAACTCCGTCTCCTCCTCCGTCCACATATACCGTGCCATCTACGCTTGAAATGAACTGGTCACTTGACCCGCTACGTCACGTCCGGTGACAGAGAATTGCGAGAAAAGTGTTTCCATTACACTTTTGCGATATACTTCTATATCGACACTTCTGAAAAACCACCTCATGAGAGCGTAAAAACTTTTTAGCGATATTTGGGAGGTTTTTCGAAATGTAGGTGTTTCCATTACCAGTTTTCTATTGCGATATTTACGTTTTGCGCAAATCTATGGGTAATGGAAACGCAGCTATAGATGTATTTGTTGTTTTTCAGGCAGGCGTATGAGAACTGCACGGTGCTGGAGGCTCGGATCTGCTACAACGTGGCCAAACTGATGTCTCTGAACGCAGAGAGGTGAGACAGAGCCCAGTGCATGCTGGGATATACAGGTGACAGAGATCAGGTAAACTGAGTCCCTTTTATGTGTGTGTGTGTGTGTGTGTGTGTGTGTGTATCAGGAAGAAGACGGAGCGCAGTAAGAAGTTCTTCACTGACCTGATGGCGAAGGAACACGTTCCCACCATGATCAACCCAAAACCCTGCGGACACCTGTGCTGCTGCGCCATCACCGGCTGTGAGGAGGTGATGCTAATGCTAATGCTAATGCTGTGAATCCTTTGAACGCGAGGCCTTTAATTGTTGGTGTTTTAGGTGTGTGTGTGTCTAACTGTCTCCACACACCAAGCGCGAGTGAATAACATGTTAATACAAACACGCGATTAGACGCTCATACAGCCCTGGCGTCGAATGACACAAATTGGACAGGAGCTGAAAATGTCTCAATTTGAGCGGATAGTAGAGGACAGGCAGATGGCCGAGGTCCCCGCAGCGGTCGCAGGTTCGAGTCTGGCCCCCGACCGTGTGCTGCATGTCCTCCCCGCTCTTTCTCTTTCTCCCCAAACTTCTAACCTGTCCTGTCAATAAGCAGATTAGCGGTGATTCAGCTGTCTCCATCTGTCCCGCAGGAAGAGGCGGTCAGCTTCTACACCAAAAGGGAGGCCAAACTGAAGGAGGAGTACAGGAAGGAGAAGGAGAAGGTCCACACCAAACCCCTCGGCATGGCCTTCGTCACCTTCCAGAATGAGGCCATGACCGCCATGTAAGACACGCCCTGACCCCGCCCCTTTTTCTCTCTGTCTGTCTTTAGTGACTTAAGAACTTTACTGCTCTGCCCCGCCTCCTTTCTCTGACCACACCCCCTTCATTTACAGCATCCTGAAGGACTTCAACGCCTGTCAGGTCCAAGGCTGCCGCTGTCGCCAGGAGCCGCGGTCCTCACAGTTCAGCGAGTCTCTTCACGTTCACAACTGGAGCGTTTCATACGCGCCCGACCCGCAGAACGTCCGCTGGTACGTCCACAAGCTCCACCCACCTGAGTCATACAAACTAAACGCCCCCGATGTCCTCACCTGATGTGTCCTGTGACTTTGTCTTCTGGCAGGGAGCACCTGTCTCTGGGGGGGATCTCCTGGTGGATCCGCTGCTTCATCATCAACTGCATCCTCTTCATCCTGCTCTTCTTCCTCACCACACCGGCCATCATCATCTCCACCATGGACAAGTTTAACGTCACCAAACCTGTCGAGTATCTCAACGTAAGACGCACAAGTGGACTCATGCTGAGCGGGAAGGACAGGAAATGAATGTTTATAACCGACTCACTGACACTGTGTTTGTCTGTTTGTTTGTTTGTTTTTGTGTTTGTTTGTTTTTCTGTTTGTTTGTTTTTCTGTTTGTTTGTTTGTCTGTTTGTTTGTCTGTTTGTTTGTCTGTTTGTCTGTTTGTTTTTCTGTTTGTTTGTTTGTTTGTTTTTCTGTTTGTTTGTTTGTTTGTTTGTTTTTCTGTTTGTTTGTTTGTTTGTTTTTCTGTTTGTTTGTTTGTTTTTCTGTTTGTTTGTTTTTCTGTTTGTTTGTTTGTTTGTTTGTTTTTCTGTTTGTTTGTTTTTCTGTTTGTTTGTTTGTTTTTCTGTTTGTTTGTTTGTTTGTTTTTCTGTTTGTTTGTTTTGTTTGTTTGTTTGTTTTTCTGTTTGTTTGTTTTTCTGTTTGTTTGTTTGTTTGTTGTTCTGTTTGTTTGTTTGTTTGTTTTTCTGTTTGTTTGTTTTGTTTGTTTGTTTGTTTTTCTGCTTGTTTGTTTTTCTGTTTGTTTGTTTTTCTCTTTATTTGTTTGTTTGTTTTTCTGCTTGTTTGTTTTTCTGTTTGTTTGTTTGTTTGTTTGTTTGTTTTTCTCTTTATTTGTTTGTTTGTTTGTTTGTTTGTCCCACAGAACCCCATCATCACTCAGTTCTTCCCCACGCTGCTGCTCTGGGCTTTCTCCGCCCTCCTGCCCACCATCGTCTACTATTCGGCGTTCTTCGAGGCTCACTGGACCAGGTGACCAACCAGCTCCTGAACACAAAACCACATTAGACTGACACCTTCTCAGGTCTCCCATGACTGTGGTCAAACATGAATATGAGGAAGGTCTCTGTGACAGAAAAGAAGAACTCTTTCCTTCTCGTTAAATGAACTAATTTGACATGAACACATCTTCAGTTTCGATCTTTACTTAATCTTGGTTTGTCCTGAATTTGACCTTGTTTGACCCTTAATTTGACATGATTTCGCCCTCAAATAAACCTTGATTTGAACAAGGGAAGCACAGAAAATTCGGCATGTACTCCCTTAAATCGGACCCTTAATGTTGATCGTAATTGGACCTTTGATTTGATCCTAATTTCTCCACAGTTGTGCGTCTTTTTGACCTGAATCTGTCTCGAGTTTCTCCTTTGAATTAAACTGGAACCCTTTAAAAAAAATTGACTCTTGATTTGATCCCAGTTTGAGCAGATTCGTTGCTTGTTTTGACCGTTAAACATCCTTGGTATCTAAACCAGACTTGACTCTTGATAGGTCCAGGTCCCACATGATCCGGACCCCTTTCCTCATGTTTTTGTGGTCTTGCAGGTCTGGAGAGAACAGGACAACAATGCACAAGTGTTATACCTTCCTGATCTTCATGGTTCTGCTGCTGCCATCTCTCGGACTGAGCAGGTAACAACACCTGTTGTCTGTAAGAATGTGTCTCAGTGTGACCTTTGACCCTAGATGACTGACCCCTCTGTGTTCCTGTTTTCCAGCCTGGACGTTTTCTTCCGTTGGCTCTTTGACAGGAAGTTCTTGGCTGATGCCACGGTCAGATTCGAGTGAGTGTTTGATTATTTTAAACACTTTAACTCCGTTATCCTGAGATTATTCCAGAACGCTGTTTGACCCGTTTTAAGTCGACACTCTCCGTCCTCTCTAGGTGTGTGTTCCTGCCGGATAACGGAGCGTTCTTTGTCAACTATGTCATCGCCTCCGCGTTTATCGGTAACGCCATGGACCTGCTGAGGATCCCCGGTTTGCTTATGTACATGATCCGCCTTTGCCTCGCTCGGTCTGCAGCCGACCGCCGCAACGTCAAGAGGGTAAGGATGGATCATGACGGCCTGAGTTTAGATTTTTAAGATCTCAGTGGACAAAAAAGAACCACTAACGTCACGTAGAGTTCAATTCATTGGGCTTTTGTGATCCACAATCCTTTCATTGATGCTTCAGCCTCTTGGGGGCGCTGCTTTGTCTGTTCACTGCTTTAAATCTCCACTTTGGTTCCTGCAGCATCAAGCCTACGAGTTTCAGTTTGGAGCGGCGTACGCGTGGATGATGAACGTCTTCACTGTGGTGATGGCCTACAGCATCACCTGTCCCATCATTGTCCCCTTCGGTATGTCGAACTACACTTCCCACAGTGCACTGCTCTTTCTACACCTCCTGATAATGTAGCACCAGAACTGTATAAACAAAGACATGAGTACCTGGATCGTACATGACCCCTCCCCTGTCCTCCTGCAGGTCTCATGTACATGTTGTTGAAACACCTGGTGGACAGGTACAACATGTACTACGCCTACCTGCCCTCCAAACTGGACAAGAAGATCCATTCAGGCGCCGTCACTCAGGTGGTGGCTGCACCCATCCTCTGCCTCTTCTGGCTGCTCTTCTTTTCCACTGTACGCACAGGTAAGCCCCGCCCCTGCCTGCCTGGATGGACCAATGAAACACCTTAAACACCTGAAGTCAAGTCCAGAACAATTGAAAAAGTCATCAGGTCAGAAACAGGTCCGGTCCAGAAGTCAGAGACTAGGCAGAAAACTGTTAAAAAATGAAGCAGGGTTCAAGAACTGCAGTTCCCCCAGTGTCCACTAGAGGCCTTGTCCTTGAGTGAGTCAGTCCCCATAGAGGTCCATGTTAAAACAGCAGAAATGACCACCATCACATTCTGGAACAGGAACTGTTTGGGTTTGCCAACGCTAATGCTAACTGCTAATGTGCTATCAGGTTTCGAGACGCCGACGTCCATGTTCACTCTGGTGGTGCTGATCGTCACCATCGTGGTCTGTCTGTCTCACGTCTGCTTCGGACACTTCAAATACCTCAGCGCTCATAATTACAAGGTGAGCGGGTTTACCTGTGGGTGTGAAGGTGAGGAGTGAAGCGTCCACGTGGTTTTTTTCACCGTCTGACTCTGCGTCTCTGTCTCAGATCGACACCAAGGAGACCGATGTAGATGCCGTCGAGAACGGACGTCCAGCTCGTCCCACGTCCTCTCCGACCACCAAGTCTCAGGTGAGCGAAAACCACAGCGCCCGATTCAAAACAGTTTGGTCATTTAGAGTAACTCCGTCTCATTCGTAACGTTAGATTTGATTGTTTAGGATGACCATACGTCCTCTTTTACCTGAACGTGTCCTTTTTTGGGGGAGGGGCTGTCTGTCTTTGTCTGGGGGAGTTTATAAAATCCTTCAAATGTTCGGGGTTTTGTATGAAGTTATGAGTTTGTGTCGAGTTAGAAAAAACACTCGATCCGACCCGTCAAACTCTCAAAATGAACCACGTGTGACTCTGTGACTCCGCCCCCGCGTAGTCGTGTCCTCTTTTTGGGGATTCAGGATATGGTCACTCTACACAAGTTCATGAACGCCAATCAATTCTGGAGTCACAGCACAGCCCTGCCAATCAGCAGTCAGCAGGTCGGCCCGTGACAGGAATTGAGCGCCATATAAGGAGGAGTCAGTGTGTGCTTCATGAGGAGATCTGTACCAGTCTGAGTGGGTTTCATTATAAACCAGCTCAATACGTGTTTATTCAATTTTCAAAATAAAACAAAAATTAAAAAAAATTGGAAAACAAATTGTTTTCTAAATATTCGTCTCTAAAACAAAAATCTTAACGGCTCATATTCTGAGTTTTCTTCAGCTCAAATGAAAATGGGATGAAGGATAAAGGGACAGTTTTATCTGATTTTAGAGTTTTTCATCTGCAGAAGGTTTCGTGACTGTAAGTGAACCTTAGTGGACTTGTCGTGGCTGAACTCCAGAGTTAGACAGAGCCTTTACAACACTTTTCTTCAGGATGGCTAAAGCTGAGAGGAGACGGAAAATGAGCCGTTATCCGTTTTTTAAAATTTTTCGTTTTAGAGACGAATATTTAGAAAATAATTTGTTTTCTCGTTTTTTATCTTTAGTTTTATTTTGAAAATCGAATAAACAAAAGTTCCACGGATTATTCGGCTCCTGTTGTTTCCTCTTTGACATTTGAAACCTACTTGAAGCTCAAACCTGCTTCTTTTTGTGGGACATGTTTAAATGACGTGTTTTAATCTGCCTGCTGTGAACGAAAACTGATCACAGTATTGATCAGGATCAGGATTTCTCAGAATACTTCATTTCTGTGCGTCCTTCACTCAGAGGCCGGTGTGTGGATTTAGTTCGTACCTAAGAACAGGTTCGAACCACTCAAGTCTCGATGAGTTCATGTGAAGCTCGGGGTTTTCACCACGCCTCTCAGCCGTCGTCCTGTTCTTTTCTTTTTGGCGTTCTTTGACGGTTTGAACCCTGTGGGCGGTCCCATTTTCAGGCCTTTGTTTTGTGATATTTCATGAACGTGGTCAGAGGTTCGACGCCCTGATGCTGACGAGTGTCCCTGTTTTTTTTGTGGTTGCAGCAGCAGCAGCAGCAGCAGCAGCAGCAGATGTACATCGCTCAGGTGCTGCAGGACCCAAACTCAGACGAGCCGGGCGGGGGGAGCGGCGAGGAGGACCGGGGCTCGTCCCAGGACGAGGAGATGCTGAACGGAGGGAACAGCATCAACGAGGCGGATTTTCAGTCAGGGGAGGACAGTCTGATAGCCAACGAGGTCCACCAGTAGCAGGGGGTGGAGCTAGAGGGAGAGGGAGGAGCTTGAGGGTCGTCGCTCACGCGACAGTGAAAAAAAAGCTGACTGGAGAATCACTTCACATACAAACACACATAGAGCTAGTATGACACAGTTAGCTCCTCCCCCTCCCTGCTCGAAGACTTGACCCTGACCTCCGACGCCGGCGCTGGGTCGCCATCATCCTGTCCCTGCACACCTGTGGAGACTTGATAGACACCGGACTGAGTCCACAGGAAATCACTGTACATAACCACAAAGCCAAAAGTTCTCTTTCGTTTTTCTCGGGGTGGGGGTGGGGGGGCGGGGTTTAAATTCGTGCCTGGGCTGGATTTTGTCGGTACGCACTCGTGTCTTGACTCCTGACAGGTTGCAGGAACTCGACCCGTCCAGGGGTCAACACTGACACATGTTCCCTTTTGGCGTGATGTCCGACATCGCCGCTATCCTCCGACATCAGAGTGCTGAGTATCTCGTTAACCGCCAGCTCTTGTAGTGGTAGAAGCCTCGCTTACGCAGACGTGCCGCAGACGCCCTTCTTCCTGTTTGCCGGTTTCATTTTTTCTTTCATGGATGTTCTCGTTTCTCCAACACGCCGCCCTCAAAGGTTCGGGTTTCTTTGACCTGCTGAGCTTCTGCTGCATGTCGTTCAAAGTTCTGCCTGGACCAGCGGCGTCGCCGTCGTCGTCGTCGTCCTTTCGGATGACGTCATGACGACAGGGCTTCTGTGGCCAATGAGAACAGATTCCCAGTCTGAACACAGCAGCTCATCCTCTGACCTTCTGATGTTCTCAGCTACGCTCGGGGCTTCAGCCGGACCGCCCCTCAACACCATTCTCTCTCTCTCTCTCTCTCTCTCTCTCTCTCTCTCTCCCTCTCTCTCTCTCTCTCTCTCTCTCTCTCTCTCTCTCTCTCTCTCTCTCTCGCTCTCTCGTTTTGATTTCACCCGAACGACCTTAAATCATCTGAAGTCATGACAAAGGGAACGGGGACGTTTGTGTCTGTGTAGGTTTAAAGATCTGAACTCTTTGTGGTTCCTGGACTGAGACCTTTGTGAAGACACTCCCACACTTCCAGCAGCGGCGGCGGCGGCGTGGTTTGAGCCCGGGTAGACGCAGAAGAAGAAGAGCAGCGCTTTTCGTTTGGACGGTCTACCCTCACCGCCTGAAGCTGTCAGGATACTCAAGGGAAATGTTTTCTGTGTGTGTGTGTGTGTGTGTGTGTGTGTGTGTGTGTGTGTGTGTGTGTGCGTGTGTGTGTGTGTGTGTCCAGTAGCTTATTGTGTTCTAACCTGCATCATGAAGGTGCAGCAGCATCACCTGGTGACCCGGAACGCCCCAAAAAAGCGGCAGGATGACACGATCCGGCGCTTCTTAACCCGTTTGTCCACGACACGATATTTGACCTTTACTTTGAAGGCGAGTCACGTTCGACTTCCTGCCCCCCACGAACATCCACAGAGTGTGTGTTCACCGCGTCACTGCTGCAGGTCGGGCTGGGCGGGATCGGAAAACGTCGATGTCGACTCTGATCGAGTCTCGTCTTTGCCGACACGTCGACTGCTGCTCTGATGCAGAATACTCACGACGCGCTGTGGTCTTTTTCCCATGATCCTTTTGGTGTTTGACGATGCGTGTGAGCTGGGGCCTGCCTCCTCTGATTGGACGGTTTTGGAAAGAAGACCTGTACATGAACTGGGCTGGTTTGGTTCTGGAGTTTGTCTCCGCTGAACTCTGACTCGCCGTTCAATCGGAGCGATATCCTTCCATGCCTAATTAGCTCCGCCCACTTTCCAAAACTTCACCTTTTGTTCGGTTCTGATCCAGCACACGGACGGAGATCGAGAGATTAAATGAGTTCTGAGATGTTATAGAAAGGAAGTGACCCCTTCAAAATAAAGTGTCAGTTAACGCTTAAGCGAGCTGATGAGGTCGGCCTCGGGCATTTGGCTGTGATCTGCCCCCTTGTGGACAAACATTATGAAGTGCACCAAACTGACGCAGTATGATTGGTTGCCATGGTGACAGTCAGAGGAGGCGGGCCCTGATTTGCAGCATCAGGCGAGTGAAACAGATAAAACAACCTCCAGGTGAAATCCTGTTTACATCAGCTTTTGTTGCTCCTGATCATGTCTGTGTGTGTGTGTGTGTGTGTGTGTGTGTGTGTGTGTGTGTGTGTGTGTGTGTGTGTGTGTGTGTGTGTGTGTGTGTGGACACAGAGCTAGACTATGAAAGCTGTAGCCAGCAGGACGTGTCGCGGCGGCTACACGCCGGAGAACTGTAGCGTTTGTGTCCTCGTGGTTTTATTTTTCTGACTTTAGTTCGTCGTCACCTCCAGCAGGCGTCTGCTGGTCTGATTGTATGCACATGAACCTGAACCTGAACCTGAACCTGAAGGATCTGGATCTGAGGTCTGATCTATGACCAGAGGTTCGGCTCAGCAGCTCTCAACCCTCAGAGAACAAATTCAGAGATCAGAGAGGAAGGATGAAGTCAGGGTGTGTTTCTGACCGCCTCCCTGAGCAGCGTTTGATGAAATCTACGAGGAGCTGAACGGAGACAGAAGGTCTTTTTTTAAAGTCACGACTGATGCGACACATTTCACGATTCATAACCAGCTTCGATCCTGGAGAGAGGGAGGAAAAAGCAGCTTGTTGTAAAATTAAATCTTTGTTATCGTAAGATGGAAAAATCAAAGTCATATTAGTGGACTGTGTGTACAGATGTGGAACTCATCCAGAGGAGGAGGAGGAGGAGGAGGAGGAGGAGGTGCTGTCTGACCTTCACCGTAACCACAGGTGTTTAAAAACAAAAGTCACTTGAACTCTTCGACCGTGTTCGGCTCTTAGTACCAGTGCAGCAGGAGTTTTTTGCAGTGCAGCTCATTTATATAGAAAGAAGTATATTTTTCCAAATGACTGATTATGGATCATTTATATACATGCAAACAACACTGGTGCAGATTTGCTTGGCAGTGAAGTTTGTGGCGTATTTAACCTGCGGCGTGTTTTTAGTGAATCCGACCCTCACTTCCTGCTAAACTGTGAACGGTTCGCAATAAAAGCCTACCTCCAATATAAGCCTGCTCTCCAACACGGATCAGGACGGTCCAGACGAAAAGCAGATAAAGGATTCGGCCCAGATAAGAGGAGTTCATTTAAATGAATAAAACCAGGACACCTTTTGCCCACAGGGGGCGCCAAAATCAGCTTTAAAAAGATTCAGACGAACTGAGGAGTTTTTGTTCCTTTGACCGGTGAACGGACCCTGAGGAAGTCTGCAGATACAATAAAACTCAGATATTCGTTTTCAGCTCATTAACCCAGAAAAAAAAACGACGTTTTTTCAGGATCGTCTGATAATAAATATCTTTAACTGTGAAACGGCGACAGCACAGCTCTTAGAAAACCGTGAAAAGCTCCGTTCATCCTTTCATTTCTCAAACCTGCGGGTCTGCTTCATCCTCATTGGTCACGTTCGACCACCTGAGCGCTCATGTCTGCAGAGGTCAAAGGTCATGTGAGGGACAGATCTGAGAGCTGAGAGCTGCTGCGTTCACTGACCTCTGGGTGCAGTAAAACCTGAAGATACCCATAATAACAATAATAATAATAATAATAACGAAGAGTCTGTGTGATATTTTTGTAACCTGCTGACTGAAGTATTTGATACTGACGTGTTAAACACAAACGTTGAAGACGGCGTGACGATGCTGATGTAAAATGTAACTGAAGTTTTGAATAATCAGACGCTGCTTTTTGCTTTTCTTAGTTTTCTAAATCGTTTCTGAAGGTGTAAAAAAAAACAAAAAAAGATGAATGTGAAGTGAAGAGAGGAACCAGAGGCCGGACACTGGAGAAGAGAGACTGTGTAAAATATAACCTGTGTAAATAAACATGAACTGCACTGTCGTCATGGAGACGAGCTAACGCTGGGTTGCTCCTCTCATGTTTTAATTTATTGCTGTGACTATTTATTTTTACTTCAGGTCATCTGTACAGTGGAACATTTGTCCTATTTATGTTACTGATCAATAAAATGGCTTCATCTGTAAAAACCTGCCGACTGTCAGTGAATGCAGCCAAGACTAAAGCTCAGATCACCCAGGGACCCTGAAGGCATCACCGTGAGTAAACGCCCTACAAATACACTCTGTGAGGCTGAAAACACACAGGGTTTGTGTTGAGTCTGTTCTGTCAGTATCGCGTTTCTGCTCCGTCGAGCAGCGCTGTCTATCGCACACAGGATCAGCGTAGTGCAGCCCCCCCAGGAGTTCACAGATGGTGTTTTATTTTGAAATTTACCAGATGACATGCGTGGTTTTCCTGAAAGCCTGCAGACCAGAACTGAGTTGTTCAGGACCCCAATTTTTCAAACCGAGGATTCCAGAGTCCTGCTAACATCACAGATGGTTTGAACAATTTCAGAAACATCACTTTCTGTTTTTGGAAACTCTTTTACAACTTATTTGGAATCAGGGTTTTAGTGAAAGAAGAGAAGAGGATCATAATAAGAAAGTCCAATATAAATATTTTTAATTATTACTCTGAGAAAAAAAAGTCTGACTTGTTTCTCAGGCCAATAATAATAATAACAATAAAATTATTGGCCTTTCTTAGGATTTTCCCTGGTTCTGAACACAACTGTGTTGAAATATTTATAATATATTTATATAATATATAACTCTAGGAACCAAAAAATTTCTGTCAGTTTTAAGTTATGAACATAAAAATGGGAAATGCTAATTTATTCATTTAAAATTTTTTTACATTTATACAGTTATTTAGGGCTGTAATGGATGTATGATAGAGGACCTGAGAATTTTTTACAGAAATAAAAATCTGTTTTTAAAAAACATATTTAATAAAATCATTTATCATCTTGTAATTGAAGTTTTGTAATTGAAAATCCCTGATATGAGCTCTGATGACAGCAGAACACAGAGTTCTGTAACATTAGAATAAACACACACGGTTTCTGTTTGAAGTATTCGTCATCATGAACTTGTCGGAGCAGCTCCCTCCAACACAAACACTGTTGTCATGTAATACAATCATTAAACAGCTCATTTGTGTTCCTCTATTAATTAATGTGTGTTATCCATTTAGTCCCGTCGTCTACACGTCCGCTCATTACACGGATACTAATTGGTCCCAGAGCGGATTTCTGATCGCGGAGCTTAATGAACGATTCGTTAAGTGAGAGCTTAGCCAATCAGAGCTGTGTGAACCCGTCTCTGCCTCAGGCCGTCGTTACAGAAGACAAAAACAGGCGTGTGTGTTCACAGAGAGGGTTTCAGGTTTCAGTCGTTATCGATGCTGCAGATAAAAAACTCAATCTTCACTCATTAAAAACACATTTTTATTAAATGAGGTCAAAAAGGAGTCGTTTCTGTCTAAAGTTTTTATTATTTGTGGACATCCAACAACAGACAAACCTGACTCTGTCAAACCAAATTAAAATATCATCTGTGTTTGATTTATCGCCCTATTTTGGCAGATTAACGCTTCTATGATTCACAGCGAGTCAAACCTCGACTCTCACGTTCTTTTAAATCAAACTAGCTCACTTGGCTACTTAGCGACCTGTTACCGAAGCTAACGCACGGCCGTACACGGGTTCAAAATCTCAATCACTGAGATTCCTGACTCGACTCTGCCAACATGTGTGAGTAAAAACAAGATTAATCTGCCTCACAGCTGCCGCATATAACAGGATATAACAGGATAAGACAAACAGAAAAACAAAACTTTTATTTCAGGCTGTAAACGTGTTTATTTCTGCTGTGATATTGAGCTAATAAAGGTTCCTTCGCTATTGAAGACAGCCCCAAGTGGACACTCAAAGAACTGCAGTTTCCAGAGATTACCACTTTGTTGTAACAATAGATTTAACAGCTTCTAATTTAATTCAAAATAAGCTCATTAACATGTTTTATCTTAAAGATAAGAGGTAGAAAAGTTAAAAATTGGACAGTAAAATTTTCTAAAAGTTCAGACGGCGAACCTGTTTTATGAGCGAGCTCTTAAAAGTGTCTGTTTCTAAACAGCATCAAGTGCAAAGAAGAGCCACTAATCCTCGGCCTAAGGACATTTTATTTCTAAGCTCTATTTTTTAATCAATGAAGATTTAAATATAGATTTAAATATAGATGTTCTTTCTTTCTTTGTTTCTATTCTCTGCTGTTCACTCACTCATACCTGGTAAAGCTGTTTGCATGTTCAGTAAACTTTACGGACAGACATCCTGCACACTGAGTCCGGTACGTTTGTTGTTCAGCCAATAATCACTCAGGTTTTGGATTCAGAGAGCAAACATCATCGAGGTCGTTTTTCGGACTCGGTGCGCAGACAGGAAAACTTCAGAGGCTCGATTACACCTTGACATCTTGAGGCTTCTTGGAGACGCTCTGTCCACAGCAGCCGCAGCCCGAATGCTCCATCTTGGTGATGTAGAGGAGCGGCTCGATGCTGCAGCTCAGGTCCATGATGGAGAACACGCTGATGCTGATCTGGCAGCGAAACTGCACAAAGGTGTAGTAGGGCACGAAGGGCATGAGCGCCACGGGCGGCAGGTAGTTGGAGACAATGATGGCGAGGATGATCAGCACCATCTTTAAGGCTTTCTTCTTCACCGGGTGCATCTCCTCCTTTCCTGCCACAGAGCGCCGAAGCACCCAGATGACGGAGATGTTGCAGAAGACCATGACGGCGAAGGAGAACAGGATGACGCCGCTGAAGACCTCGTTGACGCTCATGACTCCAAGGAAGCACTTGGTGAAGCCGTAAGCCAGGATGAGGCCCCAGACCAGCACAGAAACGCCGATGCGGATCTTGTTGTCTCGTATTCCGCTGAACACGACGGGGTGGACCACGGCCATGTAGCGGTCGAGGCAGATACACACCTGGAACAACAGATCAGTGACGGGGTGTTACGCCAGATTAACTCTGGAGGAATCTGTCTAATGTGGTTTAGAAATCTGTTTCAGTTCGTGTTCGGAGAGTTTCACATTTCAACATGGCAGAGCGGATAAACATCGACCATGTGACCCAAGATTTACAGTCCGTACTCTGAGCCGGGACATGACTTTAATGACTGAACCACCTCCAAGACCTGAAGGTGATGTCGAGCCTACGACTTATCACCGTGGATAAAACTGAAGACAGTAACTACAACATTTGTTAAGACTCTGATCTGAGGGACATCGTTGGGTTCTCACCAGTCACGCCTCACTGATACTGGGAACGATGGTTTAGGACAGGGGTCGGCAACCTTAAACACTCAAAGAGCCACTTGGACCAGTTTCCCACAGAAAAGAAAACACAGGGAGCCACAAAACCTCTTTGACATCTAAAATGAAGATAACACTGCATATATGTTTTTTTTTTCCTTTATACAAAGTATATAAAAAACTGTAGCGAGTTGCATTTATGAAATAAATGAACTATTTCGGCGAGTGTCTGTCTTCTTCTGTAGTTAAACCGCAAGATATCAAAATCTACCCGGATACAGCAATGCTGCTTTTTGATTGGCTGTTCAGTAGATATACTTTATTTGATTGGCTTGTGCGTGGCACGCAGCTTCTGAACTCTCTGAGGAACTCAGTTGATTTCCTCCAGTTCCAAAGTTGAAGAAGTGCAACTTGGTGGACATCACCGTGTTCATTTAAATGCGTGAGAAATACAATGTGTGGTGTGTGAGCGTGTGAACGAGTGGGAATGCGCGTGTCATACGCTGAATGCGTGAGACTTGAGAGCCCTGTGCTCACGCATCATCGATGTACTCCCGAGCCATGCAAAACGGTCTTTGGAAATGTTGCACTGAACGCCTTCCTTTTCAGTCTTGGTGAAGTTTTCCCACACCACTGATGTTTAAGGTCGGGATTTGGGTTGGGTTGTGTCCATGTTTTTCTCAGCCGCTGCCTCGGCCATGGCTGTTTCTTTTCTGTGCGTCCTGCTGATGTTTACACGCCGGTGTCTGTGGACATATATAAAGACCCGACGAATCGATTACAGAATTTGTTGGCAAAGGATTTTTTCGTCACAACGAATCGACTTAATCGATTCGTTGTTGCAGCCTAAACAGTTTATTTAATGTTACAAAAGCATTATAATCTTTGAATTTAGAATTACAAAATAATAATAATAATAATAATAAAATAAAATAAAATGCAATTAAGTATTTATTATTTATTTTCCAAATCCATTGGGAGCCGCAGCTTAGGGAAGAAAAAGCCGCATGCGGCTCCAGAGCCGCGGGTTGCCGACCCCTGGTCTAGGAGCTGGAACTCCTGAAAAGTGTCGTTTCTACGGGAAAACCAAAAATCTGTGACATGATTCCCAAATCAAGACACTGTTAGAATTATGACCTTTTCTTCATCTAGATTTACAAACAGCTGGACCGAGTTTGAATCTTTGCTTTACCCAAACGTCGTTGTTTTGTGGTTTTTCTTTATCAGAAACCGACTCTGTGGAAGATCTCACTGTTCTTCTACTTTACGCTCAACAATTCAAACACTTACGAGAAACAGTGGCGCCACATCCTTGATCCCGTATGCAAACCTCTGAGCGTACCAAATGCGGCTGTCCCCCAGCAGCAGCCGGTTCGCCATCTCTATCGGCGTCATCAGACAGAAGTAGGCGTCCAAGATGGCCAGGTTAAAGATGAAGATGTCCGAAGTGGATGTGTCGCTTTTCTTCGAGGCGATCTGCCAGATGACCAGGATGTTACACGGCGTCCCGATGGCCAGGTTGAACACCTTGACCCCGAAGTAGAAAATGAAACCGTAGGGAGCGACAGCGCAGACTGGGAACTGGTACCAGGGTGGGGGTCCATGAGGGACAGCAGGTGTGGTGGAGTTAACATGGAGGCTCAGAGTGGCGTTGATCATGGCTGACGCTGGAACGTTTCAGGACAAAGTCAGAGTCTGGGATTAGCTGAGATTATTCCTGACCATCTCGACACGCCAACAAAGACTGATTATGTGTAGATCATCTTACCGTCACATAAACGCTTCAGAGCGAACACCAGAGTACAAACACAGATTCAGAACTTCAAATGTGGTCGTCTTACCTCAGCAGAGCTCACGGCGTCCTGTGATCCCGGGACTCTTCCTCACACGACGTATGAGGCCGGTTTATAAAGGAAAACACTCTTCAGGGATTGGCTGGTCAAACGGTAAGATTGGTCAGTGATGCTGTCGAGACGTTTCCCCTGATTGGATGGCGTGGATTCTAGGCGTGCTCAGTTAGCTGGTGCAGGTGTCGTGTCCGTGTTAAGGTAGGGCTGAGCGAGCTGCAGGCGGTGAGATTGGAGGTCATGTCGTCATTCCCTCCAGAGTTTGAGTCATTTCACTGTGAAGAGTCCTCTGCTGTCGGCTTCAGTTTATGAGGCTTGTGTGTTTTTTTGTTCTGCAGCAGCACAAATGAACGTTTGTTCTCACTGATGCAACTTCACTCAGTAAACAGGTGATGCAAGGTCAGCAGACATGAGAAAACTTCTGCAAGGAGTGACTAATGAACCCGGAGCGTGGCGAGCGAAAATAACCGTGTTCCAGACGGGCTGCAGAACGCAAGATCGAGCAGTCATGACGAATATCCACTTACACCAGTACTGCTGAAACACTGTGCCGTTACATAACCGATCATCATCATCCTCACAGTGACACCACAGACTGTATTCACTCTCGACAACGTGGTTCCTCCCTCCTCCAGTTTACGGATTTGAAGGTGAAAAGTTCTCAGTAATTCTACGATTTTTCTTCATTTCCTGAAACCAACATTGTGCGGTAGTGTTGTACGCATTTGGTGGAATAGTCGCCGAGCATTGCTAAGATGACGCTCGGCTCAAACAGCGTATCCCCCGGTGATCTACTCAATCTCTGTCCTCCCATTGGCTGTATCAGGTGTCAATCATTGAAAACATGAACCCCCTAATAACTTTTAAAAATGGAGCTGTACAGAAAAAAGAGGACTTGAGCACAAACCAGTCTGACAGTAACTACATGTCAACATCACAACCAGGGGGGAGAAACATTTATATTCTGTGTCATTCATTTAGAAAGTTTGTCCACAGCTCCATAAGGAGGCGGGGTTTATGACCTGTACTGCAGCCCGTCACCAGAGGGCGCTGTTCTCAGAGAGAGGAGGCAGACAGCGTCTGTTCTTTATACAGTCTATAAGAACCACCAGTCTACCACCAGATCATGTCCCTCGTAGCTCCACGTACCCTAAGATTTGTTTATAGAAATCATCGGACTTCAACGTTAGCGACGACAACATGACGGCGTTTTCATTACTCAACCTTCGTCGTGTTTTGTCGATTATTTTTGGTACATTATAAGTCAGCTGATAGAAACAGGCTGAGAGTTGGACGTGTCTCTGTCAATAATTCAGTTTTTGCCTGTAAACCGGGACAAAGACAAAAGTCCAGTTTCGTCTCCTCACTGAGCTTCTGTCTCTGTCCTGAAGCTCCTCCTGACTGTGTTTGTAAACTGACCGACTGACAGTTTGGTGAAAAAATCTCACTGCTATAAACTCCAGATATGAAACTTGTATGTTTTAAATGATTTATAATAAATCCTGCTGTTAAAATACTTCTTGATGATAACAGGGAAATGTTCTCTTGTTATAATAATAACCAACCTGATGATGAATGCTCGTGTTGAAAAATCAGAGACGTATATAAACATAAAGCTGTTTTATTTAGAGGCTGTGTTTGTTTAACAGAAGCAGACTGTGTCAGAACCACACGTTTACCGACCGACACGTTCCTATAGAGAGCTAAACAAACCTGCTGTAACAACAACCGGACGAGTGCGCCGCCTGAGTGTATTTGCATTCTGTCTGTGTCATCAGACGGAGCTGCAGAGAACACCTGTCAGCGACTATAGGTGAACACAGTATGCAAAGTCAGGAGGAGTTGGTGGAGGGTGGTCTGAGTTTTGTTTTAAGGATGTCAGAGATGACTGACCTGGACCTGGAGCCTCACTGAACCAGAACATCTGCCAAGTGTGAGTGAACTTATAAACTTTTATAACTTCACTGTTTCTGTTGATTTGCCCAAAAAACAAAACATGAAAATCTCAAATTCAGGAGGAAAACTGTCCTAATGTCACTTCTAGTCAAAGTGTTTTCCATGAAGTTTTAAGTCTGAGTTACAACCACGATAAACGAACATTAATGATCACACTTTCAGACTCTGGTATTTAATATTTCACCATCCATTAGTTTCTTATTAGCAGCTAAAAAAACAACATGCATTAAATCTGGGAGTTAGGCATGACTCAGTGTTTTAGCAGCAGTTTACAGTTTACAGTTTACAGTTTACAGTTTAATGTCCGTGTTGAATAAATGAGTAACTCATTATAAAGCACTAATTGACACTTTCTTTGTATGAATTATCTGTAAACTGAGAGTTTCTTCTCCTTAAAATACTTTTACATGTTTTCCACTGGAGCTGAAGAGGCAGCAGGAGTGTTAGAATATTTTCAGAGTTACATAATAAACTAAAATATGGTTAAAAATCAAAGTTTTTTTAAATCATCTGGAGTTTTCTAACAAATCTGTCTTCACTAATCTTTACCTTTCTTTGCAAAAATCTCATCTTGTTTAGTGAAACATTAAATTCTATCATTTATTTTCTAAGTGGGACATTTTCTGTTTTGACCCCCCAGCAAGTTTCAGGCATAAAAAAACTTTACAGTAAAAATCGTAAAAAAACTTGATGGTCTTTTATTCTTTTGGATAAAATGAAGATACATGAAAATAAATCTCAGTCTGTTTCATAAATGTTTAAAAAACCCTCACTAGAGCTTTACTGTGTGACCTCGAACCCTAAACTGAGTTTTTATACAGATGAGTGTTTCTGCATTAATCTGACCCGTTAATTTCAATCAACACAGATCAACATTTGTTTATGTTACACCAACAAACTGTAACGCAGACTTCATGTGACCGACCCAGTCTGACCAATGATCAGATTAGATTAGATTAGATTAGATTAGATTAAACTTTAATGTCATACGTTTGTTCAGAACAATGCAACAAAATGCAGTTTAGCATCTAACCAGATCAGATAATATTTACAACATAAATATATATACATACACAGATATATATGTGTTTATATATAATGAGACCTCTAACAGGGCCTTAACCAGCCTGGAGTTTCAGTGGCAGTGAAGATCTGTGAACCTATCACAGTGTCGGATTTACCAACAAATCTGACGAGCCGAACATTTTCGAGATGTGACCTTTCATCCAGCTGTTAAACCTTGTGCTGCATCGTCCTTCATTTGTGCGGTTTAGGATGAGTAGTTACACATTAAGTTTTTCTTTTTGTTCACAGATACCAAACTCAAAGTCCTCGGACCTTCGGCTCTTCCCAGATGATGAAACCTTCAAACGACAGCAGCAGCAGAAATCTGACCGGTACGGACGAGATGGTTGAGGCGTATATCTGGTACGTCCTGCCTACTGTGGTCACAGTGCCAATAGTGGGGCTACCAACCAATGCTCTGGTCATACGCCTCCTTCTGGGCAAACCTGGTATCTGCTCCACCTCAGAGATCTTCACACTCAACATGGCTCTTTTTGACTCTCTGTTCTGCGTCATGGTCGTCGTCGAGTTCATCCGTCTCCTGCTGGTTTACACCATGGAGTCCTGCAGCTTCCTGGCTTGGGGACTGCATCAGGCAGGAGGGTCGCTGCTGCTCTGCATGATGAGTTTGGACAGCTACGTGGCCGTCTGCCGTCCTCTGGTCTTCCTGCGGCTCAAAGATCCCAAACTGCGGCTGTCCTCGTGCGTGGGACTGAGCGTGGTGACGGTCGGTGTTTGTGCTTTAATGAAATTTAAATCAGCCTTCAAGTGGAGAGTCGTCTTGGTGTCGCTGTGCTGCGTCCTGGTGATCATAACAACCTGCAACATCCTGGTTCTGAAGTCCCTCCACCAAGCTGGGCCCAACAAGAGGAAGGTCCACCCCGTGAAAAAGAGAGCGTTCAAGGCCGTGCTCACCGCCTTCGTGCTGATCAACATCCACTACATCCCTCCAGTCTTCGAGTACGGTCTGAGGGAGTTCGGTCCTCAGGCTCTCAAACCCTATTCACTCATGACTTGTGTGTCCTACTGGGCTCTGTCCATGAGCTGTTTCACTCAGCCTCTGAGTTTTCTCATCCGTACAAAACAACTGCCAAAGATGAGATGTTGCTGCAGCGCCACCTCAGGGTGAAAATGAGGGAACGGTCACAGAACGACGACTTCGATGATGTGGAGCCGAATCTGAGGAAACAGCTGGACTGAGTTCTGAGAGGGAGGATTATTGATTATTTCAAATGTTCAATTATCTTCTCATGTTTGATGATTTCTTTTGTTGGTGAGAAATGGGCGAGTGATCTCCAGTGACATAGGGCTCTATTTTCGTGCCCGCCGGCGCCGCGGCGGAGGTATTTTCATCAGCTGGGCGTGGTGGCGCAGTAGGGGGAGGTGTTGATAGAATCGGCTGGCGCAGTGATATTTTCATGATCGCCGGCGGTGTAGAGAGTGCGCTGAAAGCTCGCCGATTGAAACCTGGTCAGCTTTCAGCGCAGGCGGAGTGCAGCTGGTCTCGTGGTTTTTTAGTAGACGGCGGCGTAGTGCGCATACGTCACCGATGCCTCACTGTGCTTATATGAGACAGAGTGGAGGACGCCGTCTGCAGTGTTACAGCAACACTCGTTGAGGGGCTGCCTTCTGTCGCCATCGTGTGGCGCTGCTGTCTGCAGACATCTCTTGATCTCTTTGACTACTTCCAAAAATTATAATACGCCTCACCAGTGGCGGATTTAGAGGAGAGGAGCTTTTGTGATCGGTGAAAACAGGTCTCAGCTGTGTTAAACCCACTCAACGCCTTATCCCCTCCCTCTCTACGACTCACGCCGCTGGGAGGAGCTGAGTTAGAGAGGGGGGATACTTACGCCAGGCTGCGCAGCTCACCAAAATACCAAAATGTGCTTGGGCACGCCTTGTTGGCGCGGCGGACCTGACTTATGCTGCGACTACGCCACGCCGCTGGCGAGGCACGAAAATAGAGCCTATAGCGCCTATTATTTTTCTTTAAGTTTGCTCAAAGTCTTGCAGAAAGATTTTGCACGACCCTCTCAGATCTTGTATCAAGTATGATGCGAAAGATTTTCTCTATCTTGCGTTTTTTTTTTAATTTACCAAAGCTTTCATGATAGTGCAGAAGTTTTTTGAGATCTTGCTGAAGTTTTCAGGATCTTGCGTTTTCAGGATTTTTTGCAAAAACCTTCTCCAGATCTTGCAAAAATTTGAAGGGGTCCTGCTTTAGTTTTTGGGATCTTGCTCAGGCTTTTTTTAATTTTTTTTTTTGATCATGCAAAAGTTTTTCAGAAATACACAAAAGTTTCTGTGATCTTGTTGAAGTTTGTTTTGATATCTTTCTTTCTCAGGATCTTGTAGAAATGATCAGATATAATCCTCCAAAACTTCTCTGGACTTTTTATTTTTCATTTTGCCGAAGTTTTTCTTAATCTTGTGAAAGTTCTCATCAGAAACTTGCTGATTTCAAAGAAACTCTCAGAAGTTGTCAAGATCCTGCAAAATCGTCTCATGATCTGGAAAAATCTTTCAAAAGTTTAATCAAAGTTCAAGGATTTGGCTTCAGTTTCGAGGGTCTTGCAGAGGGTTCCTCCACCTTTATTTTGGGGATTTTCTGAAGATTTTTAGGGTCTTAGAAGAGTTAAATAAACTTTTTTCCTTCCTTCATATTTGCATTTTGGAAATATTGAGGCATTTATTATTTTTCAACGACATGTGCGAACATGTTCCTTCCCAAGAATATCTGCATTTATATGTTCTTAAAAAAACCTCAATAAGAAATAAACGTGATGACAAAGACTTTGTTTTATTTAATAAAACAAACTTTTCAAAAGTCTTTAACAGGCATCGGTAGTCAAAAGCTTTATCGAACATTCCAGGTGACGTCCAGGAAAAAACCTAAACTGGTGAACAGGAAATATCTCCAAACATCCTGAAACTTTTCCAAAGAATAAAAGGTCGATTTTAAGACGTAAAGACTGAAGCTTTGGCCAAATATACTGAAGTTACCCTTCAAATTAAAAACAACTTCCTGTAACAGAATGAAGAATACAAATTAAAGCTGTCAAACGATTTCAACTTTTAATCGCCATTAATCACCGAATCTTCAGAATTAACTGCGATTAATCGTGATTTGAATTACATGTTTACAACTCTGTCATTTTGCATTTCCAGGCAGTTTGAAGCCGATAATGTAAAGAACATTATCTGTGTCTGAAGAGAACTGAACACAAAAAACAACTGATCAGCAGATTTTATGAAACACTGTAAATAAAAGATTATGATGACTTTGGTACTGTAATGATTAAACTGAAATAAAAAAATGTAAATAAACTGGTACAAAGTGGAGTTACAATCATTTTTATACCAAATAAAATACTCCGGGATTATAAACTCATGTAACCTGCACTTGTTTTATCAAAATATATGACGCAAACCTTCCCCACATCACTCAAGCTTATAACATAACACTGAAAATAAGGATGGCGTAATGGATTCAACCTGACTGTACCCATAGTGCACTTCAACTTCGTCCAAACGGACTGTAAAACAAACAAACAAACAAACAAACAAACAAACAAACAAACAAACAAACAGACAAACAAACAAACAAACAAACAAACACAACAAACAAACAAACAAACAAACAAACAAACAAACAAACAAACAGACAAACAAACAAACAAACAAACAAACAAACAAACAGACAGACAAACAAACAAACAAACAAACAAACAGACAAACAAACAAACAAACAAACAAACAAACAAACAAACAAACAAACAAACAAACAAACAAACAAACAAACAAACAAACAAACAAACAAACAAACAAACAAACAAACAAACAAACAAACAAACAAACAAACAAACAAACAGACAGACAGACAAACAGCAGTGGAGACAGTGAACAGAGTTCAGTCCAGACAACATTTGAATGGACAGTCGGCTAATCTTCATGGTAAACTGGATTTACATGCTTCAAACTTACAGAGAGAAATGTGAAGAATATCATCAAACTGGTCATGAATGATTTAGAAATGAATATTCCAAATAAATAACATGTTTGTGTCAAACTTCTGCAGCTCATGGAAATGAAGCTGCTCTGTACAAAGAAGTAGAAACACAGACGTCATGAAGTCAACATGAACGTCCTTCAAAGAGATTAGAAAAAGAGCTTCAAGTATTCAGGTACCATTATTACCATTATTATTATTATTATTGTTATTATTATTACTATTATTATTATGATTATTATTATAATCAGCAGTAATTAAACTGAAAAATATGACATCAATGCTAAAACATTGCTCACTGCTGCCTTCAATTACTCCTTCATACTGTTTAAATTATGTCACATCTTATTGGTCAAAACATCTGCAACAACCAATAAGATCGCCCGATCAGTAACGACCTCTGAGACCTCAGTAACGAATGCTGAGTACAGAAACAGGTTTCATTTTTCTCATTTTATCCTGCAAATTTAAATGATTTGCAGACGATCATTCTTTTTCATTTTTTACTTTACTCGTGGAAAAGCCGATAATTTTGTTTAAACTTAAAATGTGACCTCAACAAAAATACCCGACAAAGAACAAAAACAACAGATCTTACTCTATGGCACTCTCAGACGACCTGAAGCGTCAAGTTTCCAGAACTTTCTGCTCCAAAATGGTTTCACTAGCTACGATTTTGGTTTGAAGAAACATTATTTACATTCTTGTCTGTGAGATTCATCGAACCCTGAGCGCAGGAACATGATGCTGCACTGAGACACAGTCAGCTCTGAACGCTCTCACCCTGATTCACCAACTTTATTTATCTTTAAATACTTCCTGAAATATTCATATTTTCTTGAAAGTCTTGAAGTCGACCCGCAGTTTCATGTGGAGGCGATCTGTCCGTGAACACGGAAACGGTACAGACACGTGTACTCGACGTGACCCCAGTTAGAGAGGACACGCAGCTCCACGCAGCGGTACACCACGTCAGCGGGGTTCTGATGGAAGAGACAAAAAAATAGTCAAAATAGTCTATATATATAAAATAGTCTAAAAAATAAGATACTATTCTCAATGATAAATATAAATATAAATTCATAGTGATGTATTCAAAGTGCAAAACTTTGAGCTGAGATCTGCAGAAATTCAAATAAAAAAGGAAATTTATGGAAAAATCAAATTTTATCAGAAACTTTTAAAAGTTTATTTTCTTTATGATATAAAAAGTTGTTTATATTGGTTTTAATATCAGTGTCAACACTGTTCACCCTGAGATCAGCTGATTCCTGGTTTATAATGCAGACTTCCTGATCAGTCTGTGTTTGCTGAACTCACCAGCAGCTTGAACGTCTGCGTGGACGCCCCGTCCTCGTCGTAAGTGAAACTCCCCAGCAGAGCTCCCTCCTCCGTGTCGTTTTTCATCCCCTGTAAATAAAAACAAACCCGGTCAGAAGGATCCTGATCAGAGCGGCTGCAGGTCCACATCAGATCAGCAGAACTCACATAGACTTCAAAGTCTTTGGGGGCGGAGTCGATGCGGCCGGTGGGGGAGTTGTAGCGCGGCAGGTGATCCAGAGTCACATGTGTGATCCTGATGGGGTGAGACAGAGAGATCACGAGAGTCCCCTGGACGCCGTGGAACGCCCAGCATTTCCCGGGGAGCAGCACCGGGTAGCCCTGAGAGAGACGGGAGGAAACACGGCTGTGAGAGGGAAGAGCGGCGTGAAGCCGGGAGAGGCGGTCTCTACGCCTGTACCTGAATGACGGTCCGCGGGCTTTCAGACGGGTACCACAGAGGAAAACCAAAGAGGGTCAGACAGGCTGTCCGGGTCCGATAGGTCTCTGAGCACCTGGTGCTGATCACACTGGCACCTGCACACAAACAGAAGAACACGCCGAGGTCAACGACACGCCGTCAGATCTTTGATTATTGGTTTAAACAATCGACACGTTTCTGACCTTGAGTCTCCAGAGCGAAGTCGGCCATTTTATCTGCCATGGGCCGTCCACAGTCTGAGACACTTCCTGTGTGTCCGAGTCTGAGAGCGTCATGGTCCTGATTCAAACACACAGAAAACACACATAAAACACAATAAAACACAATAAAACACAATAAAACACACAGACTGAAGTCTGATCAGAGAAACAAGATTTAAGGTTCATCAGTCAGGATTTCTGCAGACAGGGTGACGATACACGTCCTCTTTAACCCGGACATGTCCTCTTTAACCAGGACACGTCCTCTTTAACCCGGACACGTCCTGTTTTTGGGGGGCTGTCCGGGGGAGTTTATAGATCCTCAAATGTCTGTTTTCTCTGGAATTTTTGAGTTAGTGTCACGTGGACTAACCCCCGACCTCCACCTTCATCCTGATGGTCTCCTAAAAGGTCGTATCCTCCGATCGTAGCTGATCGTAACCATTCAAGTTAACGTGTCAATTTACACCGACTTCTTTCCGTTCCTCTGAGGATCGCCGGACTCCTCAGCTGATCACAAGAGTTCTATTTTTTCTGGACGCCGGAGCATGGCGGATAAATTCAGCACAGATTAACCCGTGCTGGAAAGGAAGTCGGGCACAGACACAAAATAAAACATCCGGCTTCTTTTCAAAATAAAACACTCGGGCGGAGACGAACAAGTGAAAGGTTTTTAGACGTCATTTCACCCCGATGACACCATGGATGAGGAGATGCTGATTCTAGAAGTCTAGAAGTAGATTTCCTCCTCTGGAAGGACACAATCTACTGCTTATATGTCTATGTGTCTGTTGTTATAGAGACGACTCGTTATCGTGAGATTGAACGTGAATCTGCGGGTTCTCGTGAGTTCTTGCGAAAATCGCTGCTGTTCAGGAACGGAGTCGCTCTGGATGCGGTGGAAATCCCGGGTAACTGAGTCGACCCAAAAACCTCTCAAAATTTACTAAGCGTGACTCTGTGACTCTGTGACTCTGTGACTCCGCCCCTCTGGCGTCCTCTAGAATATGGTCGCTCTACTTCAAACTAAATCTCTGTTGGTTTGGTCTGAAGTCCGTCGTTAGTCTATAAAGTTCTCTGCAGAGTCCGGTTCCTCCACCCACCTTGATGCGGTTGGTAAGCCACGCCTCCATGGCCTGTTGGAGCTCTGAGGTCAGCTGGTTTTGGTTGGGGGTGGAGCTTGTATCAGGGCAGGGGGCGGGGGGAGGCAGCAGCTGAATCGAGGACAACTCCTGAGACAGCTGTGAGAGAGAGGAGGTCACGGTTTAGTTTGACATGAAGAGTGAACCTCTCTGGTTCTGGTTCTGGTTCTGGTTCTGTCCCGGCAGGAAAAAGGGGGCGTTACCTTGGCGTTCTGGGCCTCTAGATCCTGGATCCTGAGGCTGAGACTGGCAGCAGAGTTGCTGCTGTCTGTCTGGTAATCCTGGATCTTCCTGCTCAGACCGGCGAGCTCCTGGTCCAGACGGATCCGACTCCTGGAGTCTGAAACCTCCAGTTTGGTTTTCAGGTCCTGCAGGTCCAGCTGGAGTCTGTCCTTCACCTGAGAGAAGAGGACACGAGGACTCCGTCAGGTAAGAGACCAAAGACCTCTGCTCTCTCTGCAGTTCCACAAACTGTCAGCAGATGTCACTCTACCACAGGGGGGTTCACTCTGGTTCTTAGTCCTGGTCTTCTGTACCTGAGAGAGAAGATGTTCCTGCTTCAGCTGCAGCTCCTGATCCTTCAGCTGCTGCGTTTGCTGCAGGAAACACAAACACGGAGATTCTTCAGGAGACATGAAGTCTGAGAAAACTCACAAGTTCTTCAGTTTCAGATTCTGAGGTTTAAAAAAACAACTAAACTGAAACTACAGCGAGTGTGTGTCTGTGTCTGTGTTTGTGTCTGTGTGTGTGTCTGTGTGTGTGTCTGTGTGTGTGTGTGTGTGTGTCTGTGTCTGTGTCTGTGTCTGTGTCTGTGTCTGTGTCTGTGTGTGTGTGTGTCTGTGTCTGTGTGTGTGTGTGTGTGTGTGTGTGTGTGTCTGTGTGTGTGTCTGTGTCTGTGTGTGTGTCTGTGTGTGTGTCTGTGTGTGTGTCTGTGTGTGTGTCTGTGTGTGTGTGTGTGTGTGTCTGTGTCTGTGTCTGTGTGTGTGTCTGTGTCTGTGTCTGTGTGTGTGTCTGTGGGGTCTCACCAGGAGACGCTGAAGCTCCACTTTGACGGCAGCAGAAAGAACCGTTGGATCCTACAGGAGAAACAAAGAGACTCTTCATCCTTAAAACCTCAAACTCTTCATTTTTAACCCTCCGTCTCTGATTTTCTTCAGGATCTCTAAAATCTAATGACCCCTCCCCCTCAGAGACACACCCCCTCCTTTAACCTCCCGCCCACTCATGAACCCTGCGGGTGAAGATGATCAGTCCTACCACCGCTGCTGTAGGATGAGGAAGAGGAGGAGGAGGAGCAGGGATGAAGGGCTGACTCGGAGGTTTGGTCTGAGGCGGGGTCTTTGTGACGGTCATGCGGGAGATGAAAGAGGACAACCAAGGGAGGAGGAGCCAAACACCTGTGAGAGAGCAGAAGAAGAAGAAGGAGCGGCGGTGTCTTTAGAAGTCACCGAAACCTTCAATCAGAGGCTCCTGATTGGTACTTAGAGTGAGTCACAGCAGAGCGGCGCCGACGTCTGACCCGTTTCCTGGGGAAAACCCTGAGAGCAGCTCGGTTTGTTTACAGCAGGTAACCATAGCGACATAAAAACTGCAGCTCCATGTTTACGGCACATCGACGCCGCGACACGTCTGACTTAAACTGATGATGTTCCTGTGAGTTTACTCAAACATCTGCCTCCTCACATCCAGAGCAGCTTCTTCGTGGTTTTAGTTCTGCAGAAACGTGAATCTGATAAATGTTTTTATCACTTACAGAAAAGCAGGAGGAGGAGCAGGAGGAGCAGGAGGAGCAGACCACAGGCCTTCTTCACGTTTCTGCTGACCGGACGATTCGCTGCGAGAGAAGACAGGGCGGAGCTTAAACAGGTGAGGAAACATCAACCTACAGGTATGTGAACACAGACTGTGTAAACCCACACACACACACACACACACACACACACACACACACGCGTCGTACCCAAAGATGCCAGGTGTGTTAGTTTAGAGTGGACTGCAGCGGTCGTCAGTGAGAATGAGTCTGAAGAAAACAATGAAAACACAAAATTAATACACAGACATGCAGTGACACACAAATGACACACACATGTGACACACACATGTGACACACACATGTGACACACACATGTGACACACACAGGTGACACACACATGCAAACACACCCTCAGACGAAGGCTGCACCATTTCAGCCAAAAATAAAATCACGATTTTCTCTGAAAACTCGATTTTTGACTCAGTGACTTTATCAAACTTGACTGCAGAGTTCCTCTGTGTGTCACATGATCGTTTCCACAGATGCAGATAGACATCCACACGGAGATGAAATGGTCGTCGTTTACAGATTTATTCACTCTCTGACCTGTTTTCAAAAAAGTACCGTTTACAGTCACCTGAAACGCCGATACGACAAAAACTTTAGCGTTTCCTCCTGAGTTAGTTTCCATGGTGACGGGTTGATACCGCCTTCAGACAGACTTTACAGCGGGGAGTGGTTTACTCTTCATCTGAAACTGTGAAGTCGTACCAATTCAACACGACTGACTCGCTCTTGTCCTATTTAACCACGAAATTATCGCCTTCTTTAGCAAACGCCATGTTTGTTTACACTGGTGTGTGTGGGAGGAGGAGGAGCCTACGGTGGCCTGGAGGTGGATTTTATTTCTTTAACATCATTATAATGAAATAATCTGATTTAAAATGGATCGATCGATCAGCCCTCCCTCAGACACACTCACCCCTCAGACTGAAGACGACCCGCCTCAGTCGGACTCTTAATCCGGCACTTTGGGCTCCACTGGTACCGTGGTTCCTGGTGGTGCTGCTGCTGGAGGCCGAGGGTCTCCTGTGCGTCCCCTCAGAGGACGAGTACCCTGAGCTGTCCACGCTGCTCTGACTCAGCTCCTTCAGGTCCGGTCTGAGGAGGGGTCCTGATGCACCTGAGCTGTAGAGCCCAGAGTAGGAGCCGGTCTCCGAACAGAGTGACGGGCAGAGTGTGGGGGTCCGGCTCCGGGCCGATGACGGGGTCAGGGCGGGCCGAGGCGTTGCCATGGGTGAACTGTAGGGTACGGTCCTCATGGTGGTTTGAGTCTGGACACTCAAAGGAGAAGGAGTGAGAGCTGCAGAGGAGAACACGGGGTCAAACACGGGGTCAAACACGGGGTCAAACACGGGGTCAAACACGGGCTCCTGTGTCTCTGATTGGTGGATTAAGTCTCAGCTGTCTCACGTTTACCTTCATACCGGCCTGCAGAGTCTGGGGCTTCAGGGCTGGATGACCCCACTTCACTCTTGACTTTGTTCGGGGTACGAGTACCACCTTTACGGTTCCCCGCCTTCTTTTTAAAGACCCTGAGAGTAAAAACAAGACGCCAAACAAACAAACAAACAAACAAACAAACAAACAAACAAACAAACAAACAAACAAGAAGAAGAACAGGGACAAAGATCACTTCATAGATCAGAGCTGTCGACTAAAACACAGACATGAGAACATGAGAGAGTCAGAGCGACGTACTTGACCGGGTTCTCCCGGTAAGAGATGTTGGTCACCGTACTGGAATCCGATTCTTCGTCTGAGTTGTAATACCCGCCGGAGACGAGGCGTGAACTCCGACGAGACATCGCTGAAAGACAGGAGCGAACGAGAGATGGTCAACACAGAGTCACAGACGCAGAGATGATCGAGGTTATACCTGCTGAGAGTCTGACAGATGCTCTCTGGGTAATCTGAAGAGTCTGTAATCCAACTAATCTACAGGAACCCTGCTGCTCCTCGGACACTCAGGGAGAGAGTTACAGAGCAGAGACACACACACACACACACACACACACACACACACACACACACACACACACACACACACACACACACACACACACACACACACACACACTCCTGCAGAGATCCTCCACACTGAGAGGAGGAGTCTGAGACAGGAGGAGGAGCTGCCATCGCTCTGACTCATTATGTAACCGGCGTCTTGAGGCGAGCCGTCTGATTGGTCAGGGCGCCTCCAGAGCGGCTGATCAGCATAAACCACAGCTCACACGCTTCGCAGCTCGCCGTGCCAACTCCTGTGGCAACCAGCGAGGTAAAATCCCCCGACCTCAGAGCAGACGGCTCCACCTGTGAGCTCAACGCTCCGTCACCTCATAATATCACTCTACAGAACCACAGAGCAGTTATATACAACTGCTCAAGACGTGTCCTGATAACAAGTATGACTGAACATAGGGCTGGGCGATCAGGCCTTAAATCAATATCACGATATATTGATCAGTTCACCTCGATAACCATAAATGGACAATAACTACTCCACCAGCTGCTCACCCCCTCCCACATGAACTTCGTCTTCGACGTTGGTTATTGTCATAAATTTCCGTCTCAGTAACTCGTCGGTTCATGGCCCCGCCCTGACTGAACTTGTTTCAGGTGTTACGGCCAAAAAGACTCAGACCTGCAAGACTTCCTGTTTCTGCTTCATCATAGACTGAATATGTAACGGACAACTTGGCTCCGCCCCCCCGTCATTATACGAATTCGAAGCCTAATTGCTCTCAGTATTCCTGTGATTTACTCCTATCCCCCGGTGATCTCTGTCCTCCCATTGGCTGTATCAGGTGTCAATCATAGAAAACATGAACCCCCTAATAACTTTTAAAAACGGAGCTGTACAGAAAAAAGAGGACTTGAGCACAAACCAGTCTGACAGTAACTACATGTCAACATCACAACCAGGGGGGAGAAACATTTATATTCTGTGTCATTCATTTATAAAGTTTGTCCACAGCTCCATAAGGAGGCGGGGTTTATGACCTATACTGCAGCCCGCCACCAGAGGGTGCTGTTCTCACAGAGAGGAGGCAGACGGCTTCTGTTCTAGATACAGTTGATGTGCGACATGTAAATAAGAAGAGCTTTAAAGCTCCTGTAAGGAACTTTCAGTTTGTACCAATCAGTCATTGCTTATTGTAATTAATATAACTTTGTATTATAACTTTTGACGATCAAATTTACCTTTTATAAAATATTTCAAGTGAAGATTGTAAGAAGAAGCTGTTACTTTAGCTGTTTGTCTGACTCCTCCCCCTGACCACCAGATTCAGACATTAAAAATGACTCTAATGTTCAGATGTCTTGTTGCTCTTCTATCATAAAAAAACCTCAACATGAACTTTAGTCAATCTTATATGACCAAAAACTGCAGAATAGCGTCACAAAAATCCTCTGTGGTTCAGGAAAACCTTCAGACTGGAGTTAAACATGTTTCAATAGACTCTGGATCATCTCTAAAATTCACAGCCTGCAGCTCAGAACAGCCTGTTACTCCTGCAGGTCTGAAGCACGAGTCCTCACAAAACTGCAGAAAACAACAGAAACTTTGATGCAAAAACCTGAAAACAATCTCAACTGAGCTCTGAGTCACTCCTCCAAACTGCAGACATGGAACTGAAGTTAGAGGAGAAATTCTGAAACTGATCAATGTTAGCTCAAACGACCCACCGAGCAATAAGATCTAACTCTACAACACAAACCTGTAACCTGGTCTCAGTTTATCCTGCAGCTTCAGTTCAAGTCAAAACTCAGAAGGACTCAGAAGAACTCAGAAGAACTCAGAAAACTCACCTTGGAACATTTTGTATTTGCCTCGAAATGTCATCAGACAGCGAAGAAGAGCGACGGGTGTGACTGAGAGAGCGGCAGAGTGACAGAAAGGGAAGCTGTGGCCGACACTCACACAGAGACAGGAAGTCAGCAGCACACAGAAACACACACAGACACACACACAAACCTAAGATATTTGAATATCTGGATCAGAGGATTCAGACGTTTAACGTTTAACATCAGCTCACACACTCTTCAGTCGCCGTCTTTGTCGTTCAGAGTTGTGCGTTCGCTCAGTGACAGTCTGTCAGATGAGGTTCCTGACGAGGGTCCGAGGTCTTCTCTTCACCGTTCCTGAGCAGACTAAGAGAAGAGGGCCGATCCTCACCACACTGAGATAAAGATAGAAATCTCACACATGACTAACAACAGTCCACGGCTCTGTTCACCGTCCACGACCACAACAGAGTGACGCTCAGACAACACGCTCTTTAAAACATCAGTGAGACCAGGAAAAAAACACGGACTGACATTAAAAAACTTCACAAACTGTTTCACGGTCACATCAAAACCACACATAGTGGACCTGATCACACTCAGAGACAGTTATCGGGCTGCAGCATCAAATTTAGTAAAAGAGTTTTTGACCAAATATTCCAGAGATTAATCGAGTAAAAACGGATAAACCAAAAATCTGAATAGACCATAATTTGCAGTTATTGCGGAACAATTGCAGAACAGGTGTGTGTGAAACAAGCTAATGATGATTTTAACTTTCATCGTGTCCCCAAAGACATCGGTGTAGAGGGATGAAGAGCTCCTATGTTACCTGCTTCTTCTACTTCACTGCAACATTAGACTACAAACTAGCGTGAGGAGGAGCACTGACTCTGTGTTCAAGCTCAGATCTTCAGATGTCGTCGTCTTAAATCCACAAACATTAAAAAACATCAGTTAGTAAACCACAGAGCATCACAGCTGATAAATATTTTGTCTCCATAGCGACGCCAGCCTGCGTCTCTGCTGACAACAAAAGCCCCTTTTTCAAACCATTAGCATTCCTGTCTTTAGCAGATCTGGAGGCTTTAGCTCCGTGTGGGGAGAGCAGCAGTTTGTACCATAAACCCCTTAAATCCTCCAGTTTGAACGGCCTCACAGCTCAGACTGACTCAGCACTTCTGCAGCACACAAACCCCTCCTTATCACGGCGGAGGTTAACCCTGTTGATCCTCTTTCTTCCTCTTCTGTCCCTCGTTTCACCTCCTCATCCCTGACTCACTGAACACATGTTTGAGCTCCTCCTCCTCCTCTTGTGTCTGCTCACATTTCGAAGTGCTCATTCATTCACTCTCCTACATCTGAAAGTCCTTTTTTAATCTCACGAGGCTTTCTTGTCAGTGTGGACGGTCTTTGTCTTCTGCAGAGACACCATGATGAGATACGAGCTGAGGTTACCGTCACTGAACACAGACGGGGATGTTTGTCCGGAGGAGGATGAAAAAGGATCTCCATCATAGGCTGCATGCTTCACTAATTCATGTAGCTCCTGTGTTTTGTGGTGGTGATGCTCCTTCATTTGTGTTGGTGTTCCTGACTTCAGTAAACAGCGAGCACACGTGCCTCTAATCAGAAATGAAGAGGTGGTTTTGAGCCGAGCTGCTTTAGATTAACATTCCTCAGAGTTCACGAGGATTTTACCTGACGACAAATTACCGACAAAGTTTGACCAGGCTGTCAGGTGATGGTCTGACCGCTGACCTGACACTCACATCTGCAGTAATGATGGAGGGTCACTACTTTTGGTTTCCTCGTCTTCACAGTGAAACAGGAAACAGGAAAAAAGATGAGCAGAGGAGAACGGATCCGTGTTCCTGCCTCAACTTTAAAAAACTGTCTGTTGTGGATCTGTGACGGAGGAGATCTCAGATGGTCGTACCTTTGGACTGAAAGCCTAAATGGTTTCATCACTAACGCTCACAGGAAGTGAGTTAGCGTCAAACCCCGACAGTGGAAACGTTCTCCTGCCCCCCCTGTGGTGCCTCACACCCACTTGCAGGATTTAAGGGCGATTCATGGCTGCAGAAAGTGAGCGTGGATTTTCTTGTGCGTGACTCAGCAGACTCATTTCCACTTCAGTGTAAAGGCGTGAGCCCACTGACAACACGACCACACCGAATCCAAACCAACAGATTCAGAGGTTCAAACGGCGGGTGGTGTTTGCTCAGGGTTGGGAGGGTGGGGCTCTAACTGCTCCAGTCCAGTATCCGGCTCTTTCACTCAGGTATGGTGCTGAGTAAGAGGCTAAAAGATGACAAGAGAAGAAGAAGAAGAAGAAGAGAGGGAACGACCTGGAGCGGACCGGGACAAAGACAGAGAGAGGACGAAGAGAAAGACAGAAAACAACAGAGAAAGAACGGACGGCAGATGAAGAGATGAAAAAACACGCAGGGAGGGGCGTGTGAGGGGAAACAGAAGTAAATCCATGTATGGAAAAATGTGTAGACCGCAGCGGAGGTTTGAGTTTTCCTAATGAGAGGAAAATCCAGACAAAAACAGAAGTGGAGAGAGAGGATGATGCAGAGGAATGAAGTCCAGAGAACAAATGTGATTTTAGGTGAAATCAAACCACAGAGTCGACTGGCACTGGTCTGAATACTGAGGCTAACTTTAGGGCAGTGCCAGTGTCACATGATTCAGACGTGCAGATGAGTCATCTGTGTGGCATTAGAGAAATTACCCTCAGCTCTTTGTGAAGACGAGGAGGAGAGCTCGATAAACCGAGCAGCTTCTGAAAAAGGTCGCTTACACCCATGTGAACCCGAGGCCGTCACTTTACTCTCTCAGTCTGTTTACTCGTCCTCTTCTCTGTTCTTCATTAACTGAGTAACACTGAGGCTGCAGCCGGAGAGCTCCTGAACATGGTGAACCAGCTAAAAGTTGTTTTGGCCTCTCAAATGATCTGAATTTCTGCTTTTCATGGGAAAAAGGAGTTACTTTGGACTTAGAGATCCTTTTTTATTCCCTCATAATTATTCCCTTAGTTCTGAAACACATTAATTTAATGATTAATTCCCTTATCCAGAGGAGAAAAGAGGATTAACTTAGTTACAGTCCTGGCAACAACTCTTTTAGCTCGTTTTTAAAAGCTTCTCCAAAGAAGTTTTTGGTTGTGTTAATTTTGGCGCCCCCTGTGGCCTAAGTGGTCTTTTCTGGTTTTGTTCAGTATGCGTGTTTTTCTAATGAAAAATCTCCATGTAACACTCCAACGGCTTTGTTTACAGTCAGAAAGATGATGTTAAAAATGTTCAAATGTTGACTACACAGACATAAGAGAACACAGAGATGTCGTTATATTACCAAATGTCATCAATAACTAATAATTATTGACTGATATTCAAAGATTTTTGTAAATACACCACAAAATAAAAAGATGCTTCTGTAACAGATTCCTGCTGACTCCACCTTTAACACTGAGACAGAAATATGGGCATCAGTCATACTGCATGTCCCCCCCTCTGTAAAAGGCAGGGCACCTCAGTCAAAAATGTCCGGACACGCCCCTGCTAAGATGGCTTATCTTGGTCAACTTCAGAGCGGTTAGGAAGAAGCTTGTTGCTCGTTTGTAAACAAACAAATTCACCATGGTAACAGACTTCAGTAATATCCTGAATTAACTTGTTTTTAATCACTTATTTTCAGCAGCAAAGTGTTAAAATACTTCACACGGTTTGAGTTACAGCTGTAAATAAAGTACATTTCTCATCTCAGCCCGTATTATCTGTAAGTGTCGGAACACTTCGGCAGTTATCGTGTGTAATCGTCTTTAACGGAACACAGCAGGTTATCAACTGGTAATAAAAGCAAAAACAACAAAACACGACAGCTCTTTAGTTATAATTAAAGCCGAACAGAAACAGGATCATTTACAGTTTTTCTCCTATAACTTACCTCGGGAGGTTGTCGGTCTGTCGCAGCCGAAATAAAAACACCAACAGTCGGTTAACTGACAAATTCTCAGTCAGGAAATGATGATAATCCTCTCTTCAACACGTCCAACCAGCTTTAAAGAGACACTTCTGCTCCGGAAACTCCGCTTTAAGTCCCCAACACAGCGGTTAGATGAATAATGAATGTCCTGAAGTCAAACACGGAGGTTTAAGGCATCAATGTGGGAACGAACAGGCGGACGGACGGACGTTAGCTCTCTGACAGCACGGAGAGTTTGACAGCAGCAGCATTCAAGCTAACAACAACAAACACAAACACTTCCGGTTAGGAGTTTCACAATAAAGCTTTGACTTTGGATAACACCAAAATAATATTCAGTGAAAATATTATTTTATTTTTTCCTCCATGTAGCTCTACTAATGCATTACTAAAATTTGCTATTGTCAATTAAGAGTAAAAAGAACAACTTTAATATTCAGGACATGTTCATGTTTACATAATATTCTCATTAAAATATAATAACTACAGATACATAAATACTGCTCGTTTTTCTCCTCTCCTATTCTTTTACTGCTGTGTAAGAAACAAACCCATGTTGAAAGTCATCTCAACACCCTGATCTCATTAAGCTCCTCTTTTTGTATGAGTTTATTTTTGTTTTTTATTTATTTTTATTTTAATTCAAATGTTCTTTTTGGCCTGGGAACGATATATGTTTTGTCAAGTCATGTGAGAATCTTAGTTTTAAAAAGTACAAAAACCATCCCCTTATAGATTCAAGATTCAAGATTCAAGATTAGTTTATTTGTCATGTTCTTGTCAAACAAGGTCAACAGTGAAATGAAACATATATATATATATATATATATATATATATATATATATATATATATATAATATTCATTATTGGACACGGCAGTGGTGATGATGTTGGCCACTTTAGAACTGTTTCCGGTCTCGTTCCACCGATTCATGACACAGAGCATCTGGCAGTAACAGAATAGAGAGCGCCCTCTGGTGGTTTTATCCTGACTGTGACTCTTAATTAAAATCAGCTGCAGTTGAAGGCCGTGGACACACAGGGGAGCCATGATGCTGTTTTAGACTGTGTCCTGCCAGAATAACAGGCCTGTAAAAAAGTTTCAGTTTATTCTCACGATGAGATTCAATGTTTTAGACAAAGTCAAAATAAAATGATCCAAAAATTTATCAAATTTTGACACGTGTCAGATCAACTCGTACTTTTATTCTAAATTCAGAGTGAAAAAAAGTCAAAATGATCCACATTCTCCTGACTCTCAGTGACAATCATGACAGTGACGATGATGAGCAGTAATTAGACGGAGGCCAGAGAGGAGAGGGAGAGATTGCTGTGCTAATAGGAGAGCAGGAGCGATTCCAAGTTACCTGGTGGTGCAGGTGTGAAAACAGTGAGCCCATGAAAAGAACATTATTATCAATTTTACAGACTCGCTTTTCTGTGACGCCGCCTTTTATTTTTCATCTTTAATCTCTTTTACCTCTTTTACTTCTATCTTATTTTGACGTACTGTCCTTATTATTATTATTATTATTATTATTATTATTATTATTATTATTATTATTATCCATCATTATTATTTTATTATGAATTTTATTATCATTATTAATATCCTCTTTTACATTTACTATCCTGTTTCCTCCTTTTTTATTACATTTCTTTTTCTTCCTATTTCATGTTTTTATTTCGGTCTCATGGTCTCAGTTTATGTTGTAGGTTCTTGTATTTTCTGGGTTTCTTATGACAAATTAAATTGACCTTTAATTCAGAGGGTTTTACCTGAGCTTTTGTTTTTATTTCCATGTTCTGAGCTTTAAGACTGTTTTTCAAAGAACTTTGTAAACGTCTGTTTTTAAAAGTGTTTTAAGAATAGAGTTATTATTATTATTGATGATGACTGAATGACACTGTATAAGACTTTTTTCACATTGATTGCCGACACAAAGCAACATCACCGTCATGTTATGCAACAAATTCAGGCCAGACCCTTGAGACAGAGAAGACTGGTTTCATAATTGTTCCCTCAGTCTGTTAAAGGGACCAAATCCCCCCAAAAAACACAACAAAATGCTTTTAAGGAAAACCCTCAGGGCTTTGGAGGTACTCTGCAATATTGCAAGCTGCCCAAAATAACCCTAACCTGACCTTATCGCTGGGCAGACAAGGTCCAAGTAAAGGGAGGGAGACGGATCGTTCCTTATTCCAGGAGGTCGTTTTCGGAGAGAAAAAAGGAAAAAACACAAAAATGCGTCTGGTATGTCCGGATTGTTCCATATTTGATAAATAATTTCAGCAGTCTGGAGACTATCAGCAGCACAGGCAGAACTCCTGACCCCTGAGCTCCGCCGGCGCGGCCTGAGTGTGTATTGTGAGTGTTTGTGCGCGTGTGTTTACGCCAGTTGAACCCATTGTCTCCCCAGTCTGTTATCATTATGCAGCAGTTTCCTCCGGCTGGGGCGAGAGAGGGAGAGAGAGAGAGAGAGAGAGACAGAGAAGCAGGGATACACTCAATCATCAGCCGCTCAACAATGAACAGACTATAAAGTTGACAAGCTCGTCCCTCCTCCGGCCAAATCCGACCAACAGAGCGCTTCATGCTCTCTGTCATGTCCGCCGTTTCCCTCCTCTTTACTTTTAAACTCATAAACACACAACTTACACTCTCTACCCCAGACACAACCACACAACACAAACAAACAGCTGACGTCATGGGCACATACACACACATGCACACACACACATGCACACACACAAGCTTTCCCCTCTGCAGCCTGAGGTCACGGAGCAGGAATGTGATCAGAAATAGAGCTGGGGTGAAACGTGTGGATGTAAGAGGGCGTTTGTTTCTGAGCGCGAGACAGTGACGGAGCAGGAGGGTGAGAATAAGGACCTGGAGGAGGGGTGAGAGAGTGAGAGAGTGAGAGTAAAGTCAGTCATGGGGGCACACCTTTAGACGGTGACACACACCTCCGCACAGACGTACACACACTGAGTCATCAGCGGGAATCTCATCTCCAGGCTCCGAGTAAACCCGGCAGTCACGCTCTGTGCTGCAGGTGTGTGTACTCTGTGTGAGGTTAACATTATGTAACACTGAGTATTTACACGAGAAAAACGTCTATTTACACTCAGACATTTTTATCTACACTCCACTGTTCTCACAGGCTGCAGTTACAGGAGCAGTATTTCAGTGTTAGTGTGTATTTAACAACTCCTCTGCCAAAGACGAGCGCGCCCAACAGCTCAGAGACAGACTGAGACAAACACTGATGCTGAAAAACGAGTAATCCTGTAAGATCAGACTCTCATCACATCTTCAACCACATGAAGGAAACACTTAAAGCTACAGTGGAGGGGAGGAGCTTCCTTTAACAGGCAGAAACCTCCAGCAGAACCAGATTCATGTTAGACCGTCATCTGCTGAGACTGAGCTGGGTTTAGAGAGAGAGAGAGAGAGAGAGAGAGAGAGAGAGAGAGTGATAGATGAAGCAGTGTGGCCCACCCAGAGACTGTCACTAGATTTAGTGACTCTTCAACCCCCCCTAGCGACTTATTTTCAAAAAAGCGCCAAGCGACAAATCTATCGACTAACTTTCATGTTAGAGTTTAGAGACGCTAACATGAACGCAGGTATCGATGTTACTCTTCTTAACGGGTTGGGGGTTGGCCAGCGGTTGTGGGTTTGACTGAGAAATTATGCAAATTAGGCGATGATGTCATCTAGTGACTTTTACGACAGCCACTAGCGACCTTCCTTACTGAGGAGTTGGCGACACTGAGTTGAAGTAACAAGGAAGCAGGAAGATCCACTGCAGCAGAGCGTCTGCAGGAACCTACGGCACGGTGGAGCTCAGGGACTCCCGTGTCTAAGAGTCCTCGTCCAGCTCCCTGTCTGCCTGATCCGGCCCACAGGCTCTGCTTCATTTGTTCTGGATCACATCCACTAAATATTTGATGGGCAGGTCTGGTGTGAAGCTTAAATTTAGATGGTTAAATCTGGCTTCTTCTGTGGTTATCAAGTGATGTAACCGTGGTAACTGTCAGGAAAAAAATATAACCAGATTACAATCATGAACTCTCAAGAAATATCTAATATCCAAAAATCCTAAATAAGTTCAGGATTCAGCTGTTAGCTTTGAGCGCGTGTGTGAACACAACATTACAGTTGAAATAATCTGTTAAAAAAGACTTTATTGTCAGGAGGATCTGCTTAATGTTGATGTGACCATGTTGACGCGGAGAAGAAAATGTCCAGAGCCCTGACGAGTCGATCACCGAGTGCAGCGGGAAATTTATGATCATTACTTCATGGAAATACAATCAGACCGAGACGCTGAGGCAGAAGAACTACTGCGTCTGCAGAGAACATATAAGATACACAAGAACTCTGATTGAAGTAAACATGAAGTAATGAGCATAAATGTTCTTTCTTGAGCTGCGAAACTCTGCTGCACTCTGTGATCGACTCGTCAGGGCTGTTGATGAAGTCAGGTGCTGTTCTGAGCATTATCTGTGGCGTTTTGGTTGAGATTTGCACGTGGAGACGTAGACTGCTGTGTATTTCTATCCTGCGGTCGTTAGTAAAGTTGGTTTAAGAAGCTAGCGGTCGGCAACCTTAACTCGGTGTTACGGTGTGTTTGACACTAACTTAATTTTATGCCGGAATATCCCTTTAAATTTGGACCACAAGAGTAATCACACGTGATCTTTGGCCCTCAGGAGGCGTGAAAAAACAGACACGTCTCTGTAGTGAGAATCACAGCATGGACTCTAAACTGTTGCCAAAATCCACTGTGGTCACAGCCTCCATGGAAACCGATGAAAACTGTCCCAGTAAAACTAAATTTGACATAAACGTTAAAAATCTTCGTGACCATCCGGAGTCCAGCTCGCATGTTTCTGCTCTATTTAAGGATCAGCCTGATTTCTGCTGTATTGTCTTTGGTCTCGTCGTAAACGAGGATTCCCCCGCCACCGTCTGTCTGAGGATTTAAATCAATGATGATAATGATGATGATGATGATGATGATGAAGACGACCACAGGCTACAGCTTCAAAGTCATGCGCTCGTCAACCACAACATCATTTTCCTTTTGATGTTTCCCTGAATCCTTCATCCCACGGAGGCGAGAGTCTGAAAAGAAATGTGATCCAGACACGCTTATAAAAACACATAATAGCAGCATTTTTCCAGTCCAATCAACCGGCTTTTGTCTCGTGTTTTTATGTTGCTACCCCTCCTTGACATGATGACGCCCTCGTAGCGTCAGCG